ATTGTCGATAACAGGACAAGGGCCCACTATTGAATGCAATAGAATTGAAAACAATTTGGGATGATCAGAATTTTTATATATTCACATTCATATGGGCTCAGGTACAGGGATGACTTTTTACTTGTTTGTAGGGCTGAATGGCGGGCGGGTTGCTATGCATTCATAATCTGCGAATGGATTGCCTAGGAATTTACCGAGCATCCGCCACTGATGGATTCTTCTCGTCCGACATTAAGGAAGGAATTGTCAATCTCAAAAATCCAGCGGAAGACAGCATCCACAGGGTGGACAAAAGGTCGCCCTTACGACCGTGAATACAATTAATTTGGATTCTAAAGCAATGGGCATGGCCAAATGGCCTGAGACAGTTTTATAGAATCAAGAAATGGAATTAGAGTACAGACTCTATGCCAAAACCAAGTTGCGATTGATTCAAATCACGTAGCACGTTCTGCCTTCTTCGTTGACAACCTCTTCCACTGCCAATATATTCGAGCGCACTACTGTATCATTTGACATGACACTCATGGTGTCTGGGTAAACTGACACTTCATCATCCGGGAATGAGCCAGAAATCTTCGGAGATTGACGAATCAACCAGTGGTCATTGGCAGACACTCTTGATTGCATTTGCATGGATTTGAGCTTGCCGTATCTTTGCTTCGGTTGCCGAGCCAATGCAAGTCCAAGCTTTCTTGAAGCACTGGGTATCATCGACGTCGACTTATTATGGGGCTTTTGGTCTTGTGAAATCTTGCTGGGAGAATTGGCACCATCTGAAATACAGGGAGACACCGATTCTGAATAGCGACTCTGCTCATGATTCGTGTCAGAAGAAGCCGAGGGCGGTAGTTGCAAATGGGTTGTATGATTACCATTGTTTGTTTCGTTTTTCCTTGTAGAGCCTTCCTTTTCTTTGTCAGAATGATTTCTTGTGGATGTGACGGCCGATTCTTCGAGGCTCTTATTGTTGTTCTTGAGGACCCTGGCACAAGCAAACATGTCCTCCATAATCGTGTCCCCAATAGCTCGTCGTTGCATTTGAATAGCTACTTCCTGAGACAGTTGCTGACCTTCATCTGTTCCATCACTCAAGTTTCGTTCGAGCTTGATTCTCTCGCGTCGAAGATGTCTCGAGAGCTCCTCGAGCGACTTGGGTGCCATTCGTTGAGTGCTACCATCGACAGAAGCAATCATCGTACTGCGCTTCAAATTTGCTTTGCAAAATGTTGTTAATCTTGTCTTTTTAATTCATCTGGATGAATCAATCGGAAGCTGCGGTTTCTCGTTTGGCTTCTTCCGATCTTGTGAACAAAATTACTATGGGGCAGGCGAACAAAATTTCTGCCAGCCCGTTCCAACAGTCGGCACAAACGAATAACATGGCGGGACAGCTGAACTCACGATTCACAAACTTCAAACTGTGGTGGTTGCAATTATGTAATAGAACAGACGTAAATCGCCAAGAGTTTTTTGAAATTCAAATTTTATTGTTTGCCTCATCGTTCTGACCACGATTATTTGTTTATTAAACCTCGCAAAGAGCTCGATCTTCGTGAATCTTCACTTTGAATCCATGATCTCGCGTTCCTTCTTTGCCTAATGTTTGTAATGTCAGAGTGTTATCTTTGCCACAGCAGCTGTTTCTTCTAACGGATGGATCGTTAGCGATCTTCCGTAGGAGAAACTTCTCGTCCTCTTGCGGCGTCATTGAAGCCTTTGCATGCCTCGTCCTTGATTTCGTTGAATGAAAGCTAGTCAGAAGCTTCAACTCTTGAAGTAGCGACGGAACTTCATACGACGAGAATTCTGTTACCCAGGTTGAAGTGCTATCAGAGCCATGACTTCGAATTGTTCCATCCAAAGAAGCATCGTCTTGCTTCAACGTATCTTTCGTGTCCGTGGCAGTTCTTGGTGCTTGTGAATCCTCTTCAGCCACCGGATCAGATCCAGTCACGAATCGGATGTACCCCTCGCCTTCCGACTTCAGCCTCTCGTACCATTGAGTTAGATTACTATCAGTGTCGTGACTGATTTCCGTTGCGGTTGCCTTTTCGGAACCAGCTTGTTCGGTCATGGCCTTGCTGCTTTCGCCTTTATTGTTCTCAGATTGCTGCTCGGCTTCTCGATTGACTAGAGCAGTTATCATTGATGAGAGCGCGGTGAGATCGAACTCTTTTGCTTTCTCCTCCGTTGGCACCTTCTCTCCTTTTTTACTCTTGCTGGATAATCGAAACCATTGCAATTTTGATTTCTTGCTTTGCTTTTCCTTTTTCTTCTTCTGCTCATCCCCTGCCTCAGTGATTGGCGAAGGCATTACGGCTGCCCAAATATCATAACTGGTCGATTTCGGGTCGTCTTCGTGCTTTTTTTTGTGGAACCATTTTGCCCTGTGCTCGTCTTTTGTAGGCCCTTTCTGCAACTGAAGTAGGAATATGACAGTATTATGGACGTTAGATTTCTGATGTAATTGGAGGCGTCCCTACAATAAACCACAAGTTGTGATGTCATCGGAGGCGTCCTTCCAAACCATACAGCAGATGATTCAATACTTACGTCTTTCGATGCAGCAGCTTCCTCTTTCTTCTTTACTTTTTCCTTCTTACTCTTGTCATCACGTGTCGTCTTCACTCCTTTCTTTGACAGTATGGTGAGGGTAGGCAAAAATCTAGTCTTCTTCTTCCCATCGCCTGTGTTTTCGCCCATTGGACCACAGGAAAAGCATTGCATGTTGTCCAACATGTTCTCGATTGCTTGAAAATTTGAGCTGTCGTCTCCGTTCTTGTCCGATTTCTTTGGAACAATTCGAAACCAAGACTCTTTCTTTCCCTTCATATTGTTCTTTTTTGCATCTGCATCCGAACCGAAAAACGAGTCACGCTCTGGTGACACTTTTTGCAAAGATTCTTCAGCGTTGACATCCCGAACAACTTCTCCGGCATGATTGATGCGCCAAGGCGATGGAAAGTTGTGCATGGTTGAAGACGACACCATTTTCTCGTTCTGTCTTGCGTTGTTGTCTTCCAATACGCTGGAATATTCCTTTTCTATTTCTCCTTAATCTTTTCAATATAAGCGTGTGGCACAGTGTCAAAGGTGCGATGATATGTGTAATAGCTGAATTGGATAGATCGGATCTTGTGGACTAGGTCTCATTCTTGTTGAGTTGGCCAAAAATGTGACACACTCGAATCTCGGCCCGAATTCGCATTTGTTCACGAACGTGACTGACTCGACTATTTCACCGAATTTCATCCCATATTATGTATTATGCATGCGTGGTTATCCACATGATGTTTGAGTTGGTTATTTATTGACTCCTTGCCTCTGTTGGCAAGTGGGTTGCTTGTGTTTCTTCACCGCTACAGCGTGATATGAGTAGTTCTCGATCTTTATTCAAGGCTTACATCATCAATAAGACAGATCTGGTCTCACCAAAGAGCGGCCACTTCTCTCCTCGCACTTTTGCAGCCACAAAAACAAGAACTTTTCTGATGCACAACTAAAATTCCTGATCCTCTAGGATATACATTCCAAACTATCGATTATGCACTATTGGTTTTGGTTGTGGTACTCGAAAACGATCATTGCGATCATTGCGCGCATATCAGAAAATAAAGCTTGATTCCTTCATTGGTGGCAATTCCTCAGTCTCGCCAGTATACTCCGAACCAAAGCCTTGGGACGAGTCGGAATCACTATCGCTATCATCATCAACAACCGATAGCGTGGCCCTCGAATCGGTGCCGTAGGTTGTTTTGGACAGAGACGTACCAGCAACAGAAGAACCATAGCCGACAGGTTTCGTCCTGGTCGAAATGGATGTTTGGGATTGCTCGTCATCATTTTCATCTGTAGCACGGCCAAACACTCCACAGAAGAATGAGCTCCATCCCTCCTCTTTCTTTTCTTGCTTCAGGAACTCTTCATATTGTTTTGTATTCAATGTCTCGTACGTGCCCTTTGTTGTGTACGTTTCTTTGGTATCCTTTGTCTCCAGCGTCTCCAAGCTATCCGAGTCAGAATCAGAACCCGCGTCAGACTCAGAACCCGAGTCCGAAAAGTCAGAGCCAGTAACGTCTGACGCACTACCATCATCAAAGTCTGGTGTGGGGCTCTTTGGTCTCCCGATCGGATCTTCCACATGCAGATAAATCGCCGATCGGTCGGCTTCCTCAACTTCTTCTTCCTTCAATTTCTCTTCCGTCTTGACTACCTCCTCCTGTGGAGCGGGGGTTGTCTGGAACACAAAGAAAGTAGAGCAATTGAATAGGGGTGAGCACTAGCAATACGTGAGCAATATCATGCTACAAAACCTCCAGTCCTACCTTTTCTTCACTGACAACTCCCATCTTCTTAAACCAGCCTCGTCTCGTTTTAGATCCCTTAGATTTCTTCTTTTCTGCGCTGCCGTCTTTTTTGGTTTTCTTCTTTCCCTTCTTTCGATCTGCTAGTCTTTTGTTGGCTAACCAACTCTTCTTTTGAGCCGCCAATCGCTTCTTCTCTTGAAGCTCTTTTTGGTTTTTTGCCTCTAGTTGCTGCCTTTCTTCCACTAGTCTTCGCCGTTCGGCCAACCTTTCTTTTTCTGCTACTCGTCTCTTTTCTTCTTCTCGTTCCCTATGGAATTGTAATTCTTCCTGTCGAATAGCTTCGGCAATTCGCGCCTGAGCCTCTTCGTCACTTTGATCCACCATCCTATCGGGAGAAGATGGAGCACTGGAGACTGGCGACCCAGTGGGTGTAACAACTCGAGCAGTAGAGACGGCAGCAGAAGATTGATTTGGAGTTGTAGCCGCAGTCTCATCTTCATCTATATCATCATCAGAAAACTCGACGATGGTAATTTCTTGAACGTTCACCTTCGTGTTGGCTTCCAAGAATGCCTGTGTTTCTTGCTCCTTTCGCCTGGCTGCAGCTTCCTGTTCGTTGCGCTTCATTTCTTCTTCTTTCATGAGACGGAACTGCTCTTCCCGTGCCCGTCGTCTCTCATATTCTGCTTGTCTTTGTCGTCGCTCTTCGGCTACAGCCTTCATTCTCTCTTCCTCTCGGGCTTTTGCCTTTGCAGTTGCAGCATCGTCTTCTTTGTTCTCCTCCTTGGTTTCTGCCGCAAACCTATTGTTTTTATTATCGATGCTGCTGCTGCTGCTGTTTGCAAAGAAATCCTTGCTTGACCCAAAGAATGCCGAATCATTACCGGCATCAAAGGCAACCCAACCGTCATCGTTCAGATCTTCCTCTTTAACCAAGAGGCTTTTGGAAAAAGCCATGATTGTGATAATGCTGATGTGGGTGCTTTGCTGAGATGATTGAGCTTTGTTGGGGGGGGGGGGTCCAAACGATTAGAGACGCTGATGCAGACGCTGATACAATGAAGAGCAGTGGTATAAAGTAACAATACAGCTGACTACCGGTATAGACTATTCGTTTTTCAAAGCGGCGTTTATAGGGTTGGCTGCGAAAGTTTCGCACCATTGGACCACTCGCCTAATTCCGACTACGTTTGCAAGAGTCAGTGTCGGTCCTGTGAGCCCCGACTGGCTTTCCACATACATTCCATTTATGAGTGTTCCGTTTCACATTTAGCAAGAGCCCAAAAAAATTCACGTTGAACCGGAGCTGCCGACTTTCTCATTGGCTTGGCAGGTCCGATCAATGGAACCCGGACGAGGGTTATTCTTTGGTTTGTGGAACTAAAAGAGTCCAAAGATCGACCGTTTTTTGAAACTCGGCACGCGTGCCTACGCCCACATACATGAAGTCACGTAGAAGCGGCATTTAGAAGCGCCTGCACGAACTCAAAAAAACGAAATATTTTGTACATCACGTTGCTATTTTATATACCGGTAGTGCTTTCTCCTTTCGTCTATTGTCACCCTCTTTACAATAGTCCATGATAATACCGGTAGACTGGACTGTAGTACACTGATTACTTGCAACAACCATGGACGACTACCAAAAGAAATGCGCTCGAATGAGCAATCATTCGTTCATTCAAGAATTGGACGAGGCAGCAGCTATCTTGGATGATGAGCTGAAGGCAATCTCCGAAGTTGAGCACGCCCATGCCAATACGTCTGTTTACGTGGAGAAAGACTTCTTTGAAGACAACGATGACGATGATTTGACTGGAGAGCTTGCAAATTTGGATTCCTTGGCTGCTTTGCAACAAGAATTGAACATGTCTGCCCTCAGTTTCGAAGGGTTTAATGCCAACAATTCGAAAGCATATGCCCTCGAGCAACAAGAAGATGAAGAAGAAGCCGTCATTACCGACGTTGGGGAAATTCGAATTGGGGATGCCATCATGGAAGAAGAAGCTTGTACAACTTGGACACCAGTTCCTTCCTTGAGTCAAGATAGCTCCATTCATTCAGCGACACCAAGTCATTTTCCTTCCCAGAACGATCAAGAGGAACAACGCTTACCACAGCGGACTGTCCATAGAGTCGTAAGCCGTGATGGTGGCGAAGATATTATCCTCACAAAGCAATCATCAAATGATTCGGAAGATATTTCACCTTTCCAAACGTCCCCGCATGGTAGTCCCAGAAGCGCTGTGCGTTTAATGCGTCGAGATAGATTGGACATTACCTTGTCACCAATTCGATTTACTTCCGACACGGACGAGAACCAGGATGTCCCTTCATCAATGCACCAGTCTACTCAACAGTCGAATTTTGAGGCTGGCTTCCGAAACATTCTTGTGGACGCGACCCCAAGCATGAATGTAATGGATACAAAGCAAAGTCAGGATGTGACACCCAAGATTCAAAACACCCGCACAGGTTCCGCTGGATTTCAGTTTCAAGACGACGGCACCGGCCATTTCGCGAATGAAAACCATGACGAACTTGTAGTGTCAGAGAAGGCGATTGGAGCACCAACTCATACAACACATATTTCGCAGCCTTCGCTCACGGAAGAACCTTCGCCCATGTCATCACTCTTGAATACTCTTCTTGCTTCACCCGAACCTTTGGTTGCCATGCCAAATTCAAACGTTAAGGTCGATGAGCAAGAACAGGATTCCAAAGTTGGAGTTCTAGCAACAAGCGCAAGTGAAAGTAGCAGTGCCGGGGAGTCGCACTCGTTCTCTTCGCCATTATCCGAAGCTCTAACATCCAACTCAAACTCAGAGGTGGCATCGGTTTCTTCGTCTGCATCCTCCGTCTCGACTGTCTCGGCTTCCTCTTCCGTATCATCCTCATCAGTATCCATGAGTTCCACACAGTCCACAGACAAGAAGAAATGGAATCCGATCCGACTTTTCAACCAAAAGAATGCTTCGGCGGAAGAGAAGGCACGCAATTCCATATTCACTAAGCCAAGTTCTTCGAAGTCCAAAAAGAAGAAAAGCAAATCCAAGGCTCGGCATCGTTTCATCTCTTCCCCAAACCTTCCTACAGTTTCGGAAGACAAGACTCTGGCACCAACACAGGCACCGCCTTCAAACATTACCGTGTCGCAACCTCATGATCCACACGAGAATGAAATTCGCGAAACTCTTGGAATGGATGGGGGAAGACGAAAATCTTTGTTCCAAGATAACAAAGAAAGGGTAGCCCTCAACAGAATGATGAAAATGTTAATGGAACAACGCAACAAGAACAAGTCTCAGGAGAAGCGAGAACGCAAGCTCCTTCACATGCTGTGTGATGCTCGAAATGATCGAAAGGAACTCATTGACGAGAATGATAAAGTTGTACAAGATCTGCAACGCAAGCTGAAAAGTTCGTTTGAGAACAATGAAATCTTGCGACAGGAAAACGAATTGCTCTTGATGCAGACGGACGCATGGAAAGAAATCAGTCGCCAATCCAATCAAACCGCTGCTCTCTACAAATACACGTTTGACGAACGAAAAGGTAAACCACGTTATGACGCACCGGTAGGGGAAACAATGAATGGAGGAAGCATGGAATTGGCGGAAGCCGAAGACGAAGACGAACTGGTCCAAGTCAAGAGGGAGAAAGAAGAACTCGAAAACAAACTGACGCAACTTCAAAAAGATAGTCATCTCGAGAAGGAAGGCCTGAAGTACCAAACGGAGCTCTTGGCACAAGAACTTGAGCAATCTCAAACTCTCTTTGAAGACAAGCTAGAAAACTACATCCAAGAGAATGCTCAGCTCAAGGACGACAAGGATGTTTTGCGAAGGGAGCTTGAGGAGCGCTATGCTGCAATTTCAATTTCACGCAAAGAAGTCCAAGACCTGCAGTTGAAATCTAACTCGACACGGCCTAAGATGCACGCTGAAATCATAAACTTGCGAGTTCACAAGCTCGAAGATCAATTTATCACCATGCAAAACTTTCACAGGTCTCGGATGGTGCAGTCTAATCAGGACAAGGCAATCACGGAAGCTCGAATCAAGAGCCTTGAAATCTCTGTTGGCAATAGTGCTATAGAACTACGAAAGGCCGAAGAAGGCTCAAAGGCACTTCGAGATCAACTTTCCCTTGAACGAAAGTCCCGAAGCCAGTCCACTCGAATCTTCCAGCAACAGAGTGAATCTCTAATGGACGAGAATGAATCATTGAAAAAGGAGATACTTGGTCTTCAAGGTGAATTGGCGAGCACTCGAACTGACCAAGTTCAAATCGAAGCGGAACTACTGAAGGAACGAAAGGAAGTTCACCGATTGCAAAAGCAAGCGGAAGATGAGGCACAATTGATCACGGAACTCCAGGAGGAACTTGATAATCTTCAAACCAACTTTGAAGATGCTGAAAGTGAGGCCTTCTCGACCGACAAGGCCGCAAAATCACCCGAAGCGGCACTCAATGAAGCACAAGATACCCTCGAGAACGAAATCCAAGCTGCTGAAAACGTCGCGCTTCGAGTTCAAGTTGAGCGACTTAAGCTTGAATTGAAGTCCAAGTCACCTTTGACACCACGATCTTCCTATAGAAGTTCTTACAAGAGTCCAGTTGAGAGGCGTGTCCGAGACCAAGTGCTCCGGCTTCGCAAGTCCCTAACCCCAAAGCAACAATATGAAGAACCTGTCGCATCGACATTGCCACGATCACCATTCTTCACCGACAGTCCCTCCGTGACGCTCACCGGCCATCCAAATTCGCTCAAGTCGACATCTCCAAAGAAGTTTGCGAGTATGTTGCGACCCAAAGGAAAGGGTTCTTCCATGCCGCCTAGACGTCTCGACAAGGAGAATAATACCTTCATGTCACCTCAGAAACGAAGAGGCGGTGGACTCTCTGGACTTTCTACACGCACAGGTCTCGGGATTCGATAAACACTGCAGCCTACAGTATGATATATGTGAATGTGCCAACGCTACAACAATCAATAAGATCAAGATGCACATTGTGGGGAATACATATTATTAATTGAAAAATACATAATTGCTATAGTACAATATAATGTGATAAAGTTTCAAGCTCAATCATCAGCGGCAGGAATCAAAGTGAATCTTGTCAAGGTTCAAGCAGCAATTGCATTTTTTGGTGATGGCGCTTGTTTCGGCAAAGGTTGAGAAAATGTAGGAACGAATATGTCACTCCCTTGCGGGGTGTGTTCCTTGGCAAGAAACGACTTTCCATTGCGTGGTGATTCCACTGATGGTGCCTGGGCCAAGAAATCGTCATCGTTATCAGTGGAAATGTCCACACTCCAAACGCTAGAATCTGCTGTGGACTGGGTATCGTCCACTTGGTCTTGCTTCGGAAAAGCATACCGTTTCAGATTACTCCTGTCAGTTTCGCGTATTGGGATTTCCATGCTATTTCCGAATATGTCATCATCATCATCCGAGCTGAAAGAGCCAACAGACCAATCGTCCCCGCTTGAGTCGTCCCCAGCCTCGTCAACTTCCTTTATCCAAATATCCATGAAATCATGGAAGGAATTGGATCGGGATGACACGGACAGAGAGTTCGTACGGTGCGAGCTCGATCGTTTCAAAAGTGTCTTTACTTCACGAAGGGACATGATTTCCGATTCGGTTTGTTTCTCCTCTGCATTTAGTTCCTCTTCTAACCGCACGGCAGTGAACCGTGCAACATTGGAGGCTTCTTGAGTGTGTTCCTGGTAAGACTCCGAGATGCAGTCTGACATGGTGCTGGAACCAACGCCACAGTGCCACCGCGAACTAGCAGTCTGATGGCGTTGCTCTTTCAGTACCGCATACCTCGAATCTACTACGTTTCGATACTTGAGTTCTTGATCCTTCTTGGAGTCAAGCCCTAACAGAAAGTATCCTCCTTCTTCGTAGAAAGACGAATCAAGTGTCAGACAGTCCAAGATTCCATGAAACTCTGCTCTCTTTTGTTTCAAGTCTTCCCTTGAAACCCAAAGATCCGAGCGTTTGGCTCTATAGTGCAATGGTTTGACGATTCTCACACGAACGTCAGGGTTGAAGCAGACAGCTTTTGGCATGCTTCTTCTACTAGGTCTTCGAGGTGCTTGATCCATTTTGAAGTGATTTGATTTGATTTGATCTAATATACTATATGATATGATATGATATGATATGATATTGACACTGGATGAAGGGAAAACAAAAGTTGTGGCCACTGGATACCAGTACCTGATTTTCCAGTCTCGACAGTTAGCTTGAATACAGTTTCGTATCTTCATAGTACTGAAGCTCGTAGTTCAAGTAGGGGGCGTTCTGTTGTTCTGTCGTCAAATAGAATCGGTCAAAAGATCCGTCGAAACCAAAAAGCTCATATAATGTCAAGCTAAGTACCGTTTGCCACATATGTCGTGAAGCCTTGTTGATTAAAACTGCCCTCATCTGATCATATCTAGGTCGAAAAATGTACGGGATTTTACTACCTTCTTTAATTGAAGTATTGGTTTAGCGCGTTTCAATTTATCCGATGCCGACATTTGTTCAATCTTCATGCTTCCATCTGTTTGAGTTGACTCTCCCATCAACCACGTCAGCAAGTTTTTCCACTCGAGACTTCAAGGTGCGTTTTTGGGACTCCAAACTTCGATGGAGTAGAAAATGACCTGTGTGTGCTTGATTTCGCGCGTTATATTTCTCTAATTGAGATTTTTCATCCGGTACTGCCGTCTGCCAAGCTTCCTGAACGGAAGAGTTGGAAGGTATTTTTGGAAAATACCATGGGCAAAGGTCGGATTTTGCTTTGTCTTTGCTATGTCACACATGATTCGCCGGAGTGGGAAAACGAAAGAATGAAACGACACAATTTCGAAATTTCCATTGCAACTGATGACAACTACTCGTACACCCAAGAAAGAAGGCTCTGTCTCTGACAACACTGACAATGAGTCCGTTGACCAGTTTGAATCCGTATCGGCTCAAAATAAGGAACGAAGGATGATTCGGTTTTCTTCGGATGTCAAGAAAAGCTTTGACTATACTGACTGCACAGAGGATGGCGATGACGCCTCTGAAATGTCGAAAAGGAGTTTCATGGAAGAAATCCTGCCCGTCGGAGAGCTGACAGAGACAGAGCAAAGAGGGTTGGCGGAAGCATTCGGTGACCTGTTTTGTTGCACTGGAAAAGCAGAGTTGGAATCTTAGGTGGTCGTTCCTATAACATGGCCTAATTGTGAACATGAGGGAAATTCATTCCCGGAAGCATATAGGATGCAATGATGTTTGGGATGCACAATCAACGTAGGGTAGCGTATTTCCAACAAGCGCCATTCAGCCAGCAAACACTAAAACTGTTGAAGAAAATCGGTTCTAGCAGGTGAGATCTAGATGAATGGAAGAGTGAGTCGCTCCATGTAATCCGGATCATGTCATCATAATGAAGTGCACACTACTTCGACCAAACTTGAACGCCCTAATGCGATACAATTCAACTCCGCAGAAATCAGGTAGAGGCTAGCCAATTGCTTACCTGGTTGGGTTTATAATATTATAGCAATTGATACTTTACAATTTTTAGTTACATCATTATGATAGTCACGGGCAGCGCAACTTTCCAATGTTGTTCATCCGGAGTGCGGATGGCGTGTATGCCTACCTGCCTGCCTGCCTGCCTACTTTTTCTATAGCCTCCCCAAGGTTCGAGAACTACGTGATAGTCGAACAGCGTCCATGGCAAAGGAACGGCTGTTGGAGCTGGTAGCTGAAAGCTTAGGGGGAGATTGGGACGAGCCTCGCACGCCCGAGGATTGTCTACTTAGTGGAGGCCTAGGTGCTTCCGCGTCAATTTCTTGTAGACCACTTCTAGGGATTCTTTTCTCTCTTGTGTCATGTGCAAATGGTTGGTGTATGATTTCAATGTCATCATCGGGCCGGAACCTATCGTGGTGCATCCGCGCTTCTGCTGCATCCTCCTCGCCACATGTACTGGTAAATCGCCTTAGCCCAGCTGATCCAACTGCATTATCCTTTAATGATTCCTTGTATTGGGATTCTTGTTGAATTAGAGAATGGCGAAGATATGCAACTTCATCTTCCAGAGCTGCTACATCCTTCTGCGGAACCGCAACATTATTCCTCAGAACCGTAGCCTCGTCCGAAAAGTCTTCACAGTCGCTTGGTATTCTGTGAATCTCCGTCATCTGTTCCTTTGTACTTGTTGTTGCTCTATTTTTTATTCGTTCAAGTTCCAATTCGTTTCGTAACTGGATAATCTCCTTGCGCGACTTGGAAAGTTCTTGAAGCATGGATGCTACTGTTTCTGTTTGTCGATGATGAGCTTCGTCAAAGTTCACTTGCTGGTCATTGGCAAGATCAGCTGCATTCTCTAGCTTTTTCAATAAATGCCCAATGCATAACTCTTGCTTTCTCGCTTGTCGTGCAAGCTGTTCTTTTTCCTTTTGAAGTCTGGAGTTTTGACGTATCAGTTTGGAGCTCATGGCTTCCATCTTGGCGGCATCACGAACGTTTTCCGAATTGGCAAAGCAGTTCTCTAGCATCTGAAGGTTCTTCATCTTTCCCATGGTTCTGAATAAACTGAATGAGTTGATAGTTGATGGCAAACCAGAGTTATTGAATTGTGGCCAATGTTTTCGCTGGGATACTAACAACGCAAACACGAATTGTGGCGATGCCAATTCGGAATAGACCAAAATTGTGAAACCCACGAATAACATCCAATATATGTGGAATCATAAAAAGTCGCACGACTGTCCTCCAATGCTGGTATTACTCGGAACGGAGTGTGCGCCTTTTAAAATCCGCAACCTCTCACGATCCGCGCAGAGCGCGTACCGCTACCCAAAGGCAAAGGATGATCCACTCGACTGATCAATCCGTTTCAACGGCAAAAACACATGAAAATGGCGATAAATGGCCGTCTCTATCGTGTCGTAAAGCGATCCCACATTGACGTCATCGTATCAATTTATTCAATCAATAAATGTAAAATGAAAAATTTATTTAAGGGCGATCGCTGTTTGCGAGAATCGTTCAGTTGGAATCAACACCACCAAAATCTCACAATTTCAAATCGAAGCAAGTAAACAACAACTTTTCACACGTACACAAAGATAATAAGATGGCATTCAAACTATTCAAGAAGAAGTCTTCCAAGAAGAGCAAGAAGGTAGTCGAAGAAGTTGCCGCCCCTGAACCTGCTCAGGACAAGCCTCTCCTTCAAGAAACCGAGGAGCCCAAGCCAGAACCTGAAGAAACCGAATCTCCATCGGTCGCTTCGGAGTCTCCTTCTGAGGAAGTTCCAAAGGAGCAAGATAAGGAATCGTGGATGTCCAAGATGACCATGAATTGCTGCGTATAATCACATCTAATTGCTGATACTTGGATATCTTTGCTGCGCACTTGTGCAACACCCCGACAACGCATCAACGATATAGATGCTGACGTTGGATGAATGTACCAAAATATTAACAGTAATAGAGAGTGTGAAATTTCGAGTCATTGTTTCTAGTAGTATTTATTCGTTGGCTTTTTCCGTGGGGTAGATGAGTCAGTCGTCGACAGTCCTCGACAGCAGTCCAAGAGCCTGGTGATTTATTTGCTATAGTCTCTTGCTCTTTCTACTGGAATCAAGTATACCTAAAAACGGGAAAGCGATTAGCGAGAGTTTCAAATAATGAAAGGCGAAAAAGGCAGCAATGCGTGTTGGAAGTTATTGATTTGGTCTGATTTGTACATTCGTTTTCTTAGTACAGTAGTTGATTGTGAATTTTGCTGAAAGGGAAGATTGTTCTGTATCCAGTCTCGAGATATGTCCGTTATGCATGGTACGCTTGTTCTAGGTATTGGTTTGGGTGTCGCTTGGTGTTGGAGATTACAATGGCTTTCTGGCCTTGCTTTGTGACCCCAGCAATCATTTCGACGCCCTCTTCGATATTTTGCTTGATCTCTTTTTCGGCCATTGCATCAATTGCCTCTTGTCTCTTTCTTGATGTTCTCAAATGGCCTGAGAGACATGTTTTCTTGTCGCTTTTTTTCTTTCCAAGCTTTCTGAGGATTCCTCCACGACGCTTCTCAGTGCGATCTGACTCCTCTTCGGAATCTCCCCTTGTTTCCTCCTCCAAAGAGTCACCAACAACAGATGGCGTCAGTTCCATAAAGTTTAAATTTTTCTGAGAATCTTCAGTAGCACTTTCAAATTCTTCGGTAGTGAAATATTCCACCTCTTGGCCCACGAGACCATTTCTAGACTCGTCCCATGTGGATCTGGAATCCTGCATGGACACGGAAGATCTTCTCTCGGAATTGTAATTTCTACTCTTCGGCTGGAGGCTTAAAATCAATTCGTCTTCATTTGGATTCTTTTTGAAATACGACATTAGTGCCACTGGGATGAGTCTAACAAATCCAACAAACTCGTCGGCCATTCGTTCCTCTTCCATTGTATCTTGTCCGAGATCAGGATGAAGCATGACGTCGCGAGGAACATCAAACAATGGAGTACATGACGACTGCTGAGAGATACTATCATCTCTGAACACTGGTACCATCAAAGAAGGCTGTTGTGGCTCTTGCGCTCGGACTCGTCTCAAAACGGCCGCAGGCTCTAGCGGAATCGGATCAGGCTTTGCAACTGGCGAAAGAGTTGGTGGTACTTGCTCCTTTTCCATTTCTTCGAGGGGTGACATTGGTGACTGCGTACTTTCCTCCAAAACTCCTTCGAAGTACTTGGTCTTTTTCTTCTTTTTGAAGAAGCTCTTCATCTTTCGGCTGCGACTGCTAGACCTGCTGCTGCTACTCCTACTACTACTACTGCTGCTGCTGGATCCGATGTGGCTCTTCAATTTCGACAACCTAGATTGTCTTTGTTCGATGGCAACCTCAACAGCTTTCTCTTTCCTTGTCGTCTTGATGTTAATATCGATTGGTCTCTCATTCTTGGCAACCTTTTTGGATTGAGACTTTTTGGATTTAATGGCTTCTTCTGTTGGTTTCTCCTCCTTTTCGTTAGTTTTGGGTGGAACTAATGGCTTCCTCGACTTCCGCGGAACGGGAATGACATCCAAAGACCCCATGGACATGGCTTGCTTTAGAATTGAATCTTCCAAACTCATACTAGATTGAACTTCTGGATCGAATGTTGGCAGACGGGCAATGTCGTTCTTGCATCCATTGGACGATACTTTGGCGTCCCAATATTCCTGCACCGCTTTGAAATGTTCACCCCTATCTTTTTTGGTTGGTGTCGGTGGAAGATTCTTCGCTGGCTCGAACGATTCAATGGATTCACTGGAAGTCACCTGTTCTGGGACAATCATGCATTCCACAGCACCCTCTTCTTGACTATGATTACTTTCGATATGGTTGGATTTATCAGAAGAGGAAACGAAAGTACCAGTCACGAAGGATGGAGCAGTCTGGAATGCCATATCCCTGCGATGCTTGTTGTATTCTTCTTCTGTCTCTGGAGACTCCTCCTTGATGGATTCCTTCTTGCGCCTGGACCGGAAGGATGCCGCTGGTCGAGAAAACCATCGCCAAGGATTATTAGAAACTTGACTTTCGTCATCCAATATAGTAGATGGTGTTTTCTCCGAACTGTCCCCGCTCGAGTCTAGAGCACTCTCGCTCGCGGAGGAAGATAGTGTGCTGGTATTACTGTTGCACGAGAACCCATTCCCCGAAGAAGTAGCACTGACGGAGGAGGCTATATTTTCACTGTTTTTACCGACAGCCTTAGCTGCCTCGACTCCATTCATTGACAGAACTGAGACCTCTTTCGACTGCGCCCTATCGAGTTGTCGATACTTGTCCAGAAACTGTCCTGGAGGATCTGCTGGACAACCATCATCCAGCGGTGTCGACTTTACACGATTCAAGAAGCTAGGTATAGAGCTATTGGATGGAGCTGGACCCTTGATGTCGGAATGGTAGATATTATCCCCGGCAATGGACTCCGCACTTTTTAGCGACCACGAAGTTTGGAGCTTATTTGCAGAACAGTTGCTATCGTGTCGATTGATAGGTCGCCTTGGCGACGACCATGTAGAGTCTTCTTCTTGATTCTTCTTTACACTGTTCTTCTGTGTGTCGACTGTATACAATGTAGAGTCGCGAGATTCACTGTTGCCGACATCTCTGCTGGATTCATCGTCCTCCCACGAATAGTAATCATCCCGCTGTTCGTCTTGGGGTGCTTCCTCTGGGTAGCTTTTTCTCATGGCATAGCGATCTCCTGTCTCATATGAGATACTCTCTAGTAGCATCAAACGACCACCATTATCGGGATCGTATCCTTGTTCCTCCAAATTGTCCATGACATCCTTTCCGACAGCACTTTGTTCGGCAGAGGAGGAGGCTTCTGTTGATGTACTTTGCGTCAGCTTGACGACGAATAGCTCATCGGTTTCCCTTGGTACCCCTTCTTTGGGCTTCTTTTTACGAAACAGCTTCATTTTTGAAACCATTGTTATCTTGCACTACGAGAGAATGGTAACCACAATTCGACGAGAAGTGGTATTGTTGACGCAAAAAAGTGTGTAGTTTAATCTCAATCGCCAGTCTTGCACTTGTGACAGTGTAGAAATGCGTAGCAATGTACTGCCACATCCATTCGCCAAATGTCGCTTGGGATTGCCTGCGCTATTTAGAAAAATAGCCACGCGCACGCCCGCCCGTCAAACTCTTTTTGTGCAGTATAGATGATCATGATTTGACTACCTGTAGCCATGGTGCAAAGCCAAAAATGTGACCATGAAGAAGGCGATCCATGATATGCTAGGCACCTCTACTCTCTCATGATGAGCCATAACACATGACCAGCAATTGGAGTTTGAAACAACGTGCCCGTTTGCTGGCGAAACCGTGAGAAAACCTCTCCGAAACTTTCGATTTGCTTTGAAACGGTTTTCAGCCATACTGAGCTTGGTACATCTTCGGGAAGCTGAAGCGTTTCTTGCTTCAGCAGATCAATTATATTATCTGCTCATATTTTTGACGTTGAATCATTTGCATTCACGTTCACATTCACTCAGTCCTTTCAAAACCTTTTGAAACAACAACAAACAAACAAACAAACAAACAAAACACACCATGTTATCTCTTCGATCCATCATCATGATGCTCTTTCTTTTGGCCATGCAGCCAATGGCCATGCTATCCTTGATGAGTACAAACTACACTCGTCCATCCATTCAGGTCTCCAGTTTGGCCAACGAAAACAATTGTTTCCTCTGTTGACTTTGTTGGAACAACCGTGGAGGTGGAATCCACTATCGATCTCCCTCCTTTCTTCTTTGTGGAGCTCATTCAGTCTAGTGACTACGAATCTGTCGCAGAAGACTTCAATGAGAAGTACGACGCCTTCACACACGCATTTTATGATGCCATGTTTTCCAAGTTCGAGCTCGTCATCGAGAAGTTCGAAGCACCCATCTCATCGGTCGACTACGAGTTGATCAAGGCTTTTGTACGAGTCTTCAACAGGCAGAATGAATCATACACCGACGAAGTGTCTGCTGCCATGTTTTCCAAGCTCGAGCTCTTCGGCAAGAAGTTAGAAGCATCCATCCCATCGATCGACTACGAGTTGATCAAGGCTTTTGTACGAGTCTTCGACAGGCAGAATGAATCAATCATACACCAACGAAGTGTCTGCTGCCATGTTTTCCAAGCTCGAGCTCTTCGGCAAGAAGTTAGAAGCATCCATCCCATCGATCGAATACGAGTTGATCAAGGCTTTTGTACGAGTCTTCGACAGGCAGAATGAATCATACACCGACGAAGTGTCTGCTGCTATGTTTTCCAAGCTCGAGCTCTTCGGCAAGAAGTTAGAAGCATACAATCAAGAGTTGTGTGTTGCCGTGATTACCAAGATTCAAGTCGAGTACCAACGAGTCTACGAGAAGCTGGAATATTTTGCCACTGACCTGCTTGCTGCGGCTCTAGCTTTGACCCTGAATTCATTGTCAGAGATAATTTTGACCGAGTATATTTGTTTCGCTTGCGCCATACACACATTGTGCTACATATATTATTGCAATCACCTACTACCGCGTATCGATATTATTATTACTCTTTCATCTCATCATCTACTACCACCGTGTAATATCATCGTCATCTCCACCGCATCTACTCGTCATATCATCGTTCAATATAAATATACTACTGCATATCATATATGATATGCATATGCAGATGATATGCAGCTGCATATCATATATGATATGAAGGTGACATGCAGTAGTATATCGCAATCATAATATCGATCGATGTCAACAAGGGTACCAGGAGGTACTCCTAAAGGCCCAACAGAGAGAGAGAGAGTACCTCATGCACGCAACGCACGCCAGCCGGCTATATGTTCCCTCCAAAGCGCAAGTTTGAATTGAAAGGCGTTATTACGAGACTATGCGGCAGTTGAGTTCCTGGATGCAGACGAAGGTGCTCCCTGTCGTACCAATATTCTTTCGCGAGTGACACGCACCTACCGATATCCATCTGCATCAGGCATTGGCAGGACGTCACATACAAAACATACAAACAAGTCCTCCTTGTAGCCACCACCACATCCGTTTTGCAACCTGAGATTGCCTTCCACCAAACAGGAGATTGCAAACTTCTGAAACGTTAGACGCATCCTATATCCTATATCATATATCCTATATCATATATGCACCTCAATACATAGTACACAGATACAGTATATTGAATATATTCCATTCGTTACAAGCGCAAAATCGTACCAATGCAAGAACAATCGTACGATCCGTACGAGGATCGGATTCCAGAGTTTGACGATGAAGAAAACCCGCCCACCAGGAATCGTAGAAGACGAAGACGAGAACAAGCTGCGGAAGAGAACCCTCATCGATTGTTCTATGATCCCGACAGGATTTCGTCTGCGGCAATGGACGACGGCGTTCACAACATTCCCGGATCACCCTGGGCCAAACCAGCGGTACGACCCAGCAGTCGACCGAAAGAGACTCTGCCAATTGCCAAGTTTGTAGCGACATGCGCTGTGATACTGTCCATTCTATGGATTACTGCCATTATTCTATTTGCGGTCTGGAACTTTGATAACTTGGGACGAATGATTGGGGAAATCGTCCTTGGTGTGACCTGCTTCTTTGGACTGTTTTGGAATTCCTACTACACGACAACCTCCATCTTCAAGTGCTTGGTTCCAGGCAAGGCCTTTCTAACAAACACCAAGTACTCATCTGTCATTCCGGAAGAAAAGTCACCCTTTGACAAGTGGCTGACGGTCACTATTCAAATTCCAGTCTTCAAGGAACCGGTGCATCATGTGATCCTACCCACATTGGAAAGCTGCATCAAGGCGAGGGATCACTACATTCGATCGACCGGAACCGAATGCAATATTGTGGTGTGTGATGATGGCATGATGGTATTTCTAAAGAATAACTTTGCGGCGGCCGAAATGTTGTGGGAGACCATTGTCAAGAGCAAAGGAAGAGTACTCAAACTGAGTCGGCTGCTCCGAACCGTCCCACGACCATCACGGATGCATCTCAAGGGGTTGCAGAGCAAATCTGTCTATGAGGTCTTTCATCGTATGTTGTTCTATTATCACTTTCGGATTGGATTCGTGGCACGGTCTACTTGGGATCGACCGGGCAAGGCCAAACGAGCTTCCAACTTGAATTCACACATGCGGTTGGTCTGGGGTGCCAAACAACAAGAGGGCATGCCCTATCCACAAGCCTTGCATCAAATGTCACACAATTCGGATGGATCTCGATTCGTCATGTTTGGAAATGATATTAGCATTGGACAACTATTGGTCATTACCGAGGCCAATTCACGAATGGCCGAAAAAGTCATTACCAAGACTGTTCCAGAATTCTTGAACGATTCTGGTTTGGGATTCACGCAACATGCGACGAAGGTGAGTGAAGTGCAGTGCAATTTGAGGCATGGAGGATGATATCAGCAACTCACCATTCTTCTTCTTCTTCTTCTTCATCATCATCTTCAACATTACACACAAATACAGACGCTTGACGATCAGCGTGGCGAGTCGTACTTTGTGAATTTGATCTCTGCCTATACGGATGCCCAATCCCAAGGTCACGACTTGCTGAGTTCCATCTTGGGATGTCACCCGCCTCTGGTGGGACAGTCCGTCTTTTTGCGCAGTGAGGCAGTCCGGCAATGCGGCCGTGTCCGAACCTTGCGCAAGGCGCAACAATGGTTGCAAAATATTGGAATACCATTCTTGTCGGTGGATCAAGTGGGACTACGAAACTTGCAGGATCATAGCTTTACGGAATATTGGTCCGAGAATCATGTACTGGAAGATTTTGAATTAATGATTCATTTGTACAATCTTGGATTCGATGGTCGATACGTCACCTATCCCGGGTGTGAGTTTGAAAGGGGAGTCTCGAGGACATTTGACGAAGAGGCTAGCAAACAACGAAAACTCTCATGGGGTGCACACGAAATCATGTTCAACCCATTGAATACTTGGCTGGTTCGTGGACCCTTTTCTCCCGTCTTTGTCACCATGTTCAAGTCGAAGGCGATTCCTTCCACGTACAAGATTTTCTTGGCGTCGCACTTGCTGTCGTATTCGAGCGGGGGAATCTATCTCTTTGTCTTTTCGGTCGCTGCTGTCACTCGAATATTGGATACGGAAATCTCGGAAGAAAGTATTTGGTTTGCCTTTAACAGTGCAGGAGTCTTGGCGTTGACCCATGTGGTAAGTCCAATTTTTTTCGCTTGATCGACGATGGATTTTTTTTTGATTGCACATTCGCATACAATTCGCTCACGAACTTATTCTCGCGATATCTACTTTTATTGCGGTATATAGCTCTCGTACATGATCAGTTCCTTCATGCTCTTGATCGCTCTGATTCGTATTCGATTCATCAATAAGCGCATCATGTTTACAAAGTACAACAAAGGGGGACTATGCTACTTGCTGTGGAAGCAACTGCGGTATTCCATGCTGTATCAATGGATGTTTTACTCGTGCATGGCTACGTACTACTTTTTGGGAGGCATGGACCATTTGTTTTCTCGAGACGGTTTTGCCAATCCTGGAGCCTATTCGCAGAGCAGGAATTGTCTAGTCCGAAAGTTCACATCCATCAAGAATGCGATTGTCTTCAACTCTGGTAGCTGGTTGATTGGATTCTACTTGCTTTGGTTGATTTATGCAGTGATTTTGGAGCAGGAAGATTGGGACTGGAACTTTGATACCGTCCCCGAAGATTGGATACCTCTGACCATCTTTGCCGGTCCTGCGGCCGTCATGGCTTTGTTAATCGGCTTTGTCCCGCTCCTTTTGAATCCATATGTCATTGGGTGGCCATTCCACCCGCCCTTGTGCCGAAGCCGGAACCGACTTCGAAAACTAGAAGAGAAACGGCAAGTTGCTCTTTCCTCTCCACAAAGTCAAAGCACCAGCTCCACCGCCAAATCTTCTCCAGAGTCCAAAGTATCGAGTCGATTACTGCAACGAAAGATGCGAATGCACAACAATCCGGACGTCGAGTCCGGTAGCGTGGCCACTTTCAGCAGCAACTGGGTAAAGTCGCCGCAAGCTCAACCGCAAAAAATACGAAAGGTGCCACCAAAGGAACAGAAGCAACAGCCTTTTGGGTAATATATGAACCATCATGAAGCAACTAGACCCGCAATGTCGATACAACATGCTCGGTCCGGCATGAGCAAGTCGTATTGAGTTGAAAAGATGGAACCACCATGGAGGCAGTTCTTCTGGAGACAAAAGGGATTGTGAAAGCCATACTGTCGACGATGTTCTACATAGCAGCATTGGCGATTGGCGCCAAGAATGGAACGCTTGGAATTCCGATGAGCATTCGACGTCAAATTCGAAGAATGAATCAATCAATCAATCAATCGATCAATCGCAGAGCAGTTGTCGGTTCCTCGTTTTGACCTTTCACACATGAACAATACCCGTACTTTCATCAAAAATCAAAACTGCAAGTGGCTGATTATTTTTTTTCATTTATCAAACTTCTAGTCTTCTTACTATTGCACTGCCATCAGTTGGCTCATACTGCAGCTGCAGGGAGGTCACACAATTGACTATTATACTCGAATATTGGAATACTCCGATTCAACATTATTAAAAAATCCATGCGATCTTCTCCGTGTCAATCTTCCCATCACGTGCAAGCATATAATGCAATCACAACCAAAGGCAATATACTCACAATCATATCAGACGAAACAAAGCGACTTTACACACGTCCTTTGAATCACGCGCGCTCTCTCTCTCTCTCTCTCACACACACAGACACAAGCACACAAGCGCACTAGAATACAATCAAATACAGCATGCCATTGTCTGAAGCATGGGTCGACTTTATTGCCGGTTGGGCCAGCGGAGCAGTTTCTGTCTTGGCCATTCAACCCGTGGACACCATTCTGACGCGCTTTCAAGCCAATGGGCGAATCACCGCGAGTGCTACGCTACAAGATTCCCAAGCCTTGATCAATCGAAATGGTTTCAAGGCTCTTTGGAGAGGTAGTTCTGCCATGATCACTGCTGTACCAATGCAGAATGCCATGCTGATGGGTGGTTATGGAATTGGAAAGCAGTGGGCCGAGGACGCTTCGTCTTCGTCTTCTTCTTCTACTACTAGTACTAGTACTGGTACAACCGCCACCAAAAGCAACATCTACACAAGTGTCTTTATTGGAGGATGTGCTGGAGGCATCGCTCAGAGCTTTCTCATGTCACCCGTAGAACTGTTCAAGGTGAATCAACAGGTCAACGTTAGCAAGTCAGTGAGAGATGTTGGCATTGAATTGGCGAGTGGGTTTGGTGCGTATGCCACAACAGCATCCACTTCGGCTGCAACTGGATCTTCCTGGAGAGGATTGAATGCTACATTATTGCGAGATGCAATTCCACATGGTGTATGGTAAGCAAAGAAATATTACTGTCATTGTTGTGATTTTTGATTGAGTCAGTCAGTCATCTGGATGATATTCTTTCCATCACATCATGCGTTGTATATCATCTTATGACAATGATATTCATATCATACTGATTCACTTTCTTTTCGTTCCGTTCCTTTCCGTTCTCCGCTCATTTCTGTATTCGACAGGTTTGCTTCGTACGAGTGGTGCAAGACCGCCATGACCCAAGCACTTTCTATTCCTGCTGATGGCGAAGACGGCGAGACAAGCAAGACGTCGTATTCTCATGAACACTTGACGGTACCGCTATTCTCTGGTGCTTTTGCGGCAACTGTTGCATGGGTCAGTATTATATATGTATATATACATACATATGTTGTTGCATGGAATATTTTCTTTTTGCTGTATCTAATCATTTGGCTCATCTCTCTTTCGCTCATTCAATCATTCAATCATTCATTCATTTAATCATTCAATCATTCATCCATCACGTTTTTCAAATATCGTGGTATAGGGTGTTGGTTATCCAGCTGATATCATCAAGACACGAATCCAAGCCACTGAGCCTCATGTTGTAAAGGGGATCTTTGAAACTGGATTGGAGTTGATTGCCGAGGCCAATGGAAATGTCTTTCAAGGCTTGTACCGTGGATTTGGTTTGAAATTGGTTCGATCCATTCCGGCGAGCATGATTGGCTTTACGACTTATGAATTTGCAGCCTATCAGTTGCGAACTTAGAAGGGGGAAGAAGAAGAAAAAAAGGAATACCAGCCAGTATTATATATAGGCACATGAGAAGAATGGAACCATTGTGAGATATAATACGTGTCGAGTAGCACCAGAAAAAGAAATAAATCCCAAAACTGTAGTAAAGCAAGCAAGCAAGTTGAAAAGTATGGGAAACCCACATTATATTATTGTTATAGATATATATTACAATATATAGATATTTGTTTTATAGCAATCCCACTCGTTTCAAGGTTCCAAGGAACAAGGCCCACATACTCAATATTCCCAGGGATCCAATAGTGGAAAGAGCCACCGTCCGACGTTTGCTCCACAGTCGATACCGATTGACTGGAATCAGGAAATATCTATCCAACAGTGGTGCTATCATTAGAACTGCCAATGCCTTGACAGCATGGATTCTTGTAAAGTTTACCAGCACCACTTGTTTCACTTTGGCTGGTAGTAACATGGCAAGTGGGACTCGACAAGCGATCCATACCATTTGGCGCCAATCGACCGTGGCGGTTCGATACAGGGTGACTGCCGTGACCACAGAATCCAATACGACAGTGGACAAGATCAAGGCTGGTACCTGTTGATAGATTCGTTGCAGCAGGCGATTGATATTTGATTCCTTGCCACTTTGTTGAGCAGCTGTCACCTTGAGTCCATCCACGGCACCTTGAGTCCAAAGTTGCTGAGGCAAGACCATCCAATCTCCTTCCGGGCGATCGCTAGGTGCAAATCGAGGTCCCCACGCCCCATAATTCTTGTTGGATTCTGCAGCAATCTCCTTTGCTTTCAATTGGTTGTACTCCTCCAACGTCATGCCAGAAGGAATGTACTGCGTGGCAGGACCTGATGGAGGAGAAAGAGGAGGAGTCGTGGCTTTTGATGTACGAGTCGTTTTGGTGTTTCGTCGTATCCGCAGTCGATGGATGATTCGCTTTCTCATTCCACTATTTTCATCATTGTTGTTGTTGTTGTTGTTGTTGCTTTGGTTGCGACTATCGAAACTCTTTTTATGGACAGCGCTTAGACTGGTGGATGCTGAAAGAACAATAACTTCATTATAATCATGATGACGGTGGTATTCCTGTCCAACGGATGATGCTGACGGCCTTGTTGGTGATAGAACAAAGCCATGATTGACACTGAAAAGAGATAGAAGTATGTAGAAGTGTAGGAGCAGGGATGCCCGTGACAAATATATCATGGTCATACAGTATGTATTAATATGTGTGTGTGTGTGACTTCTTGGAGTTCTGAGGGAGTTCTGAGAATAAATGAAAAAAAGATACGCTGTTTTGTTTATAATTGTTCGTTTGTTTGTGCTTTTGTTTGTTCTGATGAATGGCTGATCTCGGTTGAAAAGTTGGCTGCTTGAGACAGGGAGATTAACTTGAAGATCAGCAAAGCCAGTGTAATCACATGCAATAATACGGTACTGTATACAAGTAGTCTGCAAATAATGTACTCTCGACCGTCAAGTCTCTTGAGCCAGCAGATGAAGATGGTGTGAAGAATTTTGGTACAGTACTTGTATATAGTGCGAGGTTGAAGTTTCAGCTGATCGCGCGGTGGGATGCGATGATGCGCGATGGGCGGACGGTGTTCAAGATGATCACTCCGACTACATGCCAGTCAAATGCCACGCGAGCAACTTTGGTGCATGCAATCTTTTTCTCGACCCGCAACGATAGATCCGAAGTGTGGGCGTTTGTCTCATCAGAAAGATATCTCATACAGTATCACAAATAAGAAAAACGTCATCGTGCGTCAAGCGAAATCAAGAGAATCTCGCTCTTGTCTTTTGCACCCAACAAACAGTCTCACTGCTTCCCATTAGTTACAAGAGGACTAGGACACACTTCCAGTACTACGATCTAAGCTGATTGAATTCGGGTGGCGGCACTTGAAACTGTTCCGTGCGTGCTGCGTGTGTCGTGTGCTGAATCAGCATTAACATTGCCATTGCCATTGCCATTGCCATTCCCGTTGCTCTGATCATTGCTCTGATCATTGCTAAAACACCACACGCACAAGTTGAGAAAGATGGATCTAAGTGAATCCAAAATCTACCTGTGTTTGGTTGCACTCTGTTGCGGTCCAACACAAGAAGATGCCGACTTTTTGAGATCTTTAGGAACCTTGCTGAAAGTTCCTCAAACAGAACAAGCCTCGTGCATCACCATGCTCACGGCAGTTTCACAATCCAGCAATCCCTTTCAAATGGCCGAAGAATTGGCGCTGAAACTCAGAGAGAACATTGATCAGAATACGGCCTTGGAAAAGTTCTGCATGCTCTTTCTGATATGTTTCTATCCATTGCAGGTCGATTCGTCGGCCAAGAATCAACGACAAACGGAAAAACTATATCAACATGTCCAATTCAATGCCAAGACTTCGGTCATTTTTAGACGATTGGCCTTTTTGTTGCGCATCAAGTTATCGACCGTTACCAAGTTGGAAGCCATGGCCATTGAACAATGGAAAGAGTTGCAAGACGCCGCTGCTACTTCCACTACTACTGCAACTACTACCGACGAAGACGACTCGGCAATATCGGCCACCACTTCGAAAACTAGCAGCAGCACCAGCAGCACCAGTAGTAGCAAACGCAGTCGCCGCAAGGGCGTCATCCGGGGCCTCAAAATTGGGGCCACGGCCGCTGGTGCCGGTGTCTTGCTGGGAGTGACAGGAGGTTTGGCCGCTCCCGCATTGGCCGCTGGATTGGCGCACATTGGATTGGGGGCGGCGGCCACCTTTACCACCACGGCCAGTGTCGCGGCCATTTTGGGGACGGGTGGAGCCGGATTGGCCGGATACAAAATGAATCGACGCCTCAAGGTGGTCCACACCTTTGAATTTCAAGCGATCAATAATCAACACCTAAAAGACAGTGACAAGGATGATAAAGAGAAAAAGGGAAATGAAAATGAAAATGCGACTACTACTACGGGCATGACGGTCTACGTTTGTGTTACGGGATACTTGAGAAGTCCAGGTCCAGCACCCCCAAAGCTCAAGAAAAACAAAAAGAAGAATAGAAAGGGGGACAAAGAACAGACTTCTACTACAATCGAGGAAGAAGGAGAGGAATCGGCATCTCCTTCCAAACAATCGAGCGAAAGACGAGGTTGGTTTGGCCGAAAGGGCTCCCAAAATAGCAATGATACGAATTCGGACATGAACAATATTGCCAGCAGTGCCGAAAAAACGGATTCTTCGGAGGGTGATATTCCTGCTTGGATGGCACCCTTTACCGACGACACGCCGGACGACGAAGGGGAAGGAGGCAAAAAGCGACGTGGCTTTTTTGGGCGCGGACGAAATAATTCACAAGATTCGAATGCTTCCTCGGAGAAGCCAAAGTCGCAATCCATCATGGCTGCAAGGAGTAGTGCTTATACTTCACCAGGTACGTGCTTGATTTTGTTTTCTTTTGATTCATCATCCTATTGTTGATATGGATCTATATCCATCGATGCATATGCCATGTCATTCTCACCATCATCTTTTTCCCACACTGGCTGACTACTACCACAGAATTCTACGAACCATGGGGAGCCCAACCACCCGTCATGTTCCCCCGACACGTGCTGGATCGGTATTATGCCGTGGTGGCACCCGACAAGCGATTCTTGGTCCCCATGTTGATACAAAAGTACCGAAAGAAATACAAGAGAGAACAACGACGTCTCCGAAAACAGGCCTCCTCGAGTGGAGGCGGCGGCGGAGACAGTGATGATGGAAGTGCGGATTTGGATGACATGGGCAACAGCACGGATTACTTGCCAAAATCATCCGGATTATTGCCATACGATTGGAATAACACTAGTGATGATGAATTGGATGCTGAGATTGATTATGGATTGACGCCAGATGACCAAGATATATTTGTGGATTCCACGTCGTGCGATACGGATCCGGATGGCAATCCCAAAGGAGAAATTCAAGCCATTAAGGAAACTGCCGACGAGAAACTATTTGCCCTGTTGGAACAAGAGTATGGAGTTCATCCGCTGCAAATCATGGAAGCTGCCGAAAAATCTCGCAAGGAACAAGAGGAAATGGCTGGTTCCACTGCCGAAATGTACCGATCCTTGTTGCAAAAGGGACAGGCTCGAATGGAATCCTTGTTGACGGTTGGCCATTCCAGTGACAAGAAACCAAAGAAGGACGGGCCTACCGATCTGTTGAATGACCCAATCGAACATCAGCACTTGGTAGAAATGATGAACTACCAACGACCATGGGATAAAGTATTCACCATGGAAGATCGCCAGAAGGATACCGAAGTAAACGCCGCGGCCGCCGCATCGGAGACCATTTCGACTACCATTTCCGACCCTGACGGAAACCAAGAAGACGTTTTGATCAAATTGGACGAAGATAATACGGACGAGGAAAAGGTGAATAAAATCATTGAAGACTTGAACAATTTGTTTGAGGAAATTGATGAGGCGTCGGAAGATACCAACACCGCCAAGAGCACGGGTCAAAATTCCGACCAAAGTACTCACGAAAAGAGTTTGAACGAAGAGATGCAAAAGTTGGAAATTGACACTAACGAAGGACGAAAGGGATTCAAGTTTTTTGATAAAAACAAGGTAAAATCCCTCGAGGCCAAAGCCGAGAATGCCACTGATATCTATTGGTGGCGAGAATCCGTGGCCCGAACTGGGGACCAATACACTTTGGTTTGGGAACCCAGCATCTTGTTGGATTGCGGTCGTTGCGTCGAAAATCTAGTGAAAGAATCCGCCGCCAAAGGAGCCTTGTCGGCACTCCAATTTACCGCCTTGGCCCCAATCATCATGACCATGACCCTTCCCGTTGTTATTTTGAGTGTGGTCACCCTTTTGGACAATTACTGGTCAATGGCGACTGCTGCTGCGGACGAAGCTGGAGAACTGCTTGCGGATGCTCTATTGTCGGGCGCCCATGGGAATCGTCCCGTGGTATTGGTTGGTTACAGTGTAGGTGGACGAGTCGTTGCCTCTTGTTTGCGATCCTTGGCGAGAGTTGCAGAAAGTCGAGACGATAGGGACGATGACGAAGGTGAAGCCATTGACGAACCTGAAATTGGCGGAGAATCTGCTGGTGGCAAGAATCCTGCATCTTCCGCCAAGCAACAACGTGATTTATTGCGTGACTTTATGGCCAATACCAAAGCCCGTAGAGAACGAGCCAAGACTATTGTCCGAGATGCCGTTATTATTGGAGCCCCATTGGATTGCAATACGAGACGCTGGACAAGACGGAGGAGTGTTGTTCAAGGTCGTTTGATCAATGTTTATAACTCCAAGGATTGGGTTCTTGCCTTATTGTATCGCTACAAGAGTTGGTCTGTTGTCAAGTTGGCTGGTTTGCAACCAGTGGAATGCAGTCCCATTGATGGATTGCCCAGCATTGAGAATTACAATGTGTCGGACATTGTGACAGGACACGACAAGTACCATACTAAAATTCGTGAAATTCTGGACCTTGTCGGAGTTGGCGATGTGAATTGTGAGCATGCCCACAGCCACTACTTTTCCACAGACGCAGTGGAGATTCTGAAGGAAGAACCCACCAAGTCTTCTTAGGAATGGATGGATGGATGGATGGATGGATGGATGGATGGATGGATGGATGGATGGATGGATGGATGGATGGATGAATGAATGAATGAATGAATGAATATCTATGGCTCTATAGCTTTGCTGCGAGAACCAAATTCGAAGAATTGACAGTACTTCTAATATTAGCCCAAATGAATACTACTACTAGAATTTGCATTTGCATTTTGATTTTGATGAGCATGCACACTTAAGAGTATTCACACCAGCGAACACGCACACACGCACACACATGATGATTCCATCTCGATCTCCTTGTTTCAATGCATCTCACCCTCGGAATCCAATCCAACCAAACTAATTCCAATCGAAATCAGCACAACTCCTCCCCATCCGCGCATCGACAAGTCCTCGTGCAATGCCAATGCCCCAATGACAGTTCCAAACAAGACAGATCCACCGATAATGACTGGAATCGATTGCATGGCTTGGACACCCATGCTACTGACCAAAAAGGAGACAATCTCGGCAGTTCCGACAGCCAATCCAGCTAGGACGGCCCAGAAAATACCTTCCTTGTCAAAGGCAACGATATTGCCGACATCGCCACCCTTGTGTGTCTCCTGCAATATCAAGAACGTAAGTAAGCATCCTCCCAGAAGGGCTGCCACCAACTGCAAAATGACACCCCCGAGCACAGGATTGATATGACTCGATCCCTTTTTGATAAAGATATTGTACAAGGCATAGGCCATGGCACAACACAAGGCAGGAACAATCCAAACCATCAATGCTGGACTTTCCGGAGTGGCCATGAATTGATTTTCTGTCGCACCCAGTTCTCTTCCTACCTGCTGCTGGTGAGGCTGAATCAACAAGGGACTCGTTTCGGCCAAGCCCGACTGACTACCAGGTCGAATCAAAGCGGCTGGTCCAGTTCCTACTTGTTGAGCTCTCAACTCTCTTCTTCTTGTCAGAGACTGCTTGACCGATCCTGGCGTAACAATCCGTGGCGAATCAATCCGCAATCGACCAAAGGCAGCCGACTGCGTTCGTTTCATGGTGGAAGGTTTGGCCCCCATCTTCTAAAGTGTGTCTTTTTTTTCCTTGTTGTTGTTGCTGTGGTTGCTGTTGCTGTTGTTCCTGTTGTTGTTGTTGCTGTTGTTGCTGTTGTTCTTACTGCTAATGCCACTGCTGTATGCAAGATTGTACTTCTATTTCTAATGATAGTGTTAAAATAGTGATGTATGGACTGGACTCAAGCTGCTTCCAATCAGATAGATATACCCGGTAGCGGTAGATAGATAGATAGACACCCAGTATAGACACACTTCTGTTAGTCAACAGATGGCACACTAAATACCATACCAAAACTAAATCTTGGCCATCAATCAATCTTCCGTATTTTCAATCTGCAATTGCACATCTTCTGACGTCAATCAAGCAGTAAGGGTGTCAAAACAATGGTCGCGCGGAATCCAAAAAAAGACGCAACGAAGACAAGTCATTACACTGCGAAGGAAGCAGATGCATTCTACAGTACTATATATATCCTCTATCCTGAAACCATCAAGACAGAAGTAATCATACTGGTATATCGAATGGATTGTTCAAAGAAACCTATGCTGCATACGCAATGTAATAGGCAGCAAAGTGCAATGTACACCAGTATGATACAACGCACATAGTCGTACTATAGTAGTGTACTAGCTAGCGAGCTACTACAAAAGGATGGTTTGCGCCAATGGAAGTGTTATATAATATGTATTAATATTGACATTCTATTTATTCATGTGTTACTAATTCAATCCATGCAATTCCTTGAGTTGATCATCAAAGAAGAGATCTCCCGAATGAAAGGCCATGTTGATGGCATCTCTGGAAGCATACATTTCTTCTCGTGTTCCACTGGCTACACGAAGTAGCCTCCTGTCTGGGTCGACATCTTCTTCCTCTTCACAGCCGCAATGAATCAAATAGGTAAAGGCCGAAACGTGGTCTTTTTGAATTTGATTAATGGGCTCATTGTCCATCGGACAGCACGGGAAAATGGTATTTCCTTCCGAGTTGGCATTGATGTTGACGGCCGCGGAAGCTTGATCCGTGTATCCCGCCACAAAGACAGTGACAAGAGTAAACTTTTGGTCTGCGTGCAAACATTGAGCTGTCAAGACGACATCGTTGGTACATTGCGAGGCAGCTTGTTCCTTGGCACAAGCTTCATTCCAGTTGCCATAATCACCCGGTTTGGGGTAGACAGCGTAAACGTCGTGGAATTCTTCTCCATACGGATTCATCGCTCGGAAGGAAACAGTTCCATCACCATTGAGAGTGATATCGTGAATGGCATCCTTGGGTGGAGGACCATTATTTTTGTTTTCGTAATATTCCAAAACATCAAAGTCGGAGCCTTCGCAGAGTTCATCCGAGTTTTGATTGTCATCTTCCGCACAAATCGTCTCTTCAAAGGAGCAAGAGGAAGGAACCGTTAATGACCACACACACTCTTCTCCTTCTCGCTTGGCAGAACAAGTACCTCCACCTTCTGGGTCGTTGGCATTTGGAAAGTAGGTTTGTCCTCCAGGATTGGTCATGTCCATATCTTGAGTAGACGGAGCACAATAGACTGGAACTTGGACATTGCCTGAGGTGATTTGATCCGTGACACCTTCGTCGGCATAGGGGACATCACAGGAATCTCCATCGTAAATCAATAGATGAGCGGTGTGTCCTGGGGGAACAATTTGGCAAACCTTTTTGAAGATGGAGTAAGATCCACGTCCAGAGGAGTAAACATTGGTCGGATCTTGACACTCATTGTCCCAATATCCGTGTCCATCTTTATTTTCTTCATTCAAGCAACCACCTTCATGAATGGTCTTGTCTCGGTAACGATTCATATCCCCCAAGTATTCGACGTCTCCCCATTTCATGCAGCCATTGACGCCTCCTGCCATTTGACGCCAGCAGACTTCATATTCGCAGCTGCCAGAATCACATTCGCTCTGAATTCCAGTAACTGTGACGCTCAAGCATTTGGATTGATCCCCACATGTGTCCATGTAACCATAGGAATGAACACTCCTCGTGGGAAGAGTAATGAAGAGAAGAGCTGTAATGATGAACTTCATTGTATTTGTATTCTTCTTTGTGTTGCTGTACTAGTTTGTTGTCGTACTAGTTTGTCGTTGTAGTTTTCCTGCCTTGCAGTAGCTTCTTGTACCGCTGTAGATCGTGCTGCTGGAGCTCCTTCTTGTAGTACCAAGTATGATGTGTACTGGTAGGGTGGAATGAATATGAATATGAATATGAATACCGGTAGTATGATATAAGATTCAAGATATTCTACTGTCGTATTCTTTCAAAATAGATGAAGCTTGATGTGTACAGTGTAAGGAGTATCCTTTCAAAATGCTGTAGATAATGAGGTTCACGTGAGCTTAGTTTTGCATATTGGCGAAAAACTACCACCAAGCTGGATTCTACGTGTAACTCTGGTACAAATCAATTTTCCAGTCAACTTCCTGGTTTGTCCGCACAAAGACTGCTTGAAAGGTCACGCCGATGGACTGACTGGATCAACCAAAAGATTGCTTGAAAGGTCACGTCGATGGACTAGATCGATTGATTCACGTGCATATTGTTGGAAGAAGAAAAAAGGTTGGAGGAAAGCCGCTCGAAAGAAGAAGAGATCCGCTTGATGGAAGAAAAGAGAAGGTTGGAGGAAACCAGATTAGAGATCCTCCACCTCCAGCGGAGATGCCCATTTCAGGCGCTCATTCTATAGTAGAAAGTAGCGACCGCTCGAAAGGAAACATTGACGAGGACTCCAAACTGCGGTACACTATAGATCAGATGGACGAGACGGTACTCCTCGACTCGTCTATCAGACAAACGCAAATGTTTTTGTGTCACTCCAATGCTGAAGCCGTCAAATCCAGATCCAATGGCTGTGCTCAAGGACAAGGAAAAATGCATCGCGGCGCTCTGCTCGACATTGATAGCTCTGGATAGATTCAACATAGACACCGCGAAGTTGTACCCCCCCCTTCATCATTGGGAAGGGTTCTGAAGCACGTTTGTATGTTGTTCATTTTGGACGAGCGAAGGGAAACGAAGTAGGAGAAAAAATGCCCAAGGTATGGAGTGTGGGACACGGGCACGATCTGAGCAACGACGAACAATGAACGCAGCTTTTTGTTGCTCTTGCTGTCTTGCTCCACAATGTCAAAAAGGAATATGGCTTGCAACAAAAGAGAAATTCGACTCGTACAGGATGAAGTGCATTCAAAATCGGAGACTGAATAACAACCGAGATAATGCGTTTGCTCCAACCAGCAAACAACATATAGTACTGGTACAGATGAGTCAGGAACATCAACAGAGCAAAGGAAATTGAAAAGCGACACGAAAGAGAAGAGGAACAAGGAAGATCTTGCGTTCCAAGCAGCAATTTGCGATGGTTTGTTTTCTGGCATTGATCTTGCATGGCCTCGGCCTCTTTTTATTGGTGAGGACATCACTCCTGATTATCAGACAAATTCTCCCTATTACTTTGTTGGCACATACGCAAATACCGGGGGAAAGTGCTTCCTCAAGATACGGCGAGAGGATGAGGCAGGTTTCCACGATGCAAGGGATGAAAGTAGATTCTTGAAACAAGCCCAACTCCACAATGTCGCGGTTGCCAAATTGATTACTGGTGATGTGGTGCCTGCGAGTGTGAATGGCATCAAATTTGAAGTGTTGGCGACACAGTACATCGAATCGTCACCGCCATATAGTGTTGACGAGCTCTACGACTATGCATTGTCATTAATGGGCGTGGTTAGCAAACTTCACCACCAGACGGCTCGTGTGTTAACATTGCGATATCAAACCGAAGAATCTGCGATGGCACGCATCGCGTCGGCAAGTGTACCTGATTGACTTTGGGCATGCTCAATTGACTGAAGGAGCACGCCACTACAAAGCGACCAAGGATTTTGAAGCTCCTGAGATCAGAGAGAAAACGCTGCCACATAGTTGTGAAACCGATACCTATTCTGTGGGCGCAACAATTCTATGGACTTTGAGTGACTACATGTGTCGGTTTAGCCTGAATGAAGCAAGCCTTGATCGCAGGATGAAGAAGCTCCGTGATGTTGGAGAATCACTGTCAGCACCTCTTCATGATCGTATATCTCTGAGTCAAGCAATCTATGCTTTGTGTGGTGATGGGTTAGTCATTTCAAGTGGGAAACGACCGCGCTTGGAAGGCACTGACTCAATGTTGCAACAGGGTACCAATCTTTGAGTTGCTCTGGAAAGCTGTCGGGCAAGCAATTTGATCGACGCATACTCTGTAGCACAAGGAGGTCACTCTTGGATAGATTACATGGAATTGTTACAAGCGGAACTTGAATTTTGGTTCTGTAACGCATTCCGTGTTACGATTGCCAATATAATGTGCGAATTCATGTGGTCTTTTAGAAATTCTTTCAGGAACATTGTTGATGGTAGTGCTAGTACCGTATATCGATCAATCATCCATGGGTACGTGGTACACATACTGTAGGGACAAAAAAAAAGTACACATACTGTAGGGACAAAAAAAAAGAGTCCTTTGGTGTCTCCCCTTAGATATCTTAGAAGCAGCACCAATCGGACATCGTGTCATCATCGCCTTCTCCTTGACGGCACTGGTGCTGGTCGCTTTGGTCAAGCAAGCAACAAGGCAAGAAAGATTTCAACTGTATACTGTATATACATATACCGGTATATGCACCGTATTGTAGGAACCTTTTCGTTTTTACCGTTCAATTTTGGGGTCATCAGGAAGAAACTTGAATGGAAACCATGTGCCGACGACGCGTAGGTGTGTTTATGAAGAATCCAGGTAGGCAAAACCGTTTGGAAGGTCACATGAAACCATGAATGGTGCAACAAGCATCCTTGTCCGATGCCTTTTTAGTACCATAGTAGAGTATCAGTTATTAGTACGCGCCACCTTAGACATGTTCAATTGAATGAAAACCATGTGGAGATGTGATCTCACATGCAATTAACGTGAAGTTATAGGTACGAGTTGTCAACCATCTCACAATTTTTCCCTTGACCAGAAATATACGAGAGTTTGTGATGACTTGGATGACTTTTTGAGAAGAATCTCCGAAATTGAAATTTCGCCTTCTTAGATCGGCAAAGCATCCCCCCTCCCTTTTTTGTGTGCGTGTGCGACTCTATTGCCCCTCTTCTTCCTGGTGGGTGTATGCCTTCCGGCACGGTCACTGGTCGTCATTCAACAATGAAGAATCAATCTCACTTTGTCGCGCAAATCGATTCGGGAAAGGAATAGTTAAGGCCAAGATTTCACGAATTGCTCATTTATGGCGATTCGGGAATCAACTCGTCGTGCTTTTTGGGGCAAGCCAATTGATTGGTGTATTTGAATGGTGCGCCATCGGACAACGGAAAACGACAGCCAAGATCTGTTTAAAGGCTCTTGAAAAAGACGATTAAGGGCGCCATTTCTCCCTGTCGTACAAGGTGATTTTCGTACTGGTACTTAGGGAAATATATGCCCACAGAGAGATTGGTACATTTTGTACGAGCTGGGACGTGAACCTTTGTTTGATCGGCGACCCCAAAACCGCACGGCGAAGGCGGTTGAACTGGTACTTTTGTCAGGTAGAGTCTACGTAGGCCGCAAAACAATTACAGACGAAATGACTTTGAGGTGCAAAATCACGTAGAACTTGTACCACGGCGGATCCGTTGTGCGCTCGCTGCAAACCTCCCTCCCCGAAAGTGACCTTGACCATCGAGGTCTGTGCAGGGTTTCTTCTTGCGTGGCTTTCCCACGGGATGGGAACGGAGAAACAGCAAAACCACCTTGGATGCAAAAAGTTTGGTTGGCAACTTTGAAAGTCTCAAACCTCTTCCTGCAACACAACAGCAAACGCAACAAACGCTAAAACAGCAGCAGCAACAACAACAGCAACAACAACGACTGTCTACTCTCTGTCCTTAGAAGTAGTCTTATCTTACACAACTGAATTGTACATTCAATCCAAACCGCACAACTTTCTTTTGCTTGCTTGATTGATTCATTGATTCATTGCTTCAAACAAAAGCACAAGCACAAGCACAAGCCCAGACGCAGTTCGCTACAAGCCCGTTCTTATACACTACTCAAATATACACACACAGACAATATGGTAAAACAAACGCCGAAGAAGCTTCTCTTGGCTGCCGCTACTGTAGCGTCTCTTCCAGCTCTTGCTTCGGCAGGAGCTCGTGACTACGCACAATTGGGACAACCGTGTATGCAACGGTACGATTCCAGTGCCAAAGTCTACAAGGACATCAGCTCCTTGTGGAAGCGCAATGACAAGTGCCAGCCTGGTCTCTTGTCCAATTCCACCACTACGAGTCCAGCCGAGTCTAGATTCGCTCTTACCTGCTTTGTGGCACCCAACGACACAGGAATGGATCCTCGGTCCGGAACCATGGACCTAGAAGGAACCTGTCTCAAGTCGAGCTGTGTTGGAGTCAACTACGACAACGTTGACATTCTTCCAGAAGATCAAGAACGCGTGACTATCTGTCACCGCACCGAAAACGAATTGAATCCATGGGTTCGAATGACTGTGGACAAACAAGCCTGGTCTGACTCCAATAACGACTGCGGCTTTACTACGGAAGATTACATCGTCAAGGAGCACGGTTCTCCCAATCTTGTGCAAGACCAAATGAACAAGGGACATATTACTGACTTTACTACTACCCAAGAGTACTGGGGATACTGGGAACGCGCCTGTCCTTATGTTCGTCAATCTCCAGAACACACCCACCGCTGTTGTCAAGGTCCTGACTGTTGCGGGGATGCCAGAGATGACGCGCCACAAGAACCAGAATCTCCTGCCACTGCCACTGCCACTGCTCAATTCGAGCGAAAACTAGAAGGTCCTGGGTGCAAGGCTCCTCCCCAAGAGGCCTACACTCAAAGTATCTACGTTACCTTCATGGGTGAAGCAGGCCAAGAGGGTATGGATCTTGAGGCTCGCATTGCTGCTTCTGGAACTTCCATAACAGAAATGCAAGAAGAGATCAAGAACATCTACAACACTCAAGGAAGGTTCGGACAGTGTGTCTTTTTCCAACGTCTTATTGAGTCTGTTACCTTTGACACGATCGAGCCTATCGTGCCTGCCATCAACAAGGAGTACTTGTTGACTGGTTTCAGAGCCAAGGCTACTGTTACTGGCCTGTGTACCGGATGCCAGGAACACTTGTTCCTTCCAACCGATTCGTGCCGGGACACTGAGCCCTCCTCTTGTAATACTTGTCAAATCCCCAATTCCGATGAAGGAGAAATCATTCAACTTGCCGGAAAGGATCTCTACCCACAAATCAACTCAAACCTTGGAACCGCAGGCGAAGCCGCCGAGATCATCCGTATTGAAGGAGACGTGGTTGGAGAACCCGCCTGTGATCCCAATCAACTCAAGTACTTGGAATCCACAGGCGAGGTGGTCTGTCTATGAACCGAGGCCTAACGTTTCTTGTGATGATTGCCGTTCTTCCCAAACGCTATTGACTTGCTAAACAGATGATGACTCTACCCACCCTTTTTTGGTCGCTTGTTTGGTGGGAACCATCTGCTTTGCTACAGTCGAGCATTTTGGGATTTGGCAGGAAAGGAGCGTTAGATATACCCGATTGTGGAGTGGTGTTTGGCTTGCTTTTTTGGGGAATGGGTGTGCTTCCTGGAACCGACTCGCGGCTCTTGGAACGTGTATGCCTTTTTCTTTCTAAAAAAGCAACAATCGCATTGCACTATAGATACATATACTTACTCACTTGTCACAACATAATACTACTAGTTGCATTTCATACCATACCATAACTTTTGACATGATGATTGCTGCCATATTTCGTACCCTCACTTACACCAAGACCCCATAGTTGCTCTAATCATTCAAGAAAGAGGCAACAAAATGGATTCTAATGGAGGCAATTACTGAAGGATTCCAATTTTGGATCTTATCTTTCATCATCTCATACACGATACTACTCACTTTCATTTTGATGGCATCCATCCATATCCAACGCATCAAATTGGGACCCTTTCGCTTTTTTATTCATTCATTCGAAGGGGTCGCGGTCACAAGAGTTATAATTGTCCGAAGTGACTTTGTCTCACTGGAAAAATATCAAGTTGGCATCCGACCGTTGAAATTCACTGGAAAAGTCACAACCAAGAACATCCGACAAAAAGACCCGAATAGCTCCGTGATGATTTGGGGGAACTATACGAAAACTCCGGGATGACTCTACCACATCAACTCCTTACCTCCCTTTCACCGTGACAAACGAAATCTGTGCAGGATTCCAAATCTTGCTTGCACGGGAAGAAAGTACTGACGCTACCCGCTGTGCAAGATTGACAACACGTTATCTGGCATGGTTCACGTCTGGGTCAGAGGAGTCGTCGAATGCTTTCCACTTTTCTTAGAGGGAATGATAGAAAATGAATGAATGAAAAGTGACATTCCCAAGTTTCTCCGCAATGGAAACAAAGTTCCGACCGTCTCACACAATCGAAAGAAAAAAAGACAAGTCCCATCCCTGCAAAATCTCTCGTTCTCGTTTCCTTCATTCATTGCTCAATCATTCGTTCTCGAGAGAAGTGCCAAGTCAAAGTATACACACAAACAAAGCTACAGATCCTACACTATACACTTGATTGACAAAGACCGATAATACGCAAGGGTCCAAACCACAAACAAGAATACAACATGATGAATAAGAATACTACCACAGCAGCAATGATCAGAACATTCACTTTCTTCTCTCTCGTGGTGGCAGTGGCATCTGAAGCCTGGACACAAGATCAAATAAATTACTATTATCAAAAGTACAATGCCCCCTTGAATACCTGTGCAATGCAAGCTCAATGCCTCAAGTACACCATTACGGAGAATGAAACACCTTCCAAATGTGGATCTCCATGTGAATACCGTGTTTGTTGGCACCAAGGTTACATGGGAGAAGGATGGAACCACGGTTGGGGCAACTGGGGATTCTTGAGTGCCTGCATGCGTTACGAGCATGTGGATGCTATCGGAGATATGCACACTACCGCTTCCTCCAATGATCCCTTTGACCAATGTCTGAATCAAAACAGCTCCAACGGAAAAGGATATTGGGATGCCAGTTGTACCGATCCCCAACAAGCCTTTACCAGTTCCTACACCTTTGCCAATGTCTGTCAGAATGTTCCAGCGGGACAAACGGTTCATTTTCTGATTAACGATGGAGGTTCCTGTGCGGGAACTGCCAGTAAGGGCGAAATGACTGGACACGGAACCGAGGCCTTTTGTGCTCCCTCGACCCAAGATTTGAGTGGAACCAACCGTGGAGGTCAAACCTTCTTTCCAGCGTACGGAGAAGGTTCGGGAGGAACTTGTTCCGGCTTGGCTGAAGGAAACGAGTGTGTTTGGTCCGTGACGGTACCAAGTACCTGTGCCTACGAAGAGGGAGATCCATGTGTCAATGATACTCCCGCGTACAATGCTGACTCGATTTGTCCAGATCAAGAGGATTCCGCCTTGGTGTACTACGAAAACGATCGCAATGGAGATCCTCCAGTCACTCCCATTCACGACATCCGACATAACGGTGATGGCACTGTTTCCTTCCGAGTCTTGAATCCCTTTGGAGATGACTTGAGTAACATTTATACCGTAATGCCAAAACCTGGTGGCCATGGAGATCCCATCTGTCCAAAGCAAAACAGTGCCACCGATTGTATCACAGATGAGGTGTACACGGCCCAATGCATCGATGATGAGTCTTGGACCTTTGTCACTGTATTCGTAGTTGGCGAAGATGATACCAGCGCTGCTGCGCAACTGGTGGACACTGTGGCTGGATCAAAGGGTACCGAAGTCTACAAGTGTTGTCCCAGAACATTCGAACCAAATGGAAGATTTGGTCCCCAGCAAACAGCCGCCTTTTCGTACTTGATTCATTGCGCATGTGATGGCGAGAGTGGCAATGATGGACAAGCGCGAGCCTTGCGGGTAAGCAATGATCTTGCTGAGAAATTTGGAGGCCATGGTGCTGCACTGAGCCGAAAGGATCTGGAAGCCAAGTTCTTGAGGGGAGAGCTCTTTGGTGATGAACTCAAGACGCTCTATGGATTGCTGTAGATGAATGATGATTGATTCATTGATTCATTCGATGCAATCAACCTTTTTAGCCAGCCAATCGCAACACGGTGTTGAAACGCACAAAGATGAAACCGCATCTTTCACTCACACAAAAAGTCAGCGTATCCTCCTCGGCTCGTCCGAGCGAGATCACAATCACTCACATGCGTTTCCAAGAATCATCACATTCAATTATAAAAAATACTTGATCATCAATCATCAAGATGACCCGTTTCCTCGGGAGAAAATGGTCTCCTTGTGCATCTTTTCATGTGCTTGTGCATGAGAAACATTTTCGCCACAACAATCATGGTCCTGAAACCTTTTGTTGTGGATGATGAAACGGTATCTTTTCCTTTTCTTTGTTGTTGATCTGTGCAGGATTGTCAATATTCGGCTTAGTCGAACCACGTAGAATCGTACAGAGCCAAAGTACCATGATTTGTTATCAGTGTGACATTTCGACCTTCACGTGCAACCAAATTGAAAATCTGCATATATATGTGTGCATATCCATTTCTTCTCAACGTGAAGTAGGTACACTTACACACGTACCTGTACACTCATGTTTGGCATCAGAAAATGCACAGACCTTCACGTAATTTTCATTCCACCTTCACACTTTACGTTAACCAAAGCTTTGCCTGAGACGCTTGAAGCAACCACGCACAAATACTCTACGGTACTCAACTACTACTATAAACTTCTTGCCATTGTTGTCTTGAATACCTTCAACGCCTACGTTCACCACCTTGAAATCATTGTCATACTGAAACAATCACATCAAGAAGAACATCAAAACAACATCTCCTCCAAGAATCCAAATCACAAATTATCACAAATATATCAATAGCATGAATAAGAATACCACAGCAGCAATGATCAGAACATTCACTTTCTTCTCTCTCGTGGTGGCAGTGGCATCTGAAGCCTGGACTCAAGATCAAATAAATTACTATTATCAAAAGTACAATGCCCCCTTGAATACCTGTGCAATGCAAGCCCAATGCCTCAAGTACACCATTACGGAGAATGAAACACCTTCCAAATGTGGATCTCCATGTGAATACCGCGTCTGCTGGCACCAAGGCTACATGGGAGAAGGATGGAACCACGGCTGGGGTAACTGGGGATTCTTGAGTGCCTGCATGCGCTACGAGCACGTGGATCATATCGGAGACATGCACACTACTTCCAGCCTTACTCAGAAAGGAAGGTCGAGCAACATCATTGATAACTTTGATGAATGCATCAATGGGATCAACCCGCATGGAAAGGGCTACTGGGATTCCAGCTGTACGGAACCTGAAACAGCCTTTTCCGATTCCTACATGTTTGCCAACGTGTGCCAAAATGTTCCCGCTGGCCACACGGTACACTTCTTGATGAACGATGGTGGATCTTGTTCTGGAACAGCAGAACAGACTGAAATGACTGGACATGGAACCAAGGCCTTTTGTGCTCCCTCCACTCAAGACTTAGCCGAAATGAATCCGGGAGGCCAAACCTTCTTCCCTGCCTACATTGGAGCAAGTAGCACTGGAGGAACTTGTTCGGGTATGGCAGAAGGAAGCGAATGCGTCTGGTCCGTGACGGTACCAAGTACCTGTGTATACGAAGAGGGCGATGCTTGTGCAGGCAACACTTCGCCAACCTACAACGATGACACTGTCTGTCCAAACCAAGCCGATTCGGTCTTGGTCTACTACGAAAACGATCGCAATGCAGGCCCTCCCAAGTCTCCCATTCATGATATCAACTTGAATTTCGATGGAACTGTCAGTTTCCGAGTCGTCAATCCTTTTGGCGATGACTTGTCAAATCTGTATGCAGTCTATCCAAAGGCTGGTGGCCATGGAGACTCTGTGTGTCCCAAGCAAAGCAGTGCGACGGACTGTGTCAGCGATGAAGTCTACACAGCTCAGTGCATGGACGATGACAATTCCTGGACCTTTGTCACCATCTTTGTCACGGGCGAAGATGGAGACAGTCAAGCGGCGCAAGTGGTCAATGCCACTGAGGGAAGCCACGGTACTGAAGTTTATAAGTGCTGTCCCAAGGATTACGAACCAAATGGAAGATTTGGTCCGGAACACACTGCCGCCTTCTCATATTTGATTCATTGCAATTGCGACGACGAAGACGAAACCGAAGGACAAGCGAGAGCTTTGAGGGTCAGCAACGATTTGGCCAGCCAATTTCGAGGCCACGGAGCATTGAACCGAAAGGACTTGAAAGCAAAATTTTTGCGTGGTGAACTCTTTGGTGACGAACTCAAGACGCTCTATGGATTGTTGTAAGAACAAGCTATCCATTCATCCATATATCCATCCATATATCCATCCATATCCATCGTATGCTGCTTCCACTGGCAAAAGAATATGGACAATATATCAAGAAGATGCCATCTTGAATTCACGCACACCATGATATGCAAATAAAAATATAAAAATATAGGTACTGTAACATCAATCAAACTTCTGACCGAACATTATTAATATTGATTATTATATACCTATATGGTACCATTGAGTCGATTCTTCCATTCCCGCTTCCAAATCCGGTCCCTAATTCTAGTTACCAAGCTTACGATGCCAATCGTACATCTCTTACCTACGTATGGAGGACTGGCATAATCTCGTTTGTTACAAATTCGTAGTATGCAATCATCCTAGGCCATAATCACGCTAGCTAGACATCGAGTCATGAAGTGGAGGCTATGATCAGGCAAGACGGTAGACGGACTGGCAAGAGAAGTGTCTTCACGCCAACAATCATGTCGTCAGTCGCTTAAGCGAAGTAACGGTAATTTATTGGACGAAAATTCGGGGACGATCGGCATGGCAAACGAAGGCATGAACAGAAGCATTCTTTTTGCCAAGTGCAAGATGAGGCGATGAAGAGCTAAGGAACCATGATCATCTGAAACAGTTCAGAACGATTATATCTTTTTTCCCACCATCCCACCCGGTGCCTGATTTATCTCTTCTGCACCAAATGCTCGGTACCATTCAGGTCCCAAATTTGTGTCACGTTTGAGTCCATTGAGTCGATTATTCCATTCCCGCTTCCAAATCCGGTCCCTAATTCTACAGTTACCAAGCTTACGATGCCAAACGTACATCTCTTACTTACGTATGGAGAACTGGCATAATCTCGTTTGGTACAAATTCGTAGTATGCAATCATCCTAGGCCAATCACGCTAGACATCGAGTCATGAAGTGGAGGCGGCGCCTGGTAGTAATCCGCATAGGATTAACGCACTCCTTACTGCTAGTACTAGGAAGTGCGCACAATACTGTAGCGCGAAAAGAGGTCACCAGCGCTCCGGGAAAGCGGTATATCTTGTTGTACCTATTGGAGCGAGTTCTAAATCTACTACAGTATGGAGATTGGAGTGGGGGACGCACTGTAGCAGCAGCTCCAGCAAATGGTCATAAAGCGTCTGCCCGGCTTCCGATTTCAGCCAATAACTTTTATTCTATCTACAGTACCAGTAGTCGATTGACGGCCTCAGCGTAGGCCTCAGTCTGCCCAAGAGCCGGGTGTACCTGATGGCATAGCAGACGGTTAAGTATCTGCAGCGAGAGCGCATCACTGCCTTTGCCCTTATTCCCCCAACAACAGGAGCAGTGATACAGTACCGAACCAAACAGTTCCATGAAGCGAGGAGCGAAAGAACGAAGCAACCAAAGGGAAAAAAGATCAAAAGCTGCCAATTTACCTGCTGATGACAACAGCCTTGGAAACTACATTACTAACAACGACGAATGGTTCAATGAAGGTGTAACTAGTGGAAAGAAGAGCTCTAAATGTCTAACGATTGAGGCTTTGAAAGAAGATGAAGATTATTTCAAACCGACTCAAAAACGTCTGAAGATCGACTTGGCTCATTTCTTGAAGACTGGAGAAACTAAACCGTTCATCTCTAGCACTGCTGCAACTGCATCGCAGCGGGTTGCAAGCATTGATTTCGACATTAATGCGAGCAAGATGGTGTATAAACGAGACTTGATAGCATTGATCGCTGAGGTGGAAAAACTCTTTGAGTGGAAAGTACACCAGTCAAAAGAGTATATCTTGCCGTGTTTTCCACTAATACAATCCAGCGGAGCTGGCAAGACAAAACTGCTGTACGAGTCGCAATGCGCAATGGCGAACGACACCGTCCACGTGAGACTCATTCTCTGCACAAACGGAAATCCTCCAGAAATGTTGTCACAAAACGGCAGCATTTTTCCGGAGACATTGGACGTGAGTCAATTTCAAGTGGGTGAAGAAGGTCAAAAGAAGCTTTCTGAGAAAATGGCGACCTTCGTCGAGACAAATAATAAGAAAAAGAAGGTTGTATTGCTCTTTGACGAGTCACAGCGCCTAACCAGCAACAGTGATGGCTGGCATTTCCGATGCATACGGTGGTGGCTCCGATTGCCTGATAAACCAAACGGCGTCAACGTGGTTTGTGTGTTTGCGGGTACAACCACCAGATTGGCAAACTACTATGCGGAACAAAAGCATTCAACTGACTCGAGGAATGCAAGCGTAAAGTACGTTGGAGGGAAAAAGCTGTACCCTCTGTTCTGTCAACTTACGACGACAGGTCTTGTGCCACGCTCTGATGGATCCAAGTTTGGAACAGTAGGTGAGGGCATCAACGGCAACATTGTTACGGAGTTTGATTTCGCAACCCAATATGGACGGCCCTTGTTTGGACGATTGCAACTGAACGGAAAGTTGAAGGATGCACTTGGAAATATCTCATTCCAAATGAGAGGTGCGGGCCAGGAGCTCTCACTGCAGAAGTATTTTTCGCTTTTGGCTGCAAATGGGGCAAGTGTCGTTTGATTTTGCATCAGAACTAGTGGCTTCGGGATACGCACATCTGACTCACTTTTCACAAGAACAGACCGCAGTGGCCGAGATTGCGTTTCTTCCTGATCCTGTTTGTGCAGGACTGCGATCTATATGAGAAGGTTGGTGGTATCTTGATGGGCTGTGGCAAACACCCATCTGTTTGGTCGGAGAAGGCCATCAAGATATACTCCTCTGCATTGTGCCGCCCCAAAAAGGGAGACGTCGGTGAGGTTGCAGCTGCCTTTTCATGCTGGCTTGCGGAGATGAATTGAGGTTCAAGAACTCACAAGATCTCACTCAGCTTTCTGTTCCACTAGAGAACTGGATTGCAAGAATGCAACAAGGCAAAGATGCTGAGTTATCCAAAAGTACAGGAAAACCAAGTGTCAATTTCATTCAAGTTTGTCAGAATTATTCACGTTACAGTTTGAAAGAGATTCAGGAGAGCAGACTTCTCAAGCATTGGTATCTTGGTGGACGAGGCTGGAATCGGAAGCATCCAATCCAACCATTTCCAAAATTTGGTTGATCATTTGTGGTTGTTCCAATAATATGGAACCATCTGGTAATTTCGTGAATCTGGTACCAAGGTAATCCTGTAGTTCTCCATCGTCGGTGAGGTTGTACTGTTCTTGAAGGGATTTAATTTCTCTGTTGATAAGATTTTTGTCTGGTGAGAGTAAACACGCATCATCCACATAAAGTACCAAAATAATGTTTTGTTTGGTCAAGCAAGCACCAACCCTCAGCAAGTTCAGAACCCTCGGCAAGTCGCGATGCCAGCACGCAATCAGGCCAACCAGGTCACAATCGGTGATGTGACCATCACCACACAGGCGACCCTGGCAACTGATGTTGGTGGCTCGCTTGTCGCCATGAAGAAAAAGAACAGGTCAGCGTTGGATGCGGATAAGAAGCATGCCTTCTTTCAACTCATCACAAAGCATCAACATACCCCATTTGATCTCCAACCGCAGACCATGCAAAGTGTTCAAGACCTTCAAGAAAGCTATAATCTTGGCGTTGGCCTGGCCAACATGCAAATGCACTTCAGGCGCTATGACATCCTGGACGTTTTCACAATTGTATTTCCTACCAAGAATGCGATTGGTGAACAAACAGGCCAGTTAGAGAATGATAATTTCAACATGACCAAGACAGTGTTTCTGTTTGATTGCTACGCAGAACTTGCCGCTGACCAGGTGGCAGAAAGCTGCAAGTGGTATACAAGGTGGCCTGACACAACCACCAGTCCTTGGTTCCGCGAGAACTTGTCCTATGATTACCTGTGCAACCATATGACACCACAATTGTGGGGCAACGTTCTTGAAGACCTTCTTCCTTATCGGGATGCCCAGGGATTGGGCGGTCCCTTGGTCTTCTTCTTCATTTTTGGCTCAAAAGGCAGTGGGACCCTGTTTCAACTGTGGTGGCAAGCATTCCATCACTGCTTGCACGTAACCAATAAATAAAGAGCGCGTCACACAGAACAAGCGGAAAATCTTTGACAAAAACAAGGCCCAAAAGAATCCTGGCAAGAAAGGGCATTCCAAGTTTGGCGCCGGAGTTCAATTTGAACATCTTCCTGTGCCATCTATGATCGGAAGAAAAATTGAGCGAAAGTCAACAAGAAATGGTATTACTATCATTTTAAAACTAAGTCCTGGAAGCTCTGTGATGATCAGTCAGAGACGACCAATCGCCCTCATGCACTCCTATCTGGTGCTCCCACTCCAGCTCCAGCTCCTCAAGCGGCTGCAGTCCCTGCTCCTGCTCCTGCCCCGCCTGTTGCCCAAGTCCCCTCTGGCGATGCCTCCGCTTTGACCGCTGCGACTTCGACTACAACTCTTCCTCAGATTTGTCAGCAGGGCTCTGCCATTGCCACGGGCATGAACCAACTCATCTATCAAGTGAACCATGCCACTTGACTCCTACGGATGATTGTAGTCTTCCTCTCTACCGTCATCCCGTCCCACCCTTCCGTCACCATGTGGTGGCCCTTGCTGCAAGGGGGTATGGATGAGGTCTCCTCTTGAAGTCTAGTTGACTTTTTATGCAGCAATGTCCTCAGTAGTTCCTCCATCCTCTCATCCAGTCGCATTATGCGACTTTGTCATTCAACTAACCGTTCATGCAGACAGCCATATCTGCCTTTGCGAGTGCCACCTCCTCCCTTCAATGCACTAGAACTTCTTGGATGTGCCTTTCCTTGGCGCTGTTGCAAGCCCAAGTCTCGAAAGCGCAACCCGCCTCATTATCTCCTCATCCTCAAAGCCTTATGTTGTCGAGTCAAGCCCCAAAGAGTACAACGGCAAGAACAAAAGAAAAGAAAAGAAAAAGGCTACGTGAGCAAGCCGAAAAGAAAGCCACAAGTGTTCCCCATCATTGGAACTCACCTTCAGATGAACTTGCGCTTCATCCAGATTAACGCCAAGTATGGAGTTGACCTTGACAAGTTTGTTCAAAGTGTCAATCCTCTCAAGCAATACCCTCATTGTCTTTCTGTTCCAAATGAGAGACTCGTTCTTTCAGTTGTTGAAGCATATAGCTGACAAAGGGGCTGGGGACAACTCCGGCTGAGATGCTGCGTCAGCAGTTAATCTGGCTACTTCTTCTCTCAATGAGGCGTTAGCCATATCTAGTTGTTCAAGCCTGGCCACGACTGTGTCAAGCTGATTTGCAGAACCGCCAATGGCTAGGCCTCTCCTATCCACAGAGCCTGTGTTGCTTAAGGAGCTCAACAGGTTGGTGCCCACAGAGTGGGAGTTGGCTTGGTTCTCCAGATATTGAACTCTTTGACCTAGAGTTTTTCTAGGATCCTCATAGTATTCCTCCTTCATTGCAAGAATGCCAGGTAGCACGTTCTCACAGAGAGAAGCCATAGACACCTCAAGCGATTTCTTGACCTCCTGGATCTCTTGCTGGCCCAAGATCAAAATTCCGTGAGCAGCATCCAGATCTTGCATCTTCGCATTCAAAACCTCAACCTTGGTCTCAATGGTCGCCAGACCATGTTCCAGCCCATGATTGCTCAGTTCCGCGACAGACTGAACATCTATCATACGTCCGGTGGTGGCCCCATCGATCCATCATAAATGGTGGAGAACCCGGCCATGTTCTCAAATTCTGCCGCTTCAACAATTTGTCTCTTGAAAGTATTGCAAACCACAGCCAGAGCATTTGCCTTGATGATTGTATCTACGGATCTTTTGTTGATCACACTGGTGAAGTTGTTAACTTCTTCAATTGTCATCTTTTGTTCAAGTAATGCATCTCAAAATACCTCCGCGAATCAATACAAGTCACCTTCAAAAGTCCACGGAATGGTCATATTCTTAAGTGATGATTACGTCGGAGTTTTGGCAGAAAAATCAGGAGCTGAGACGTCGGCTTCATGATCACCAACAAATTCATAAGACGATTTGCTTCCTGTCACGTTCTTCTCCTTTTTTACTGGGGTAAAAGAATCCTTCAAGATCGTGTTCTCATCCAATTCAAACTTAAGTGTTCTGGAGGCCTGTGGAGGCTGGCTTCCGGTTGCACTTGAAGTTCTCAACTCGTGAATACAAGTTGTCCACCCGGCCTTGGTATTTTTGTCGGTAAGCCAATGAGCCGTGTTAGCAGAAGGAAGCTCACTAAATAAGTCAAATCGAGTTCTGTAAACAAGGGATTTTCTAAGGGAAAATCGTTGAACTCACTTTCAATTCAAGCCAAACATTAATCAAATAGGAACAATGTCACTCAAAGTACACCTAACACAGGAGAACTATTGTCGTGAAAGTGTTGTATAGTTGATTATGAATTTAGATTGCAGAGAGTTTGTTCTGAGCGCTAAAGGCACTCACGATAGAGCACATTTTGCTTTATTCTAACATTCAATCACAAAAGGCAACAAAACGAAAATGCGTCAAGAAAAGCACTGCCTTATCTACAAAGGAGTGAGTGATTTGTTGACGATGGGACGTTCTTCATCCGGTGGTGGAAGAGGACGTGTGACTCCTCAGAAAGTCAAGAGCAATCCAAGTTCAACAGCTGTGAAACATCTATTTTCAACAAAAGGATGGAAAGGCAAGATTGTTGTACAAAGATGCCAAAGAAAGAGTGATCGACTACATCCAAGCTTCTGGAATGAAGTGCTCCAAAGACATGGTGAAATCGATTTGCGATGCGAAGTCAATCGACTTCAATGCAATCGCTCCAAGATTGAACACTCCAACTCAAAGTGAAGCTGTTGCAAGAGAAACAGAGATGGCCCAAAACAAGATTCTCTATTCTGCAAAGCTCGACGAGAACATGCGAAGATAAGCCTACTTTGAGATAAACAAGAGAACCATCAAATCAAACATCATGCTGAAGTTTGTTTCGAAGGCGATGGATATCAAGCTTTGAGGCGAAGCCAATTTCACGACTACTCTTGAAGATCCAATCGAACTCTTGAAACGTATTGAACAATTAATGAAGAAGAGTGCCAATGCTGAGTATGACTTCTTGGATTTCTGGGAAGCCAACCAAAAGTTCTTTGCTATGAAGCAAGGAAACATTTTGATGCATTTCAAGGAACGATTCTTGAGACAGGCTGAAGTCCTACAAGATCTATATGAAGTTCAAGACAAAAGTGTATGCTGCTATTGCTAGCACTGATACTACTGCTCAAGACAAGTTCAAGGATGATATCTTTGAAGCGGTTCTTGCAACAGGATTTCTGTGCAACTGCGATCGAACGAGAACAGCTCCTCTGATGCTGGATCTTCAGACAAACTATTGCAGGGAAGTGGATTACTATCCAAAGACGGTCAGCAAAGCACAAGATATGTTGAAGATTCACATGGATGTGATTTAAAATCCGGGAGTGAACCTGTACCAAGGAAAAGACTAACCTAATGAAGGTAAAGGGAAACCGAAGGATGGAAAGAAGAAGGCAGCATGTTGTGTATGTGGCAACGAAGACCATATGTCTCCAAAATGCCCAGACAGACTGCTACCAAAGATCCAATGGAAGAATCAGGATCAATATGTCAACTATGGGAAGAAGCTCAATCTCAATCAGATTGGAGCAACTGTCCCAGCTACTGTTCCAGCTATAGTTCCTGGAACTTCAGCATCCACAAGTAGAGCATCAAGTGTTGCGAGAAGCGTTAGCACACCTTTGCGACTTACTGGTACTACAGGTTACCAAATGATGCAAGTTCCTTCGGGAATGCAGCTCATGCAGATTCCAACTCAAGGTGGCGGCACTGTGACTGTCCCTTACTCAATGAATGCTAATGGTGAAATTGCGTTCAGCGGAATGCAACTTGGCCATCAAGGATTCAATGGTGCTCAAGTGCGCCAAGGATTTGAGGCAACTCAAGCTCGAACTCCGCAGATCGTGAAGACTGGCTATTATGATACGTCAAATGACTTCCACGATGCTATCAAGGGAAAGGATGAGAATGGCAATGATGTCTATCTTATTCCATGTCCTGCTGGAACGACAAATGTCGAACTTCAAGCCGACTGGCATTATGCTAGGAAAAATGAAGATTTGCCTGATCTTGCTACTGAAGCAGATCGAGGTCTGTAGTTTATCCAAAGCCGCAGAAAGGAACAAGATCCATTTGGGTTGTATGATCATGTCATCATGGACAGTGGTTGCACAAACACCACCATTTGTAATGGTGAGCTCATGCATGGACTCCGTCATGCTGAGAAGGAGCTTGATATGCACACTAATCTGGGCAGCAGAGTTCTTGACAAAGAAAGTTTTATAGGAAGATTTCCGCCTCCAGTTTATCACAATGAAGATGGAATTTCCAATGTACTTGCTATGCACGAGATGATTGCTGCGGGATACCGCATTACTATGGATACTGATGCTGACAATGCCTTTGTTGTGCATTGCGATGGAGACAGAAAGATTTGATTTGTGAATCATAAGGGTGTGTATGTGTTGGAGCAACTTGGAGCGAATGCCGAACCAGGTGCCAAAGAGACAAGTGTGATGTACCGTCGCCAGTTAAACAACTTAAATAATCAACCCCATTTCGAACTTTCTTCAAACAAACAGAATGGATATGCTGGACTTGAAATGACCTCAAAGATGGCAACTGTTCAAAAGATGTTCAAAAGAACAAGGAAGGATTCACTCCAAGACAAGTCAAGGCTGCAATGGAAGCGAGAAGTGCAATGCACATACTCAATGCTCCAAGCACAAAAAGTTTGAAGTATGCAATCCGATCTGGTCTCATCAAGAACTGTCCTATCACTGAAGAAGCGATCAATCATGCCAAAGCAATCTTTGGACCTGATGCATCTACATTGAAAGGCAAGTCAACTAGACCAACTCGGAAGAAGACGTACAATGACTTCTTCAGTCCACCAGAGGAATTGTATCAAAATAATCGATCAATTACCGTCTGTATTGATCATATGGAGATCGGAGATGCTAAGTTTCTCACCTGCATTGATACCACTGTGCGTTATCGCTCATGTATTCCCATGCAGAACCTGAAGACTGACCCTGTATTTGCAGCAAGGCAAGCTTTCAAGTCAAGACGGTCAAGTGTGATCGGGCATTCATTCCTCTAACAAATGTTATGCTAGACGATATGGGTGTTACTATTGATCCGGCTGCAGCTGGAGACCACGAGCCTACCGCTGAGCAAAACAATCGGACGCTGAAACAAAGAGTTAGAGTAGCTCTTGCACGATTGCCCTACAAAGTGGTCCCAAAGGTGATCACTGAATGTCTTGGACGTCACACCGCCAAGCTATTGAATGTCTTTCCCCAGAAAGACAGTATCTCATCACATTTCAGTCCACAGCAACTCATTGATAATGTCAATATCAACTACAAGAGTGACATGGTTGCTGAACTTGGACAATATGTTCATGCAATTGGGACGGATTCCACCAATTTGATGGAACTACAAAGTATCAAAGCAATTGACATTGAACCTACAAAGGGACAACGTACTGGGCACCGCATGCTCAACCTCAATGCTAAGAAGATGATTTCCCGACCCAAGGTTGTCATACTACCCGTTACCGACCAAGTAATCCAACATGTTGAAGCTTGGGCTGCTGCCAAGGGGGTTACTTCTATGAAGTTTTTTGATAAGAAGAGAGATTTGGACACATCTCAAGATTGCCATCAAATTGCAGGAGTGGATGATTTCCCGACCCAAGGTCGTTGTACTACCCGTTACCGATCAAGTAATCCAGCGTGTTGAAGCTTGGGCTGCTACCAAAGGTGTTACTTCCATGAAGTTCTTTGAGAAGAAGAGAGATTTGGAGACATTTCAAGATGGCAATCAAATTGCAGGAGTGGATGACACGGAACAAGGTTACTTAGAAGAAGCCTTTGATCAGGACTATGAACCTGAAGATGAAGATGAACGTGATTTCAATCTACGTGGACAACTCGATGATATCGATGACTCCGAAAGAGAAGAGCTCTTGGCAGATGCAGACAATGATGTCAATGATATGCCAGAACTCACTGTCAGATTCTGTGGAGATGATGACTATGAATCAGATGACGACGATTTGGGTGATGAAGGCAATGAAGAGGAAGAACCTATTGTGGCCAATTTGGATCACCATCAAGAAAATGTCGATAGGGGAGCTGATGATATTGGGAGCCTTGTTGCTGATCTGGAGGACCTACAAGAACCGCCAGAAGAAGAGATTGTATTTGAGCCTGAAACGCCTCAAGTAGCAAAAGTCACTCAATCTGGGCAAACGTATGCGCATGCTGCAATGTCTGGGCTGAACCTTTCTCAAGTTCCAAAGAAACCAAGAGAATGGCCTTCAAGCAGGAGTGGCAGTTCTGCCAATAAGAACAAGAATCAAGTTGTGACAAGACGCAAGCATTGAGAGAGGGAATTGGAACTGTTGAAGAACAAGTTAAAATCTGGTATTCGTACCAAGGAAGGAAGTCGCAGTACTCAAAACAGTAAAGCAATCCTTGAAGCACAGCACAATCTATGTTCCCAACAGATTGGGAATGAGATGAAAGCTGATTATGAAGAGCATGACGCTATTCTGATCGCTCGTTGCATGATGCAGATCAAGGCCAAGTTCGATACTGACGAAGGTCTGAACTTCATCCAACAGTATTACATCAATCAAGGACTGAAGAAGTTTGGTGATGATGGAAAGGATGCTATGGATACGGAATTGAGAAAAATGCTCCTGAGAGATTGTTTCACTCGCAAATTTGTGAAAGACATGACCGCGTCTGAGCAAAAGAAGGCCCAATCAGCGATGATGTTACTTGTGGAGACGCAATTGGAAAAGACAATCAGTGCTGAGTACCGTCAAATATTCCAGACTACTGTTGCAAGGGGACTTTATGTCAATTAGGGTTGGGGTTAGGGTCACAAAATTTTGAAACCGAAGAAATCGAAATAGATCAAGCGAAACCGATCAAAGAAATCGAAACAAGTCCTGCGACACAAAACCGATCAAATGATTTTGAAACCGATCAAAGAAATCGAAAAGCAAATGCAGTTGTTCCATTCAACTACTTCTATTGAGTCCCGATTGCCGAACTTGAACGAGGTTTCTCACAAATTGTTCGGGAACTGAACAATAAAATCACAATTGTGTGTTGTCTCTCATCCGTTTAGGTTAATATCTCTATCCATACTCAATTTCCTGTTGCACTTTTTGCGCCAAATTAGACTTAATCATATTAAGGAATATACTGTACAAGAAGTGCAATAGGAGAAATATTTCTTGTTGTGCGATATGCGGAAAACGACAAATTCTGCCTTGGACAAGGAGGAAGCAGGGCCACCACTACCCACTAGTAAAACGACAAATAATACAGGACAAATTGGATACCGACTGAGGAGATATTGAAACATATACCCCAAAGGGTTTGTAGAACTACAGCCAAAAAATGACTTGCACAAGCGAAGAAGGAGCTGCGCCGTTGGGAAGAAGCAGGATTCAATGATGGCAAGGAAGGAAACACCAACCACCTCATGAAAGTCAAAAAGAATGCAAAAAGAAATGATACATTGAGACCCAAAAACGGAATCCAATGCACTTGGCGCAGATCCATGGAACCAAACCAAAGTCAAGGAGCTGCAAGCTTTGTCAAGCAACAAGGCAGCCGAAAGAAAGATGATGGCCAAACGGGGAGCAGAAATCAACAGCGAATGGACCATTGGTCCTCAAACCCACACTCTCAATGGAAATTTAGAAAAGATCCTTGGCGAATAAACGGTTGATCAATAGAATAAAATGTAATAGGGACTTCCTTTCATTATATCGCCGTTTGTTGACGACTTGACTTTGATGTCAACGTTTTTGTGTTCGACAGGTAAAATTATATGTTTGGAACTACTGGTGAAACCGGACGACAGAAAGGCCCGATAAAATTTATATTTACGGGTATGCGTATATAAAGGGGTATATTCCGCGCCGGGACGTCTTCTGGTTAAAAGTGAGTGCCATACAACCATTTAGTAGTCAAAGTAGTCGGAGATATGAAATCCGGAGATAGACGAGTTGCGGGGGGCGGTCCGTTTTCATCTGTTTTAGACTTAGTAAGTACTTGTTTGTCCGTCCCATAATAAAAACCTACTTTTCAGCCACCCCCACTATACCGCAGTCAATTCCGCATGCAACATCATGCATCCTGGAAACCTACCGGCCATCTACATACATACTGGATGGTTGGTACAAGTTGTTGGTAAAAGAAAAAGGCTCGCTGTTTCGTTCGATCCTATCTATCTGTTACTGCGTGTCATCCTATCATCCATATACTATTGTTGTGGCTTGATATAATATATAAGTGTATTCGGCAATCATTCAATCACTCAGTCTTTGAAGCTATATATTCGTACTTTGCACATATGCTCAAAGAATTAAAAAAAAGACCATTGCAGTCTGTTCTATCAAAAAGTTTTCGGCTGCCAGCAGGAATGGACGAGATTCCGTTTTCGAGAGAGAGACACAGCCGGGTCGTGAACGATACGATATTACATTTTAAAAATATCATACCGGTATTATAGACGATCGAGTGGTCCGTCCATAGCATTACTGAATACACTATTTTACTGTTTACCAGAAAAGGGACGACCACTCTCATTTCAAACAAACAAAAAACAATTGACCCAACGATACACCGGTAACAACAAAAAGAAAGACAACTGCAGTCGCAATATAAAGCAATTGCGTGCTCTGTAACTGGTATTGAAGAAGAAACCGCAGATGACCATGTCTGACAATGATCATTCTTGGTACGATTACTTTCAACAGCATCCTCCAAATAACAATAATAACGAGGAATGCGATGAACCAAATGTCTACGTTGTAGCCAAAGCAGGCGTTTGTCTTTTCGAAGCTTGGGGGCAATTCATTCCCTATTTTGATGCTTTGACTCCAAGCGATATGTCAAATTGGCCTAGTGTGGTGGCACTCCGAGGTAGAAATTGTGTGGTCGCTTCCCAGACTGAATTGGACGAGTGGTATGCTGACAATAACACGGACGATGTTTATCCCGATGACTGTCGTTGTGAATTTTGTGTGGAAGGCAAATGTACCTTGCATTGGGGAAGTACCAAAAAATGCCTATCCACCAAAGAAATTCAGTTTCCACAAGCCATGGATTTGGACGAACTGCGATACGGATTCGGAATGTCGGGTTTACACGAGGACGGAGCGAAGTTTGCAATTTCCAAGCACGAAGAATTCCGTGAAGGTGGTTTGGTTGAACCTCCAGATGATTGGTACGATTACTTTCAACAACAATTTCCAAAGAGCAACGAATGCAGTAAATGGCATGGCTTTGTTGTAGCCAAAGCAGGCGTTTGTCTATACGATGATTGGGAGTCCTTGATTCCCTATTTTGATAGTTTGGCTCCAGGCATGGCAAAGTCGCCTGATGTGGTGGCACTTCGAGGGGAAAATTGTTTGTTCGCTTCCCAAGATGAATTCGACGTGATATATGGCAGCAAAGACGAAGATTTTGATGTCAAGGATTGCTATTGTGTACTTTGTGTGGAAGGCAAATGTGTCATGCATTGGGGATTTACCTACAAATGCCTACACACCACCGAACTTGTTGAATTTCCACAAGTCATGGACTTGGACGATCCTCAATACAAATACTTGGCCGAGTATGGAACGGATGTGGGACATTCTCCCAAACACCAAGAAGGTCACGGAAGTGCTCTGATTAAAGGCGAAAATTCTCTTTCCAATGCCAGTAATCTCTCGAGTGTTACTCTATTCTGGCTGCTGGTATCCATCTTTACCGTTGTATCCTTAATCGTTGGATTATTGAGCTGTGAAACAACCAGACGACTCTGGAATCGGCGACAACGCTTGGCCCGTGCTGCGCCCTACTACCGATCCAGCAATGGGAGTTTTTGTTGCGGCTGTGGAGGAATGATGCAAGATGATGATGATGATGATGATGATGATGGTAATTCTTCTTCTGAATTGGACCCACTCTCTGTGGAACTGACTCCGATCCTCAACGATCGTCCCATCTGTACACCATTCCATTTGCGAAATAAGTAGAATATAAGGAATACAAGGAACTATCAGCATCACCAATGATATTGAAATTATTGTCGTAGAATAAACTAAACGGCTATTGCTAAAAGTACGGTATCAGTACTGATGATATTGTTTCGTTCTCAATCAGGTACGGCATAGTACCGGTGAGTTGGAACGAGGAAACAGCCCCGTTTCGACTTAGATTGACAGGAATGAATGAATCGTGACCCTTGCAGTATTATTTTGGGCGTTATTATATAATAATTATTCGCTTCTATTGGATACTAATGAAAACAAGACGGGACCGCTGCGTTGGGCCAACGTTGCTCTTTCAAAGTCAATGGGAGGAAGTGGTTTCACAAATTCAATCTCGTACTCGTCCAATAGCAAAGCGACAGTGCACTCCAGCATGACGACAGCCAACTGTTGTCCAGGGCACTTGTGGACCCCGTGGGAAAATACACTAAAGGTATACTCGTTCTTGTAGAGTTCTTCGGACCGTTCTTTGGATTTGGGGTCGAGGATGAACCTGGACGGCTCTTTCCAAATTTTGGCATCGAGGCTCGATGATAAATGCGTCAACGCCACCGTGGAACCCTTGGTAATGACTTTGCCCGTATTATTGCCAATCTCAAAGTCTTTTTGTGCCGTTCGTATTCCACCAATCGCGTGGGCCGTGAGACGCAAGGATTCCAAGCACAGCCGGCGTAGCAATGGACACGATTCTCGAACCGCTTGATAACTAGGATTCTTTACAAGCATTTGAGCTTCTTTCTTGCACAGATCCATCTCCTCGATGGTGGCCTCTTCGACCAACATGAGATAGCTCTGCGCCGCTCCAATAGCTGGATTCTTGTGAGCTATATAGGAAATTCGTTCAGATGTTTTTAAGAGTAAGAACCAACCATTCATTCAAAAGAATATATATAATTCAATATTATACAATACCGTGTACAGGAATCAAGCATGTATTTAGAGTGAGACAAGCTGCAACCATGGTCAATATAAGTAAGAAATACAAAGATTACCATATTCATACGTACCTGCAAAGAGCAATCCAACAATAAACTCCGCAATGTCATCAATGGAATGGGTACGAGTAGTTTGCACCTCGTTTAGCCAAAAGCCGCAGTCCTTGGCGTCCGGTTTCGTCTTCTTGAGTCGTTCCGCAATTGTTATCTGTAGTTTTTGTCGTCGCCGGGCCAATGGCCACAGCAGTAGCGGCAAGGAGAGAAATCTAGGGAGTATGACAGATTTGGCCGTGACATCTTCCAAGTCATCTTGAAACTTCATAAAGACGTCAATAAAATCAAAGTTTTCCCAAGAATCGAGAAAGAAGGAGCCAATGAATCTATCAATCGTCGTTCGGAGGAGCACCCGCCGAATGAATTTCATGAAATCTGCATTGTATTTCTTAGCATCAGGTTGAATCCGTTTCGATTCAGTAGATTCAACCTGTAGCGCTTGCCGAATGGATTGGATCAGGAGACGAACATGTGCGTCAGCATCATCATGCCACATCCCCTTGACAATTCCCTTGTGTAAATCGGTGCCCTTGTGCACGTTGAGTGGACCTAACATTTGTTCAAAGCCAACGTCCGCGACTGCTTGCCGTGCCGAAAAGACTGATTCAGGTGCGGTTGCGATGATCCGCTGCGTTCTTGGGCCACATGCCACCACCATTCGCTTGCCGGCCAAGTTGATTTTGAAAATGTCACCCACTGCCGCGCTCGAATCGAGTAGGAACCGTCCAGGATCTTTCTTGTACTTCAGCGCGTGTCCCAGCAACGGAATCCTTCCAGGCGCCCACGGGATGTTGGATTTATTATTGTCATTATTGTCATTATTGTCATTATTGCCCTTTGACGATGAGAAGAAAATGATGCTGGGTACGACAATCAACGCGCCTGCAGTCAAGATCAGGGTAAGGAAGGATGAGTCGTTGGATAATAAGTCACTCATCATCGTGGCACCAGCTAATATATATATTCAATATGCTCCGCGCTGTCCTCCTTTTTAGAATGCAAAAGTGTCTATATACACGGTACAATAACTGAAGGATATATTCTTTTGGATTTGGAGCTATCACTGTAGTCGGAGTATTCGATCGTTTGGCTGGTCATCATCTTATTACAGTATACCGTATTGTCTACCGGTACTGGTATCATGAAGATGATGAAACAAAGAAGGCACTACAACCTCTCTCGAATGTGTGTACTGGAATGATATAATCAACAATTTCATGATATGTTAGTCGTAATAACCTTTTGTTATTATAATGTTATTATGAACCATATTTTGTATGAATGAATCATCAAGAATGCACTACCGTGCTGGGCAAAAAGTGTTTGTTGCGTATAATGATGATTCATTCTTGTTGTGCGCTGATTGACGAAACACGATTATCGTCAATGCCTCATACCGATACTGATGGGACTGACTCCTTGAAAGAAAGAAAGAAAGAAAGAAAAGTCGCAAGAAAGGAGACATACAAACACACAGAAACTATACCTACTACATTCAATATAAAGAGAAGAAGGGAGCGCGCGGCACTGCTGTTGTAGGATATAACGTGGTTCTTCTCTAAATAGAATGTGTAGTGTAGTGTAGTTTCTGTGGTGTGTCCTTTTTTAAACAATGTTCCTTTTTCCAAAAAAGGGAGACTTCCCACCTTTGTAGTAGCGGTAGGCTCGGTAGCTTGAGGACTTATGGGGGGGTAGAGAGAGAAGAGAGAGAGAGAGGAATGTGTGTGTGTGTGTGTGTGTTGTGTGTGGACATGAATAGTGGTACAGAGGTGTGTGTGTGTGTGTGTGTGTGTGTGTGTCCCCCGAACGAAACGAATGGCTTGTTTAGATCTCGATGCGAGTCACCGTTTCCAGTGACATTTCGACTTCCATACCAAAGGATTCAATGATGTTGACATTGGTCATGTTGTGGTACTTGACTGGAGCATTTCGTCGACCATTCCAACGCGACGTTGGAGGGACAGCATCGAAGCCAGCAGAAGGCGAGGAGGAAGCTGTGGTGGCAGTGGTAGCCGACTGATCATCACGAGCGTATTTTCCAGTCAGACATGAATCGTCCTTGGCGTAGGTACTGTAGGCTTGAGTCGACTCCTCGTCAACATCGGACTCATCGTCTCCTTCGTCAATCCTTCGAGGACTGCGAGAGGATTTCCTCCTTCGTTGCGGAGAAGGAGTCGCTGCAGGAGTGGAGGGGGCACCGGTGAAGAGTTCTCCCACAGCCATGAGACCATGCGCAAAGAGACCAGGTTCCTTGCTGGATGCCAGGGTCACGTCTGCCAAGGAATCATCGACGGTGTAATCGTCCGTGAATTCCGAGTAAAAGTGACTGTCGAGTTGGCTGTTGTCAAAGCTGTGACTCTCGGAGATTGCAGGAATCATCCTTTCGACTTGTGGAGAGCGCTTGGAGGCAACCGGCGAGGCAGAGGATCCTCGTTGCAGAGGAAGATTAGCACTAATATTTGTTGGTTTAGTATTCACTCGTCTGGTGGTGTGATTGGGTTGAGGAGTCTGAGGAACTTTCACGGATTCGTCATCTCCCCAAAGCAACCATTCCGCAACCGAAGGTATCTTGTTGTTGGTGGTGTTGTTGTTGGTCGTACTGCTTTTACTTTTGGTACTTTTAGAAGCAGTTTTGGTGGCAGATTTAGTTTTGGAGGGACTCTTGGGACAAACCGAATCGAGTTCCGCCACACTTGAATTGTTACTCTGTCTGGGACACACAGAATCGAGTTCCGCCAAGCTATTCCTGCCAATTACGCTTCCAGCAGGAGAAGAAGAAGGAGAAGAAGAACTAGCAAGCGTGGATGCCTTGTCTGCTTTTGCGGCTTCGCGTTCGGTTTTCCTTCGTTCAATGATAGCATTGTGCCTCGTTCGAAGCTTCGCCAGAGCGTCCCGGACATTACCGTTCCGGGACATCTTGTTCTGGAAGAAGCCCATCGTTACAAGGATGGGATGGACAGCCTTTGTATTATACTGTACTGGTAGCTTCAAACACAACAATGTGAACAATGTGCGATGTGCGACGCACTAATAAGATCGGAAGATCAGCCTTGTGACAGGAAAGAGATTTTCATGAATTTTGGGGCATAAGTAATTTTGCCAGCCGGGTCTGTTCAGATTCGTTGATAGCTATTTGAATGGATGCACGTGCCATTTTGGCCGGTGAACCATGTGCAATCGATTATAACTGATTCAAAATTTTATCACCGGCATGCTTTCCCACCAATTTGATAGCCTCACACATGTGCCGTCGAGATTTTTGCTATGAAATGCGAGATATTTGCAACGATACGACATGTCGAAGCGACGAGAGGTAATCAACGTTGTGGATTTGGTGGGATCGATCAAAAGGTACCGTACCGGTACTCAATGAACTATAGTACACAAGCGGTGCGCAACTGATGATGTACGTGTCGAGGTGACGGAACTGTAATCGCATGTCTGGCAGTGCTGAAGAAGGTAAGAGCAGGAGCTGGCCCTGTAGTCGTGAGCGATGCTGCCAACCAAAGAAGTGAGTGTAAAAGCCATGGTTCTTATGATATGGATCAGGATTCTTTGTGCTGACTTTGTAGATATCTAGGGATATGACTTGCGGGTTCTGCCATGTTGAATATAGGATACAGTATGTAGTGGCTTCCTGTCGTAACGAAACAGAAGCCCAAAGATCTACAGTAGTTGTGGTACTGATCAAGTTGCGAAAATAATGTGAGGTACTGGATTAGCTTTAGCACGGTCCATTGGGTCATGTGTCTCCAACAAAGATCTCGTGACCCCAAAACTTTGTCGACGAGTTGCAAATTGCGAAACGACAATAACTTCAACCTGAACAATAAAGCATTGTCCACAATAACATCGATCGTTGCCAATTGCACGCTTCCGTGATCAATACAAGAAACTTTTCTGACGATTCACCGACTCCTTGCAATCCATTTTTACCAGACAACACAACAACAAAACAACAAACCAAACCTTTCATAATAAAACATGGGTTGCGGTGGATCTAAACCCGAAGTCGAATCCAGAGCGGCACCCCCCGCAGGAGAGGCACCTGCGCCAGCTCCAGCGGAAACAACACCGGCTCCAGCTCCTGCCCCGGCCCCTGCACCGGCCCCTGCTCCTGCCCCGGCCCCGGCTCCAGCACCAGCTCCTGCTCCAGCACCAGCTCCAGGTGAGAATAGGAAATGATGCAACAGCTTGGAACTTGATGTGGCTTCAATGTAAATTTCCATCTGACTTTATTCATTCTTTCTCTTTCAATGTCTATTTCCATAACAACAGCGCCAGCACCAGCTCCTGCACAAGCCCCGGCACCAGGTATGTGAATTCAGAACAATAGCAATAATGATGCAAAACCATCTGATGAAAAACGGGAATGGTCGTGTCTCACTATTTTGTTTCTTCGTTTCTTCCATCAAACAATTATTTTGTATCTCCAGCGCCTACACCCGCGGCGGCACCAGCGCCAGCCCCTGCCACAGTAGCTCCTGGCGAGAATCCACACTTGGCGGTGCCCGAACCAAAGAAATACGAATTTCAAAAGCCCGCATGGACCAATCGCGGCAAGGACGTTCCCGAAACCACGGGCGGTCCAGACCTGGTCGCCGATCCCAACGCTCCCAAAAATACCATGACGAATACCGGAGGCATCAGTACGGGTGCCCACAAGATGGTCGTGGGGGATGGTGTGGCCAGCAAGGTGGCAGCGTTAAAATCAGGTGGTGGACTCAATCCGGCCATTGTTAAGAAACGTAAAATGAAGACTCCCAAGATTGTGACCGATACCAAGGAGACTACCGATGGGGCTGGAAACATTACGCGAGAGATTACGAGGTACATTACCGAGCCGGATGGTACCAAACGGACCGAAAAGGAAGTTGTTAAGATTCCAGCTGGCGGCAATTAAAAGATGAATTGATTGTTGCTTGGTGATAACCTGTGACTGATTGATTCATTCATTTGGCATGTGTGTGATGAATTCGCGAAATGGAACGGAATAGAACAATGGCGGTGGTGGTGGTTGGAAAGGAAGGAAGGAAGGAAGGAATATTGAAGTTGGATTGGAATGAAAAATGGAAAATGGACGACATTTATTATGATGTTGCAAACACACCATGGGTCTTTCCAGCAAGATTTGAAGTTACATGTTTGTTGTTGTGGGAAGCTGGGAGAATTTGATTCCCAAGTTTGTCGAGTGATGGATTGTCTATTGGAATGCATAGGCAGTCACAGGACAGTCGTGGTTTCGCCTGTGATAGAAATATCAACAACGAGAATGGTCGAATTGATGATATGGTGCATGTTTTTTTACTGTGATTGTGAATAGAAAGAAATAATCAAATGGGTAGTGTGGTGTTAACAAAATCAATTACAACGTAATTTACACAAACCAACAACTTATTCCCGTCGAAATATCCCCAAAATCTGAAACTTCCAAAAAACCGTCGCAATCAATAAGCCAAATAAGTCTCTTCCACCGTATCAATCATCGATCCCCTTATCGATTGATCCGTACCGGTACATTAGCCTATAGCAACATTATCCCCCGTTATATGACCTCTCATATGTTGAGAGACTGTGCTCGTATCGGCCGGCTGCTGGACTTTCGCCGTTCACGCTGTTCCCGGATGCGATATTGGAAGGACATTCGTTCGATCAACATGGCCCGAACTGTGGCCAATCCACCCAGGTACACGTACTTTTCTGTTTCCGTTTCCTTGTTCTTCGTATCAGCGCCACCCCCACCAGACTCGTTGTCGCTATCGCTGTCAGAATCGACATTTGGTTCGTAAAAGAACTGTGGATAAATGGACTTGCGCGAGATTTCCAACAACTCTTGGGCCAAAGAGAGATCATTTTCCACATACAAAATCGAATACTTCGGCACATCGTAACACAAGAGTAGTGCATTGTCTTGATCCAAACCCATGGTTCGGGTTTCTGGAATTTCCTTGCACAATACCACCAAAGTTCCCTCTTCGGCCAACAGGGACTCCACTAAATGGACTTTTGGAACTGTAATAGACTCCTTGCGGTTATTGGCCATGACAGGACTTGGCGATTCCGCAATCGGCGAAGGGGGCATTGATGATACCATGGACGCAATCAGTGTCGACGAAGCCTCCAGCATGCTCTTGGTGTTTTCGGATAATCGAAGAATCTCATTGGACGAGTATCGTACTCTGTCCTCCCTAGATTTGCGAATGGCTTCGGACATTTCCTTGTGAGATGTCGAGGAATATCGTCGGTCCAGTGTTGGCTTCTTGACAAAGGCTGCCGAAGTTGTACTCGATGCATTGCTATGTTTCGAAAACCTCTGTTCAATCGCTCGCTTTTTGCGCAAGGCAGCCGCCGCAGCTTTGGTGGGTGACAAGAAGTTGGGACGGCTGAAGCCAGGTTCGGCTGGATCAATAGATGAATCGTCGTCTTGTTTCTTTGTCACTGGTACTGGTACCACTTTATCTTCACTGCTAGTACTTCTTTCGGTTCCTGGTATACTCCTTGTAGATGGATTATTGTCTTGCTTCCTTGGAACTTGAATGGGTGCCTCTTGTCGTTGCTTTTGATTCCTTGATGCCGCCTCGGAGACATTTTTACTGTTTTCGGTCGTTTGCAGGTTCGCAAAAACATGCTTGGAGGGAGGCGGAGGCCACGTCGGATTTCGTTTGGTGGGCGAATAGACCCATTTCCCACGACACCAAAAGTTATCAAGATTCTTGGTGCCTGGTGGCAAGAACCATACATTCTTGGCATCCCAACATCCGTCCGCATTTGGAGTCGCATTCATAGGAACTCCCCATAGTCCATGAGGAACTGTAGCATCCAAGACTTGCTCTTGTTGTGGATATACCAAAACATATTGCGGATCCCAAAAGAGACTTTGAGAATCAGAATCAGAATCCACAATCTTCCAAGTGCCTTGCAAGTTGGGCGCCTTGTCTTGCCTTCTAGGATCCAGTTGGGAATAAACGGTTGCCGTTGTTGGCAATATGACTGCTTCGCCCTTTCCCACTTCTGGCCATTGTGGTAAATTTCCCAGCCGTCTGCGTTTGGCTTGCTCCGTCAATGGTGGCCAACTCTCATTTTGGTGAATGGTTGTCCACTTGCCTCTAGGTAAGACTCCTGGTGGTGGTGTTTGATGCGGTGGAAGGAACCAAATATCCTCGGCTTGCCACTGACCATCGTCATTGGCAAGTGAGTTGGGATTCGTGCACCAGACGCCCGACGATGCTTCTTCCCATTGTCGTTGATCGTACTTCTTACTGGCAAATGACGACAGTAGGGGACGAATCTCGACTAGGATTTCCGGCAACAGATCCGAGTCTGAAATGCGATTGTTCTTTTCATTCATGAATTTCCATACTCCCACCGTACAATATTTTTGGCTGCTCCCACTCGCCGCTCTGGATTTGGTAAACACCTTGGCCGTTTGTGGCTCCCACGATGAATTTTGATTGATCTGCCATTCTGGAAATATAGTTTGAACCAAGAGTTTGGCATCGTCGGTCAATGGCGGCCATTCGATTTTGCGTCCAGCTGGAAGCGACCATTTGCCCCTTGGTACCACAATGGTTTCATCATTATTGCTTGGCGGCGGAACTCCAGGTGGATACAAGATTAGATTGGCAGGTGGTACATTCCCATATTGATCGACCAAAAAACTACTGCTGCTACTGCTAGTAGTAGTCATGGTAGCCCAAATCCCATGCAGGGGGCCACCATTCTTTGCATAATGATACGTGTCATTGCTATCCATGTGAATGTCGGTGAGCTGCAAGATAACATCCATTTCCGGCAACCATTCGTTTTCAGGTGCCTTTGGATCTGGATGAAGTGGTCGTTTCCACATGGCTCTTGGAGGGTGGTTTTTGATTGGAGTGCTGCTGCTGCTGCTGCTGCTACTGCTGTTAGTAGAAGCAGAAGGCAAATCACTAGTCCTCCAATACGCCTTGGCAGTGACTGGCTGAAAGGGTTCTAAATCTTCCCAAAAGGGTTCTGGTTGATGTCTGAATGATGCTGATGCTGATGCTGCAGGTGGTTGTTCGGGAACATGGGCCTGAGCAGTAGCGGAATTTGAATCTGATTCTCCAACGGCAACAGCAACAGCGACAGCAACAGCAACAGGATCTTCCATCGTCTTTTGTTCTTCCTCCTCCTCCTCCTTTTGCATACGATTGCCGTTATCGCCTGAGATGCGAAGAGTCGTTATTTGACAAGAAGGAGAATAAGAGGACGAGAAGTTTTTATTCGCGTCGACTGGTTTGACTTCATTCATGATATTGCGGAAACTGCACAAGAATAAGGCTCTGCTTCATCGTCGGATTGTTTGAGAGCAATGGATAGTAGAACCGAATATAACACAGCCACGACAAGAACAGTGCCAGTAGATACTGTAGAGGATGAAGACAAAAGCTGGGAATTGATGGTCAATTTGAAATTGCAATTATCAATCATGATGCCCCAGAATCAATTGCGGGGCTTCCCAAATTGAACTCGGAATTTTTTTAGTCTATCGTGTGTACCGGTATCGTACCGGTATCGTATCGTATCATACCGGTAGGATGTATTTTGATGCGTTAAGGAAGGTAGAGCGGGGTATCTTTTTTTGGAATAGCTCTCCCGGAAAAGTGGTACTCGTACAAGTACGGTACTGGTACGGTACTCTTGTACCTACATCATCAATCGGTTCCAACAAGCACTGGTACGTGTACAGCGCAACGCGGTGTTCCTGTACTTCTTGAAGTTTGTTGCCTTCTCCGAAGCTCTGATCGATCCGTTAAGTGTCGAGTGGAAAGGCGAATGAAGGGGGATACGGCAAACCTATCGCGGTACCAGTTACTACCGGTACCATGTACTAGCGGAAGTAAGAAGGAAAATATCTTCTCTTTGTCGGCGTAACTTCCACACATTCGCCACTTCAGGTACACGAATATCTCGTAGGAAGTAACTGGTATTGTAGTAAAATGACATTTTCTACAAAAAGATGTCAGAATTTCTTCTTGGAGCATCGACAAAAAAAGGTCTGATCTTGTTTGGAGGGCGACCACTGACACCTTTTTTTTGACCGTTTCTTCGTGCACGTGTGTATCTAGCGTACCGCAAGCCTATAAATACCGTTTTGGTTTCGCGCCGGTAGATCAGAAAGCAAAAGTGACGTTGTGGCCATGTTTTGGCGGGATATGGAGAACTTTCAGTCTTTCCTTGGTCTTTCTCCTCCTGTTCCTGTGAATTTGTGACATCTGCTTTAGCGGTCAATTAACAAGCGGCTATAAGCGCCCCATTGTTCAAGGAGGGTCCTTAAACACTAAATACGACCTCAGACCTCGCGAGCCAGCCGGACCATTGCTTCGCAATTCAATGAGAAGGGTCGTTAATTAGGTGCGTTTAATGGACACCGCATCAGGCGCGTATCGTAGTAAGTGCACTTTTTTGCCTCTTTCTCAAAAAATTTCAACACAAATTCACACATCACAAAATATCCAACCATTTGAAAACGAGCCTTGCGATCGTGGATAAACAGCTGCAGAAGAGCATACATCTCACAAAACCAAAACAAACGACAACTGAAAACAAGTAAGATGCCGCACAACAAAATACTGGAATCCAAATTTGTATCGGTGGATCTCGAATCCTCGTTGGGTATCATCAAGGATGATACAACAACAGTATCCGATGATTCCAACTCTCAACAACCACAGCAAAAACAAGAACAACAGGAACAGCAACAAGAACAAGGTACAAGTACGATTGAAACGCCCTCGTCACCGTCATCCCAAGCCAAGTTTGTGTGTCAACCCACAAATAACAATTCGGAAGGTGTCGCTTTCCCTATGCTTTTGGATTCAACCTTGAATCCATTTGCCAACCAAAAGGTTACTCGCACCTCGGATACCTATCCCTTTGCCAATCGAGGAAGCAAGAGAAAACTGGATGATGATGATGATGATGAGAACAATGACATGGATGAGTCTGACACGGACAAACGTCCTCGGACCACCAGCATGTCCTCCTTTGAACCCATTCCAGTGAGCGATCATGAAGTACATGCCGACATTGGTAGCATGATGATGCTCATGCAAGGCAATGATAATGATGATGAAAACGACGATGATGGTGAGGATGATGGCAAATCTCCTTCGCAAGACAATACTTTCTTGATCAACAAGATTGGCGATTGGTCTCAGCCACCTAAGAAAGAAAAGAAGAACGAGAATGGCTACACCATTGTTCCGAATGATCGGGATCACGATGATGCTGCTTGGGTCAACATTGACTTGTCCGACACGGAAGTGGAAGATGAAGACGATCTGTTGTCTATGCTGGAAGAAGAAGCCAAAGAGTCGGGCTTTGTCTTGGAGAATATTGGGGACCGCCAGTCGTTTTGGAATCATCATCACCATTCCAATGAGTGAAAAAAATTCAAATTAAGCGATTGAGAAAGCCGATAAATGAATCGAATAAGTCGAAAGATGAATGAGCCCGAAATCTAATCAAAAGGCGCAAAAGGTATTAGACTGCTGGAATGAGAAACAGTAATAAGCGTATCGGTGAGATCCATTGTTGGATTCTCCAATGATGCAACTTCCGAATTCAGAGAAAAGGATGGTTTGGAGTACTCCACCGTCTAATTTTATACAGGCTACAGGCACCCACTGAAGCAGTAACTACACTTGCAAAATGACGCAAGGAACAATGAAAGGAAGGAGGATGATTGTAGTGAGTGGCAAGGAAGCCTTGCCACTCAACTCACTACCAACCCACGTTACATGATAAGGAATTACTCGGACACACGACCGTTTATATAAAAAGTAAAAGATCAACGTTATCATCATAATTTTCATTGTTGTTGTTGCTGCTGCTGCTTGCCATCTAGCTATCTACGGTGTTGATATCTAGTATCAGTTCCTTTTCCAAGTAGAGCTTTGGTGTTCGCCGTTGCTTATTGTTCGCTTGTTGTTGTTGTTTTAGTTGTTCGTCTAGTTGCTGTTGTGCTTCGTCCAATACGGTAGTGAATTGCAGCCGTTTGTAAAAGGCAATTGCACCCTCATTGTCACAATCCACCGACAAGTACAAGGTGGATAATTTCAGCAGCAATCTAGTACTATTGTCGTTGTTGTCGTCATTCGAATCATTATTGTAACCTTCTTTGGATGACGATGATGATGATGATGGCGATGATGGTGACGATGATGATGGATGAAAGTAAAAGTTGACACCAGCAGCATTCGCCTTGGCGGACTCCCATTGAGTCGCCACCTTGATTGCCAATTGTACCAATTTGGATCCCATTTGTTGTCTCCTATAGTCTGGATCCACGGCCAAGTTGGCCAAGTAGGGTCGCTCGGGACGGACCGCCACGAATTCTTGATCCTCATTGTTGTTGTTGTTGTTGATACCATTCACAATTCCTGGTCGTCGTGATGGTATGTTTACGGGGACATGAATGGAAATGGGTGCGGGCATGGTTCCCAACTCCATGAATCCCACCACCTTGTTGTAATAGTTGTTGCTATCATTATCATTATCAGATGATGAAGAAGAAGAAGGATCTGCGACCACAACAACTGCCACTATTAAAACATGTTGTGGAAGTGTCAATCGTTGTTGCAACATTTGAATGAGCCTTTGAGTTTCATCTTCTACTGCTACTACTGCTGCTGTTGGCTGCTGTTTTTCGTTTTCTTTTTCTTGCAAAGAAGAAGAAGAAGAAGAAGAAAAAAAGGGATTCTTGGTCCAGCTCCAAAAGTCAGATGATGATGATGATGATGATGATGATGGAGGCGGCGTCGACTCTTCCTCCTCTTCGCCTTTTTCGTTCTCGTCACCTGGAAAGGATCGTTCCAACAAGGCGGCAATACTGGGTAGATCCTCTGCCCGAGCCTTGCGATAGGTAACCTTGGCTGCTGGATTTTTGCTTTTGCTGTTGTCTTTGGTTTTGTCGGATGTGGTGGAAGCATCATTATCATTTGTCGTTGTCATTTGGAGTGTTCTTGTTTGTCTGTGGTGTATAGAGTAATGATGATGATGATGATGTTGACGATGATGCATTCTGGTGGAAGAGGATATTTGATCCCTATTTCTACAACCGTAGTATTGATAATTATGCCGAGGAGGATGATCATGATGATGATGACGATGATGACGCTGAGGAGAGTTGGAAAAGGCATCACATGATGATTCTTGACCTGTCAAATACGCCATCACCAACAGCACTATGAATACGGTTTGAATCTGATTCTTCATTCTCATTTTCATTGTCGGATGTTCAAAGGAGGACGATTACTATATTTTATGCTTGGAAGAAGAATATGGTGAGGGTACCCTGGTACTGTACCGATACGGTATGATGAAAGCAATACAAACGAGCACCGTCACCAGCACATCAAAGATCATCATCAAAGATCTTGTGTAGTTTCCTATCATCAATTCATATCGATTCGAATAAATCGAAATCGCGTCGCATGAGTGGGTCTAAATCATGCCCTACCGGTCTGGAAAAAAGTGCATGCAGTCATTGTTCCCATGCATGTTGAATGCTACCGTATTTGTTGACCAGATTCCTTTTTCCACCGGCGTCGTAGAAAAGACTACTGGAAATTGGGTGATATGTATTTTGGGAGTGAAAGGTCTTCGTCTAATTGTGCATATATAGAGTGACTAAGAAGTGTAAGACTGAAGAGAATGACTGCAAACATTAAAATGTCTACGTGTAGGGATAAATATATAACTTTGCCATAAGTAATTTAGTGGAACTTCACGATTAATGGGGTCTTTTCGAGGGCTGATCACTCGCGTCTTGTTTCTGTAGCTTTGGTACCGGTTTCTACGCGAACCCACTTCCCCATGCAATGTTTCACGATTCCCGGTTTCTACGCGAACCCACTTCCCCATGCAATGTTTCACGATTCCCAGGTTAGAGTGAGTGTTGCCACACAAAAAAAGTAAAAAGGCCCGGTTGTACCCTACCGTATTAGAAAGAACGTTGTTGGAAATATAAAAACAAACACAAACACAAACACACAAGCAACTACCGTACTATTATACCGTACCTGTTATTCATAACCATTACTGAACACTCCACACTCCACACTCAATAAGGAATACCATGAAGTTCACTGCTGCTGCTAGTCTAAGTCTAACTATTGCAACCATTGCAACGGTTGCAACTGCCGAAGAATCCGCCACGGATGCCACCCGCGACTATAGCGGCGTTACTGGTGAAGTCATCAATGAAAGGGTAGACAACGACTTCACTGAGGATATCGTCTACGATGGTACTTGCGCCGGACAATCCGCGTGTCTTGGCTTTACCGTCCACGAAGTGCAACGAAGGTGCGGCTCGGGAAGCTGCGAATTCACCGTCTGTTACCAAACCGAAGTCGGTTACGTTGCTGCTGATAAGTACTACGAGGTCTTTTCGAAGAATGTCGAATCTGACCGCAGCAACATGGACGAAGCCACGGAAGCGGCTCTGGAAGCCTCCAAGGAAACCTGCAAGCTTCACCCTGATTACGGTGTGGATTACGCTGGAAACATGCACACGGAGAGCTTTTCCGATGAAGGAGGTTGTCAAAATGCTGATAACCCCAGCGGAAAGGGTTACTGGGATGAGACTTGCATCAACCCAGAAACCGCCGATGCTTCCAGTGGTATCGTTACCAGCACTACTGGTTCCAGGTTCTCTAGATTCTGTCAAGTTGCCTACCCCGGACAGACGGTGCATTTCATGATGCACTCCTACAACCGATTGGATTGGAATGGGGAGAACCCCACCCCAGTCACTTGCTCTGGTTCCGCAGAGATTGGTGCTCTCGACGGAGACGATGCCAAGTGGGGAAAGAGCCAGTGCGCTCCTTCCACCAGCAACTCCACTGCTCCCAAGGGACAGACCTTCTTTCCCGCCACGGATGGATCTACCGGAGGAACTTGCTCCGAGGAACCCGAAGGCAACGAGTGCGTCTGGTCCTACACGGCCCCCACGGACTGCGCCTACGAAGAGAACTACCCCACCTGTTACATCACCCAAGAGTCGGTGGATACCGTGGACACTCTCTGCGGTGCTTCGGCTGGACCAGTCGTGGAATACTTCGAACATGCCAACAACCCCAATGGTCCTCCTCCACGCGTCCCCCTTCACGACATTGTCATGAATGGCGATGGTACCGTGTCCTTCAAGATTTACAATCCGTATGGAAACTATGCCGAACCCATCAACTACACTTCCACGGAACACTTGTACAAAGGAGATGACTTCCACAACATGTACGTGGTTTACGATCAAGCCAACGAAATTGGTAATGAAGTTTGTGACTTGCAACCAGGTTCTGGCAAGTGCGCTACCGATGAAGAATACACAGCCAAGTGCCGTTCCGATGGTGTTGCCATTGTTACCGTCTTTGCCTCTGGTTTTGATGAAACTTCTGGCGCCGCCCAAGACATTACCAATGGATCGGGAACCGACGTCTTTGAATGTTGCCCTGCCACCTACCAACCACTAGATCACTACAACACGGCACAAACGGCTGCCTGGACTTTCTTGGTCCACTGCGAGTGTCCCGAAGACGAAGAAGCAGACCCCGATCGTCTTCGTCGTCGTAACTTGAGTGAAAGCGTTTCGAACAAGTTCCAAAATGGAAAACTCTTTACCGAGAACCAAAAGAAGCTTCACAATTTGTTGTAATGTAAAACAAATTGCTTGCAAGTATGTATAACTTGTGTTGAGAGAAGTTTTGGAAAAGGAAGGAATCAAGTGAGACTACTGTTACTGCAAATACTGCTGCCACTACTGCAAACAACAATAACGATTGGCCACAAAGAGCAAATCAGGCTCTTTCTTTGCCTTTTGTTGTGAATGGTTGTATATGTACGGTATGAGGAGTCAGTCTTTGTCCTCTTGTGTGTATCATATAAAGAAAAAAGAAAAAATGGAATGAAACAAAAACAAAATAAACAATTCATATTATTATATAATACGACTACAGTATTTTATATTAGGATCAGCCATACAAACTGCTTTTGCCGCTGCTACTTGTTTAGACAAGTGATCAGTGATCAGGGCACCATCATAATGAGCAACCACAAGAGTTCGTGTACGATGGTACAAAAACAAATGGGTTGATTGATTGATGGTATCAAGTACTGTAACGTTCCAGCAGAGGTGCGTGGCAGGCCGTTCCAAGATCGCACAGAGCCTTCTAAAAAAATATTTACATAGACAAGACATGCCACAGGCCATTCCCGTACCATCGGTTTTGTCGTTATGGTCGGACGTCAACGGAGATGATGTGACTAAACAAAATGGTCGACGCTCGAGGAAGAACGGCTCAAATTTGGTGTCGGTTAGGATGATTTTTAAATAATGACGGCCTGCCTCGCCTGCAATATGTAAAAATAGAATGGAAGGAAAAAGTTGGAACGATTGCCGATCTGAGTGAGAATCAGCAGAGGTAGGTACATATACATGTATACATTGACAGGAACAAGAGTAGCAGGTTCAAGGTACAGATCGACACTGTGAAAAGCACCATCAATCAGTTACTACAATAGTATCAACTACTACACAATGGCACCCTATGAATTCAAATATGAAACCAAGGAATCCTCTCCCGACAGTGAATTCTTGTTTCCATTAGGATTGCCAAGTTTGCAATCTTCCGAAGGATCATCCTCTACTGTTTCTTCCTCCGATTCGAACAATGCCTCTCCAGTAGCATCATCGGCCATTCACAATTGGCCAAAACGAAGGGAACCTCCCAATACGTATACCTCACATCGAGGAGGAGGTAGCAGCCACAAGACGAATGCTACCACGACTATGAATCCTCCCGCATCCTTACTACGGATATCCAAAGAACAACAACTATTAGAAAAGCTGCTGGAGGATGACGATGATGATGAAGATGACGACGACGACGAAAACAGTATTCGACAAGATGATAGTACCAAAAAATCTAGCAGGAGCAGTACGCCGAGTGCAAGTTTGAATTATTCGGCTGGTGCTGGTGCTGGTGCTGGTGCTGGTGCTGAAAGAATAACATCCAGCAGCAGCATGGATGGAAACCACCATTCTCATTATAATAATGATAGTACTACTAGTACTACTACTAGTACTGGTACTACTACTGATCGAACGACGCGACTCAAGGATGTCTTTTCCTGTGCGAGGCCCATTAATGGATATCCAACTGCTGTCACGGGAGTCATGGATTATTCCTCTTCCTTGCTCGTCAAGAACAATATGGAAGGGTTTTTGGATGGATTGGTCAATGGATTTTGGCAATGTCCTGGTGGTATGGATATGGATGATGGGAGTACTGCTACGAGTACTACCTTTGTCAGTAGTACGGCGAGTAGCATTAGCGGCAGAGGTCGACAATCTTGCAAAAACGTTTTGGACGCCCTGACGGAATCGACCCAACGAATGGATTTTCGATTCGTGTCACAACAGCCACAACAACAACCACAACCACAGCAAAGCAGACCATTGAAAGAACAACGGTTCTTCTCCTCCTCTTCCTATCCCAATGATACTGATGCTGCTGATGAAATACCTCCACTTCCATCCACATCATCATCTTCTTATTCTCCCAGAAAATCTTCTTCTTCTTCTGCTGCTGCGGCGAAAAAGGCAGTCGGCAAAATGTTCAAACGCATTCGTGTCAAACGAGGGGAGAACATTGGTATGGAACTCTTTGAATATGCCAAGAGTGTGTACATCTCGAGAGTGGCCAAGGATGGAACTGGTCTAAAACGTGGAATGCGCATCATTGCCATTAACGATCATCCCTGTCCCGACTCGGTTCAGGAAGCCATTGCATTGTTAAGTGCAAGGACCGACCACTATGAAGATTATGTTACCTTTGTGACGGGCGAAGAATATGATTTTGAAAATGCCCCTTCGGTGGTCAATGGTGCTGGAGAGCAAGATAACCATTCTACTGCTACTACTGCTACTACTACCACTGGCGGTGACAGTTACAGCATAAGGTCCAGCACGGGGTATGTATAATAAACTGAAGATTGAAAAAGAGGCAATAAGAGACAACATGGACATTTTGAATATCGACGACCATTGTCGATTCAAGAGTACAAACATGCATACAGTATGTATCCATGTCGACGACGGCTACCGCTTAGCTACACATACTGTAGAACTATAACAAAACATCCCCTCAACGCATCATAGGACTAGGACTAGTACAATATAAAATAAATACCGGTACAGCCTCACTATACTTTCTACTAGCCAATATATAGTCCTTTAAAAAATTATACTACTACAGTAGATAATGTCATTTGTCTAGGTTCACCACCTCCCCTGAGGTGGTTGGAAAGGCATCCAAGGCCGCTTGGTACAACTTGGACGTGACTCCATTGGGAACATAGGCTACCGTCACACCTAATTTGGCCACTTGGACGCAGTTACCTCGTTCATTGTCAAAAAATACCATGTCTTCCAAAGCAATTCCAGTCTTGGCCGAGAGTCGTTGAAAGTGACTGGTCTTGGAGTCGTAGGAAATTTCAATCCTTTCATTTTGCATCAGGGATTTATTATTGCTGTTCTTCTTATTATTATTATCATCATGATTGCCAAAGACTGCTGCCATGGGAGTCACTCCATCGTCCAATCGAAACTTTTCCAAAAGTTCTAGCGCCCAATCCGGTTCGTCCGTCCGCGAAGAAATCCCCACCAATGGTGCAGCAGTGGATAATGATTCTTGTGGGTGACGATTGTTAGTCTTATTATTATTATTATTATTATTAGAATAAAGCTCGGAAAAGATGGTTCGGACATTCCCCAAGAGATGTACCTTGTCGCCACTTGCCGAAATCAGATTGCCCTTATTATTGCCATCCGACTTGAATGGAGATCCTTTGCCATACCAAGACAATTCGTACATTTCTGGCTTCCAAAGGCATCCATCCAAATCAAAGACAATCATCTTGGGCTGTTGCTGTACTTTCCTTGTATAGTTGTCATTGTCATTGTCATGATTCTCTATGCCGGACATCAGTTGATGACGATGACGACGATGATGATGACGATGACGATGATGATGATGACGATGATGATGATGAGAACGAATACTGTTAGGAGAGAAACCTTGAACCGTCATCATCATCATCATCATCATTGGCGAATTATTCAGCAATAAGACCAAAATAAAGGAATATTGAAGTGTCAACACCATTATGCCAATCACATAAAACGCATATAAGTATATATACAATTATACTCAATAATGTACAAGTAATGATGTTGATGATGATGCGATGCGATGCGATGGGTGCGATGCGATGATGATGATGTGCGGTGCGGTGGGTTACAGTCGTACTAGTCAATTGCCACGTTTTCCTATCGTGCGTGATACTACCGTACTATACTGTACCCGAATGCTCCTTGCTCTATTCGATATTGCAGTTGCAGTTGCAGTTGTATTTGATTTAAAAAAATAGTCTTCTTTTTATACCGGTGTATATTAGAAGTCTACTTGAGCGGCAGCTCCGCCGTCCTCATCTTCTGTGGAGGAATCATTTCCAAAAATCATCCCCGAAGTGCTATTGGACGAAGAAACTGCCAAGGCATTCAATGTCTCCATGACTTGATCCGATTGCTGCTGCTGCTTTTGGTGCTTTTGATGCTGTTGCTGTTGTTTCTTGTGATGCGTAGTGCTTCTGCTAGTACTAGCAGATCTAGTAGTACTACCACCACCACTAGTAGTCCTCCATGAATGACGATCCACGTTGACCGCCATGATTGTGAGTTCGCCCTCACCCATATTCGAAAACAAGGCTCGGGTTTCCTTAATGGTCTTGGGACACGGCTTTCCATTGATCGTCAAGAGAACCATGCCCGGTTTCAAGGCGGTAAAGGAAAACTTGCTTCCCATGGGAATCTGATCAATGTAAATCTTGTGATCGGTGGTCTTTTTGAGCGTCATACCGACTCGCTCGCACGCATTGGCTTTGATGACGGTAGTGACAAAGGCTTCGGCCACCACAGTGACATGATTCGAGGTTGTCACCGCATCGGCAGCAACATTGGGGGCTTTCCAGGTCATATTTTCGCCATTGATGGAAACGACCACCATACCTGTGTGGATTAAAGCAAGAAGTGAGCACCAGAGAAATGTTAGATTGCTGTATCGTATAGTATCGACAGCATATGCACCAAAAGTTTGAGGCTTACCTTCTACTAAAGTACTTTCACCAAAGAGTCCATCCTTTTCAATTGTGTCAATAGTCAAGGGTGCACTGGCATTCATCCGTGAAAAGGAAATTCCAGGTTCTTGATCATTGTTGGTCCCATTCTTGGTCACGGTTACTTCGAATCGGGATGCACTCAAACCATCGCCATTCAACAAAATACTCGTTTCCGATTGAATGGGTGCCATCATTGTTGTTACAACGGTGTCGGCATCACCGCCCACCGATACTCGCTCTGATGCTGGAGCTGTCCTTTTCGTTGTCAATGATGATGATGATGATGATTGGCCTGCCACGCTGACTTCTTGCGTCAGGACACTAATTTTGTTTTGCTTGTGAAAGAGCTGATTGATCTTGCCCGATTGCACCATTGAGATTCGTTCCATTTCGAGCTTGATTCCATCCACAGCGACAATTTGAATGTCTCCAATGGTTTCCTTCATGATGAACTTGGCAGCCTTGGCGGTCAATGGGCAGAGTTGGCCATTGATACCTTGGATTGTCATTCCTTCTTGAAGGACGGTATCTTTGAATATGCTCTTGTTGGCAATCTTGGCAATGATCACCGTACCGAATGGAGTCTCCTTTAGCTTGAGACCAATCTTTTGCTTGCGTTGCAATCGTTGGACCGTGCATACTATACCTTCGGCAAGGATCGATACTTCTCCTGCCAGTGCACCCTTCAATTCCAGAAAGGCATCTTCGGGAGCAACGCCAAAGGACATGGGTCGTCGATTGATCTCCCGAACAACCATTCCTGGAAGTAGGTCTGAAGATGAAAAGATGCCCTTGCTTCCGACTCGATGGATGATCAAGGGTGATCTTGGCGTCTGTCGAGCAAAGAGAATACCAATATGACAGTCTTGTCGGTCCTTCTGGGCGACTACAGGAATGTAGCATTCTGGATGCTTCATTTCAAGAGCAGCAGCTTCCATGGCAGCAATGTACTCCAGAGCTTCGACTTCTTCCACCGGCGCATCAATATCCAACACCACACTCGCACCATCGTCACAAGAGTCATCGTCCGAATTGTACAAATGTGGAATTAGTTCGTCATTCACCACAGTTGCTTTTTTAGTTGCTGCTCCTTCTCGTTCGCTCGATTCAACTCTTGAAGTGTTGCTGCTGTCCGCAGCGGGAGCATCCCGGCCTTCCTCCTCCCTGGTCCTCATCGCTTGAAAGGCATTCACAATGTAGGTCCAACCTGCAATATCATCGGTCGTCATTTGAGGCAACATGCACAAACGCTTTAGCGTCAAGTATTGAGTCGCTACGGTAATTTCATCCATCTCCTCATTTTCTTCGCCAGACTTTGTCTTTTGTTGTGGTTGGTGATGGTGATTATGGTAGGCGAGGCTGTTGGCCAGGTCCGAGGCGTATTTGGAAACATCGTCCATGTTCAGGAAGCGGGAATAGAAATTGTCATCATTCAACAAGCTCGGTTCCTTTGATGGGGTCGAATAGAGTGATTGTGGTTGTGTTACTGTCGCAGTTGCTGTCGCAGTTGCTTTTGCGTTTGCTCCTGACATAATATTGAAGGACTCCTGCTCCTCTTCATGATGCAATACACTGCTCTGTTTCTGAGGCTGAGAGTACATTCTTGATTTGGTAGCTGGGCCATTATTGGCAGCCGTCATTATGGTTTTCGGAACCTCTCTCATTGGAAAATCTTTTGCTGTTGTTGTTGTCGTTGTTGCTCTTTGCTTGTAGTGTGGTTTTTTCGTTTTTTCGTCGTCGCCAACAATAAGGTCGACCCGGAGCGAAATAGTGAAGGAAGGAGTCGGATGCAGGTTTTCTTAGCGACTTGGATTTCTAGCGACTAAAGCAATGCTATTGGCGATACACGTCGGTTGGGTGCGACACGTCAGACACGCCGGACGTGCCACACAACGACTCAACTGAAAGATGGAATGGAATCCAAATCAATCGTTTGATGGGCAAACATCAATCCAACTGAATGGAAAGTACCTCTTGAAGAAAAGAGGCAAAAAGACTAGCTTCAACCCTCTTTTAACTTCACCATGAGAGATAGAATTACTTTAGAAAGCCCGGACCACTACGATGGTGCTGCTATCGGTAGAAACGGCAACAATCATAACACTGCAAGAACTATGATGATGCCCTGTCATGTAGAATTTTCGATACTAGATGCTGGCAAACATAACAATAGCCACAACCGATCCGGCTCTTTTTCTTCGTCATGCACCAATTCTATTGATTTTCTAATCGAAGGTATTGATATTGATGACCACTACGATACAGAACGAAAGTACAGTAGGGAACAAGAACAACAAGAACCAGATGTATCCCCATACTCATGTGGGAAGACGTTTATCATACACAAGCAATCGAAAGAAGAGACCCTGGGAATTGAGTTGGGTAAAGCTACCAAGTATGGTGGTGTGTTTGTGACGAAGATAGAAGCAAATTCAAAGTTTGCATACACAGGTTTGAAACCTGGAATGCAAATTCTTTCCATCAACGATCGCCCGTGTCCTGTAGATTTTCGAACGGTAGCATTCATTATGAAAGAAACTGTTGGAGACTTGAAGATATCTGCCATTGACGCTACTAACAAAAAGAACATGGCGATGGCCATTCAAAACAAGCAGGCCCATCGCCAACGAAAGCAAAACGAAACAAAGCATCCAGCAACATCTTCTCAACCACAAACTATCAACAAGGAAGAAAGTTTTGGTTCCGCTAGGACTTGGAGTCCAGGTACCAGCTACTATGCCTCGCAACAATCTGATCAGCGCGAAACTAGAGAATCATCCCACGGAAGGATTCTCTTTGAAGAACGATCACCTGCTTCCCCACTGTCATCATCTTCCAAGTTGCTGGCCTCTCCACGGGCCTTGGCCACTGGAGGTGCACGTCTAGTATCCCATTGGATGCGCAGCAAGCGGTATCAAAAGATAAAAAGTGATGCCTTGAAAAAGTCGAGTGGTAAAAGCAGCCGCCGCTTGACCCGGCGTTCTGCTTCTACAAGAGAAGTACAACGTCGAATGATGATGGAATCCAATGGTGTAGACGATGATGAGTGCTCCACAGATGGACTTTTGGAAAGGATTCCTTCTGCATTGGCTTTGCATGATATCGTACAGGAAGGGCTGGAAGAAAGGGCTCCAGCAAAGGAGACACTCTTGTCAAACGCTACAGCGTTCAACAATTTCACGCAAACGGACTATGAAGCCGGGACGCTGAGCGAAATTTGAAGTGAGCTACTTTGGGATGAGGGGAGTTGGGAATTCAGGAAATCAAGATTGTGATTTGTTATTTGAAATTTATATATGCCATTATATTGTAAAGCTGCTGACGGAATAAGCAGCAGCCAGCCAGCATGGAATCAATGTTGGGCCTCTTCTACCACTACTAGTAGAAGATAAGCGTCATTATTTAGTAGTATTCATATGTTTACATGTACACATAGACTGCTGGCTGGTACTATATCTACAATCACAACTATTATCGTAGATTCAGTTAGGTGGAACCGAAAGGAAGAGTTCCATGGGAGGGCGCAGTAATAGTAGGCAATCACAAAAGGAGAGGTAGAAGATTTGAAGTATGCAACACGTTTACATCTACAATTACTATTGGCATTTATTATAAATAAAGAGAAGTGTCATCATACGTTTCACCACAATGAAAGAAGGACATAAATAGAGAAGAAATATCCCAATCTTGAGGCCCGTTTTCTTGTCTGGCTGTTGTTTTGCCTGTTGTTTGTCTGGCCGATGCTTTGGAGGTTGCTTTGGCTGCCGCCTTTGCTTCCCTGGCATTGCGTTGTCGAGCTGCTTTCCAAGTGGCTTGTAGCTTCTTCAATTGCTTCTTCTTCTCGTCAGAGGACTTGCTGCTTCTACTAACGGGCAAGGTAAAGGCAGTCGTGGTGTTGATGGCAGCAGCAGCAGCAATTGCTTTCTTTTGTTCCTTCCTTTTTGACTTGTATTCTTTCATCAGCAACGATGTTTGGGGAATCAATCCTTGGTATGCTTGAGCATCGGCAAGCGCTGAGACTGAAGAAGCTTCCGAAGAAGGTGTGTCTGAAATGTGCGATGGAATAGATCGGTTCATCTGGGATCCGTTGGACTGTTGTGCCTGCTGCATGTTCTGTTCTGCTGGTTTTCTTCTTCGAGCTTGTTCTGGGAATGGCATCGCTCGGTGCTTGAGACTAGCGGTCTTGCTCACTGGCTGCATGTGCTGGAGTGGCATGGTGTTTTGCGCATGCTCGGTCTTTTCTAGATGGACAACCAGCTGTCGGAGCTGCCCAACAGTTGCACTGTTGGTCTTCTCTTTCGTACCGGTCGTCTGTTTGGAGGAGCGCATTGAATCATTGTAGGAAGCAAATTGAGGTGACCACCGAGCTCGGTTATCCCACTTGCCGACTTTCTGTAGCTGCATTTCTTTGGGTTGGTTAGTCGGACATTGAACTTTGGCAGGGGTATCAGGATCATCAGATTTAGGCCGCATGCCTCGTTTGCCCAATTTTTGTAGCTGCATTACTTTTGGTTGCTTGGTTGGACAATCCACTGGGGCTGGGACGTTATCATCCTCGGAAGCAGCCGCTCGGGCTCCATCCGGATCTTTCTTGCTGGACGTCTCTTTGGTGGCTGTATTGGACTTCTGTGTAGTCTCCTTTCCTGTCTTATTGAGGCTCCAGGTCGCTGTTTCTTTTTCAATAACCGGCAAATACCACTTTTGAGGACTTATGGAAACTTTTGGTTCCAACGTTGTGGGAGCGTTCTCAATGATGTTGTTGCCCCAACCACTGAACCATCCTCCTTGATCTTGGCTATTCAATTTCGTAGATATCGTCGATGCCATAGATCGGTTGGATGTCATAGGCTGTGACATTGTTGGCTTCGACTTTGCTTGAGGTGGAGGTGGAGGTGGAGGTGACAAAGGTGACGCAGGAGACGCAGGAGGTGGAGGTGGAGGAGTCGAAGACAGGAGCATCTTTTGAATAGAAGCAAAGGGGTTCCAATCGGAAGCAATCTCTTCTTTCTCTTCCACTGGATCCTTCTTTCCTTGGTCCTCTTTCTTTTCCACTGCGTTTTCCTTTTTATCTTTTTCTATTGATTGCACCTTCTTGTGAATCTCACTGAGCTCTCGAACCTCGTGCAACTTTTCCATCGCCTCCATTTCCTCCTTGGATGGAGTGCGTGCTTTTCTTGGTTCTGGCTTCTTGCTTGCCGCTGCCGGAAGAAGGCTGAAATTTTCCAATGCTGCGATACTATTGACCGATTCTGTGTCCGGTTCCGATTTAATCTTCATATTCCAAATGTTCTTGTCCATGTATCTGTCATGTTTTTGTCTTCGTCGTTCTTTCCTATTTTCCTGCTTTCCCTTCTTTTTCTCTTGCGCTTCGCGGAAGAGTGCACATTGCCTTTGTTCTTCCAAAAAGTGCAAGGCTTTCAGCTGCTTTGTGAGTTCTGAGTCTGGCTCATCCTTGTCGGTCTCGCCTTTTTCGGATTTTTGTTTTGGCCGTTTCAGTTCGCTCGTAACAATCTCGACTTGAATGATGTTGATGCCTTCATCATCTTCTCGAATTTCTTCTAGTGGTCTTGCTTCTGAAGATTGTTCACTTCTTTCTTCATCAGGTTCCAGACCCCGTTCAATTTGACTCAAATAAAACTGTCTCTGCTTGAGTTCTTCTTTGAGATCCACAGCATGAAGTGTAATCCATCCCGTCGAGGATTCATCCTTGGATGACTTTGAGTTGCCTTCACCATACGTAGCTGGGTGCTTCATTCTTTGTGGCGGTGCCTCTGGATTGGTGGGAGAATGACTCGATTCCAAAAGAGCCTGCAAACCTTGTTGTGTCTTGGGACATGGTTGATGATTGATGGCCACAATCCGCATACCAACTTTGAGTTGTGGTGCAAAAATTGCCATTGGACCCCACGGATCGATTTTCGAAATCACAAAAAGGGTAGAATGATTGCCGTGAGCAGTAGAAGGAGAGTTTTCCGATGTCGTCCAATCGGATGGAAGTGTCGAATATGTGGATATGGAAAAATCAGTAATCGAGGAACCGGTTGAAATGGAAGAAGTGTCACCCGTCTTGTAGTCAGACGCACTCTTGGCGGTGACAGCAGCCACTTGAAAGCCCAAAGACTGAGATGGACGCCATCGAAAGATACTGCCATGGGAAATTGGCAGCCTTGTTCTTGTATTCTTTTCGGACGTACTAGCGATTGGATCCTGTCCTACTTTTGGTGTTGGGGTTTGGGTAGGCTTGGTGATTGCGCAAGCTCGTTTGGACGAAGATGTCCTATTGGCTTTTACAGACGGTCTCATGATTGAAGATATTTGGATTGGAATGTCTGTTAGAATATTATGAACTTTGTCGATGCTATTGGTTGCGGTTTACTAAGATAGGCAGGTTTTTCCCAGGTTTTTCCACATCTTTGGTTTTAACATCAGTTGAACGGTTGAAGGTCGACTGGCGTGTTTGACAACGGATTGTTTTCTAGGTAAGTTCCGTTGAAGATGTGCCAGATACGACATGGACATGGTGTTTTCTAAACATATCATTTTTGGCCTCCCTCCACATAGACGATTCTGATCATGTGCGATCAAATGCTATCGACGAATGTGGTCCGGCTTGCGCCGTACCAGGTTTTTCACGAGTTGAGGAGATGCTGTTTCTTGCGAATGATGATATCATTTATTTAACCTACCATCAGAGACGTGATAGAAGTCTCACCATAACCTACCAACCTGTATTCCGAAAGCTCCACTTCCTCGACCATACCAACTGCGGTCGAATCCTAGTCATTGTGAATACATTGTGTTAGGTCACACAGGGCTGCTGATTGAACGCAGCTGCACCTTAACAAGAGAGCTGAGACGTTTCTTATTACAGAGCATTCAGGCTTTGTAAGATTCGTCATTTGCATTTTCATCATCCGAATCAGCATCAGCATTGGCATCAACGAAGCAAAACACAGCTAAGATGCCAAGCCTCCGCTCAAGCTCATCATTCCCTACTCCACCGCAAACTGCTCTCTCGTTGAGAGCCAGTGCAAGCGACCTGAGCTATCATGATCCTAATAAACAAGGCCCAAGCCTAAACTGGAATAAGTTCAGTCAAGTTGTCATGGTGAACGAGCATAAGGACCCAGACGATGATGGCAAAGCAGACAGCAACAAAAAAAGGATACTGTTTTGGAAACGCAATCGAAAACGCAACAGCAGTAGCAACAATCTTGCGTCCAATCCTTCATGTTCCATCCTGGTTCTATCGACACGCAAACAGCACAAGCAACAGGCTTTGGGAATAACTTTGCGGCAGGAAACTTCAAATTCAGGAGGCAAATCGCCTGGTGTTTACCTCACTGGAATTGGTCCTCATAGTCCATTCTTTCGAGCAGCGTCTCGCTATCTGCCGCAGGGCAGCAAGATTGTTTTGGTCAATGGCCAGCCATGTCCAGCGTCCGTCAAAGAAGTAGCCAACCGACTGCTTCAAGTCCCGCAAGGAGCCGTGTTGACCCTGCATTTTGAAGTTAACACTTCGAGCAATAACAAGTCAACATCCAAACTACCGTCACTCTTTCGCCGGAGCAACAGCAACACAACCATGCTGAATCCCATCCAGGACAAACATTACGCACCCGACCATCCATTTCATCAAAACAAGGAACGGTTGCGCTCCGGCAAACAATTGCCTCGATCCATTTTAAAGACACCCAAATACAGTTCCAATTCGCTAAGCAGCATGGGGTGCAGCGGCGGGCCATCTCCCATGCAAATGCTCGCCTTGCATTATAGGACGGCCAAAATTCTGCACGACGAAGCCGTTCTGGAGTTTGAGCAGCTGGGCAAATTCCTGACGCAATCCTGGAGTACTTCCGGCAGTAGTAGCTCGAAAGCCTTGACGGACACGTCAGCGAGCCTGATTGAAAAGACCAACAGTCGATGGGCGAGTATTCGAGCAGATGAATTGGCCGAGTTTTAAGAAAGGCTTGTTTTGTTTTGTTTTGTTTTGTGACATGATGGTGATAGGGTGATTGTTCCATGACCATTAATGAGTTACATGGAAAGCGCATCAGATATCACACAGAACTGCTGCCGAGGTTGTGTTCGGCTAAGCAGCTGCCAAGGGGACATGCGAGTTCAAAGATACATACAAAAGGTCACATTGAGGGGAAGGAATTGAGGTGCTGGCCGCTTCAATACCATCAGGTTGACGTCCAACTTGAAGAATTACTAGTGACTACTTATTATAACATTCCATGATTCACATGACATCTCCTCTTTGATTCGTAGCAAAACTCGTTGATTGCTTCACCCATGATACTACAGATAGATCGATTTCTTGTGTTGTTCTATTGTATTTTTAATCCTCGCTTAATGCTTCGGCTACCGCGCCCGATACATCATCGTATGATGATACCCATTCCTCTCCTTCTTCCGAGTAGTCAGTACTGTTTGGACATATCCCTTCGTTCCAATAATATCTTGGGCATGGCCATCTATCTTTGAAAACAAAGTTTTTCAAGTTGTCGTGGCTGTAATCGATTCCCATTGTATCCGGTCGTAATGCTGGGATAAATTGCTTGTTCATTGCTTGTGTAATGACAAACATGCACATGTTGGGTTCCATCGTTTTGGTATCCCGGTGATATCCAAATGTATCATAGTATCGATCGACGGATCGCACCTGTCCAGTTCCATACTCCTTCATCTCCTTGGGAAAGACATGACCTCCATTATCATTGGTTTGCAATTCAATAATCGTATTGAGCCGTTGCATGGCCTGAAAGGCAACTTCGACATCATAGGACGGCAATTCCCAAAATCGGAGGGGTACTTTCTCCTTCTTCGTTTGATGATATTGTTTTCGTTCCACGTCACTCTTGGCAACGTAATAATGATAGACAATTGGCCCACTAGGAGCATAGGTATCGTAACCATAGGTAAATGCCCGGATCCCAATGTTGCTCTCTTCTCCTTGAAAAATGTGCGGCAAGTACTGGTCGTATGGGACATTGATGGCAAAGTGACCTCGGGCAAAACTAAATCCGGCTCCCCAATAGGCCTGTAGCTGCAGCCGCCGATCCTTAAAGGCAAGTTCCGTGCAGGGTTCTTGGTCATGTCGCAAATGCATTCCAAAGTCCTGTGAATCTTCAAAGCTGGTCGAACACATAATGGCCCGACATCTGGCAGTCCTTGATCCAGTCTTGGGGTCGACAAAAAAGGCATGATCCGGGTAGACCGACATGATTCCCATTTCATTCTTGGCGGATTTCCATTGATCAATAATGTCTTGGTCCCATTGAAAGGTAAATTCGACGTGGGAATCCGCTTGCAAGACAAAGTACTCTCCTCGGTACATGCGATAGGCCAAATGTCGACTGGTAACTGGTCCACTGCTTTCAAAGGCATTGAACGGAAGGGTATCAATTTGACTGGCGTATTCGCACAAGACTTGGGTCGGATCTTCGTCACAGGGATAAAAGGGTGTGATGCAGGGTGTATCGCTTTCTTCGTCGTAATATTTCTCGTGACCCTTGTTGTTGTTGTTGTTGTTGTTGTTCTGATTATTATTAGTATTGCCATCATCCTCGTCATCCGATCCCTCCTCATCTGGATTGGGCAAGACTTGATCGACAATGGTGACTCGAACCCGTTCGGGAAACTTGGCCCGACGAAACAATCCCTTGAGGGTGTTTTTGCACATGGTTCCATCTCGAAAGGAAGCCAACATGACATTGATTGTTTCTACCTTGATGTACGGAGAATCATTGGCTTTTGCTTTTGCTTTTGCTTCTTCACCAGCAGCAGCAGCAGCAGCAGCACTTGCGTCATCGTCGGCATCGTCCAACAAGTCCGTGTTCTCCACCTCAGTGGTGTGAATCTCCGAACAGGCTTCCGGAACTCGTTTCCAAGTGTTGCGATCCAACATGACATAACTTCCGATGCTTTGGGCTTGGTCCTTTGTCATTAATCGTTCTCCATAATTTCCAAGATATTCTCGCATTTCTTTGGTGGCATACATATGCGGAACCTTGAGAAAGTTGCGTGGAATCGTGTCGGCTTCTTCCGGCAAAATGTTCTGATCCCAATGCAGGTAGGACGATACAGGATGTTCAATGGTCTCCCATTTGTCATCTTCGTCTTGATTTTGCTTGTGAACCAAAACTGGAAAGTTTTTGCAATCTTCAATCTGCTGTTGTTGGTAAAACTTGAGCTGTCTGGATTGTTGGCGTGCCGATATTAATCGCTGAATGGGCGATTCATTCTTGTTCTTGTTGTTATTGCCACTACTATTCCTATTCCTATTCCTATTCCTATTACTGTTGTTGTTATTGTTGTTGTTGTTGTGGTTGTTGGCGGATCCAGCATTACCAGTCCCATCGTCATTGTCAAAGAAAAGAAAGGGGAATCCAGTGGCCACATGAAGCAAGCCAATCAGTATCGTGGAGGCTCCAAGAAACAAATAAATCTTCTTTCGTCGTTGATAGGCGTGATGTTTCCGTAATGATCGCTTGGTAATCTTCATTCTGTTTTGCTGGCTGTTTATTATTTGCTGTTTATTGTTTGCTGTGTGCTATTTGCTGTTTATTATTTGCTGTGTGCTGTTTATTATTTGCTGTGTGCTGTTTATTATTTGCTGTGTGCTGTGTGCTGTGTGCTGTGTGCTGTGTGCTGTGTGCTGTGTGCTGTGTGCTGTGTGCTGTGTGCTGTTTATTATTTGCTGTGTGCTGTGTGCTATTGAAATCGCTCTCTGCTGTTCTAGCGATCGTTCATTGGATTGGCCTTTTATTACTGTCTTGTCTTGTCTTGTTGGCTCTAGACTAGTCTACAGTATACTGTACAGTAGGTACCGGTTTTATCATCTTGTTGACAATCGATCGTCCGTCATTTGTTTTTTTTGGTTGCCATGCGTTGGGGTTTCAATATCCCTCCTTTCCACATTCCCTATTATTAGCCCCTATTTTTTTTAATCGACAGGCGACAGACAGACGAAGATCCAAGATTCGAGATTGGATCTCATGATGATGACGTTGATTGATTCATTTTAGGTGGCATGCTTGGACAGTACACGTGTACGTGTACTGTACCTAGTACTGTACTGAACGCTTACCTGCTGTACCAGTATGGTCCAACACGACGTCTAACGTACCGGTATGTAGATCTATGACACCAATTACGTCATCGCATAAAGGCCCATACCGGGTATTTGCACACGTGCTTTGATACTGCTGATTATACGCTGCATAGAACGCTGCTCCCCGTACCACTTTAGTACCTTCGTACGTACCCCTCCCTTGGTCCAACGAATGCTTTTTATATAGCTCTGACACCAATCGTGTCTTCGCAAGGCAATCACAATTCCCAATATCTGTACACGTGCATCAACATCCAAAACACACTTCCATTTAACAGTGACCGTTCCTTCGATTCTCGTTTTGTCAGAAAACCACGCGCACAAATATCGAATTCGATTTCGGAAAATTCTCACTCCCGCTGAAGTTGTGAAGCACTCCCATCTTCGACCCCCGACTCCATGTCGTTGCACATGCTACAACGGTGCGCGATCCGGGCTATTACATAGTGTAACGGATCGATTTTTTGCTGACCTGCTTGGCAGTGTCGGTATCTTTTCGGCATGTGATGGTGATGTTTTTCTGAAAAGATCTTCTTCGTTTGTCAACTTCCATCACTGGCTTTCTCACAATTTTACTTCCTTTGTATCTTGCATCGCATTTCTCCAACTAACTCAAACCTTACAAGAAAAATGAAGTTCCTCTCCACTCTTTTGCTTACCATTGCGGCCATGATTGCTGTTGCTGCAGCAGACACTACTCCCATCGAAGGTGAAACCGCCGACCTCCTCGTCAGTAAGTTTTTTCTTTCTGCTAATGAGCACGACGCAAACGGCAAACGCGTATCGTGAATACTACAGTGCAACAAGTCAAGCCTATTGATCTAACCACCACCCCTCTTGCTTTTCGCTTTCGTTTTCTTGATAGACGAGGATAGAGTGGGAAACCTACGCAAGTTGGATAGCTCCAGCCACATGTCGTCGTCTTCCAAAAAGTCCGGAAAGGGCTCGTCGTCTGGAAAGGGCTCGTCGTCCGGCAAGGGCGGAAAGGGCAAGGGCTCCTCCTCCTCTTCGTCCGGTAAGGGCGGAAAAGGAAAGGGTGGCAGCAGCAGTAAGAAGTCATCTTCCCACTCCTCCTCCAGACGTGAGTTGTACTCCTCCTCCGACTCTTACTCTTCCAAGAAGTCCGGAAAGGGATCCTCCTCGTCTGGCAAGGGCGGAAAGGGCAAGGGCTCATCTTCCTCCTCGTCCGGCAAGGGCGGCAAAGGAAAGGGTGGCAGCAGCAGCAAGAAGTCTTCTTCCTCCCATTCCTCCTCCAGACGTGAGTAAACGTCGTTGGAGTTATTGCTGTACACAAGTGTGCAACAAGCACCGCAAGAGCAACAAGCTTCTGTTAGGTCCTCGAACACGTATCTTCATACAAAAACCTAAATGGGGGCAACAAAAAGTTGGGTGGTCTGCGATAACTACAGGAACCACTCTACTATACATGTCCCGTCAATTGCATATCTTAAAATTGTTTTAAAAAATATATACTTGGAAACTATAGAAAATCATTGATTCTGATGATTGATTTACGATGTATGTATTTACCTGTATGTTCTGATTGACTGAGAGGCTGACTCTTCTCAATACTGCAATGTATGATAAATGGGCTACATTGCTGGACTTTTACGTCCAGGCCTCAAAAGGACAGCGATCGGCGGGCATGGATGTTATAAAATACGAAACCAATTTGGTTGTTATTTCATTCGCGGTGCTACAAGTATTCAATCATAAAAATGGTAAACGTCCGCATGGTTCTTCGCCTCTAGCAACTGAATTGAAGGTGGATGGTGTGTTCCTTCTTGCTGACTCAATCGTGTGCTGGGATAGCAGAACAGCAAAGAGAAAGCATTGAGGACATATTCGACTTTTGTACTGTCATTGTGGACGTAGCTTGACTTATTCAGACACCGGAAGCGTTTCGTCAGAAGAAAACATCTTCGCTCCAATAATGTTGCTGATTCGATGTAGAATGCATGATGAAGCCTTAGTAGGCCGAGACTATACGATTCATCAGCATGATTGCACCACGAAAGCCTCTTGGATTGTCATACCTCCAAGAAGCGAGGCATATGCTGCATAGCATTGAATCATTGAACGGGTCGCTTGACGCATAGCAAGAAAGTGTACCATTCTGCTCTTCTTTTGATGTAGTTACAGTACACGAAAGGATGTGAATCCACAATCCCCATCACCTCTTCAGCACTATTTATTATCGTCCGATCTAGTATTTGTATGTGTATACCGTTTGTTGTTTTCGGTGGAATGTCATGCGTTTGGGTTGCACACCCCCCTTGCCGTATCCCCTTTATGACAGCCCCTGAGAATATTGAGGTGACAGGCAGACGACAAAGATATATTCAACATTATGTTCAATGTAGTTCGGAGTACCAGGTACCAGGTACTGGTACAAGGTACCTGGTATCGGTACTTGCACTTTCAACTTCACGATCGATGGATCTTGATGACGATTCTTTGCAGTGCATGCACGGAACGGTACTACCAGTACAAGTACAAGTACAAGTACAGTACCTTTAGGAACCTTTCCCTTGGCTGGTGGTCCCAGCACAAATGAAGGATATCTTTGTAGAGTACCTACTACCGGTACCGGTACTGTAATGACAAGAATCATGTCATCGTATGCTGACCGGCCAGGCAGTAGCTGCCATCGTGATCTTGTCCATGATATGTGTGTACTGTATATACACGCGCATAGATATTGTTGATTCTACATTGCATGGAACGCCGCTACCCGTAGAAGTACAGTACTTACATACCTACTTTCCCTTCTGGTCCAACGAATGCTGTGTCTACAGTATGCAGACCAATAACAAAAATCGCGTCATCGCATGCTCATTTTGCCCATGATATCTTTAGACCACGCGCATAGATATTGTTGGTGTGCATTGCATGGTTGGTGTGCATTGCGTTGCATTGAACGCTCCTACCCGTAGAAGTACGGTACTTGACTACCTTCCTACCTTTTCCTCGGTCCAAGGAATGTCGACAAAACGCAGACAAGGTACTCATCTTGGTCTATAAGTGCACACGTGCAGAGATATTGTTGGTGTCAACAAGAGTAGCGGTACATTGCATGGAACGCTGGTACCCGTGCAAGTACAGTACATTCCTACCTGCCTAACTTTCCTTTGGTCCCACGAATAGGTCCATTTAAAAGGAATGACAAGAATCGCGTCGTCGCATGGCCAGCCATTGTCTTCGCCCATGACATCTGGACACGCGCATAGATATTGTGTGATTCCACATTGCAAGGAACACTTTTTCCCGTACAAATACAGTACCTTCCTACCTACCTACCTTTCCATTCGTCGAACGAATCGTTGTCTATCTTATGTGCAGCAATAAGAGCAGTACGACCCCTGGATTTTACATAGTGTAGAGGATTGGATCTTTTGCTGACATGCTTGGCATTGTCGGCATCTTTCGGCATCTGAGAATGATGCTTTTTCTGAGAAATTCTTCTCTGGTTGTCAGCTTCCATCTCTCACCTTCTCACAATCTTACTTCCTGTGTAAATTGAATCACATTTATCCAACTTACTGAAAACTTAATCGAAGAAAAATGAAGTTCCTCTCCACTCTTTTGCTTACCATTGCTGCCATGATTGCTTTTGCTGCGGCAGACAACACTCCTATCGAAGGTGAAACCACCGACCTCCTCGCCAGTAAGTATATTCTCCTTGTACCGATGCCGATGAGCACCAATTGGCGAACGTATGACGAATGCAATGCAACAGTCAAGTCATTGAGCTAACCACCCCTCTTGCTTTTCGCTTTCATTTTGATAGACGAGGACAGAGCTAGTGGAAACCTTCGCAAACTGGATAGCTCCAGCCACATGTCGTCTTCTTCCAAGAAGTCCGGAAAGGGCTCCTCCTCTGGAAAGGGCTCCTCCTCCGGCAAAGGAGGCAGCAGCAGCAGCAAGAAGTCTTCTTCGTCCAGACGTGAGTTGGGCTCCTCCTCCTCCTCTTCCGGCAAGGGCTCCTCCTCTGGAAAGGGCTCCTCCTCCGGAAAAGGAGGCAGCAGCAGCAGCAGCAAGAAGTCTTCTTCGTCCAGACGTGAGTTGGGCTCCTCCTCCTCTTCCTCCGGCAAGGGCTCCTCCTCTGGAAAGGGCTCCTCCTCCGGAAAAGGAGGCAGCAGCAGCAGCAAGAAGTCCTCTTCCTCCAGACGTGAGTTGTACTCCTCCTCCGACTCTTACTCTTCCAAGAAGTCCGGCTCCTCCTCCGGCGGCAGCAGCAGCAGCAAGAAGTCTTCCTCCTCCAGACGTGATTAGACTGTGAGTTGTGCTAATTGCAACAAGTTTTAGGTCCTAGTACGAATTGTCGTATCTTCATGAAAAGAAAATGGGGTGACAATAAGTTGGTGGTCTGCTAACCAGCACAGAACTACTATATTTCACATTTCCCATCATTGCATATTTAGTATTTATGATAGTTTTTAAACCTAATAAAATATCATGATTATAATTGACGGAGTGACTCAACTCAATAATGCTATGCGGACTTTCGACGAGGCCCCGAATGGACAGTTTTGACCGGGCATGAGCATGAAACCAAAGTATTTGCTGATTGTATTTATTTTCATGGTGCTTCAAGTATTCTTTCATAAAAAACGAGAAGCGTCCGCATAGTTCTTCGCCTCTAGCAACTGAGTTGAATGTGCATCATGTGTTCCTTGGACTCAATCGTGTGGGATAGCAGGACAGCGAAGAGAAAGCATTGACAGGTCCCCTTGTTTTCGACGGGAGCAATAATCCTTCCCTTCATGATCGACTTGAATTATAGATATCAGATTTTGTGCCGTCACTGTGGACATAGCTTGACTTTAGACACCACAAACATTTCGTCACGAGAAAACATCTTCGCTCCAGTTCTTGCTGATTCGATGATGTAGGCTGCACTATAGTCTATTGGCGGAGATTACAATTCACCAGCATAATTTCACCTCTAGAGCCTCTTGGATTGTCATTACACCAAGAACTCATATGCATATCATTGAATCATTGAACGGGTTGCTTGACGCATAGCAAGAAAGTCTACCGGTATACCATTATGTTCTTCTTTCGATACGTACCGGTACGGTAATAGGAAAGATATGAGATATATATATCCACATCATCACGATCAGACTGCCCGCCGTACAAAATGCGTAGACGTGGTACAAATCCTGTATTCGATTGAGTCGGTAATCGGCACTACTGACTCGTGCGATTCAAAAATAGTAACCAAGAGGCAAGAGCCTCAAACCGTACAAACGACCTTGTTGTGATTACATATCTTGTTTTTTGAATGTGTACTATTTGCTTAATGTATACAGATTAGCGATATATGCACTTTGAATTACAATATTTGGTATAGGATCGATCAGATTCAGGCATTACCACCAAGTCATCTGAAATGTCATTGGAATGAAGTCAAAAGAAAACAGTTGCCGAACATCTCTTTTCCATCGTAGCACTCCATAACATCACCACATACTGATCCCTATAGGTCTAATAACAACTTTGATGGCGGCCCGACCTTGTCTGGGTACTGGCACGGGGAAAGATTCTCAACAATTTTTGGACTATAGACTCATTTGATCATCCACGTCAAATGTATGCAGTTTGATCCCTTCTACCTAGAAAACTCCCAATTCAACCACCCTATCGGTGTTACATGTACCCATAGAGAACAAATGTAAGTTGGAATAAAGAAATGAAAGGAAATTAGGCCCACCATTCGACAAATACTGGTTTTGGGGCAACACTTATATGAATTCTGACCCATTCAGGCAATACTGTACGCTTGATTCAGGCCGAATCAATGACTAAGTCGCATACTTTTCGAACCACAAGGATCAATGTGAGAGACTGGTGCATTGTTGAGTGGCTGTCCCTTACCATGGCGGCCACGACGGCAAACCAAAAGAGAAAAGATGAAAATCCCAAAATCTCTGCAACCAAAGTACATGAAGCAACCCAGCAAGGCCCCAACATAGTATAGATACCAACAAAGCCTACCACCATTCGGAGACAGACTTTCGTTGCATGTGGAGCCCATTATGGACCCCAAAGGACCACCCTTGCTTCAGAACCAGATGGACGAATTATGGTTGATTGTAGTATGATTGAGGCCATACAAAGTATTTTTATCCGAGGAGCTTGCCATAGCTCCTGATTCAGTTCTCTTTTCTTGTGGGACCCATGGCATGCAATTCATCTGTTTTTGACGAGTTTTGCCACTTGATGGACTCTGTAGAAAATTGTTTTGCACGGACCATGATAGCAACCATTAGATGGTGGCAACACCTTTGCGATAACAAGAGAAGCAATCTCCGCAGAACTTTCAAGCCTTTTTCCTTTCCACTTCCTAAAGAGTCCAAAACTTTATGAAAACAATTGTCAAGAAAATGTTTGTGTGCTTCAGTGGGCATTTTGGAGACCAAAGAAACCAATGCGCTCAGATCACTTCGAACAAAGAAGATAAATAGGAATGACACAAAGATATTGTTAGCTCTGCATCCATATCCTCTGGGCGGACGATGACTGCAAGTCTGTCAAAGCTCACCACCATCATGTCGCAATCACATCCATCGGCCATTTTCGGTAGATTTCAATGGTGCGATCTTTCGTTGCGCTGGGATTTTTTCGATTTTGGGCTTCTTCAATGCATAATGAACGAGAATATTCAAAAAACCTTGCACAACAACGTTTTGTTGATGCCAACGAGCCTCCAGGAGAGGTTGACGACGGAAATGGAAGTTTTGTGTTTCTTCCATTTGGTACAATTTCTACGAATAGCCACGAAGGTGCGCGCAAAATTTAAAGGTACTATTCTAGGCATGATTCATGCTACCAGAAACTTGGATTCTACGCAAATCTACGGCGAGTTTGATTTGGACTGTATCGTGTACCGGAAGATATGTGAATCCGCAATCCCCGCACCTCTACCGGTAGAGCACTCGTTGAAATACCGTTAGGACTGGAACGTTACATCTGAATGGTGTCACAGAAACGGAAGTGTTCATAAGTAATAAAAATACCAGTAGTTTTCGCATAAGTAACAAAAATACCGGCGGACTCGACGCCAGGTTTTCTCGTTGCAAAATAATACCTTTCACAATTCATGCCAAAATTGAAAATAGATCACATTATTCATAATACGGTGTAATCATCAATCACCTACATTAACAAACAGACATTAAAATGAAATTCCTTACTGCTCTCTTCTTCGCCGCCTCTATCACCCCTATTGCCGCCGATACTGGAAAGGTCGAACCTGTGTCTATCCTCAACTTGGCCGCTGCCGATGGAAAATATGGAACTCTTCTCAATGCTGTCACCAACACCCCAGGAGTTCTAAACGCCATTGCCACGAACTTTCCCGTCAGTGAGTAACAAATGATAAAAGTATGCTGAAGATCTTTTGGTCATTTTCTAACTAGTGTCTGCTTTCTTTAACAACAACCCACAGCCATCTTTGGTCCTACCGATTCCGCTTTCGCTGCTATTGCCAACACTGTTGCTGGATTGACCGAGGCTCAAATTGCTGGAGTTCTTGCGGGACATGTCGTTTCAGGCGTCCTTACTGCGCAAAACATTATTGATGTTGGATGTATTGAACTCATGACTCTTGCTGGCAATCAAATTCGTGTCATGGTGACTGCCAATGGAAGCGTGATGGTCAACGACGCTACTGTCATCCAACCCGATATTATTGGTGAAGAGGGTGTCATTCATGGGATCGACAAGGTCATTCTTCCAGGAAGCTTCGCACCATGTCCAGCTCCTGCTCCAATTGGGACACCCATTAGCTCACCAGTTGGCGTACCAGTCAGTGCACCCGTCAGTATTCCAGTAGGCACACCCGTTAGCATGCCTGTTGCTGGAACTCCTGCTAGCCATCCCGGCAAGGGAAAAACATCAAAGAAGACGTCCTCCTCTAAATCTTCCAAGAAGGCTGGCAAAGGTGGCAAAGGTTCTTCCAAATCGGGCAAAGGCGGGTCCAAGGGAATGACCTCCTCGGGCAAGGGGGGGTCGTCCAAGTCTGGTAAAGGATCATCCGGAAAGGGTGGATCGGCTTCTGCTAAATCTGGTAAGGGATCATCCGGAAAAGGTGGCTCTACTTCTGCTAAATCCGGTAAGGGATCTTCTGGAAAGGGTGGAATGGCCACTAGTGCTAAATCCGGTAAGGGATCTTCTGGAAAGGGTGGCTCTGCTTCAGCTAAATCAGGCAAAGGATCCTCTGGAAAAGGTGGAATGACTTCTAGTGCTAAATCGGGTAAAGGATCATCTGGCAAGGGTGCATCATCTGGAAAGGGTGGAATGACCACCAGTGCCAAGTCTGGCAAAGGATCATCCGGAAAAGGTGGATCGACTTCTGCAAAATCGGGCAAAGGATCATCAGGAAAGGGCATGACTTCTCCTTCTGCTAAATCTGGCAAGGGGTCATCCGGCAAGGGATCTTCTGGCAAGGGATCCAGACAATAAGCTTCCTTCTATTTCAGAAAGCTGCACCACGACCACACGTTGATGTGGAACACACCTCATTCTCATTGTTTTGAATGGCGCGAAATCTGTTGTATATATTACAGAACTAAAACCGCTAGCCTACTTTACAAATATTGACGGTCGCTACTGTACATTTTCGTTTCTTGAACAACAATTTATTGTACAACTTAGCCTCCTGCCCTGGTGGCATTAGGACTTATCATTCCCGATTCGGTGAATTAAAATTTCCTTGTTTGCTCTTGCTCTTCTCTGGACTCTTTTCCGTATCATATATACGCCCCCAAGAGCAAGGAAGCCAAGAGGGTGTGCCTATTCGTTTTATGCATGCATGCATGCATGCTTGCATAAATGAATCGAAAAGATTATTTCTCACAACTGGTTGTTTCGATATGGACGACAGAACAGGCGTATCTCAAATCTCAACTTTGGCATTTCGCGAGCGACCAGTAAACAGTTCCGTTTGATCGAGCATTTCATTATTGCTAAAGGTTTCCAGAGGCTTCCATCGCTGTCGATTGATTCATTCAGAAGAAAGTGCTGATACTACGGTGTTGATGAAGGTGGATTGTCTTGTTGTTGATAATGCTGTTGTTGTGTCTCATGATCGATCGATAATACACGGTGGTGGATCCACAATTGCAGGAAGCTGCTGTATCTGTATCTGTGTATGGTCATCGTGCTAGCAGGGAATGGATTGGATCAATTTTGGCCGAAAAGAAGTACTGTTGTGTAGTTTGCACCTCCGTAAAGATCAAAGAAGTATGACGGCTCCAACATCCCAACGTACAAGGAAGGCATATAATATATGCATCCAGTAAAGCCAAAATTAGTCCATGATCACGGCCAAGAGAAAGGTCCCAATATTCTTGTCGTTCTCATCATCGAACCATCATGTGTACAGTATCGCACAGTATGGTACACGTACTTGTACTGATGTCTGATGTCATCCACAGGCAAAAATTCATTGACGAAATGTGAGAAGCTGACGTTTTTGGGAGGTTTACCTATGTCTATTGTTGATCGCGTAAGCGCCTCACACGTGCCAGACCAAGGCAAAACGCTCGATTTCAAACAGGGTTTTTGGGGACGGAGATGGCAGACCATCCACATTTGTACGCTGTTGGTACGAAGGATTATTCTAATTAGGGCCACCGAGAGTTCGTCGATCGTGATAAGAACTAGATTTGAACAGAGGCGAAGTTCGCGCTGAGTCATCGCCTGTTTTCGCGCTCTCTTTGTCGTTCGAAAGCAACTGTTTCAGTTGAACGGTGACGCCGGACCCGCCAGCACATGGTTGAACTGACAAAATTCAATTCGATATCGGCGTTTGAAATTCGGCCATCAAGACTGAGTCGAATCAATTACAGATCAGAAACCTGTCACAAAATCCAAACTCGTCGTTTCAACATCCAACAACAACATCCAATAACAACATCAAAAATGAAGTTCATCTCTGCCCTCTTCTTCGCCGCTGCCGCCATCGCCCCTGTCACTGCTGACACTGGAAAGGAAGAACCTGCTGCCTCTATCATTGATCTTGCTGCTGCCGATGGAAAGTACGGAACTCTTCTCAGTGCCGTCACCAACACTCCAGGAGTTTTGGATGCCGTTGTTGCCAACTTCCCAGTCAGTAAGTAGCTACAGTAGCTAGCTTGTCAGCTTTGCAATGCAATATTGAATGCACCATTCGATGTACACGCTACACAAACATTGTACTAACGATATTATTCTATCCACTCTTCCTTCCTTTACTTTACTTTACTTTCAGCCATCTTTGGACCCACCGATGCTGCTTTCGCTGCCATTGCTGACACTGTTGCCGGACTTGACGAGGCCACCCTTGCCACTGTCCTTGCTGGACACGTTGTAGCGGGTGTTTACACCGCCGAAGACCTCATTACAGCTGGATGTCTTGAGCTCATGACTCTTGCAGGAAGCAACGTTCGTGTTTTGGTCAGCAACGGCATGGTCATGGTCAACGACTCTACTGTCATCCAACCCGATATCATTGGAGAGGGAGGAGTCATTCACGGAATTGACACTGTCATTCTTCCAGGAACTTTCATGCCATGTCCAGCTCCTGCTACCCCCGCTGTTCCTGCCACACCAGGTACCCCAGCTATGCCAACCATGCCAACCATGATGGGCAAGGGCGGAAAGGGAAGCAAAAAGACCTCGTCTGGAAAGGGTGGAAAGGGATCCTCAAGCAAGAAGTCGTCCTCGTCATCTTCTTCCGGAAAGGGATCTGGAAAGGGTCATTAAATCTTCGAATCTTCCAGCTCTTCTATTCCTTTAGAGCATCTAGCACTCTCTTCACCTAGCAGACACATTGTCTGTTTGTACACCGCTACCCACATCACGTTAATTCATGTATAAATGTGTCATTTTTAGTCTTCCAATCTATTTCTTTGTTAGTGCGTCATCCCCTCAAATTCAAACATGAAGCGATGCACTTGGTACACTTCTGCGGTGCTCTACTGGTCCCTTCCAACGACCATTGCCTACAAGTACCTATTGGCTACAGTGGAGTCTATTGTCATGCGATGGATGAATCAATCTCGCAATGAATCTTTCGTCAGTACTGTACCAGGTACGGTACTATTCTCCCCACTCACAATACACTTCATGATGATCCATACCGGTACTAGTGTACAGTCAACGCACGAAAGTGCACCAAGCGCACCTTTGGTGGTGTTCGCGTGAAAGATGGCATAAGTGGAAGTCGGAAATATACACGTGTACTTTGATTTTTTCAATTTTATATCAGTCGAAAGCGCAGAGAGAGAGCAATCGGATCACAAATCCGAAAAAAGATCCATCCATCCATCACCCACCAATCAATCAATAATATACCATCATCACCATCAATATGAAGATTTTCACATCCATTTTTCTCCTTCTTTCGACAGTGGTACCATCGGTTCTCTCTCAATCCATTATTGATTTGGCCGCAGCCGATGGAAAATATGGTACTCTTTTGAATGCTGTCACCAATACTCCAGGAGTTTTGGATGCCATTGCAAGGAGTTTTCCAGTCAGTAAGTAAAGTAATTGCAAATGATTTTGATGCCTGATTATGGTCTTGATATGAATACGAATACTATGCTACTACAATAGCAATGAACGTCTTTCAGTTAGTCATTTCGTGTTTTCGTCAACCATCATCATAATCGATCGATCGATTCTCACACGCCATTCATCATTCCGATTTCAGCTATTTTTGCTCCCACCAACGATGCCTTTGCGGCCATTGCTTCGACCGTTTCGCAACTCGAAACCAGCGCCCTTGCCACCGTTCTTGCTGGTCACGTCGTCCAAGGAGTCTTTACGGCGCAAGATTTCATTCATATGGGATGTGTGGAGCTGACTACGTTGGCGGGAGATCATCTGCGTGTCTTGTACCAGGACGGTAGTGTCCTGGTCAACGAATCAAGAGTCATTCAGCCAAATGTTGCTGGAGACGGCGGTATCATTCATGGAATCGATAAAGTGATTCTTCCAGGAACCTTTCGTCGTTGTCCTAGAAAGAAGGGTGGCAAGCGAAGTGGTTCTTCTTCAAGTGGATCCTCAGGGTCAAAGAGTGGAAAGAGACGACTGATGCAGCAGCATGAGTAAGATGTTTATCAAACAAAGCTCCATGGTTCTTCTGACAGTGGACCATGATGCTACTGCCATTGATCATGGATCAGCCAGTCTGCTCCTTCTTGTTGCTTCGAGCTTCTACACCACTTTTTTCGCTCATTACATGTATCTATATATTTTCCAACGATTTAAAACTGCACGTTACTTCCAAACAAATTTTATTACTATTCCATTGTTAGTACTATCTTCTTGTCTCAATAATGATCGCGCACAAGCAAGGCCAGCAACATTGTTGTTTTTGAATGGGGTGGTGGTCGGATCAGCCATTTGCACTCGTCCTGCCTTTTTTTTCAATGATCAACAGTATGCCGTGATTCATTGATTGCACAAATAGATGCATTGGGGCAGATTGCTCATCGAGTTTCTCCACATCATGGTTCCCTAGTCGCCAATGCTGGTATTATCAGAGTACTTCTACTACTAGAACATTGCATCGAGGCTTTGGGTCTTGCAATAAACAATGGTTGAAGATATAGCACTTTTCGTTCTGATCATGATGGCAGCGACGCGCTACCCAGTGCACAAAGTAGATAGGCGAGCCTAGATCATCCTTTCTTTCTAAAAAGAGAAAAGCTTATTATATCCTCGATGGACAGTGCATCGAGGATGTGCGTTTCTTGAAGCAAAAGCAGCTAGTACGTGCTAGCAGCAGTACAAAGATCAAGCATGATGGAGGGCGAAAAGTTTGTCTCTATAGTTGATCTATAGCTCTGATTTAGATGCACCTCGGCATTCCAATCTTATGTATATTCCATCACACAAATATCACGACGCCATGTCCCGAGAAGCGGCTTCTACATTTGATATGTGAAACAATGGCTTCTGTAGCATAATATTACTATCAGTTTATAGAAATGATGTATGCTAAATAAGACAGATATGGTGGAACCTATCCAAGCTTTCGGGCTTTCTACTATTGTTATATGCATGGATGAGAAGCATATATTGATTTGTTAACTGCTTCTTCATCAAAGAGACTAAGCAAGAGCTTAGACCATAATTCGTCTCTTGGATCCCTTGCCACTACTGGAGCTCGAGCTGCTTGAGCTGCTACCCTTGCCGGAGCTCTTCTTGGATGAGCTGGAAGAACTGGATGACATGGATGGGCATGGATGATAAGTTCCTGGAAGAATGACAGTGTCAATTCCATGGATGATACCGCCCTCTCCAATAATGTCGGGTTGGATGACGGTGGATTCGTTGACCATGACCATGCCATCCTTGACCATGACGCGGATATTGGAGCCAGCCAAAGTAGTCAACTCAACGCACCCGGCATCAATGACGTTTTGAGCAGTGTAGACATCCTTCACGACATGGCCTGCCAACACAGTAGCAAGAGCGCCTTCGTCTAGTCCAGCAACGACAGAGGCAATGTCGGCGAAGGCAGCATCGGTGGGAGCGAAGATGGCTGCAATGCGAGAGAAATTGGTGAGAGACACGAACAATGGCAGTCCATGTGACATATAATAGGTATCGGTACTTACTGACGGGAAAGTTGCTGGTGATGGCATCCAAAACTCCAGGAGTGCCAGTGACAGCACCAAGAAGTGTTCCGTACTTTCCGTCGTCAGCAGCAAGATCAATGATAGATTGCGAAGCGATAGGTGTCACAGCAGCGGCAAGGAAGGAAAGGGTGGCAAGGAATTTCATGATGTGTTACAGCTTTCACAAGTGATGGGCTCGAAAGATTATGAGAGTAACGGATGCATTTAGATTTGTTGGGAACTTCCAGATCTTTGGATGACTCACATCTCACATCACCTTTTCTTTCTTCCAACTCCACATGTCACATAAGTAGAGTACGAAGCACGTGGCTACATGTATATGAACTATAATTGTTTGCTGTTTCGCCAAGACAAACTTCGATTTTTGCATATATTACCTACTGAGATTCGAAGTTCGTGCGTTGAAAAGTGATGTGCGTACCGTACTGTACCGGTACATAAAACGCTACTGAAATCTAATATGACGTACGTGTAGCTATTCTCCAAGAATTGCAAAGATCTTCTTGGATCAATCAATCTTGTCAAACAAACAAGGAAAAAGAGCAAGCGGGAAATGAGGTTGGCAGGCTGGTACAAGAGCCGTTGTGAAAAGTTCCAAGATTGGCTTCATAGTGTTTACAAATTTTCCAGGAAGAAGACCGATGCCTGCGCACGTCATCCTTCTATGACTGCGTGCATGTGATTGAGAAGAGAAGCCTATCCAAGCGCTAGAATGGCAAGCCAACGTTGATCATGATCATGATTTTTAAGATATGGCGGAGAGGTAAATAATTATTTTTATGAGTATCTAGGCCCCAAGGAGATGACACCAAAACAAGCAATGTTTCTATCGCGAGGACGACGAGTGGATAATATTATGCTAATTCGTTTTCACGATTCGTGAGCTCCTCTTACAATATGAGTTTTTGACAAACGTTAGACGATTATTGGGGCCACTAGCGGGTACTAAGCTATGACATTTTGCTGCACTGTGGCAATTTTTCTGTTTGGTAGACATTTCAGGGTCACTTGGACACAAATGGCGGTGCGTACTAGTAATAGGTGGCGGATGATGATAAGTAGTCTCGCTCCTTGAATCAGAAACAAGTAGACCTAAGCTCCTCGACGCGATCCTTTTCCTGAAGACATGCTGGAACCTTTTCCACTGCTGCCACCCTTGCCTGATGACATGCTTGAACCCGATGACTTCTTTGATCCTTTTGATCCCACTCCGCCCTTCTTGGATCCCTTGGCCAAATCTCCGCAAGCTGTGAAAGTTCCTGGCAAGATCACCTTATTGATTCCGTGAATGACGCCTCCTTCTCCAGTAATGTCGGCTTGAATGACATTCGACTCGTTCACCGTGACTCTGCCATTCTCGAATGCCACACGCAGTTGTGCTCCTGACAAGCTTCTCAACTCGACACATCCGGCATCGATGACATCTTCGGCAGTGACAACTCCGGCGACGACGTGGCTCGCGAGAACCTAATAAAACAGATTATAATTTTATATAGTGAGTACAACTGAGTCTCGGAGCAAAGCAAAACCGTACCGAAAGCGACCCAAATGAACTTACAGTTGCCAAAGCAGACTCGTCCAATCCAGCAACAACTTCAGAAATATCACCAAAGGCAGTATCGGTTGGACCAAAGATGGCTGAACGAAAAAAAAGGTAGAAGATTCAGTGATTCCAAGTTAGAACAATCCTATTCGACTTTTCTCAAAAGCATTCGGCACTTACTGACTGGGAAGTTGGCCGTGATAGTGTCAAGAACTCCAGGAGTGTTGGTGACAGCGTTCAAGAGTGTTCCGTACTTTCCATCGGCGGCAGCCAAGTCAATGATGGACTGGGAAGCAACAGGTGTGACAGTAGCGGCGAGGAGCGAAAGGGTGGCAAGGAATTTCATCGTGGTGTATGTTACTGGTATCGTGCTTTGTTGCTGGTTGAGGAATTTTAGGGGTTGGCGGAGGATGAGAAATCGCGATGACCGGGCGAGGATTTTGTGTAACGGCTCGTATGAATATGTACCGCGAGAGTGGCGCGCGCGTGAAATGGAAGCTTCCAGGAGACCGAAATCTGATGTCAGTCACCAACGTACAATCGATTCCCGATCGTCGTGAGTCACAAGTCAGTCAGATGTTGTACATGAACAAATTTCGGCATGGGATCTTGAGAACGTAGTGTAAACGATAGGATCTAGTTCAAACAAAGACGCTGATTCGTAAGAAAGTGGTGTGTATATCAAATGATCTAGAGAGTGATTCATTCCAGACGATAGCTATATTCCTTCGAGAATGTCCTTTTAACTTGACCTCCAATCCAGCTTTAGGGTAATTGCCGCTTCAACATATATATTGAATAGATTCAGCTACCGGTACTTCCGTCAGGCCCAATGCCTTTTTGATATAGATTGCTGTTGAATTTTGAATCGGATTGAATCATGCATGAACGTTCTCGACTCGAATCCAGGCAGGCCGGGAACCACAGAGTCATACGCGTAATGGTACCATCAAGGATCCTCACATAATGGCTTGGATGACGAATATGGAAGCGGGAAGCGGGCTCACTCAATCATTGATATACATGTCCAAAGATTACATCCAACTCCGCAGTCATACCAAATGAAAGCTCCAGTTCCTAAGTCTTTCTCGCCTTTTTGCCACCAATCACTGCTGCTGAATTTCCTCATGTTTGTCAGATTGTGGTCAATGCCTTCCTGCACTCAATTGCTTTATCTTTCTTCCCTTACAGAGTCCTTCTTGGTCCCCTTCTTTGTTCCTTTTGTCAAAGCGCTACTATTTTTCAAGGCGCTACAAGGTGCGAATGATCCGGGCAAGACCACCTCGTCGATTCCATGAAAGACTCCTTCGTTTTCAATAAGGTCAGGTTGAATGACAGTGGCTTCATTGATCATCAAATTGCCATTGTGGTACGCCATTCGGACTTTGCCTCCAGTCAAGCTCATCAACTCGGAACATCCGGCGGCTTTGAAATGTTCGACAGTGAATACTCCCGCCATGGCGTGATTGGCAAACACCTGCAACAATCATGAAAAAGATTCATTCATTCAGCAGTGATGAGCGTATAGTTAGGTTTTTCGCTGTCAAACACAGAGTATAATTGCAACATATCATGTCTTGTCAGTTTTGTCACACATACCATAGCCAGTTCGGAGTGGCTCATTCCAGCAACAACATCTGAAGCATCATCAAAGGCCGCATCAGTGGGGCCAAACATGGCTATCGTAAGAAATAAATAGATGAGAGTGATTAGTGATTAGGTTACAACACCGATACCCTGCATATATAATGCGTAAATGTATGATGCATGCTTTCAGTCATTCGTCATTCAGTCATTCATTCACTCGAAACTTACTGAGTGGGAAGTTGGAACTCACAGTTTCCAAAAGTCCCGGTGTATCGGAAAGAACTTTCAGGAATTTTTCGTACTTTCCATCTTCAGCGACCAAGTCAGCGGTGACAGTAGGGGTGATGACGGCGGCAGCGAAGAAAGAAAGGGTTGTTGCAAGTATTAATAACTTCATTGCTTGTTTGTTGAATGAATGTTTGTTCTGTGGTGTACTATTGAACACATCAGCTGTTACAACAGTATAATCGGTATTTTCATAGGTATGTAACAATGACGAACAAACGTGACTGTACCTGGTACTGTAGGGAGCAATGCGAACACAGGTAGAGCATCGGTACCGATAATTCAAACGCTCTCGCAATAAATCTCACCGTAGTTGTGTACCAAGTGTACCAGTGATGCGCGGTAATGCCAACTGCCCGTTGGCATGAACGGGTCGAATAGATCAATCTATAAATACCTGTGACAATGAAATTTTACAGTATGATGCAGGTACACCATACTAGAGAAAGACGAGTCTAGAAGGAAAGATAGGATTTGGACATAGTAAATGTGTCGATTGGTAAGCCAAATGAATGACATTGCGAATTTCGATCTACCTAGAAACTGATTCCAAAAGCCATTCTTCCTTCCCGAACCCGAGTCCATGACTTGACCTTCCCTCCGGCTTCGGAAATTTCACGATATGATGAATACCGTTTCAACATCTTTTGCACCGGTTCTGCTGCTTCCATCGGATCCAATGAATCGTCGAAGTAGATCTTGACAGAAACTGTCCCTTTGATTTTCCATCGGATGGAATCATGGCTGTCGAACCAGACATCTTCCTCTACGTCATTCTCCACTTGAGGCATGTCAGGATCACAGCGAATGTTGCACTCCTTCACGGATGCTTGCAATATGTCTCGAACGACAAAAATGGAAGCGGTTTCAATCATTGACATATCCGGGATCACATCCAAATCCGTAAGCATCCCGAAAGAAAACTCTAATTCCACAGTCTTTCGGGCCTTCTTTACACTGTCTTTTGTTTCACCCTTCTTTTTCTCAGATTTCGATGACCGAACTGGGCTGACGTCCTTCGATTTACTCTTTTTCTTTTTCTTCTTCCCATTCTTAACTTTCTGGCCCTTTTTCTTTTTGTTTTCTTCCTTTATCTCTTCAAAGTCTCCGAAACTACTCCTTTGTCGACGAAGCCCTCGTTGTGGTAACCCTCCGCCTCCATCCCCTCCAAAGGCTCCGACTCCACTTATACGTTTTTGGGTCTTTTCGTCCGCCTTCAACGTATCTAGCCCGAGGGTGGGAATTTCTGTCACTAGCTCCAACGTCTTCTTTCTGGTTGTCCTCGGAGGACTCAAATTGTAGACATTCAAATCTCTGGAGGATATTCCACGAAAGCTCGCCATGCTTGCGGCATTCTCTCTCATTTTCGCTCTATCTTCCACCTTGGCCTTTCGCATGTCCAAAAGGACCGATTGTTGCCTATCCAGCCCGCGAAAGGAAGTCATGCGTTGAGCTGACAGAGCTTGACTTTTCTTTTTACGTTCAGCATCCCTTTGTGCTTTTTGTTGATTTTGAAAATCCGACAACATGATGGCTAGGACTAGGCTAGTGTGTTTGTTGGGATGATGATTAAGAGTTGATACAAGGCGCAATCTGTAAGTTGAGTTTCTCTTGCCCGACAAAGATTTCCATCTATCAGGAGTATGATCACTTTCAATTTGTATCAGAAAGACTTTTTGTTTCAGAAAGAAAAAGAACCGGTCATCTGACATAATCATCACGACGCCACAATGTCCCATAAATGCGTCCGTAAGATGTCCGACAGATGACAGATGAGGTTAATTCTTTCACTGCAATATAATCAATCAATCAATAGGCGGTCGCCATTTTTGGCTGTCATTTTTTCTATTTCGGTCACATTGAAAGTCCCAACGACGATACTCCCCCCCCCCCATCCACGAAAGAATGGGCAAGCTATTGTAGCGCCATTGGGCATGTAGACTCACGAGCATCTTTCATATACAGTATACATCCAACGATAGTCATTTCACTGAAAATGAAGTATCGACAACGTCTGGTGGGAGGCAATCTCCGATTTGTGGAAGAGGAGGAACAAATTGCCGGTCAGTATCGGCAACGTCTTATTAGAGGCAAACTTCGATTTGTTCCACCAGTACTACAGGAAGAGAATCCTCCAGAGCCAAGCGATCGTCCATTTGACGAAAGTGAAGAGAAGGTACCTACTCCTAATGATGATAATGATGATAATGATGTCAAAAATAAGAATTCTGGAAGAGACGAAGTTGAACACTTTGATGACTTGTTCAAGGGCGACGAAGCTTGCTATGAAATATCGTCCATTGGTTCATTCGAAGCTCTGATCAGCGGTGATAAGAGTCTTGATCGAAACGATCAATCTGTCAGAGATGAGAAACATGATAGCCAGCACAATCATCATCATCGTCATCGTCATGCCCTCGATGAGAAGGATGTCAGTGATGATAGTGCCAGTAGTACCACGAGCGATGAAGAATGCGACATTTGGAATTCATGGACCATGATCATATCTGACTGGTTGCGTCAAAGGGTAGTTTCAGCACAACATGAGAAAATGAGAAAATCTGGAATGGCAGTACCTCATGATTGTGATAGGGACGATGGAAGTTTTACTACTACAACAACAGCATCGGACAGCAGTGCTGCCAGCTCTGAAAGCTCGGGGACCAACTACATGGGCACCAGTGTACCTCAGCTGGTCCTGCATATACTGCGGGACGAGCTCATTGAGGCTTGTGGCAATGTGGAATCCGTCAACGAGACGAATGAGACAGCTCTGAAGAGCTACAAGATTTCCAAGAATCAGCAGCACGAAAAGTTGGGCCTGACATTTGCCACGAACCACAAAGATGGGGCCATCTACATTTGTGAGATCAAACAACGGAGTAAATTCTTGCATACTGGTCTTCAAGTGGGCTCTAGAGTTGTTTCAATCAACGGCATCCCGGCACCAAAGAAACCAAAGAAGCTGCTGAAAATGCTCAAGCGAGCACGCCGAGAATTAGTGCTGATTGCCGAGACGCCGGATCCAAAAGTAAAGGCTTTTTTGCAAGGTGTGTGCCGCGATGATGACGATTTTAGCATTCAAACGGAGCCTTGGTAACAAAACTCATCAATTTACAGTTACAGAATCATAGGCCTACTATTACTCTTTCTCTATTCGTTCTTGGTATTAATATGCATGTCTTTCCAACAAAACCACCGAAATAGCTTCCCGAATCGCATTGACCGCTCACGATTGCGGTCACAAAATATAGAGATCACTCAAACTTTCCATTCTCTTCTTGAAAATCTATTCAAAGAACATCCACACCGGTGCTCCTTCCTTAATCTTGTTTGCGATCTCGGATATTGTGAAACTCTCACTTTTTTTCACTGCGAATTTGTCTTCATCAGCTCGCACAAAATCATCCACTATTGAGGCGAATCGGTCCATACCGTTGTATGCTGAAGACTCGTTTGTTGCGAAAGTGCTCGACCCCTGCGAAGAATCGCTGTCGTAAATTTTGGCGTATGGGTCATTATGTTCAGATGAACTACTCCCAGTTTCATCAGTGTCCTCACCCTCCACATCTTTGGGGACGACGTGAGGGTCTCTACGGATTGGAGCGAAAGAGACTGTGCCGTTTTTCTTCATAAGGACCACTTGCTTCCTCATCAATTCCAACTTTTTCTTGTTCAACTCTGCTTTGCTGTCATTCTCGGACTCGTCGAATTCTGGTTCTGAGTTTTCTAGGCCAATGTCAGAACTGTACAGTCTTCGCTCAGAGTTGTCAACTTCTTGTAATGGGGTAGCAAGTGCTGGCATCGGCTTCTCAACTTCTCTCTTTGGAGGCACTGCCTCTGTTTTGCGTGGGGCGGCTTCTTCTTTTGGGACTTGGACCTCAACTTTTTTCTCTTGAATAGAACCCACACGCTCCACCTGCAGTTCCAACTCTTTTTCCACCTTCTTGAGTATCTTCATCAGCGCTCCAACACGCTCGGGACACGGCGTTCCGTTGATTGAAACAACACGCATTCCAACCTCTAGGCCAGTTTCATTAAACTTGCTTCCTTCCTTGATCTTGCATACGAATATACCGCCTTGTTGCTTGAAGGCAACAAATGACAAGCCGACTTTTTCGCTTGGATTATCTTTCATAATTCTGTATGTTCGGATTGCCTTGCTGCTTATTGATTCAATTTCTTCCCCTTCACTACAGGCATTGCCAAGATTACCACACATGCAAAAAAATCCTCCCCCTTCCGAATCTTCTTTCGGCTTGTGTGTCTTTGTAATATTCGTGCTGTATGCCACTTTTTCCAAATAGGCATTTTTAGCAATCATTTCTTGAATGGCTATATTCCTTTGTTGCATCTTATCTTGTTCCGGACCTACAATTGATGCTTGCTCTGATGGCTCGTTCACTTGGCGATCTTCGATAGGGGGCGTACTCTTGGACTCGACAGTTATGTGAATGCCCGTCAAGTCGCTCTGCGGTGGCGATTCGTCATTGCTTTGGGTTTTCTTTTTGTTTCGAATTGCTCGAAGGAGCCTCATCTTCCTCTTCATGCTTGGAGACAAAATCGGGTTTGTGATGGGTAATAATAAAAGGTTGATGATGGGTAATAATAAAAGGTCAGAGTCGTGTTCCCGGCTGGCGTCTCAAACTCACGCCAAAAGAGCTTTATATTTAGAGGGCTAAAAAATCTTGGCGATGATTGATCGCGCATGAAAAATGTGGCGGTCAAATTCGCAATTGCAATTCGGCAAGAGCGTTGACATCAAAATACTATGAGCAGAACGCATGCGCCATCCGTTGAAACGCGCATGATTTTCCTAGATAAACCACGCACGCGGCGAAAACATCGTACGTTTTGGTCGCGAAGTTCTAAATACCATTTCGCCAAACTTCTTTTCTTTGAACACTTCACAATCTCTCCTCAATCGGGAGAAACCTGCTCGAACTATAACAAAATGGTGGAAAAACAAAGTTCATGGGATGAGCATGCGTCCCGTCTAAAGGAACGGGGATGGGCTCAGTCAAGGCACGAAATATCGCCCATTGAAGCTCAACTGGTTACCAGCAGCTCTGCTCGTGAACAAGCTGATCTATTCAGATGTGACTCTGGTGATCACGATCCTGGTCTAAGACCGGATGCGCTTGACATGGTGTTTGAAACTATCGAAGGATACATCTGTGGTCATGATGCTCCGAGAGCCCTACAAGGTGAACAGACTATTGAATTTGCCGATCGTGGGCAGGTCCGTGAGTCGGTTTCGGAGGTTTGGTCGCTTCAGAAGCTTGGAGAAGTCCAACAGCGTGGCTCTGTTGCTGATCGCATCAAGGCATTTGAATCAAGCAGTGTCTCAGCCCCGAGTACTCCTACGCCAAATATAGATCGACCAGCCATGAGAAGACAAGCTGAGCCAACAAGCACTAGCCCTGTTTCCAGGTGGACGAAACAAACAGGTGCATCACCTGAATCTCCCAAATCCTGGGCGAGACCACAAATGGAGAAGTCACCTGGCTCTCCTGGCTCTCCCAATTCCTGGACGAGACCGCCAATGGAAAAGACACATGCATCGCCTGGCTCTCCGCGTTCCTGGATCAAACCAACAATGGAGAAGTCACCCGCAACTCCTCGGTCTGATGTTGCACGGTCCAGTGCCAAAGTGCCGGTCCCACCAAGACAAGCAACCTCCGCGCATGGGACAAAGTCCGAAAAGAAGCAACCCATTCCCGCATGGCCTACCAAGTTAAAGAATATTCCTAGGAAGCCTGCTCACCCAGATGCAATCGTTGCAAGGATTCTGAAGGATTCAAAAAAAGAATCCAGCGGACTATCATTCGTTTCTTATTTTGAGAAGGAAGGTATCTACGTGTCCAAGATTCGAGACACAAGCAAGTTCAAGAATACCTTTCTCAAGCCTGGAATGAAAGTCCTCCGCATCAACGGTGTTCCTTGTCCTGGTCGTGTCAAGAATGTGATCAAAATGCTTAAAGCCGCCAAGAGAGTCATCGATATTGAAGCCATCAGGGACGATTCCATCGCATTTGTTGCAAGAGAACAGCAAGCTACTGCAAATGAAGAAACCCACGCAAAGAAGAATGGTTCATCTGTGGAGCCATCGAAGGAAAGGGCTGTCGAGAGCAGAGAGACACAAAATCACGATGCATGCACTGAAGACGATATGGGCTTTACTGATTTGCTAATGCTCTCGATGGGGTATGTCGCCCAGAAACCTCAGGAGGAAATGCGTCCAATCGAACGAAAGGACTCTTCTGCATCCATCGCTTCTTTGGATCGATCCGAAATCCCAGAAAAGCCAAAGAACAAGAAAGTACATGCCATGGTCTTCAAGAAGACCAGAAAGGACAAGATTGGAATTTCCTTCGTTTCATTCAAGAAGAAAAGAGGTGTTTATGTCTACGAAATGTACGAAGATAGCAAGTTTCAACGCACCGGGCTAGAAGTGGGCATGAAAGTTCTTTCCATCAACAGGCAACCGTGTCCAGAGCGTGTCAGCGAGACGCTGGCAATGGTAAAGGACATCCAAGGCCATCTCGTCATTACCGCAGTTGCTCCGTCGGATGAGAACACAGGGACAGGAGAAGCTCAAGGGGGAGCTCTCAAGTCCAGAAACGAAGCCACTCAACCAAAGGTTCATTCACTTCAGAAGCTTGGTCGCGATCAGAGACGCATCGCACGCGAAGAACCCGAAGTCTCAGAGGGTCAAATATTGAATAAAAGGGAAAGGAGAGAAGTACTTGGCGACTTTTCCTGGATTGATGACAAGCAGAGTGAGGAGGCTGAGGAGGAGGCTGATGATTTTTCTCAAGACAGCCAGACGACAACTAGCGTTGAAGAAGACGATATTGATGACGACGGCTCGTTCATATCTCGATGGGGGTCCAGCTTGGCTGAGTCTATCTTTGGCATTTGAACGAATGACTAGTAGGTAACATTGAGGTAGTGCTTCAGTTGAATCGAGATTACTATCTAATAGTCGCACCTAAGGACGTCTGCTACTTCCCGAGCAATCGAAGTCGGAAACTACCTAGGCCAGACAAGTAGCACCCACATCGTGACGGGTGATAGATGCGTAGTCTATTTTGAGTGTAATCTAATGTATGATTTATAATTTTATCTATTCCGCAATTTTTTTCAGCGGCATCTCACACCTGTGAAGAGTTCATTATCTGCGCATACTTGTCATTTAAAAAAAACATTGGGACAAGACTATGGCTCAAGACAACCACTGCACAATAATGCCGCGTGTCATTCGTGGACGATTATCTAGTGGAAATTTTCTCGTTTGAACCGTTTTCGGATCGATCGTGCAGGATAGATAGACTGGTTGTTCCATGACTTTCAAACCCCTTGCGAGAAGCAAACCTTGTCCATCTTCAATAGCGTATTGTCAGCGAAAAGGAGCACCGCCATGGCAATGTTATCGCCTCCCCTGACTCGTTTTGAGTCCTTTGCAACGAATACTGCCTTGTCGGTAAAGTTCATTTCGAGCCCGGTGACGATCAACCCAGGATCTTCCTCCAGGCCGTGTTGCGAATGACGTGGTCTCGAAGTGGCCGAAATATCTCGCCGCCTGGAAGCACCGCTAAGCATCATATCTTGTGGCACTTTGACGCTGACAAGAGATTTATTCTTGTTAATCACCTTGTCGTAGAGGGGAGAATAACACGGTCTGGCTGATGCAATTCCCAACATCATTGGTGGAGTAGGGTGATCCACTGACCCAACGACGATGGATGGCATACTCTCGATTTGGGAATATTGTCGAACATCTACCACACGCCATTGAGAAGTCCCCTTTTCTCCCAGGAGCTGGTCGGATCGTTCTTTTCCCAGATGTTTGCGCACCGCCTTGTCAAGCATAGCGGTGTGTTCCCTTACGAACTCCGCCACTTCATCGAGAAAGGCACTGCAAAGCATGGGGTCGTCAACGCATGCTAGCAAAGGACCGGGGTCATCCGAGTCCGATGCATCCCTAGACTCTTTCCTTGTGGAGTATGGACGAACTTGTTCTGGCGATGAAGTCAACCGGAAATCGTTTCTTGCATTAGACGTTCTCGTGATGGTAGTTTGGGACTCCACGGAGCCATCCGTGGAATCATCCTCTGTCGTGCGAACCAACGAGTTCTGATCCATGATATCAAAGTCTTGGGAAAGAGGTGGTTCTTCAATATGTAGGAGAGAGATGATATGCACCGGCTCACGCATTTTCTCATGCTGATACAATATTGGTCCTTCGTCTTCGAGATGACATACGTCCTCAATTTGACGCAAAGAAGAACAATGAACCTCTTCTCTGCTACTGATTTCGCTTTGGCTCTCCCCTTGCAGTCTTTTTGTTTCCACAGCAACAATTTCAAGCAATCCTGTTGTTCTTTGCAGCCTCTTGATTGCTTTGAGGATATCCTTTGGACAGGGTCGTTTGTTGATGGATACCACTTTCAGGCCAGCCTTCAAGCCCGCTCCCCAAAAGATGCTATCACGCTTAATGGTGGATATATAGACACCTTCTGCCGTGCTAGAATCCTTCAATACGAGACCGAGCCGAGTTGACTTCTGTGGTTTGTATGCTACGCCAGTGTAGCCGTACACCTGTATTCGTGTCGTAGGGTAGTACTCATTCACCAGTTCTCGTTGTGCATCCTGTGGCGATTGTTGAATCATTTTCTGGTTGTTGATCTCTCGAACCACCAATCCAGGAACCAACGGTGATCGAGAAAAGGATGATTCCGCGTGGATGTAGTCGATTTGTAATGTGTGTCCTCCACGCTGATGTTGTGCGTCAAGCAAAGACGATAGGCGGGAGAATGCAATTCCCGGTATTGACTCTCTTGCAATCTCGATTTGAATAATGCCCTCCGATGGAACACTAATCATTGCATTATCTTGAATTGCACGGCACTGCTGGGGCAATTTGGTCGAGGAAGCGCCCGCCCCGTATCTCTCTCCATCGTCCCTCGTTTCACTTTCCTCTATCATTTGTCTGGATCTCGACGGTCGACTGTATTGTGTCATTGGTACATTTTGCGCCCGGCCTTTGAGTTGATGACGATACACTTGTTGGGCATTCACTTCCGCCATTGTCCAGAATTATCTCGTTTTGCCGATATCGTCGAAAAGGTGAGATCCACTCAACGCCTAACGGATCAAGAGGTGAGCTGTTGCTATGTGCAACGTGACATGCCAGCTGAATGACACGTGTCAAAATGGCGCGCTTGCATTGGATGCCCTATGTCTGCCGGCATCGCCTCTCACTCAAATATGATTAAATAGAAGTCCGCGAGCAGAGATGCGTTCTGTACGAAACGTAAAAGTGTTGCACGCCAGTCGGCTAAGTGTTCTAAGTGCAAACCTGAAATTTTTGTAAGTGGAAGACAGCCTACTTGCAGGTATTCAACCAATAGTGAAAAGTTGTGTCTTTGGTTATACACAATAACCAACTGTTTCCAAGCATCGCTTCATAGTTATATCCCTTAAGGGCAATATTGTAATTTACAATGCCAAGACGGAAGAAAGATGTGCTAGACCAGCTTTGCAGCTCTATGGAGATCTTCATGTGCGGTTCTGAGGATTTCAACAAGTTCCGTTCGAGAGCAACAGGTACTGCAACTGCGAAACCTGCCAGTGAATCGTCTCCAGCAGACGCAGCAGACGCAGAACAAGGTTCAGCCCCGGATGTAAAACCTTCAGGCAAAAAAGTTGCGCCCAAGAAAGTTGTGATAATGACACCAACTGACGACGATGACATTCTTGAGGTGGAGAGGGACCCTGTGTCTGTGAGTATTCGCAAGGCTTCTCGAGAACAACCTACCCATTTGGAATTGGTTTCCTTCTACGAGAAATCTGGTATCTACATTAAGACTATCAAGCCAGAAAGTAAATTCCATGGAACGAAAATCGAAGCTGGCATGAAACTTATCCGAATTAATGGAATGGAATGTCCAGCAACTGTGAAGGAAACATTCGAGTACACGGCGGCTGCATATGATGTGCTTACCGTTACTGCCGTCGTGGTGGAGAGTCAATACGGAGAGGAAGATTTTATGTTCAAGGAAATTAAGCTGGATGATGATGACGGGAAGAACCTTGTTCAAGCTGAAGGAGAAAAAGAAGAGAAGGCTCCTTCTCCAACCCGTGTGTCAACTGATTGGTTTGGTGGTTACCTTGGGAAGAAAGGTAAAACTGAAGAGAAGAAGGCGGAAGAAAGCAGAATTGAACGAAAGGAACGGATCAAGAATGTGAAGCAGACCACTGTGTCGACGGAACGAGATAGGATAGGTCTTGGATTTGCTGACCGTGTGCTCAAGAATTTGGGTGTGCTCGAGCAGGACGAAGAAGATAATGATTCTTTGGATGACTCTACCTACAAGAGTGCTCCAACTCTTGATGACACTACATACAAGAGTTCTCCAACCTTTGATGACAATACTTACAATGATACACCCACTGTAGATGACGATGACTACACCCTGTCAACCACTGGTGGCACCACAATCATCGATTCCTCACCTATCATTGCCAAGATATTCAAAAAGACCAAACAAGACAACTTGGGTCTCCACTTTGTATCGTTCAAGAAAAAGCAGGGTATCTATGTGTACCGGATTCACGAAGAGTCAAGATTCCTTTCCACCAAACTGGAACCTGGAATGAAGCTCTTGGCCATCAATGATCAACCATGCCCTGCCACAGTTGCTGAAACACTTGCGTTGGTTCAAAACATTGAAGGCGATTTGTCCATCAGAGCTCATCACCCTTCTGTCGAGGATGTGTACATTCCAGAACCACCGACAAAGACGGTTACAGCACAGCAAAAGGTTGATGATTTGACCCGAACTCAAGCGGTCCCTGTTTTGGCTGATGATGATGATGGTGAACAAAAGGGTGAACAAAAGACTCCAAATGAAAAAGAGGAAGCTACATCCAAAGGAGACGAAGATGCCAATGTTGTCGTTGGGCAACCCAAGGAAGTGCAAAATTCTATTACCGATGCGGTGGAAGATGGAGAGAAAGAGGACGATGAGAAAGAAGCCGAAGCAGAAAAGGTTGATGAAACTGAGGACAATAACGAGGAAGATGACAATGAATCATCTACTTATGAATCTCTTCCGCCACCAAAGAACGAACCCTGAACGAGCTCTAAGAGTGTAATTGCAACGGAATGCAGCTCGTCCCTAGAATGCTTGACGAAAGTAATGCCAGCCACAACATGCTAGATCCAGCCGGCATACTTTTCCTTCGATGTTGAAAACGTTAGACCTACAGTACCTACCGAATGACCAATGGCTGTCTATGAAAAATGAATGTACTTTGCCAATCACAAAGATATGCTGCAGCCGTATGTATGATATGATAATTTAGTTAAAATGTGATTTTTGAATATGATTGCAGCAGTTCTTGAATTGAGTTTTTTTCAAATTATTATTAGGATATACTTTACTACTGTAGAATATTTGTTTTTCCACGTTTGGTGAATGTTGCGGAGCCACATGTGCCCCGCGAAACTCCATGCATGCATGCTCCCACAAGGATTGGGATTTGGTTGTAGATTAGTACTGCATTCTTGTTTAGATTTCGCACTTTGGTTTGTGTGCCACAATTACCAATTCCCCGACCGCATGTCGCAGCATGTTCACTGCCTCTTCCAGAGCTACGGGACATGGCTTCCCTTGAATCTCTGACACTTGCATGCCTTCTCGTAGCTTCGTTTTGGAAAACATGGATCCAGGCTTGATTTTGGCGATAAAGACACCTTGGTACATGGTTGAATTCTTCAAAGACAAACCCATCTTGGTGTTTTTCTTTTCTTTGAAAATGGAACCAACGATGCGGTCTTCTTCTTCTTCTGGTGCGGCCTCTTCTGTTGCGGGTGTCTCAATGACAGGAGTGATGGGTACTAATGGAGTAGTCGCTTCTTCCTTGTTTTCTTCTTCTGCCACCACACTCTGTGAGTCTTGGGCCACACTCTTGGAGTCATCTCCCTTGTCGCCATCCGGATCCTTGCGCGTCTCGTTAGTTTCGAATTTAGGTTCTTCTTTTTCTGGTGTTTGCTCCTTGTGGACTGCTCCCATGTCTGTTTCATCCATGGAAGGCACCGCCATGGGATTGCAGCATGCCGTCAAACTGGCAAAAAGATCGACCTTGGTACCAATTGGTTCGGCCAATCCTTGGACCATGTCATCCTTTTCGGGAGTGACTACCAAGGTATTGTCGTCATTCTCTTGTTTGGGGGTTTCTTTGGGTTGCTCCTTCGCTGGTGGTGGTGGTGTCGGCAAGTCTTCTTCGGGTTCCAACTTGGTCTTTCTAGGGCTCGACACTGGGGTTTTGGGAGTGGTAGGAGCGTCCATGCGAACTGGTCGGTCGACAGGTCGTTCTTCTTGTGGTACCTCGGCCGACATGGCTTTGGCATTCACCTTCTTGGGTGCTGGTCCTTCTTTCTTGATCTGCTTTGCGGGTTCCTCAGTCTTTTGGATTTCTTCTGTTTCTTCTTCTTGCTCCTCTTCTTCTTGGATGGTGACAATGATGGTTGGACTCAATGGCGCCTCACTGACGACAGTACTAGTGGGCGACATGACGGATACGGACTCTTCGTTGGTGATCATGTCCATGTCCATTTCTTCTCCACTCAAAATAGTAGGTAGTCCTTGGTCGACTGGAGGACCACATATGTTGGTCATGTTCTCCAACCAGCCTCCCATCCATCCTTGGCTGTTGTTGTTGGAAGAAGAAGGAGCTTGTTGCTGATGAGCCATCATGGAGGCGGTTTCCAAATCGGCAATAATGTCTGCGCCGTCACGGGTTTCTTCTTCTTGTTCTTGTCGTTCTTCTTCTTGTTCTTGTGGTTGATCCGGGTTGGCCGCTTCTTCTTCCATGGCGGCGGAAGGATCTCTTGCAATCATATGATCATCGTGTCCATCGGCATCACGAGATTCTTCAATGACTTGTTCCTCCACTTGTTCAATGACGATTTCGACCTTGCGTTCTACATCTTCTGTCTTTTTCGATTTATTCTTTTTGAAGATTTTGCCAAACAAGGACTTTTTCTTGGTCGAACCGTTGTTGGTGGTGCTGCTTGTAGTGGTAGTTGTCTTTACCATGGTTTGTTACCTGTCTGTTGTAGTGATTATTGTTGTGTATATCTCTAATCTACTCTCTCTTTCTCTCTCTCTCTCTCTCGACTACAATCAAACAGTATTGTTGTATTCACTAACTGCTCTTGTTACGCTTGATTGATACTGATCGACACTCCACAAACCTGCTCCTCGCTTTGGCGAAATTGCTTTGGCGATGAGAATGTATATACCGGATACCGGTACAATAAGAGTGATGGCCGTTGCCACGGCTTGCGACTGTTTGACATCGCCGGCTCGAAACGGTATTTTGGTATTGGAATCTGGAATTCGGGTATGTCATATTAATATTTTAAAATACCTCTAGAGCGGTAGAGACAGAAAAGGATTCTTCAAATTTACATTCAGTCATTTGAGTCATCATTATCTACCAAAAGGAAGAACGAACGAGAACGCTACTTCCCACCAAATAACATCGTACCTTCATTCATTCCTATTCATTCAACAGTGGTACCGTACCAGTACTGCACGCTTTTAGAACTAGTATTATTCTGGTGTCTCAAAGACAGCGCAAACAGTGAGTTCGCAGTGTCAGACTGACTGACTCTTGAGTCTACCGGTACACGAACACAGCAGGCAGAAGACAAGCAGGAGGGAGTATACATACAGTAGTATGAGCAAGAAACCACGACGAGGATCTCAAACCCGAAAGGCGGGTTCCCAACGCAAACTGATTCAGGAAGAAGATGGTGACGGTGAATCGCACGTTATGAGAAGAAGGCTCAGTCAACAACGACTGGTCTTGTCTGCCGATCAGCAGCAACAACAACAACAACAACAACAACAACAACAAGCAGACGAAGACGAAGAAAAGATGAGTTCTAGTACAGGTACTCCCGACCTCACGTCTCACAACAAGGAACCACCGGCTGTGGTTCTGAGTGCGGAACTTGTGTTCGTCGAGCCGGAAGTCAGTGCCACCATGCCGCCGGTCGAAGTCATTTCGCCCAGGCCAAAGAAGAAACAACTGGTCAAACGACGGAGCAGCAAGAGTCGAGCACAAGAAGAAGAGGAGCCAATAACGGTGTCTTCCTTTCAATCCTATTATTCCGAATCATTGACATTGTCCAATAATTCCAAAAGAACATCATCAACAACAACAACAACAACAACAACAACATACCTCAAACGCCCCAAATACCCTCGCTCGTTCCTTGGAATGATGGTTCGAATTGTCAAGATTCTGCACGCCCTCTTGAATATCATTGTCATTCGAGGCAGCGTCTTGACCCGACGCAAGCTCCATACGAAACTGGAAGATTATTTGTTGCAACAAGAACAGCAACAAGAACAGCAACAAGACCAAGTGCAAGATTTGACAGCCTTGTATGGTGAACACATTTCCCATCACTTGTTTGTCTTTTATTTGAGTTGGGGACGATTGTTGGTGTGTTTGATTGTATTAATGTGGGGCACTTGTACGAATCGCTTACCCAAACCCATTGCCATTTACATTGGCATGGCCATGCATTGGATTGATAGCATTCGAGCGCTCGATTCGACCCATTGGTTGCCGTCCTCCTCAGATACGGAAGATCATACTGATGATCATGGTGGCTACCGATCTTCAACAGCCGAAGAAGAAGTCCAAACGGCCATGGCGTGGTTGCACTTATTTTGGTTCGTCGTGGATGGAGTTTATTGTCGACAGATATTGAAAAAGAGACGATATGAAGAACAACGAATACAACGAGAATTGTATGACTATTTGTCCGGAATACAAGAAGAAGAAGAAGGAGAGAAAGAGAAAGAAAAAGAAAACGAGTTCAGTGGGCATCATGCCAAACAAAGCAAACGAGATTGAGATAGGAGTACTAGTTAGGAGCCAGGCGTTTGTAGATTGAATGATGGTGATCCATGTATACGTATCCAAATTGATAAGACGGGACGAAATCGATGGTTGTACTTCCGTACTAGACGTTGGATGATGGTGGTTGTCAGTGCTTTTCAGACAAGTTCCTCCAAGAAGATGGAGTGTTTGCTTTTCCTTTTCCTTTTGGTGGCCTAGGTAGTACCTACTCACTACCTGGTACCAGGTACTGTATCATGGTGGTTACGGCCATGATTTAGATGCACCAATGTTGGAAACTAGCTAGCTAGACGACGTTGACCCCCTTGAATCCACCAATAGATGCAAAAATTTTATATTAAAAATACAGTCCTTGATTGATTTAAATTCGAAGTGTAGTGTAGAGGCCCAGTGTGCGTATTTCTCTGTTGAACAGAATGACATGCATCGTAACAATCTGTTTTCCGGCCGAGTGAACAAAACAGAACTCTGAAAGGTGTCACCGTTGGAATCGGTTCGTCGCCCCTTCGCAGTTGTGGCGCGAATATGTAGGTTTCATTTCCATACCAAATCGTTTTATATATGGCGCAGGGGGATGGTGTTCGCAATAATTCATCCATCAATCAATCACCAGAATTTTTTGATTCGTGATCTGCTGGAGAGTCTAAAAAACTCTTTGTCATAGTTCGAAAAATAGACATCTACCGCACTACTTCAATAACATCATCAATCACATATATCATACGGCATAATATAATAAAATGCTCTCTACTCCCTTCATTGCTCTCTCGCTCATCGCCACTCTGCACTCTGCTAGTGGCTTTGCACCAGCACCCGCATCTCGTGGCAGTCAATCACCATCACATTCTTCTACTTCATTCTTACATGTTGGAATTTCGTTTGATGAGGATAATGCTGACATTATCAGTGGTGGCAGCAGCACTTACCCTCAGCTGCTGCAACGAGCCAACGATTGTGCCAAGGACGAAGAATGCTCTCTCGAAGAGTGGGAATCTGTCATTACAGAGATTGAATACATTTCGGAATTGGATGCTTCCGATTTGGAACGTCTGAAGGTGGGAGTCCATCAATTAGAGGAACGGTAAGAACATATACACGCACCCACACACCCACACACCCACACACAATTACACACATCTTGCACATTACACATTCTGCACAAACAGTGGAGTAATCATAAATATCACGTTTATGTTTTATGTGTTTCTCATATGCTGTCCTCCTTCTTGCCATTCTTTAGCTCTGCACTATCATCTTGGATTTCCACTGCGAACCTACCAATGGCCGTATTGATGTTTCTGGCATCAACCTACAGCACTGTGACAGCACCGTACGATGACATTGTCATTCGGATTGGCTGGTTCTTTCAGGACTGGAACCAAGTGGCCACTCAATCATCGAGCTCGACTTCAGAACATTTGCCACTCTTCATGTGTGCGGCGGCTACCTATGTGGCACTCAGCGAAGTGGCATCTTGCTTTCTTCCTGCAAATAATGAAAAGGAATGAATGAGTGAACGAATAATGGAGGCTCAAAAAGGAATTTTTTACCATGACGATAACATACCCAACCAAATGAATGGCAGGTCAAGCATACATGAACCAATCCGGCCTGCAAAGATCTCTTTCATTGAAACGAAACGAAGATATACAACTAGATCGTGGACAAGCGACATCCTGCCACAAAATGAAAGAGATCTACTCTCAATAAAACAAGAAAACCATCCATAAAGCGATTGACACAAGAAAATACACTATACACTACACGCTTCGCTATATGATTACAAGATACCAGATACATTAAAATGGCAAAAACAAAATAGTCTAGACATTATCTTTTCCCTGATTCTTGCGATTTCTTTTCGCCAGAGCCCTTCCTGCTGCGGCTCTTCGTTTGCGGCCCAACTTGGGGTCCAAGCCATCTTCGGCTGCCAGTCGGTACATTTCGTGAAAGGTCACGGCGGCAAACAGTCGTGAAGTCAAATCTATCAAAGTGCGCTTGCCATTGACCAGCTCCATACCATAATGAATCAGCTCACAGGCATCGTCGCCACAAATGTGCACCCCCAATATTCGTCCTGCAGGCTTTTCAAAGACTAGTTTTAACAGTCCATTTGGCGAAAAGACTCGTCCTCTCAAACATTCTGCATACAAGGCAATCCCTTCTCCCGCGTCAATACCAGATTCCTTGGCTTGTTGGACCGACAACCCAAAGTACGCCGCCTCGGGGGAACTCCAAATACCACAGGGTACCGCAAAAGGATTGGAGGCAAGAGAGGCAGGATCGAAACAAACACCCGCTTGAGCGGCCCCTTCTTGATTGCATGTGGGATCATCCGCATCACATTGCAAATCATAAGTCGTTCCCGGTCGTTCGGCCGAACTCCCAAACATGGCATTGACAGCCGCCACACCTTGTGCCGTCCCCGTACTGGCCAAAAAGGGACGACCCACTACATCTCCAGCCGCATAGACATTGCCCGATTTGGCACTGGTGCACAAAGTAGAGTCCACAATGATACCACCATATTCGTCCAATTCAATTCCAACCGAAGCCAAATTGAGCTTACTCGTATTGGGTTTGCGACCGACCGCCGCCAGGTAGGCATGGGCCTTGATCTCGGTCGCTTGTCCGGGAGATCGAGGACCACCTCCTTTGGCATTGAGCTGAATGGTAATGGGTGCTTGAAAGGTACTTGGAACGTCGAAAAGTCCCACTTGGGCCGCTCGTTCAATTTTAATGCCACTTCGTACCATATCGGCCACCAAGGTAGCCGCAATATCCTTGTCCAGACCAATCTTCATCAAGGCATTCCTCGGTACTTGATCTCGAATGATAAGAGAGACATCGGCACCCAAATTTCGAAAGATCTTGGCATATTCCACTGCAATGATACCAGAACCTGTGATTGCAATCGATTTGGGCAAGTATCCGAGTCCATTGATACTATCGGAATCAAAAATCCGTTTGCTGTCAAAGGGAACCCCTCCTTGTCGATACGGTGTGGACCCCGTAGCAATGAGTATCTTGCGAGCACTAATTGTTTCGACCGTCGAGTCGTTGGAGACAAAAAAGGAAGTGGATTCCCCATCGTCCGCAAAGGCTGCCAATCCCTCGATGAGATCCACATTGGCATCTTCCAATTGCCGTATAATATCATCGGCATTCGCCGAGGCCAAATCAAAGCAGGAACTCAGAATTTCATTCCAAATACTATCCTCCCTTAGTCCCATTCCACGCAAGGTCGATACCTTGATGCGTTTGCTGGTATCTCGTAGTGCCTTTCCAAAGAGTCCCGTGGGTGCTCCAAGGCTCAAGTCTTGGTCCTCCTTCATCAAGACACCCGATTCGCGGGGGGCATCCACCAGACAGACTTTTTTGGAGTATGGAGCCGAAGCCGCAGCCAGTGCCGCTTGAGCACCGACGACGCCACCACCAATGACGGCCAAATCATACTCTTTGATGGATGATGATGATGATGATGATGATGCCAATACTAATAATTGAAATTGTACTTCTTGCTGGTGATTAGTAGTCGGCACAGCAACAAACGCATGAACCAGTGCAGTATATAATGAGAGTAATAAAAAGAAAAGGCTGCCGCCATTTGTAGTACAAAGTTTCATTCTATGAGATATTGGTAGTACCGTATCCTTTGTTGGACCTGCGTTGATTATAAATCTCGTTATGATTGATTTTTTCTATTGTGACATCTTCAATTATTGTGATGGAATGAATGAATCAATCAATCCAAATCTATGGTGGTGGCAAACTGACGTCACTTGTTGCGCCTGCCATCCTTTTGGATATGAGAACCCCAAACGGTCAACGGTATCGTCTGCCAATCATTCCGTTGCGAAGGAGAATATTTTTCGAAGGACATCAGGATCCAACCAAAACATCAAGATATCATCTTCAGAACTGTCCACGCGTCGGCTTGTTGCAATATAAAAAGCGAGAAGCAACATACAGTAGTATTAATACATACTGTCATTGTCATTGTTGAGATTCTAATATTCTTAGTTTCCTGGCTTCTATCGACTATCGACTGTCTACAAAGCTCTGAATCAATCAATCACCCATTACCCATCAGAAAGAAATAATAGGGAGAAACATCAGAAGGACAAACATCACACACGTCACTCAATCCATCACTCCTTCGCATCACGTTTAAACATATACCACAGACACAAAGACTTTGCAACATGAAAGTTTACAGTTTAGCTTTGGTGGCGATCATCTCCACAACCGGCTGCCAAGCCTTTTCACCAGTGAGTCTGACTGGACAATCAAAGGCAGCACGACATGTGATTTTCCGACCACGACAACCATTGTTTGCCGAAGAGGCGCCTCAGGTTCCCATTGTAAAAGTCATGGATCCACCACCACCACCACCTGTTGTAAAAATCATGGATCCGCCAGCTCCTGCACCAGCTGCAGCAGTTGTGGTTCCACCTCCTGCACCAGCAATGCCAGCTCCTGTCTCTACTATCACACCACCACCAGCAACAACGGCTCAAGCAGTCGAGCTGGAAGAATTGCGGACTGAGTTAAAGGAAGCCGAAAAGCAAAATGAAGAAATAAAGCAAGAGATGAAAGCAATGGAAAGCAAGGTCGAAAAGATGGAAAGTCAAGTGGAAAAGATTACTACCGAAGCCACCAAACCAGCACCAGCACCAACCACTCCTCCTCCACCACCCAAACCAACTCCGGAAGAATTGCGCGCCAAGGCCGAAGACGAAGCCCGCAAGGAAAAGTTGCGCAAAGAGGCCGAGGTGGCTGCCAAAAAGGTGCAAGACGAAAAGGCACGATTGCAAAAGGCCGAAGATGAAAAGAAGGCGCTGGTCGACAAACTCAATAGCGTCCGAAAAACGGATGCTGTCAAGAAGGATCTCAAACCATCACTCCCCAGAACGATTCCCTTTGATCCCAATGCCAGTACTAACAACAACAACAACAACAACAACAATGTCATGACAATGATGAAGCCACCGGCGCTCCCCAACTTTGATCCATCGTCCGTCACCAAGGAAAAGGCTACGATTGCGGGAGGCATTCTAGGTGCACTAGTCTTGGGACGATTTGTATTGTCGAGCCGGGAGGAAGTGAAAGATGAGGCTGCAACCAAGAGAGTAAGAATATATCTTCTTGTCTTGTGTCCTGTTGGCGGTGTTGACGTTATTGATGACATTACACTTCTATTGATTGTATTGGTTGGACTATTTCACTCACTCTGTTTTTGTTTTATCTACTTCTTCCTACTACCTACCAAAAGCAAACAAAATCCATTCGATCGACCATTGCCATCAAAGATGCCTCTGGGAAACCAAAGAAGGAAAAGGCTTCGACCCGGATTGCAAAAGCAGCTGCCAAAGTGGCAAACAAGCAACTAGAAAAGAAGGGAGAATCAGCACCAACGAAAAGTGCCTCTGCACCAGCACCAGCTCCTGCTAGTACTACTGGCAGTACGACTAGTACACCAGCACCAGTACCAGTACCAGTACCAGTACCAGTACCAGCACCACCTACGGCTAGTAGCACTACTCCATCATCAGGTTCGGCGCAAAAATCAGTGTCCAACAATGGGGGATCCTACCTGGACTCTCTTGGTGGCAGTAAAAGTAGTTCATCGGCTGTCAAGAGTTCTTACTCTCCCTTTGGAAGCAAGCCAAAGGCTGCTGTGACGTCCAACAATTTTATGTATACACCACCCGGTGTCAATCCAACGACTCCTTCCACACCTGCGAAGGAAAACAAGCATCAGGAGACACCACCCATGGCCGCTTCGTCATATGCTCCATTTGGAGCCAATGATGCGCCACCAAAGAATGCTTCTCCTTTTGATTCTTCTTCCAGCAATGGAGTGTCTTCTCCTCCGCCATACTCTCCTCCTCCTCCAGCTCAAAACGAAACACCTGCGGCTCCAAGCCAACAACAACAACAACAGCAGCAGCAATCTCCTTTGCCACCTCCCAAGGGCAATACTGCTGGAAAGACATCATATCTACCCTACGGAAAGAAACCGCAAGGGAAGCCATGGTGGAATAGTCCCAAATAAGATATTATAAAATGCTAGTGGTATCAATATATAATAGTATTACAGCAGCTATTTTATGGTACTGTGGTGCAGGCAATACCGGCTAGAGGCTAAAGCGCATACTGCGCCTCGCTGGATACGATTGCTTTCAATAAATCACCAATCCGGCACTCTAAGACGAAAATGACCGTCACACCTTTGGTCGCGCGACCGTTAAATAAATAGAGTTCCATAAATACAATACATTTGCAACAAGAGTTCGGTGGGCCAAAGCTGATGCGTTCCAGTGTTGTCACGTTGAAATGTACCAGTCGCCTACGACAAAATTCCTGTATGTGGATCGTCTGATCGAGAAAACGGTTACCAGAAGTCACAGAAAAAATCCGAAACACACCGCTGTCAGAATAAACGAAACTAACAGTCAAATTCAAACTCAAGAATTTTTCAGCGTACGATTATCATAATCATACTCCCGCTAATTCAAAGCCAGGAAACATCACAAAAGAAATTAGGTCACCTTATAACATCTACAACTACACCTTATGTCGGTTTCATCAGCGACATCATCGTCAACAGCAGGATCATCCGAGCCATCACCGATGTCAACGAAGAAAAGGGTGAGGAGGGGACATAGAAAGACTGTTTCGTTCTCAGACATTGATGTAATCGTGTTACCATGGACTCTAGTTGGAGGCTATCCTCTGGAACTGGCATGCGAACCATTGGATCGATATGCCGTGTCGGTGGACTCAATGGAAGAAACCAGGTCATTCTTGGGTCGATTTGGTGATGGCACCATGTCACCTGTGGATCGATACAATCGGTATGTTGGATTTTGCAAACTTAGTACCTTCTTGCATATCCTGCACGAACCTCATCTTGCATCCTTTCATCAATGTTGTAGCATCCGAAGCCTTTCCGATCAAGACTCCATCCCGAGTCTCCCAGTTGCGATTCAGGTTCAAGAGCCAAGAAAGCTGGTGGAAGAAGAGCAACACGACCTTGGGCGATATCTAAACCGAAGATTTATTGTGATAGGATGGGCATTGCTACTGATAGGTTCTTGCGTTATGCTCTCTTCTGCCTCGTTCCAAGTCTATCGTCCTGGATACTCTTTACACCAAGCTTTGAAGAAGATGAATGGAATGATTCAAAGCACAGAAGCAATAGACATGTCTACAAAGGAAGTGCCAGAGAAGAAACAGTGGATGGCTTTGTTGACAAAGCCAAAGATATGACGGGTACAATCGGGGATAGAAGATTTTGAAGGGAAACAAGAGAAGGGTAGGCAGGCAACTTTGTATATAGGTTTTGGAAACAAGCCACTAAGGTGAGGAAAGCATATTGATGGTTTCCCACAACTTCCGTTACGCCAGTCTCTTGGTCAAATTGTTATAAAATGAGACAGAGTTTTGTGTTGACAAACTGTAGATTACGATAGAAGTTTTTCTATTTTCACATTCATCGTTACTGCAGCCATGTTTCACGTGTACCGGTACAGTGTACCGGTGGCGACTGTTCCGCAGGTATTCTCATCAAGTGATCAAAAACGAAAGTTCGAGAATATTCGAATAATCGTGCGCAGTGCCGAAGTCCTAAGTAAGATCGCTGACACAAGGAAATACGCTAAGTATCGCCATTTGCAATGTCGCATCGGACGCAGAAGTTGGCAGAATGCCAAAATAGCGATTGGAAACTCACTTCCATCACAAAAAAGCACAACTCTTGTCGTACCGGTATTGCCATATGGAAGGCGCGAAACGATGGTATTCCGGATAAGAAGAAGAAAACCAAAAGACGTAGCACTCAGGTCAATAGAGAATACAAAGCCGACAAAGGCCACAAAGGCTCTTGTTGGACCAGAGGCCACAACCCGTAACTTTGTCAAGGCAGCCTTGAATGGAAATGCAGCACAACATCCCAAAGCAAAGTCAGCGATACGGGGTATATTCAAGAGAACAAACAAGAAGAGAAAGAATGGCAAGAAATTCATATTTGGTCTCAATAAGGACGATCCTATTTCTCTTCGTGCCGAAACCTCGCACGAGACAGGGTCATCAGCATCTGGACCAATAGATCACACGGGCAAGACCAGTCTATTTACAAGCAGGCCACCACTACCACCATCAAGTGTTCAACATATACGGTATAGACATGAATACAATCGTCCTCCTTTAGATGAGGCTTCTACAAAAGGTTCGGTTGTGAGTGACGACAGCAATAGCATTTACAAGCTCATGCTGCAAGAACTCAAGCAGGATTTCTCCGAGGCCAAGCATGCTCCATTGAGATTTGTCCCTGCACAAACAGTCGTTCATAGCAACAAGACAAGGGAAGAAAAAGAATATCATAAAGATATTGACGACACACTCCGCGTTCTTGATGACGAGCCGGGTAATAGTCAGCAGGAGGAGAGCCGCGACTCTTCAAACCATACTCCTCGACGACAACCTCTATCCGATATCCGACAACCTCTATCCGATATCGATGAAACAAGGGAGGACTTTGTTGGATCAAACGACCCAAACACGGCCGACGAGGGAGCGATAAATATGAGCTTATCAAGCGATATTGACGGGAATATGAAACCAGTCGGTTCCTTAAGGCATGCCTCTCAAGAAGACCGACACGAGTTTGATGCACAGCTCAATTGCGCTTCAGATGATCCTCAAGCAGACTCATCAGAGAGGTCAGTCGGCAGTAGATCCGCTCGATCAATTAGATCAGCAAGATCAGCTATATCGGCTCGTTCAGGAAGATCGGCACGGTCGAGCAAGTCAGCACGATCAGATAGATCCTCCTTGGGTGATCGATCCTCGGAACTAGTGTCACTGCGAGAGCTACGGGGGAAACGTCGGCATCGAAAACAAAAGAGCGAAGTTTCGACAGAAGCATCTAGCTCTTCCTACGATGGCAACGAAAGCACAAGAAGGAAACAGAGATTGAAAAAGCTACCCAAACGTGAACGGGTGCCTGTTGACAACAGATCTTACAATTCTGAAGCTTCGGGCACCTTTGATGATTATACCACGCTTGGTGACACCGAGTATGAATGGGATAACATCGACTCTTTTGATTCGTGGCTGTCACTTGAACATGAGCTACGAGCTGGGGCAAAGGACGATTGGTTCTGTGGGGTTTGTTTCCGGTAAGACTGGAATTACAGGCATTTTGCATGTGTTTACTACAGAGTAATCATAGGCTTGTCGTGAAGCCTAGTATTATCTCTTACATCGGTCAGACACTGTGTTCTTATTGAGTGACATGCATGGTGGCTAAGGCATCTGTCACTCGCCATCATTGAAGAAAAACAATAGGCAACAACGACTACTACTAGCCCACTACTAATACTGTACCTAACCTGCTCAGTAGTAACACCTTCCCTTTGCTGCTGCATATCACACAATTTGCTCCATCGCTATTGGGATTATAACTAAAATTCTCAGTTTCACATACATGGCAAAGAAAATAACATTCTTGTTCCTTTGCAACAGTACATGTACTGGTATCCGCTGTACCTGGTACCGGTGGCAACAATAATCGCCAGAACGATAGAAGACCAAAGGTGCTAGTTTCATTCGAATGGGTCGATCGGGTCGCGCGTTGTAACGCTCATGCCTTAAGTAATATTCAAGTCTTAGCCCGCCGAACAAGGTTACTATGGGAGCCGGCCTTCCAACGGAATCTAAATAAAATAAATTTTGTTAAGGAACATTAAATTCCGCGATGCGTTGTAGTTCCGAAAACTGAAGGAGAATCCAACACAAATGTAACTTTGCCACAACATCCTTTCCAATGCGATTCAAGTTCAAAGTCAATCTCTTCAATGAGGATAAGCCAAAGCCCCAAGCTGGTAACCAGAATAAGGGAACAGGGAAACGATCTGATCTGAAACGATTTCCAAAGGGTCTAGTCAACACCAAGATCGGATTGCAGAAGAACTTCAAGAAAAATCCCTCCAAGAACCACGAGCCAGAGCATGAAGAAAGAGAAACTCGTGACCCTGATCAAAGAGGACGATACGAAGAAAGAGAACCTTGTGAGGGCATTCGAAGGGACGCAACGCCTCCAATAAGAGCTTATGGTGTCGTTGCTCCACGTGTTGGATCCCGCCGAGACTTTCAAGCCATCCGCAAGAACCCCAAACAGCCCAAACAAATTGTTCAACAGAAACTTTCAAAGAAGGTCGATGCAAGATTGGATGCACTGCGGGAGCAGCTGGGTGTTGAGTTTGATCATGAATATGGTGCGCAAATGCACCGTGTGCAGTCCATAGAGCCTCAACAAGCAGGACGGGATAGTATGAACTTTGACAGGACAAGATCTGTTCCAGGAAAGAACAACACCAAGACTGCCAACATGCAGACTGCATGTCAAGTGCCCTTTGCAGGAAAGGCCGCACCGGCTCCACTGCCAACACAAAGGTTGTCATCTTTCAATGGCCAACGACAGCCTCTCGTTGGTGGAAACCATGTATCATCATTCGCTCCTTACTCAAGACCGCCCTCCAAGATGCTTGCAAGGGCCCAAATGGACCCCATCGTTCACAAGAAGCCAACGCAACCCCCAAAATCTCGCTTTCCACAACAAGTTAAGTCAAGAAGCAAAAAGTTAACCCGCGAAGCAGCACCTCGTGCGTCTCGCTATGGTATCCTCGGTGCACTGTTTAGTGGTATGTGCACAGCTGATTCAGCATGTGCCAATGCGCAGTCGGGCTGCAATCATGTGCGTTCTGGATGCTCTGATATGCAAACAGGATGTACTTCTGCCAAGAAGTGTGCCGATGGAACCATGTTTGATGAAGAGACGCTATGGACTAAGAGCGAGACGCTCTCCGAAACCCAATACGACGGCGAAACAATGTGTAGCCGAACGAAAAGCTACGTTGGGGAGCACGAAAGCGATGTATCCGACAGTGACTTCGATGACGAATCGTCATGGGATGATGCAACTTCCTACCAGTCAGAGGAGGATACTCATTATCATAGCGGCCGAAGAACTAGAGCCTCCGGCAAAACACAAGAGCGAAAGCAAGCTGACCGACCCTCCAGCCGAAATACAAGGCCGGAGAAGCGTGGAAACAAGTCACTTCGTGCTTGCGACGACGAAACCTACGGTTATTCCGATGGCGAATCCTTCGACTCCGAAAACAAGACAGAGGTGGATACCTATTGCCACACCGAGTATGATACCGATTCGCAATGGACTGACGGCGAGACCTACTTCACGAAAGAAACAAGACGCACCAGACGGCGGCGCGACTCTGATTCTGATTTTACCGACTCTGACTTGGATTCTCGAAGCTGTAGCAGCTACGATAGTGAAGATTCCTACGATAAAAGAACCTACGGTGACTCAACGTGGAAGACGAACTGCAGGGATGACGAGACCTTCTACACTCGCCAGCAGTCAAGGGGGTATGACGATGATACCATATACACTGAGGTCAAGAAGAGGCCAAAACCAATGAAGAGACGTTAAAAGCAATAGTGCTCTTCTAATGCTCTAGTATTGTGATGCATAAAGGGGCCTGCTTTCATCGGGACATAGTGTGTGGCAAATAGGGATTAAAATTGACACTGAAATAAAAAGACGTTACAATATGATCATATGAAGTAATACAGTGGTTCACATCATCTTGCCATGGCCATATGAAACCATCATCATCGCCAGTCTCATTCTTTGTCTCCATGAATAAAGAGGAGCCGACTCGATGATGGTGTGCAAGGGCAAAGCAAGGTTGTATTGAATGGTAATTCAAAGAGAGCAAGGGAGCCGTAGTTTGTACGGGTTCTGACGAATGTCCAATTACGAGATGACACACAAACAATTGCACTTGTCATCTTCACCCGATTTGTCATCGTGATACGGGTCAACTTCTATAAAAGCGTCGTCATATACCTCATCCAGTACTTTCAAGCTGTCATCGACTTCGGCTGGAGCTTCATTTGGGTCTGCGATTGGTGCAAGGGACCCAAATTCACTATCGTTGAACTCTAGCGACCCATATTCATCATCGTGCTGCATTCCGCCTTCCGTCGTGTTCTTCAGCGCACCAGGATTTGCGATTTCGGCTTCTTCCCGAATCGAGTCTGGGTAAATGTGAATGTGAGACTCCATGCCAAGCTCCTCAATAGCGTCTGCATCGAATTCGCTTGCTGATAGATCCAGATCCAGCTCGAGCACTGCATCCTCCTCCAGTTTGTCTGGATAAACATGAACGTCTGTCCCACCAAAGTCACTGAACTCGCTATCGGAAGTTGATTCCATCTCTTGAAGAAATGAAACATCATCCGATTTCTTTCCATTCTGTTCATTCCCATTCCCATCTTCATCTGGTGGTTGTTCATCAGGATCCGATGAATCGCTGGTGGCAGGCGCAGAAGCATCCTTCGCTTGCAGCCGTTCGAATATCTTGCGTCGCAGACTATGCATTTCCCTCTTTGCCACTTCAGTCGATGATCGGGATCTACGGGCACTCTTCATCTCTTTCATAATACGATTGAGATCGGTTCGATACTCATATCTTCGCCAAAATTCTTCATAAGAAACGTCTGAAGGTACAAGCTTCTCAAAATGTAGTTTCAGGTCTGGATATTTTGATTGTTCTTTGCTATAGAAGTCCTTCTCTTCTTTCTGTTTGATCTTGTTTGCAAACAGGGAAATGAACTGCTCAGTAATGGGAGATCCCTGAAGCGGTTCGGTGTAAGTTGTTGGGTCTTGCCGCCTAACGTGTTGCTCATCTAAGGCTTTCCTTCTCAAATAGAAGTTGTACATCTGCTATTCGAAGTTTACGTATAATAGGATAATATTACTTCTGGATAGTGATGTGGAAGCACCCAAGATGGTTGATGGAAGGCTGATGGAAGGCTGATGGAAGCTCCGGTAGCAGTTCTACAATGCCTCTTCCGTCAATTTCCCGGCATACCCACTGGAACCTAAGCGCGCCCTCATGTTCTATTATGGCGAGAGACATGATACTTTTTTTAGATAGGCGAGCCGGCTCGATTACATAGTGGTACTCTTATGCACGAATGACCTTGATCTTGCGCCGGCATCGTCCATGTTTCGTTTGGTCGTTTGTCTTTTGCAAAATACCTGATCGCCAATTTCAGACCACATTTTTATGTATTCACGTGCTGGACCACAGAGGAAAACATCAACAATCACGTCGACCTTAGCCTCCCTTTCTCTAACAGAGTCGCTGATTGGAAAGTCGCTGATTGGAAAGTTGGAAAATGACAATATTGGCCGTGGCAGGTGTACCCAGCATATCGCTTCGGCCTGGTATATCCTTTGCTTGTGCCTCCAAGTCGTCTTCGCTGTTGACAATCTCCGCAGTGGCAAAAGATGGAGTGTTTGGCAGATCTCCGCTTGTTCCTGGTGTGGTTGTTCTAACAATCAATGGTCAAGAAGCTACATGGATGGATCCGAAAGATGCCCAGAACCTTGTCAAGTCTGGAGATTCCATTTCTATCACTGTCGAGGCCTTCATTGCGAAGATCGTGCGAAAGACGAGACTGGAGAAGTTGGGAATCGTTCTCAAGGAATCAAAGGGCGAAAAGGGTCTCCTCATTGCAGAAGTTGCGCAAGATAGTCCATTCGCTAACACTGACTTGAAACCAGGAATGAAAATTGTCAATATCAATGGGACTCGTTGTCCTAATCGTCCCAAGGAAGCTATCCGTTTGATGCAAAAGATCTTTGGGACCTTAAAGGTCGTTGCTGTTCAAACGAACCGCGAAAAGGCAACCGAGAAGGATCAAGACGCTGAGGTGGCTATGAATTGGACCTTATCAATTGACAGTGCGGGTTCGAAACGGGAGGCTGAGGCAAAAAGAAAAGTGGAGCTAAAGAGGAAGCTTTCCAAGCAGGGAGACAAATTTAGCAATGGCCTGGACAAGCTCGAGTCATCGCTGATCCGCCTTGAATCCTCTGTGAAAGGTTCCAGCAGTATTGTCCGATCCAGGACCGAAATCTCGGAAACTCCATTGGAGCCACATGTGATGAATCGTTCAATATCAGAGATTGTCCAAAAGAACCAAGCCACCGAGAGTAAGGAGGAAACAGCAGAAAATCAGATCTCGGAAGGCTACACACTACGCAAAACAGGCTCTTATATCTGCGACATTGATGAGGTTGGTGATGAGGCAGAATCGGAAAAGAATTCTTCCAAACTCTTCAATTTCCAGCAGTCTCCCGTTGCTGCGATTTCACAGTTGAGAAATCTGGGGAGAAAGAAGAAGCAGACAGTAGTTGGATATGATGCAAAAAATGCAAAAAATACCGATACCGATGACGCGACAAGGACGGACTCGGTATCGACTGCATCCAAATATTTCAATTTTGATCAGACCCCCTCTGAAGCGATGGCCAAGTTGAAGAAGCTCAAGAAGAAGAAGTCCAAGACGCCAACCTCGAAGGGCCGTCGGAAGAAAAAAAAGGAGAAATCTGGCACCTCCGAGGATGTCAAATCACCACAGCGACCAAGAGCAGTTGATTTTGCTGGGCATATCCGAAAAGTTTCTAAGAAAGCGAGAGAGAAAATGCAATCTAGTCTCGCCTCCACACACCAAGAGGTGTCAGATCCTGACGAAAGCCTCGCTACGGGAACGAACGCGAAAGACAAAGAACCAGCAAAATCGTCGTTCATGTCTGGCGATGGCATCTCAAAAGCAGGAGTACAAACAAGAAGGATGTCGTTTGGACGGAAATCGGAACCTGACGACGACGAGGTTACGGAGCTGTCCCGACAATTGAGAGAAGTACAAGTCATTCAGACTTTGGACAACGAAATGGGGTTGGAGGTCTGTATTGCCGAACTACCAAAGGAAGGGCATACCTCGAATAGAGACCTGAGCGTAGAAGAATTTGTCATGATTTCTGAGACTTCCGATAACATGATGGGCCCTTCTGATCTTGATGTTGCTGAGAAGATTGCCGAGAGAGATACCGAAGAGAGTATCTGGCCAGGCCAACCTGTGAAGATGTATGACGATACCGCGCTTGCTTTTACGGGGTTGAAGCTTGCTGACCCAAAACGTGCATCATCGCCGCGGAATGCGAAAGAGGCCGAACAAAGCGAGGAATCGTCCAAGCCTGCATCAAAGACTGTAGTGATGAACATGGATGATCTTCCAGAGGAGAAGCACACGAACAACCCGGCTGTGGACGAGTCGAATATTGAGCAAGCATCCATAGAAGAGACATTATCCCAAGCAGATTCATATTTCTCGCGATCAGATGAGGAGTACTCCGACGAATTCGAGACGGATTCAGAGTACGACTACGATGACGATGATTACTCCGGCTCGGAGGGTGATTGGTCAGAGGATTCGGGCGAAAGTGTTGAAGAGAATGACAAGTTCGAACAGGACCACGGAGAAATGCAAGAGGGCATAGAATCGAGGGATTTCGGGGATAACGAGTCCAGAGCAGATCATTTTGGTGGTGGCCGTGAGGAATCGCAAGCAACCGATGCCCTTTCTATGAATGTTTCAAGCGAGGCAGGTAATAAAGACTCTGAAGTAGTTACAGTATGTATTACCAAGGCCAGCAGAGATGATGTGCTTGGTTTCAAGGTCTTCCAATATGAGGATAGTGATGGTCTCTTTATTTCTGAAATTGACAAGTCCAGCGGGCTGCGTCATTCAGGCCTAAAGCCTGGAATGCAAGTCACGAAGGTGAATGGCCAGAAATGTCCCAATGACTTCTCCGAAGCCGTCACAGCCCTGAAAAATACGATTGGTGCTGTCAAAATTGAAGCAATAGCACCAGACGATCAGGCCAACCCCTCAACGAAGAAGAAGGACATCAGCACTGCGTTGCAAGTTCCAGCAGCTTCGTCGTTCATCGAGTCCCAATTGTCCAACATGTTCAGCGGCGTTCTGTCCGCGGAGGATGGCTTGATTGTTAAAACCTGTTAATTTTGTAGTATGCATGTATGTAACCTCTAGCTAAATCAACGACGCTTTGGATTTTCGTAAGCTCTGAAGCTTGTAATCAATATCATCCAGTATTTGCTGTACGTCGACTGTCTCTGGACTACGGCGTAGTTCTATTGTTGGCTGGTGCAATAGCTTTCGGATGATTGCTAGTTCTTCGTCAGAAGTGGACAAAGACTCTGCAGCTTGTCGAAGTGTTGTGATGGAATCCTTGTTCGTTGATGCCTTCCATTTCTCAAGACATTCTTGAATCAGTGGCTCTATGGCATCTTCTATGACCTTCTCCTGAACTTCAATGCTCAGATCCAAAGGCGGGTCTTTTGAGGAGCCATATGGCTTTAGTTCTTTCAAAGCAGGAACGATCATTTCGTTCCTTGCCGCCTTTCCAGCTCGAATGGCGAGTTCCAACAGGTCATTGAGTACCCCACTTCTGCTCGAGACAGCAGCCTTGGTCCGCTTTAGCTGCAAAAGAATATGGGCATCCCTCGAGGAATAAGGCCGGAAGATCACTTGGCGGTCAGGACGACGGGGCCGTTCGCTTGTACCAGCAGACACTTTGCATAAATGTAGCATGATAGCAGATATATCATGTATGCAATCCCAATGTCGACTTAACTCTTGGACAGCCGAGTCCACCTCAACTGTTGAAGGCAATTCTGTTGATAAAAGCTTTGGAAGATCGAGGGACTGGGTCAAGGTCGCCAGGTGCTTTTTTGCAGTCTTGTCATTATAATCGACCTGATGAAGCAAGCAGAAAGACAAGGCTTCACATCGAAGATCCCTCTCAGCGACAGTTGGAACATCTGTATCATTCCACTTGCATAAAACTGCGAACCGAGCACAGTTACTCAGCACACTGCACTCTTCAAGCCCAGGGATGTTGTCCATGAATATGCTTTGGAGCTTTTGGATTGTCTTCGGTTTGGGAACGAAGAAGTCACGTCCATCTCCCAGAACTGCATCCTTCCATCTCCAAGTGCTGCGTACAGGAATACTGATTCTATCATCTGGTGTCCATTGCAAGGAATAAAGCGAAAGTGACTGTGATATTCCAGAAGGTGTTGTCGATGATGTGATGCTTCTATCAGTAACTGCTGCCAGTGGTTCTCTTGACAAGTACAGTGACGTACTTGATGCAGAAGACCATGACTCATCTAGACTCTTTGGAATTGTTGACTCAAGGTGTAGACTGCATGCATGGAATAGACAAAGATGAAGAATGCAGAATCTCCAATACCGTGTTGACATTGCGGGCTCTGTTATTGTCGTCATGAATAATCAAGAAATATGACAATAATCGCGTGCATGCGCGTAGTGTTCTACTGGTGTGCATCTACTCCTCTTCTCTATTTTTCCACTCCTGGGATGGGCACGGTAGACTTTTTAAAAATCCGCGCACCTTTGACCAAAAAACTAGTCACAAAAACCTTATGGTGCAACTCCGGTCACTTTTTTCGTGTCAAATGCTAGCTTTGGTCACATCGATTCAATTTGCTCATTGCAAAACCAAAGGATTGATATACGGAAAGTTACTAGCAAAGGCAAGTGGTACATCTCTCAAACGACGACGGAAACTAAGACATCATGACTTGGGTGACGGTCAAAGCTATCAAGACCTCCAAAGATGATATGGCAGGTGTCGGGTTTTCACGCAAGTCGAAATCATCACCGTTGATTCTGGCAAGAGTGGATAAAATAGGGTTGTTCGGAAACTCTCCACTGATACCAGGGCTGATTGTTCAAAAAATCAATGGAAGGGATATGACATGGGTCCACCCGAAAGATGCTGCCGCAGAAATATTGAAAGCTCCTAGAAGTATTTCGATTACTGCTGAAGGCTTTGTAGGTAACGTATGGAAACCGCGGAAGACACCAACTGGTGTGGTTCTGAAGGATGCTGAAGATGGCAGTGTATTCGTTTTTCAGATGCGACCCGATAGTATCTTCCTTGGATCCGACATCAAGGTGGGTATGGAGGTGGTTGCGATCAACGGTAGCCCGTGTCCCAAGCCAGCATGGAGAGCCACTCATGCATTACAACGGAGTACTGGAAAAGTAAAAGTAGTCGCAATCAACTGTACACGTCCCGGCAGAAACCTCGACAAAGGGGAATGGTGGCGAAGTACCAGAAAGGAGCAAGAATCCCAACACGTTGAAAGCCTTGTTGCCCGTGCACCACCGATGATGGAAGACGAGTACACTCCCACTTTCTTCGAAACCTTCTGCGGAATGTTCCCACATAGTCAGAGTATCTTCGGCACCGCATATGATCGTCGCCCTGACTTCTTACGAGGGGTAAGTTTGCCTTCGTTGATACCAGGCCAAAAGATGGTTCGGTTCAATTCGAAATCAAACACAATTCGTGCCTATGACCCAAATGGACGAACAACAAAGATGTTTCGTCTTGCACTCCCTGTGAGCTAGGAAAACTATCGGCAAGACCAGCACTCTTGGCAAGAAGCAAGAAGGGTTGTTCTGTTTTGTATATTCCTCATTGTTGTTTGAACAAGTAAGTTCATTCTTCTTGATTGCTCCTTTCAAGGGAAAGGCCAGAGCTGGGGAGCAGATGATTTTTTTCACCCATTTGGGATTTGGGAACGAAAGAAGAAACTCTGCTGAAGCAAGTATTACCAATCTTTTCATGAAAGGGGCCTAATCGTGCAGGCTCGATAGAGTAGTGTTACTACTAGGAATTTGCATCCAAGAAGCGATGGTCCATTATTCGCTAAGGACGCAAATCGAACTACTATAGAATATGTTCGTACTCTTAAAAAGCTAGTTACCACAACATACTTTGACTTTGCTGCATGGGCATGTTTACGTCGCACTAGAGTAGAAAGTTTGATGGGACGGTGAGCACCAGATTATCGTGAAGTGTCTTATTATAAGCCTACTTCAGTACCACCCACAAACTGAATCCCACGGGTCGGTTTTTAGTTTTCAACGTCGCGTCGGACGGCCAAAAAATAATTTTTGGCCATCCACAAGATTCAGATTACTCGCCTTGTGAATTAGCTGCACCATCCCGTGGAAGAAGAAGAAAAGAGGTGCCAAGCCACCCAACGTATCTTTTGCCTCCCCACCAACCAACTGGCAGGAGAGCAAGACACACTCCAAAAATAAAAATGAAGACATGGGACCGAATACCAGTCAGTGGGCTTCTTCCTCTGTTATATACAGCAGTCCTCTTGGCATCAAATGTCGGTGTTGTTGATGGCAGGGTGATTCTTTGCGATCAGACCTTGGGAAAGGAAGTCGTATCCACCTATGAAGACAAGTATCCATTCTATGGAAAAATCTTTTCAAGTGTCGCCTTTTTTGATTTCCGTGAACTGCGAATACTGTATGAGGTTGATTTTGTAATGAATGGTCTGCTAAAGTTGTACAACAGCAAATTTTTACCATCGATCGATGGCCCCGAAGAAGTCATGCCAGTATTCAATCCCGAAGAAGCCGAGAGTCTATATCATCCGTTTCCCAAACTGATGCTGGCGGACCTTGAAACCGAGTCCTTTGATCAAATCGACGCTGCTGCGAGGAATGTGGGTGTGGATTTTGTTATTTTGACTTTGGACGACACCAATTATACTTGGCAAGAAAAGTTCAAATGGTGGTGGCTAAGAGAGCTTCCCAAAGTTCCAGCGCATAAATACTTTGCCACTGCAAACTCCTTGCCTCCATACTATCTCGCAATGAGTTCACTGGACGGAAGCTGTAAGAAGAATGACGTCGTTTGATAGTGATGAATATCCAGCCATATCATTGTTCTAACCATCCGCTGCACCTTTCCCACGCCACAGACCTCACAGAGATACTATTGAAAAAAGAGAGTGCAATTCTAGATTACGGAGACATTAATAGCCCCGAAATTGCCATTCAAATAGACGATTCCAGCATGGTAAAAGGGATTGATTTGGTCGTGCAAGCAACATTGTATCTCGTATTTGTATTCCTTGCGCTGCGATGGCTGATAAAGTCAGACATTATGGAAGAAACCTTTCAACAGCAAGAAGCCAAACCCAAATTTACGGCGGAAGATCTGGGAGAAGGCATCATTTGCGAAGGTCCATGCGCTCACGAATGTGCCATTTGTTTAGAAGCCATGCCTCCTGGAACCAAAGTTCGCATCTTGCCCTGTCGGCATTCGTTCCACGAAGACTGCATCGTAGGTTGGTTGAATGAGGGAAAGACCACTTGCCCATTATGCAAGTTTGATCTTCTCCAACATTTTGAAGAGCAAAAGGAAGCAAGGGAGAGCATTCTCCCTCCCAAAACCTTTCGGCAGCGTTTCCTGCGCAGATTCAATGCATTATTGAGATTTCGAGGAAGAACGATCCAAACAGATGACGATCAACTATTGACAGCAGAAATCGGTGACTTGGAGTTGACCGAAGAAATTGCTCCAGCTAGTAGTACTGCTGGTACGATTAGTGTGGCGAATGGGGTGACCGTCTGAACAAGAAATGAAGAAATAAAGGCAGCTTAAGAAATCATTATTGGCAGTGCTATATCATGGATGAATACGAGGATGGAGCAACTTAGCAAGACAAAGTAACCTTCTATTTGTACACTTGAATCGATCACCACCATTATCAGTAGAAAATTGGAGAATAACATAGTATTGGGACCGACTCGATTCAGCACTTCTCCCCCGCCAGCCATTTTCTACATCAATTCGATGGCCATGCATGCATGACTACCAGAAGTTGTTAGTATGGCAATCATGATTTCATAAACTACAGTACTGTCCTAGTTTTTGAGAAAGGCAGCTATTGAGGATGAGTACCACATAACCTACCTAGATGACTTTCTCAATCAAGTACCACGTACCGTACGATAGTTTTGCCCTGAGGTACGTTGCAAGATACCTGGTACTACCGGGTACCATGGTACAACAGAGTTGGATTGCTTGCAGACGGGTGAGTCAGTCGTATGGAATGACAGACAGCTGGCAGCTGTCCCTCAAGAGTACAACGGTACGGTATTTATGTTACTTTCGTAACATTCCACATATAATGTACCGGTACGGTGTAGGTACGGTGTAGGTAAGGTGGTACTGGTACGGTACACAGGATGTGCCGACTATTCTATTGAGTCAGTCAGTCAATCGTATGCAATGACAGACAGCTGACATGACATGCCAGCTGTCACTACGGTATGTTTGACGGACTGACGCACGATCCCTGCAACTCCGAAGAAACTAAATAAGTTTACAACCCGCGGGTTCAAATTACAGAGTGGTCCCACAGAGATGATCCCATACGGAGAATGGTGTCCAATTATTGCACAAGTGAAATTGGGTCGCGCTTGATCGTGATGGGCGGGAGTAAATTGAATACCCGTACTTGAAATGCAGTGCCGTAATGCTACTCTGCCATTCATTCATGATAGCAATGTACCATGTGGTAGATAACAATAAAAATAGATACAATAACAGGTGTTGTTACCATTTTCTATAATAGAGTTCCTTTACTCACTCACTCACTCACTCCACTGATACCGAAGCTGGTTTCCATTGGAAACCAATGGAGTTCAACTTTTCTTGCTTTTCCATTGGTAGCTTGCCCTTGTTCATTTCCCTCCGTTGTCTGTCGATCCATTTGCACAGTTTGCGATTGGTAGCGGGGACCACAGCGCACTCTCCAGTACGCTCCTTGATGGATTTGAGGTGTTGAAAGTTTTCAATCCATTGATCACTCTTGGCGATTTGAGGATTGATCTGGCCTCCCTTGATGACGGTGATTCGCCACTGAAAGTCAAGTTCGTTTAAACGCTCCATCTTCGCCTTGTTGAGAGTGCCTCGGGCCATTTGTTGGCGTACACTGCAGACCCAAACACCAAGTTTGGGGTTAGCTTTGTATCGTCTGGGTACATTGCAGTGTCCATGTTCTTGTTTGAACTGCACGAGATCTTTAAAGCGAGATTCCCAAGTGCTGTCTTGAACCATTCTCAGATCCCTGACATTGCTGCCTTCTTCGCCTGCAGCAGACGCAGCAGCAGCAAAGTGCAAGGGGGCAGACAAGGATGATGATTGAGTAGTAGTACCTCGATCTCTGGTGGTGTTATCATTGGCAGAATCATCCGAGCCGTTTGCCTCGTCCGAGATTGGCGACATTGGTCTGGCAACCGTGTCTATTTGAATGTATTGACCTGACGAGTCAGAATCATTGGATCCAAATGATGAGGGCATTTGATTGCTCCCCGAGCTTCCTGCACCACTCCCTTCTCGCTGAATGATGCCAAACAAAGATGAGTTCAGTTGAGCTAATATTCCTAGCGAAGCTGCTTGACTTTGACTTTGGCTTTGACCTTGTTGTGCTGCTGCTGCTGCTGGCTCTTGTCCTAGAGCTCTTCTGATTTCAATCTCATTGAGTGCTCTAGCCCTTTCCAAAATGCTGTGCTTTTCCAAGGCTATGCGAAGAGCATTGTTCTTTTGAGAGCTTGCTGGTGGGTTTGACAATGATCGAAGCAGCTGTGCTTGCAGGTCTGAATTGAAACGACCCAGTGATGTGGGTGAAACCCCACTGGTGGCGGGTGCCGCCGATCGTATGGAGTCAAAGTTCAAGGACCGCGTCGTTGCCTGCTGAGCATATGGCTGCAGGAGGGGTGCATGGAACTGGTGGTTCTGAGTCGGATGCTGTTGCTGCTGTTGTTGTTGCTGCTGCATCAACGACTGCAAGAGCTGCAATTGCTGCAGCTGTGCTGGATGCTGATCATTCGACGCTTGATTCAAGTAGCCCGCAAGAAGAGGCTGCTGCTGTTCTTGTTGTGTGCTCCCATAGAGGCTGTGCAGAGCGTCTAGCGACAGGTTTGTAGGATGTTCATGTCCTTCGTGATTTCCTTCGTTCATTCGTTCGTTCATACCGTAATATACTGAAAATAGTTTCAGTTTAGATAAAGTTTCAATCGTTTTCAAGCGACCTTTCACTAATTTCAAGCGACCTTCCGCAATTTGAATTTCTGATTTCTCCCTCCGGTTTCAACAGCTTCTGATCAAGAGAACCGGCTCTGCCACGAAGATGACATGCTTTTACTCCTCGCGCTCGCGCTTGTGGACAAACCGAACCGATGCAAGCCACGTGGGAGGTTCGACCAGCATGACCCATAATGGACAATGCTGGCTTTTGAAATGCTTTGGTGACGTCTTTTTTGCGGTTTACAAAAGAATTTAGTGCCGGCCGACATAGTGTTTTCACAGTTCGTGACGCCTGCCAGCTGACCTAAAACAGATCTGATCTATTGGTGACAGGTGACAAGCAATACCACTGACAACAGTAGCAGTACCAGGTACCGGTTCGAGCCACCTCCTCATGTTGGAGAATTCTGTTCTAGAGGAGCCTCTACTAGCACGTATGCCAGCCAGAACCACCAGGTTCTGGCTGTCATCATGGAGAGAGTGAGTGGTGAGTGAGTGATCGAAAAATGGTCGTGGTCCATGGCCAGTGGCATACTTGCTATACATGTTATTCGATACTGTAATGCTGCTGTAGGACTATTATTAAATTACAAATGGACAGGTATTATTTGAAAATGTTACATTATACATCATGATTGCTTTATCGTGTTTGTGTTAATATGTGCATGTATTAAAAACGTACAGAAGATCCTTCACTAGGACAATCATCATCGGATATCATCTTGGCCTCGCTACCTTCTTCATCTCGTTGTTGTTGTTGTGGTGGTGGTGGTGCTCTTCGTTTTCCATCTGGCACCACGTTCCATTGGAAACCAATCGAATTCAACTTTTTTTGCTTTTCCTTCGATAGCCTACCCTTGTTCCTTTCCCTTCGTTGTCTGTCCATCCACTTGGTCAACTTGCGATGGGTGGTAGCGGGGACAGGAGGAGAGCACTCTCCAGTACGCTCCTTGATGGATTTGAGGTGTTGAAAGTGTTCCATCCATGGATCACTACTACTACTCTTGTTTCGGTTGGCGATTTGAGGATTGATCTGGCCTCCCTTGATGACGGTGATTCGCCACTGAAAGTCAAGTTCGTTTAAACGCTCCATCTTGGCCTTGTTGAGAGTTCCTCGGGCCATTTGCTGACGAATACTGCAGACCCAAACACCAAGTTTGGGGTTAGCTTTGTATCGTCTGGGTACATTGCAGTGTCCATGTTCTTGTTTGAACTGCACGAGATCTTTAAAGCGAGATTCCCAAGTGCTGTCTTGAACCATTCTCAAATCCGTCACGCTTTCGCCGCCAATAGTGGAAAAGGGCAAGGAGGCGGCGGCGGATGCAGATGAGGACTGGGCTCTAGAATGATGATCAGCTTGAGAGTTGTCTGACTTGTTCTCATCCGAGGACGGTGACAATCTCCTAGATGTGAGAGTAGGAATAAAAGCTTGTTGTTGTTGCTGCTGTTGCAATTGTTGTTGATGTTCTCGTTCCAGAGCCCTTCGAATTTCCATTTCGTTCAGTGCTCTGGCTCGCTCCAAAACGCTTTGTTTTTCAAGGGCTCGAAAGAGGTCCGTGCTATTCTTACTAGGATTGGCAAGACATAGGAGCAATTGAGATTGCAGCTCTGGACTCAAAGCAGCCAGAGAAGAAGGAGAAAGCCCATTTAGGATTGGCCTCAGGGAATCATGAAGCTGCCATGATGCTGGTAATGTGTTCATTGTTGTTGTTGTTGTTGGTGTTGTTGTTGGTGTTGCTTGTGTTTGTGTTCTTTGCTGACCACCAAACAAGGATTGAGCATTGAACTCTTGAGGGTGCTTCTGATGAATCTGTGGCTGTGGCTGTTGCAGTAAGGATTGCAAGGATTGCAAGGATTGCAAGAGTTGCAATTGCTGCAGCTGTGACTGTGACTGTGACTGTGGCTGTGATGGAAGCTGATTCTGCTGAGAAAGATGATGATTCTGATTTGAATCGTGATTTCGATGATTCAAATAGCTTGCAAGAGGAATCTGATGATTGCGCTGCTGCTGTGCCATGCTTGGGCTGCCATTGTTATTATTCTGATAACACAAACTATGCAGAGTTTCCATTCTCACAAGCGGGCTGGATGGATGTATTTGGGTTTCGTTCATCGTCGTCTTCTTGCGATAACACTACTACTTCTTTATGTGGGATGAGTGTTGAAATTTTGTTCGATCGAAACGGTTTTTTGCAGGCATCGCTAACTACTAACCGACGTCATTCATTTCTTTCAAAATCGTTAAGTGTGAAGTGGTCGATTGAGTTGACGTACTTCGACGTCATTGGAAAGATTTCTAACTCAAAAAATTGAATGTTTAACACATAAACCAGCTGTAACCTACGTTATGTGAGTCGATATGTAAAATCTGAGTACGTAATTTTTGCTCTATAAATGTACAGATATCAGAAATCCGACACTTTTTGACGATAGTGACAGGCGACAGCTAGGTAAAGTAAAAAGGAGTACAACTATCTTTACGAGCACCCAAAAGAGCAAACAAAACTGCGAGACGCCCTGAAGCTTTGGCATGAAGATGGAGATTCGAAGAGAGTGGATGCGAGAAATTGTCCACAGGTGAAGTATGTCACCAAGGAATCGCTCCGACTCCATACAGAGAAGATGCAAGCAGTGTAGTCAAACGGCAACATATGAGCCATACTGCGTCACAGTACCAGTAATCAGGCAACATGGTTGGTGCTTGACTGCCGCTGGATGTTTGCTTTCATAGATAATAGAGTTACTATAAAAACTCCTCGTTACAACCGCGTCATCCTACGTCAGTTTGTAGAGTAGGAACAACTTCCAGGACCGTGTTGCAAATTCGAACAGATGGATTCTCAATTAGAGGTTTGGCGAATTGATGATGCAAATATACGTAGTCACATTCCATATCAGCTGTATGTCATGTCGAGTCGTCACTGCCGACTACACGTCGTAATATATGTAGCGCTTCTCAAAATCACTTCTGATCAAACGAACTTCTGATCGAGTCTACAGAGATTTTCTACTGACCTTGATCGTCATCATCAAGTGCGTACGTACGTGCTCTTAAGTTGGGAATGAAATGGAATCCACTGTTGACCATTCATTGTTCTGACAAGACGTTCGAATCTTGTGTGATTGGATCCCGCGGGTCGAAAAGAAGCGAAGGAGCGCTATCGAACCTGCTGTATTGTACACAAACCGAATTGCAAAAGGTGACGTGAAATAGTGTCTGCTAGATAGAAGTGTTCGCGGTGTAACAAGTTACTCTATACCAGTATCTTTGTGAGTTGGTCCCATGAAAATGTACCAAATTAGGATGCAAATGGTGACGCCAAATAGTCTGATCTGCAACCGTTTTCGCACTAGAGAACAAAGCCAAAACTGGAGTGCCTGTGCCATTTGATCCCACGAAAATTCAACATTCCTCCAGTTTCAAGCATGGACCATGTTACACAAGCAAATGATCCGAGACTTTGTGAACAAGGCCAAGATAGCCAAGATAAAATAGATTGAATGAAGCATTGCCCTTCTGAAAGCTTTTGCTATTGATATCCTTGTTTATACTGTATTTGTGGCTTGCAACTATTAGTTCTCACTCTTTTAAAAATGTTGTGTGTGCTTCTTTTTAGAAATTGTCGGTAGTCGCCAGCAAGTATTACCAGATGTCCGGAGTTAAATGGGCATATTTTCACCGACACGTCGTGCGTGGGATCATCTGGAATCCATTAAACGAAAGTCTTCATTTTTTGATCAGAAGATATGTCATTTCAACAAAGCAACGCTCCGTTTCCCACAAAAAATAAAATAAAAAAAAGGCAAGCAAGTATAGCAACATGGAGTCTCCAAATGAACAACAACGACGACAACAACAGCATCAACAACGAACGATACCTGCTGGTTTGCAAACCACCGGTAGCTTTGATGCCACTGGTAGCAGCCTGTATCAGCAACAACACTCGTTCCCTCTTGCCAACTATTTGAATCAGCAGCAGCATCATCACCACCACCAAACTTCTTCTTCTTCTTCAAGTCAGCAGCTGCAGCAGCAGCAGCAGCTCCAACAATTGCGAGAGCTGCAATTGCTGCAGTCGTTAATGCAGCGGCACCAGAAGCAGCAACCACAGCAGCAGCAACACCAACAACGGATTCAGTCCCTTCTGCAGCCACACCGTCATGAACATGAACATCCTCATCGTCATCGTCATCATGGCCAGCAAAGAACGAGGCGTCCATTGAATCTTGGTGCCCTGTTATCGTTGAATGGTGAGACCAGTAGCAGAAGCATGAACACGAATACTAATAATACTGCTACTTCTGCTACCAATACCCATTCGCTGGGTGGCTTGAATTCCAACCTCCAAGCGCAGCTGTTGCGATCTCTTGCGAGCCCACAGCCAGCAGCAGCAGCAGCAAGCTCTCAAAAGACTACTGCTACTACCAATCACAGCATCAGCACTGCTGCCAACTCTTATTTCTCACCCAGCAGCACACCGCTGGGTGGACTCAATCATTCCGATTTGCAATCCCAGCTTCTCTTGAGCCTTGCTGGTGCGAACAATAACCCCAAAGCTAGTGGTGCTACCTCTCATCAAAATAAGAACAATCATGCTCTTCGCATAGCCTTGGAAAAGCAGAAAATACTCGAGAGGGCAAGGGCACTCAACGAGATTGAAATTCGAAGAGCTCTCGAACAAGAACAACCGCAACAACAACGAGCAGCAGGTCAAACGACCAGCAACAGCAACGACAACAACGCTAACTCTTCGTCCTTTCGCACCATACAACAACAACAACAGCAGCAGCAAGATGGTGCTGGCACTGGTTCTAGAAGAAGCTCCGAGAGCAACCTACGAATGCCCTCTAATTTTGGATCTAACGATTCTGATTCCTCAGGACAATACATTCGAGTCAATAACTCGGTTGCTAGACCAATGTCTCCCATATCGGATGAGGCAAACGGATCGGATGATTCTGCCAATGAGAACCGAACTCAATCTTTATCCGATCGAACTCAATCCGTATGTGCCCCGCCCTTGCACTTTGCTGCCGGCGAAGAAGGCGGCGGCGGCAACGTCAGAGATCTGAGAATGGTACAAGACAGTGGCTGGGAATCCAAGTTCCGAGACCTCCTCGAATTCAAGCGCGAACATGGGCACTGCAACGTCTCAAGACGATACAAGAAAAACCCCAAGCTTGGTGTCTGGGTTTGCAGCATTCGCCAGCAAATGACCCGGGGCACTCTCAACAAGGCCAAGATGGAACGATTGAATCAAATTGGTTTCCAATGGCGAATCACCGTCATCAAGGGAGGCCAGATCAATCCTCAAATAGCCAACAAGACTGGTCGTCGTGGTAGTGGTGCTGCTGACCCATGGATCGAAAACTTTCAACAACTCAAGTCCATCCAAGCGCGCACTGGAAGTTGTGAAGTTTCAGCAGCCTCCAGCAACCACAACAACAACAATCGCAACCTCTACAAGTGGGTAAGCAAACAACGCAAGGAAATGGCCAAGGGCAAGTTGTCCATAGCCAAGCAAGAAATGTTGAATTCCATTGGCTTTTCATGGTCCAAACACCAACCAAAACCAGTACCAGTACCAGTACCAGTACCAGTACCAGTACCACCAAGGCGACAACAAGAAGCGCCGGAACAGGACTGCGCAAAGATATCTGATGATGATGAATCCACCAAGAGAAGCCGAGCACCAGCGGGGGCTCCTGTGAAACATTTACATATGAATTGAATAGGCCTAGAAGATATGCAATAATATATTATGTAAATATAATCATGTCCATCAGTAAAATTGATGAAACTATCAACTATAATCATAGTGTAGGAAAAGAAAGGGATGATATTACTGAAGTACTAGCTAGAGTACAAGCAATGCGCGCTCCATGTACGACTGACGCAGCAGAGGAGTTCTTTTGCCATTAGATAATATCATCCATGATAATTCAAGAAGGCAGAACACTTGCTTCCAAAAGTCGATGACGATCACCAACCTTGCCAACCATACCGGTAGGAGGTCACGAGTGCTGGGGCTCGGAACTGACATCTATCTTTGTTCCGTCTCCATCTGTTTTTGGTTGAATCCAACTTCATCAAGATTCATTCTTCTTGTTCTCACTTCCTCCATCAGCTGTATTTAAAATTCTTGGTTTATTGCGTGTCTTTGATCATCTGCCTTTCTTGCTCCGTGTGGTCTCATAGTGGGTCGTCCCTTTTTCACTGAACGATTTGAGCACAAAATTCGCACAGCTTTAACCCCGTGGGTCCAACCTCCACGCAATAAGTGCGTCATTTGGAGAACATCCTAATTTGATAATGACTCTCGAGTGGATCGTAGATTCACGCACGTCGTTCGATTAACGATTTTGATTTGTTACGAGTGATGTAACTTCGATCAGAAGTTCCTTTCCGACATATGACATGCTCAATTTTCGAATCGCCCAAAAGATTGAACGATGAGCGAACGAAATCAAGGAAATGAACATGCAAACGGACTGGAAGCTCTGCATAGCCTCTATGGCAGCACACAGCCCACCAAGCATCAGCTTCACCTTTCGCTTGCGAACTGTTTGAACTCGGGTGTTGGTGCTGCTGGAAATCCCCATCAACAACATCAACAACATCAACAACAACTGCAACAATTGCAACTGCTGCAGTCCTTGATGCGGCAGCAGCCGATTCCAAAGCATCAATGGAATCAACCTCTCACACATCCGTTTGGCCAGCAGCCGACGCGCTCCTTTATGATGCCCGCCAACAACGCCAAGAATGCTGGGCATTTGCCTACATCGCTTGCTGCTTTGCCCTCCGATCTACAGTCACAGCTGTTACGATCGCTTGCCAACCCACCATCACCATCACCATCACCATCACCATCACCATCACCATCACCATCACCACCACCACCACCACCACCACCAATATCGAGCTCTCAAAACGCGGATCTTCGCGTGGCGCTTGAAAACCAAAGCATCCTCGAAAGAGCAACAGCTCTCAATGAGATCGAGATCAGAAGAGCTCTAGCAGCAGGAGGACAAGAACAACATCAATGCTTTCGTACCGGCAATAATGGAACCACAAGCAGTCATCAAAGTCCCTCCAGAGTATACATTGAAGTCGACTCGGTTGCCAGGCCAATGCCACCAATATCTGACGAGGCAAACACTAGGTCGGATGACTCTGCACCAGATCAATCTCAGTCGGATCGAACTCAATCGCTCTGCCCACCCTTGTTGCCATGCTTTGCTGTGGGCGAACAACAAGATGGTGTGCGGGATCTGAGAATGATTCAAGACAGCTCTTGGGAAACACGTTTTCAGGAACTCGTGCAATTCAAACAAGAACATGGTCATTGTAACGTCCCAAGACGGTACAAAGGCAACCCCAAGCTTGGTGTCTGGGTTTGCAGCATCCGGCAGCAAATGACCCGGGGCACTCTCAACAAAGCCAAGGTGGAACGCTTGGATGCGATTGGCTTCCAATGGCGAATAAGCGTCATCAAAGGAGGTCAGATCAATCCTCAAATAGCCAAGAATCGGCAATGGGTCGAAAGCTTTCGCCTGCTTGCATCCATCAAGGACCGAACTGGAACTTGCTCGGTTCCAGCTTCCAGCAATCGCAAGTTGACCAAATGGGTTAGCAAACAACGAAAGGAAATGAATCAAGGCAAGTTGTCCACGGACAAACAAGAAAAGCTGAATTCAATAGGTTTCCACTGGAAACCATCAATCAGGGGACTAGCGCCATCGGATGACGGTACGAGCTACTGTGCCAAGCCGATATCACACTGTGGTTCTATCGGAGGGGCTTCTGTGCATTTTTAAAACTTATTCACTGCAATTGACTGTAATCCATTGTATTTAGTCCTTTATATTATAATGTATCTTTTTTATAATACTTTGCATCTATCAACTTGCTATTCTGGCTTTGATTTACAACTCAGGTAGCTAGTAATTGCACGTGTACGTTGGTTGAGCTCAACATGCAGTGCCATGGCAAATTTCAAAAAATTAAAGCAGCCATCCAGGAAGCGGGCATATATTTTTTCTTCACCATCTGTTTTTCTGCAACACGCCATCTGTTTTTTCATTTCGGTTCATCTCAACTGCAATTTTCCGTCTGTTTTTCGTTCATCTTCCCTTCGGCACGAGCTATTTCATCTGCAGTTCCTTGGCAGTACACCTATCGTCCATCAGCTGTCACTAAGTTGGTACTTTAACCGACACCCTTTTGTCGGAACTTTGTCAGCTGTTGATGTTGTTACGATAGTTTTCGTCAGGTGTCTCCCGTCACCAGAAACAACTTCGGATCAAAGCTTTGTTGATTGCGTGTACGAAGCATTTCGGAATCCCACATCACTGCCCTAGATAAAAGCATCTGACACAATTTTCGCCAGATTGCATTCCCTAATCCTAACTAACTACGTCGCCAAAGTGTTTCTAATACAGCTCAGAGACTTAACAAATCTGGATGTGGGCATCGAATCACGCACGTGGTTACTTAACGTTTGGAAGTTGTAAATTGTCCATTGTCTTTGACCCATCACAAACACTGATCAATAAAATAATCTCTCAAAAGAATTTAAAACATGAACGAAGGAAATCAAGGAAATCTTCTTAATCTATACGTTAGTGCTCACAAACAACAGTTCTCTTTTGTCAACTGCTACTTGGATAGAGCTTCAAAGCATCATCATCAGCAACAACAAGTGCAACTATTGCAGTCTTTGATTCAGCAGGACGAGCGGCAGCGGTCTCTGGTTCCAATTCGGAATCAATGGAATCAACCTCTCCTGCAACCATGTGGTCAACAGGCAAGGCCGCCATTTCACATTGGTTCCATTTTGCCTATTGGCAACACGATTTCAACTTCTGCGGTTGCTAGTTTGAACTCTGACCTTCAATCGCAACTACTATTATCGCTTGCAGACCCGCCGCCACGAAGAATGAGCCTTCAAAGTGCCGATTTCAGAGACCTTCTCGTAGCACTTGAAAAACAAAGCGTCTTGGAAAGGGAATGACCTTGAAATCTGTAAAGCTCTCGAGGAAGAACGGGAACAAGCACGGCACCGCGCTCGACTCCACCAAATATCTTACACCTCTTCGATCGACTCTTCTACCAGGGCACCACTGCCATCGTTGATATCTAATGGGGCTGCAATCAGTTCTGATGACTCCCATGATGATCAAGATCGACCTGGTATGGTGTGCGCCTCCTCGCCTCTTGCTGTGGGCAGAGGTCGTGCACACGCCGACAGCACTTGGGAGTCTCGCTTTGCAGAACTTGTCGAATTCAATCGCGAACACTGCCACTGTAACGTCCCCAGACGATACAAAGCCAATCCCAAGCTCGGGGTCTGGGTCTGTAGCATTCGCCAGCAAATGGCTCGAGGCACTTTGAAAAATGTCAAGGTGGAACGATTGAATGAGATTGGATTCAGCTGGCGAGTGATTGCGAAAGAAGGGCAGCAGACGACCAATCATCAAATCTCTAAGATGGACAACTGGATTAAAAACTTTCAACTTCTCGCATCCATCAAGGGCAGTGTTGGAAAACGCTCTGTTCCAGCCTCAAATCGCAAGCTCTGCAAGTGGGTTGGCAGGCAACGAGGGGAAATGAAAGGAGGAACACTGTCGATTGAAAAGCAGGAAAAACTGAATTCAATCGGCTTCCAATGGAAACCAGTTAATGTCCTCCCGTCATGAGATCACAGCGACCACGCAGCGAAGGGGCTTCGCCTGCACATTCAAGTTTCATTAGGTAACCTGATGCATGAAATGCTTATAAGACCTATATATATCTCATACCAGCAGCAACGAGGAGTTTTTATAGTAACTCTATTATCTATGAAAGCAAACATCCAGCGGCAGTCAAGCACCAACCATGTTGCCTGATTACTGGTACTGTGACGCAGTATGGCTCATATGTTGCCGTTTGACTACACTGCTTGCATCTTCTCTGTTGCTCGTAAAGATAGTTGTACTCCTTTTTACTTTACCTAGCTGTCGCCTGTCACTATCGTCAAAAAGTGTCGGATTTCTGATATCTGTACATTTATAGAGCAAAAATTACGTACTCAGATTTTACATATCGACTCACATGACGTAGGTTACAGCTGGTTTATGTGTTTTAAACATTCAATTTTTTGAAAATCTTTCCAATGACGTCGAAGTACGTCAACTCAATCGACCACTTCACACTTAACGATTTTGAAAGAAATGAATGACGTCGGTTAGTAGTTAGCGAAACTTTCGCGTGTGACAAAAACTAACGTAAGTTGTTTCAGATTCTGTCATTCAATTTCGAACAGAAAGCGCCATGAAACACACACACACAAGAACCCTTCCAAAGACTGAAAGATGGAAGAAGGAAATCATCAACCACCAAACCTGCCGCCCAATAGATTGGATGCTATTTTGAACTTATTCGGTAATGGAAACCCACAACAGCTGCCTCTTGCCAGCTACCTGAACCAAGAACAAGCTTCGAATCCACAACACCACGCACGACCACAGCAACAGCAACAGCAACATCAACATCAACATCAACAGCAACATCAGCAAATGCGGCAACCTTTGCTGCAGCAACAGCCTACTGAAAATGAATTAAATCGATCCCTCCTGCAACAGTTTGGGAATCAATCGACGCGATCATCACAGTTTGTTGGCATGTTGCCAAGAATTGTACATGGGATCTCTCCTTTTGCGCTTGCTGGTTTGAAGCCCGATCTACAATCGCAACTGCTTTTATCCCTTGCAAACTCAGAAACCTCTCAGAATACTGACCTACTCCGAGCCCTTGAAAGACAAATTCTATTAGATAGAGCAACGGCATTGAACGAAATGGAAATAAGAAGAGCCATCGATCAAGAACGAGAGCAAGAACGCGGAGAACAAGGAGAGCATCTCGCTCGGCTCCAGAGGAGACATCAATTTGATGGTGAAACCCAGCAATCGCAACGAACTCCTTCTAGGCTTCGACTAACACCGTCGATGGGACAATCCATTCAAGCAGAATCTGTTGTCAGTGCAATAACACGGTCATCTGAAGAGGCTAGTGGCTCTCAAGAGGGTGCGGATCGAACTCAATCATCAGTATGTACCATGTTACCCTTTGCTTTGGGCGAACAAGATGGTGTGAGGGATCTGAGAATGGTACAAGACCGCGGTTGGGAATCTCGGTTCCAAGACCTCGAGCAGTTCAAACGAGAACAGGGTCACTGCAATGTACCAAGGAGGTATAAAAATAGTCCCAAACTCGGCGTTTGGGTTTGCAGTCTACGCCAACAAATGAGCAGGGGTACGCTAAACAGGGCTAAGATAGAACGATTGAATGAGATTGGATTTCAATGGCGAATGAATCTCATCAAAGGGGCACAGGTCAATCCTCAAATAGCCAAAACTTGTCAATGGGATGAAAACTTCCAGCTTCTAGCATCCATCAAAGAGCGTACTGGAAAGTGCATTGTTCCAGCTTCCGAACGCAGCCTCTGCAAGTGGGTTGAGAGACAGCGAAGGGAATTGAATGAAGGGAAGCTAGGTTACGAAAATCAAGAAAAACTGAATAAAATCGGTTTCCAGTGAGACCAGCGGTTCATTTGTTTCACTGTTGCAATACTAACTATCTACTAGGTCCTATTCTAGTACTCTAATGACGGCATTAGTTTGTTTGATAACTCGGTCGCCGATTCCTTACCGACCACCAACCGTTTGCCAGAGGCAGCTTGGAGCCTAGACTCCTCCACCACTGTTCCGTCAACTCCTACCTTGTTCGTTGTCTCCCTTTAAAGGATTTCCCTCTGCCTACCTTATTGAATATGCGCTTCCGCTTGTGCTCGAAACAAAGCTGCAAAAGGAGATGTACCTACCGGTACAGTACGAATATAGATTGGATTCAAATAGCTTTCTTCTGATCAGAATTCATGCTTCTGGACGACAGCCGAAGGACAGACCATATTAAAGGGCCCGGAGTTTGCGAGATAGAATACAAATCACATGTTTTATATATTCACATAAAATCATCAAAATGTCCACACACATATCGGTACATCCAACCGACATGAAAAGCAAAGAGTCTTCGCTGCAGTAGCCAAGATCAGGAACGGATAGAAGCAGCATAACATAACTTGGCAATTTCTGTCAATGAGAAGCGTCGAAATATCTTGACAAGCAGCCAATCACATCCATAATGAACTTGAAGAGGAGTACTACTAGCTAAGAAAAGCAATCCGCGAATCGCGCATCACCATCCATTGTTGCCTTATCCTCATGGAACTGGTGCAGCATCATCCCAACTTACAATCTCCATTCTTTTATTTTGGAGGCTGCGTCTATTGTGGTGTTCTCGGTGGTGGGTGATGCAATTGCCGCCCGCCCTGTCACTACCACCAAGGAGACTGCTGCTGCCGCGTTACTGCACTAACGACGAGTCGTCGAGGCCGGGATCGTTCTTATAACGAGCTGGATCGACATTCGCACACAATGAAAATGGCGGGCGATGTTGACGAGTGAGTGGACTGTTTCACTCAGGGGAGGAGCGATTTTCTTCCTATTGATGGAGACGAGCCAGTCCAGCAGTCAGTCCCACTCACTCTCGTCCTTGTACTATTCCGAAGCAAGGATAAGAAGTTACTATCTAATCTCAATCTCGGTTCATGAAACTTACGTACTATTCAAGCAAGTGGCTAGAGTGGCTAGAGTGGCTCTCTACTAAACAACAAGCCCAGCAACGCCAAGAACTAGTAAGCACAAGAATCAAAAGAAGGAGAACCACAAGAAGAGGAGGATGACGAATGACCGTCGTGCACATTGATTCCTCAAATGCAGTACTGCACGCGCTACATCATTTGTATCAATTGAACTGTAACGTCACCTACCTATTGATACAGCCTTGCCACTTGCAGTTCCTATATTTCGTTGCGTACAATACACGAAGTGGAAGTGAAAGTGCATTACGTTGTGAAGGAGGCACCGTTCTGTATTCGCCAACTCTTGATATGAAAAATCGCCAGCTGGTTTTACAGCAGCTGTTCATTGAAAGCTGGAGTTGACAGATGGATTTTGATAGGGGAGACAAAAATCACGTTCGTTCGTGCAGGCTTCGCTAGCCCCTAAGAAACAAACAGTGTTTACATATGGACTTTTGTATTGCATAAGGGTCATGTTTTTCTGATCAGAAGCATTTTTTCACGAACGATGCTTCCTCCAGCATGCTGCTTTACCTGTCCCTTGCTGTGCGGCATCGTTTTACAAAAACACTGACATGATGGAAGGAACTAATCAGGGAAACGAAAGACCGCAACAGCCGCTCCATGCATTGGATGCTCTGAATAGCATGTACAACAGCGCACAACAACAACCTCTGCTTGCTGGCTATTTGAATCAAGCATCAAATACTCATCCACAGCAGCTGCAATTGCAATTATTGCAGTCGTTTCTGCAGCAGCAACAACAGCAGCAACAGCAGCAACAGCATCAACAACAAATACAACAACCGATTCAGAACCCCCTGCAACAGCTGAGTCAGCAAACGACGACGCGGTCCCTTAACTTTGATTCCGTGCGACCTGCAACCAATGGGGTGTCACCCACATCGCTGGATGATTTCAATTCGGATCTACAATCACAGCTGCTCTTTGGTCTTGCGAACCAGCCAAGCTCTAATCAAAACAATGCCCTCCGCGTAGCTTTGGAGAAGCAAAACATCTTAGATAGAGCTAGAGCACTGAACGAGATTGAAATTAGAAGAGCTCTAGGACAAGAGCAACAAAGCCAAAGTCAAGGGCAAGCATCACAAGGACCACCACAGAACTCATCTTCCTTTCAGCACATACCGCAAGATGGGAGTGGAAGCTCGCAGAGCCAACACATGCCCTCTAGTCTCGGATCGAATGATTCTGATTCGTCAGGTCAATATATTCAAGTCGACTCTGGCACAAGAACCATGTCCCCGATATCTGATGAGGCCAACAGATCTGATGATTCTGCAAATGGTAACCGAACTCAATCCGTATCAGATCGAACTCAATCCGTATGCGCCCCCTTACACTTTGCTGCAGGCGAAGAAGGCGGCAATGTGAGAGATCTGAGAATGGTACAAGACAGTACTTGGGAATCACGATTCCGTGATCTCGTGCAGTTCAAACAAGAATATGGACACTGCAATGTACCCCGAAGGTACAAAGGCAATCCCAAGCTCGGTGTCTGGGTCTGCAGTGTGCGCCAGCAAATGGCCCGAGGCACTCTGAACAAGGCCAAGATGGAGCGATTAAATGAAGTTGGCTTCCAATGGCGAATAACCGTCATCAAGGGAGGTCAGATCAATCCTCAAATAGCCAAGAGTGACCAATGGCTCGAAAACTTTCAGAATCTTTCCTCCATCAAGGAGCGAACTGGAAAGTGTTCTGTCCCCGCATCCGATCGCAAGTTGTGCAAGTGGATTGACAGACAACGAAGGGAAATGAATAAAGGGAAGCTACCAATGGAAAAGCAAGAAAAATTGAACTCCATTGGTTTCGAATGGAAACCAGCATCTGTATCAGTAGAATAGTAGTATATCCTAGTAGTATTGTAACAACACCTGTTGTCTACCGGTATAATCAATGGTATATTGTGCGCTTGGACTACAATGATAAAAGCACTACATTACTATTAGGTTACAATCCAACCATCTACAGTAACGTACTTCAGCTTAGCATATTTCACCTTGTCAAAAGTTGCTGCGTCGACAGTGCATCGGCCTACCAGTCAGTGCTGCTGACGAAAACGGCATAACCACATAATTCTCCGCGCGTGCCGATAGCAGACGGATGGGATCACTCGAGTGACGATGGGATCACTCTGGAACCCACGAGTGACCGAGTCGTATTCTGTTGTTTAGTTCATCTACGGTAGAGGGCGTTCCCCCCAATAATCAGAATACTCCTCCACCAACAAAAGTGGTCCGAGGCTTTTGGAACAACGACAGGGAAAGAATGAATGTGGAAGTTGGTGAGTTTGTGATTTCGATACTGAAATGCATTTCCCGTCCTCTATTATCGAAGGATTGAGACGTTGAAGTTCAATCTTGAGTTAGGCTGACGTCATGATCCAGAATACTACTATGATGGCGTGGTAGACTAATATGGAGCCATTGTCAATAGTAGATCTGCAGTAGCGGTCAGCAATGCTGTAGCGTAAATTCCAACTTTTCTCTGGCATTTTTTATCAGTGTCAAGAAATTTAACATGGTCCATCAGCATTGCAACCTGCCAGTTTCAACTTCCAGTAATGTGCCCAAGCGAATCAATCAATCAATAAAATCGTCTGTGAGTTGTCTGTCATCGATGGATTCTTATTCCGTACTCGCCAGCTGCTGTTTGGATAAAAATCAGTTTGAAACATCTGGCCCTGGTGTTAAATGAACGCATGTGGAACTCCGAGTCAGTCCACGGGATCTAAAGAATCCGTTAAATAAAAAGTCATCATTTTTTGATCGGAATGCTGCCTTCCCGAACGACGCAAATCACAAGAACACACTCCTGTCCACAGCACTGCTGTCGGATCCACAAAAATAACAACAATGGAAAAAGGAACTGAAGGAAATCAACGACCGAGGTTACCAGGTTTGCATACGTACAGTATCGATGGTAGCCCATACCAGCAACAGCAGCAGCAGCAGCAGCAGCAGCATCAACGGTTTGCCACTAGCCATTCGTTGAGCCAGCAACAAGCTTCAAATCAGCATCACCAAGAGCTCCAACAACTCCAACGGTTGCAACAGTTGCAACTGTTGCAGTCTTTGTTGCAGCAACAGCAATCACAGCCGGTTCAGAATCATCTTCATTTCAAACGACCACCACTGCAGCCGCACATCAGGCATTCGAGGCGCCCATTGAACCTTAGTGCCATGTCCTCCTTGACATCCTTATCTGCTTCCACCAATACCAATAATAATCGTCGTGAGGTCCCGTATGGTTTGAATTCAGATCTCCGAACACAACTCTTATTATCTCTAGCCAAATCAAATGGCTCTCAGAACCCTGACCTTCTTCGAGCCCTGGAAAAGCGAAGCATGCTTGACAAGGCATCAGCACTGAACGAGATTGAAATCATAAAAGCTCTAGGACAAGAACAACCACAACAGCAACCACAACAGCAACCACAACAGCGATCAGGTCAAAAGAACTACAACAACCACAACAACGCTAGCTCTTCCTTCCTTCGCATTATTCCACAGCAAAATGGTGGTGGTGGTGGTGGTGGTGGTGGTGGAAGCTCATCACAGAGCGATGAACAGATGCATCCTTCTAGTTTTGGATCGAATGATTCTGATTCCTCAGGACAATACATTCGCCTAGACTCGGTTGCCAGGACCATGTCTCCAATATCGGATGAGGCAAATACCAGGTCTGATGACTCTGCAGATCGAACTCACGCGTTTTCAGTTCGGACTCAATCAGATCGGACCCAGTCAGTATCAGATGATCGGACTCAATCAGGATCAGATGATCGGACTCGATCGGTATGTGTCCCCTTGCATTTAGCTGCTGCTGCTGCTGCTGCAGGGGAAGAGGGTAGCAATGTGAGGGATTTGAGAATGGTACAAGATAGTAGATGGGAGTCTCGTTTCGGAGCACTCCTCGAATTCAAACGCGAACACGGTCACTCCAACGTCCCCCGAAGGTACAAAGGCAATCCCAAGCTCGGTGTCTGGGTCTGCAGTGTGCGTCAGCAGATGGCCCGTGGAACTCTCAACAAGGCCAAAATGGAACGGTTGAATCAAATTGGATTTCAATGGCGACTAGCAGTTATCAAAGGGGGCCAAATCAATCCTCAAATTGTGGCCAAGAGTAGCGATGATCATTGGATGGATAACTTTGAGCAGCTTGCATCCATCAAGGAGCGTATTGGAACCTGTATCGTTCCAGCCTCGAATTACTCGCTTTGCAAATGGGCCAGCAAACAACGAAGAGAAATGAGAAAGGGTAAGCTTTCCATGGAAAAGCAAGAAAAGTTGAATTCCATTGGCTTCCAATGAGGATCATGAGGATGGTACTGCTGGGAAGATGATGAACACCACAACGACACCAAAACCAAACTCTGTATAATATTTTTATGAAATCCTATAGGATATGTAATAGAATCATGTATCAATACTAGTAATGTTATTTTAAAAATTACACCTAAATACCATGTTTATTGTGTGAAATCAACTCATTGATTGTTGTTCTACTTGTAGTTGATCGAAGACTCTTGACTCACTCACTTCTCATGCAACTGACTACATTGGAGAATCGGAGAAGTGAGATCAGTAGAACCCGGAGATGTCAGTGACATGATACGAATTCAACATCATCATCATCGTCAAACCAAACATACTGTAAATCATAACAGCGTTATAATACTGGCAGTACTGTTTACGGTAACAAACAACAATTGACAGAATCTATTTGATATTGACCATGAACGGCTCCCCATTTTCTTTTCTAGTTCGCATCCTAATTGGCAGCGTTCTACTGTCTAAAAGTGGTGTCGATGCGTTCGCACCAACAACAACAAGAAGAACAAACATTCTAGCGACAACAACAACAACACTACGAAAAGCTGGAACAATAATGACAGTACGTCAAAATCCTTTGCATCTGCACCATCATCCATCCTTGCTCCTTTCGGAAGTTGTGAGTGATTCACTCGCTGCCACTACTACTGGCACCACCAACAAGGCTGCGGGTGCCATTATGGACATTGGTGCGACACTACCGGAAGCGGGTGGCGGTGGTGGGATTGTGGACATTGCCAAAAACATTGCCTTTGCCATTACGGCAGTCCTCTTCTTGGGAGCTGGATTGACATTGGTGACAGCGTCTATCATTGTACCTGGTACGTTAGTATTCTTCGAATGATTTTGTTTCTTTTGATTGAGAGCTGAGGAAGGACGGGGCGTGGACTGGCTTCAGACTTGAGAAGATGAGCACGCGAAGGATTCATTCATTCATTCATTCTTCCTCTGTTTCAGCATCACAACTTTGCATTCAACATTGATACATACTCCAGCCTTACTCACAGTCGCTATATATTGTTTCCTTTTTTGTTGTTGTTTCCTTTTGTTGTTGTTGTTGTTTGTTGTTGTTGTCGGCAGCTGCCGCCAAGGAATTGGAAACGGAATGCAAAGATTTGTCACCGGAACTTTGGGACGAATATTCTGCCATGCTCAAAGAAGGCGAAACCATGGCCAATCGCCCCGATTTGATGCAAGAATTGGGAGCTAAACTCCAACCATTGTTGGATGCCAAGATTGAACGTCAATTTGAAGAACAAAAGGCCAAGGGAATTGATGTGAGTCAAGACGAGCAAGCTTGGAAGGCAATTGATTCCCTCAATAAGAAGGTACCAAAGCCAGACAATAGCGAGGCCGTGTTTGGTAGAAAGGAGGACAAGAGTAGTAGCAGCTCGACTACTTCTGGAATAGTCACGGATCAATGGGAGGATTAGAAAGTTAGTTGAGGGTTGATTTACTATTGGAGCGACAGCTTTGTGGGTGTGGCTCCTTGTGTACTATCACCGATTTACTTTTGGAACTACTATAATCATACTATCTTGGGTTAGCTACTGGATGGATGGATGGATGGATGGATGGATGGATGGATGGATGGATGGGCTGAGGTCTTGTCACTTTTGGTAGTCCAGCCAGCCAACCAGCCACCAGACCGTCATCGCATTATCGTCATTATGGAACAAGAGAATTTTTGCTGCTCAAGGCGGAACGAATGATGATTGTGATGATGAACATCCGTTATCATCCTAACCTTAACCCTAACCACCACAATCATAATATTAGTCTGAGCAAGAATAGGAACTATTAGAAATTCGACTATTGTTTATTACCTCAATACCTTACTTAGCATATATATATTTACCTAACTACTAACTCTTGGCCTCTATTCCGTAGCCAGCCATGGGTTATCTTTCTACTTTGTTAAAATAAAACAATCATGCATGGCGCCAGTATCGTCCGTAAAGGTTTCACAAGCAGGGTACCACACTACTACCGGTACGATAACACACATATTGAATATTACCTATTCATGTAAGTGGTTTTGAAGTCAAGAAGCAGAGGCATTTTCAATTTGAGTTTGTCATGTTTAGTCGGTCCGGTCCGATATATACCTTCGTCATGACTGACTCGACTGTTGGGCACATGGCATTGAGCAGGTGGCACATTGATGATTGATTGATTGATTTTAAAAAAATTGCACAAAGCAGAGTGAGGAGTGAGTCACTGCTGATTTGCAGTCCGTACGCCAACCTGCACCCATTTTGACGAAGTGGAAGGAAGTCCTCCGAAAGACAGAATTTCTCGTACCTGCCGTCAGTACTAGGAGTTCCGCGTTCGCATCCCAATCGCCACCAAAAATGGCCTATCAAATTTGAAGGTGTCAAACCTGCCAAACGGAACACACGGCATCGTCGATATCGCTAACCGAAAGTGCTGTCGCGATGAAAAAAAGGAGGTGTGGAAAGAGGCGTTGTAACAATGGCAACAATCCATACTAGACAATCTAAACTAACAACAACAATACGATGAACCAGTACATCAGTAAAAGAAATAGTGCGAGTATGTGTGTGTGTGTGTGTGTGTGTGACGACTAGTAAAACAATTTGGTGCGAGTGACAAAACCAGGCCCAGAGGAACACAAGAAGCCCCCAGCAATCTTGATCACTTTAGATCTTTTCAATCTTGCTAAAGGCTCCCCCTCCAACGCCTGTTCCAATTTTCTCGCGCTGTTCTTGCTTGACGTCGCGGCTCGTATCGCCCGACGTCATGGCCTTCATCATATTCTTGTAGGATTGCTTCTTCTTCTTCTTCTTCTTGATTGGCATGGGAGCCGGAGTGTCCACTTCCATTGCTTGTGGTTGTGGTTCTGGCTCATGCTCTGGCTCTTGTTCTGTCTCAGACTCGACAGGAGTAGGAAGAGGAGACGCGGGAGTGCGAGAGACTGGCAAACACTTGTCCGACTTCTTCTTGAGGGAATCCATAAAGCACTTGGAACAACAGTCACCTGTCGCATCGCTGCCAAAGAAGCCGCAACCCATTTTACAGAGAACTGGTCCCTTGGGTGCTTGGGCTGTAGAGTTGTCTTCGTGATTGGCACTCATATCGTATTGTCTTTGTTTGGGTTTGGTTTGGTTTGTGCAAGTTATGCAATTGCGTGAAATATGCAAAAGGAAAAATTGTGACATCTGACCCAAAACAGGGAAATTCTGCAGCGGCCTCACCGTTTCACGAACAAATTCTTTCCTCACACGCAGACGAGAAATTCAATTTTTACAGACTTGCCACATGAACGAATATCGCCCACGTACAATTTCTAGTAGGAGTTCCCACGTGCGCAGTTTTCGTGCATACGTTTTTGGCATGTAGGACTCAACGGCCAAGCCGTTTCTGCCAATAGAAAGTCACTTTTTGGAGTCACTAGGACAGTTTGAGTTCAACCAAACTATTATCCAGGAAATGACCCGAGGGAAGTCAAACGAATCATCATCGGAGACCGGATTTTCCGACCGGCAGTACCGGTTTTCGTTCAAAAATCACGTACCACACGGTAGATACAACTCCACGACACGATCGAACAAGCGAACTGCCGCCGGTCATAACCAACACGTCGAATCAATGAATCAATATTCCATCGAACAAGAATGAACGGTGACGTCGACAAAGCGTTTGTCAATCACCTCTGTAATAGAATTATTGGCGAACAGGAGACGAGGAGTATAGTTGAAGCTGAAATTGGGCCGTATCCTGAAATTTACTATAGGGGGATTTTCATGAAAGTATACTGTATACTGAAGGACATAACAACCAACAACAGCTTCATCCACTAACTACATTACAATCAAAATGATGAAACTAATGAAAAAGACAGTGCTGACATTGGCAGTCATTTGCCTTTCCACACCAGCGTTAACATCTGCTTTTGTTCCTGTTTCCAGCAGCAGGACCACAGCTGTCGCTTATTATGCTCCTTCTTCTCGAATCACCGCCACTACTGACAAGAAGAAGCTCCAAACGACCGCCCCATTTGTCGCAACAAAAACGACACAACTACACGAACGAAAATATCAAGGAACCAACGATGGTACTGGTCGCGGTATTATCCTCCAAGTGATTGTCTTTGGCATCACGGCCTGGCTCTTTACCATTCCACCTGAATTTCGTCGGGCCTACCTGTGTCCCGCCGATACCTTTTGCCAAGAAGAGGGCTCGTGTACACGGGAATGTGTCACCCCTGACGAATGGGTCAGTGGGATTAAAGATTACTACAAGAATGGAGGAGGTATCAAATGGGATTTTTCCATTGACCCAAAGACCAAGGCATCGAATCAACAAAAGTTGGATGCGATTTTGGGCAATATGAATAATAATAATAATAATAATGGTGCTGGTGGTGCTGGTAATTAAAAAAGTTGTGGTTCAGAGTGATGGAAATAGTGTATGGAGCAAGCACGCAAGGAAGGATTGAGAATGGGGAGAATGAATGGATGGATGAATCTGTTTTTGTTCTTGGATTGAATAAGAAGAAATAATTGATCATCCTAGTAGTGCTTTGAGGAATTGTGTATCGATGAGGTAGTCCTGCACAGCATATAACGTGAAAGGATGGTGAAAGATGATGGCTGACAACAGCCTATACGACTTTTACGGGGAGTGCAATACCTAAAGATGCTACTCATTGTGATCCTACTATTATGCATTCTACTTCACTATACACGTGTACTGTCTCTCTCTCACACCCACATCATGACGATCGCAACAATAGAACGTGGTGCGATGGGTTGAGTCTCTATTGTCTCAAGAAGCCCCCGACCCTTTTCGACTGCAAATCCTCGTCAACGAAAGATAGTAACACACAGCAGATCGTCAGCCGAAAAAGCTAACTCTTCGACAAAAGGCTTATATTGGACGTGGTGGTGTTCACTCAATTCTCATCAGCCAATCCGACTCTCCATGGATCTTATTGCTTCTTTCTTGACTGACTGAGGTGTTCATCCCATGCAATCCTGTATCGGAGGCTATGACATGTTCTTGGCTACTGTAGTGGCCACATTATCCTAGAGTCTAGGTGGATTGTTGTTCCTGTTCTTGTTCGTCTGGCTGGTGGTTGTGAAGAGTATCATCGCTTGCTCTGTGTAGGAGGTTTGTGTGTGTGTGTGTTCACGCACAGCGTGAATATTCCATTTGCGCACTCCTTTGTTTTGTGAAGTAAGTTGGAAGAGTGCTTCTTCTCTCCGATCACCCAGAGCGATCTGAACTTGCCAGTTTATTCGGCCGGAAACAGATCGCAGCTTCGCCGTTGCAAAAGGATGACGAGCCACTTCAGCTGCAGATTGCGGTGTATATTGGAAAGAGCCATGTCAGAGGATATACCGGAAAGAAGAAGCGGAACTTAGTTGAGTTCCGCTTCTCCAAGACCTTGGACGAGCGACCACCTTGAAATATATCGCCCACATGTTCCCACGCTGACAAATCTTATTATTAAAGTCTTCTACCGCATGCGGATGGCAGCTTTTCAATATACAATGAAATGAGAGGTCTCCTCATCCAGATAAATCTCCATGAATGGATTGCACCACATGTTGTTGTTGTTGAAAAATCACCGAGGCAACCACCATACCAGAGGAAACCCCCATCATACCACCACTATGCTTCACCTTCAAAGAATGATTGATTCAGTGACCGACGACTTCGATTGCTACTCATTGACCCCAGAGACACTTCTTCGTTACAAGTCCTGTTGAGGAGACTTCAGCAGAAGCGATGGTACAAGTTTGAAATGACATCCCCGTTTGAAAATGCACAATACAAAAAAGAAGGAGGAATATATTGTAGATCGTCAAAACAATGTCGGCAAAAGATACCAGGTCTCAACATCCAATGAAACGGTGCACGCATATGGCTGCATGCAATGTTCTTGCTATCATCATCTTCTTCTACAGTAGCGTCATTGTTGTCGTTGGTGTTGTTGCTGTTGCTGTTGCTGTTGTTGATTGGTGGTGGCTGAGCCAATGTCAAAACAAACATCACAGATTCTCAGAAGGTAAGTTGGCCATCCCACCGTGGACTCACTCCCTCGTATCGTTTTTCCAGATCCACATGCTAGTTTGTTACGCTTCTAGAGAGAATTGGGCTTGTTCATTCCAAGAGGAGTGTCCTCTTCAGGCGATGTGGTTGTCGTACCGATTTCTTGTTCGAATCAATCCTCAATTCCTTCCATGTGGCTCAAGAGCAACACATTCTTTGTTTCTCACGAACTTTGTTCTGTCTTCTCGCAGATACTACCGGTACTCACACTGTGCCATAGCGCTGCGATTGTCTGCTCCAAAAGCTCCGTTGATGTGGCAGCAGAACAATATAAAAGTCTAATAAAACATGGAAGAGAATGTTTCGCATGGAATGAATTTTCGTGCGTTCGTTCTCGCCTTGGATCTTTTCGCCTGTCTCATTTAGTCGCATGAGTCTGATTTGTTATTTTGGAGAATTTGTATTTACTATTCGCCCTTGAACGAACAACCCTTTGATGAAGGCTATTCGTGCTTCTGGTCTTGTTCTGAGCAGATTTTAGAAGATGCAGAAACTGACGGTGTTCTGATGGGAAGATGAGCAATGATGAGCAACTCTTAGATGGGTATGGGCAGATGAGCTACAGCACTGTAGACAGTAAAGTTGAGTATAGTACTGTTTGTAGCCTAATCATGTTCTATATTCTATTGATTCTTTTTATTGTATTGTTTGAATTCCCCCAGGTAGCTTTCACTGCAGTGTTCGTTGTCAACGATTAACCAACACTTTATTGCTCATCTCAACTGAAAGAGATCTTTGGAAGTCTGAAAGACGGCCTTCTCTTCGGTTGCTTCAAGCTCGATCTAGAGGAAACAACTTTAGGTTCCTCTTCTTCAACGGCCAGTTTCCTTGATGATAGTCTGAAAGATGGCCTTCTTTTCGGTTGCATCAACAAGCTTCGCTTGGAAGGGACTGGTTTTCGTTCATCTGCCGCACATCCTGCGGACCATCTGCTGCTTTTGTTACCGGCATTCAGTTTCGCCATGGAAGTAGTGTCGCCCATAGCGGCGGACCACCGTAGTTTCTTTTCATAGTCTGCGGCATCCCGTTCGGCGATTCGTCCTTCCACAGCTTTGAGCTCCGTGAGCGCCGTGTGAACTCCCATACTTGCGGACCAACGTAGCATCCGAATGTGCTCGTCTGATAGATCAAGGTCCTTGTGAGCTGGTGCAGCCGAAGTGGCCACCGTCATGTCTGCTGTCTCAGCAGTAGCAACACTGATCGCTGCTGAAGCAACCGAGCGCTGGGAACGAACGGATTCACACTCGTAGTGACTCTCCGAATCTGGAACAGCATTGTCCACTATCAGAACGCAATCGATTCTGAATCCACATTCTTTGGATTTGTTGGAAATCATTCCCTTCATGAATTGCTCCAAAGCCGATGCCATTTTTTATTTGTTGTTTGGTTTGGTTTGGTTTGGTTTGGTTTGGAAAAATTATGAGGTCGATCGATGACTTGGGATTGCGACCTTTGAAATTTGGGATTGAGCAGTGGTGGTTTTGAACTTCTCAGACGAGATATTAGACCAGAAGTCACTTAGAAACAACGACAAACAAAGCTTCTTTATACGGAGTGCCGATAAGTGACAATTTTCCATCTTCGCAACCTCAACGTCGAATGTGTCTTTCTTCGGGGGCTTATTGTCAGTGGTTCTATTTGATAAAAAGACCGCATGTTCCGCCCGGAATTAGTTGGAGAAGCTTTTGTTCTATATGTAATGAAAATGATTGCAATCTACTTAATGAATCAATCATTCCTGGGCACAGATCACTCTTGCAAGCCGCCACATGAAGGCTAATGATTACTCCGGACAACAGGAATGTTGAACCAACGGATGAGGTGTTGAACAAAGTAATAAGAAGCAGGCCCCAATGTTTGCACTTCTACAGCATGATTGATGCTTATTGGAAAATACCTTCAATACCGGTCCCGGCTTTGGTGCCTTCTATGTAGTAGCTATAGCACAATTAGTGGTGACTGAATCATCTTACAAAGAGATCTCTACCTGTACAGCAGTAGCTATTCGTCGCATTGGCCTTTCCAGTTTGTCTTATAAACTAGTACGGTATAGTATGATAATACTATTATAATACAAGTACTAGCATAATAATGATCACATCATGTTAGCCTCCAAATCGTGCCAATGCGGCCGACGCCATCAATTCTCGCTTGTGATCATTGACGCACTTGGTACTGCAGTATTCATACTCCAATCGTTTGAATACATTCTTGCGTCCCCGAATCGCTTTTCTACAACAGTCACAGGCTCGCCCACCACTAGCATCACCCGTGACCCTTTCTTCTTCTTCTTGTTTGGCCTTTTCCTTGGCAGCTTCTTCTTGAGCTTGTCGTTCCATGGCTTTCTTTTCTTTTGCCTTGGCCTTTTTGCGCCTTCGTTTTTCGGCTTCCTTGGCCTTTTTCTGTTCCACAACTTCTTCGGACAAGGGTGGTCCTACTTGAGCTGCCTTCCAATCGCAATAGTCTTCCCCCAATGCGGCCCGAGCCTTGCGAAAGGCCTCTCGGACCTTGTCGTGTCCCGCCAAAAAGTAAGCTGGCCGCAGTCGAGTGTCCAAAATGGTAGGGACCGCCTTGCCCTGGACCAACAAATCGTAGACACACAGTGCCGCTTGTTCGGGCGAGCTTGGTGTATCAACAGAATCGTTATTCTTTTCAGAAGGAGAAGCAGAAGGTGGAGGAACACAAGAGGCTGCCGCATAATGCAAGGGAGTCATGAAATCCACACCGGCTTGTTGATTGATACTCTTTCTGGCGGCTCTTGAATCATCATCATTACCATTGGTGGTTTGCAACCAATCCGCGAGTTCGCCGTGATTGCCCGCCTTACAGAGATGATGCAAATGAAGAAGTGGAATGGTTTCGTCGATTTCTTCTTCGTTTGGCTTTGGTTCTTTGGATGAATCATCCTTGTTCTTTTGGTGGTCCGCAGTGGTAGTATCAGTCTCCACAACTGCTGCCGTTTCTCTACCATTATCACCACCACCATCCATTATTGTGATTGGTTCCAAGGAGACTTGCAGTAACACTTGATGGACCATATATACTGTTTCATAGGTGGGACGCCCCACATTGATGGGAATCTTGCGAATCCGTCCATCCTTGCGCGATAGTATTGGCTGTTGTTTGTGGTTGTGAAGACTCGACCACTGCGGCCCCGTGGGAGTATCCAACAGAGTCGACACCATGGTCTTGGGACACGAAATTAGAAGCAGAGAAGCCTTTTGTAGAAATGTCTTCCAATCCTTCCACAATAAGGTTTGAATATCTTCCTTGAGCTGCAATTCGCCCTGACGTCTCAATTGGGACCCCATTGATTTGGGCTTTCGTTTGCCATCTTGCGCTGATTGTGCCTTGCCCTGTCCCTTGCGGACGGTGTACTTTTGCATCGTCTTGTGTTCTATGCACCTGCCATTCAAAAAGACACCACCGGCAAACTTGCCACTTTGCAACAACAAGACCACCACGTATCCAGTATCACTATTGGAGGAGAGTTGGGTAGACAAATCGCAAAAGGCCTTGGCTTTGGAAACAGGTGTTCCATATTGTTGCTCCGATTTGGTCAAGAGGGCCGATGACAATTGAAGATTGTGTGTAAAAGCATTGGAGGGGGAGTCGGTGTTGTTTGCTAGTGGTGGTGATGATTCAGCAGCATTATCGTCTTGTTGTATGGCAATTGGGACAGCTGTCTTGATTAAATTCGAGTAATGTTGACGAATTTCTTGTTGCAATCGTATGGTTTGTTTGGGTGTCATTTCCTTTTTCTTGGTTGCCTTTGGAAGTTTTTGTGGTTTCGTCTGCTTTCCTTTTGTCGCAGTCGATTCCTTGTCTTGTGTTTCTTCTTTTTCTTCCTCTTCCGAAGACGAAGACTGGTTTGAAGAAGAGGAAGAATGATCTCCTTCCTCGTTTTCATTTTCATCTTCATCTTCTGATGGCAATGAAAGTTGATCATAATCCTCATCATAGGTTCTGACGACTGGATAGAGACGATTGGCACTGGCATCCTCCTGTTGTTGTTTTTGGACCGCTTGCTCATGAGCTTGTTTTAGTAGAGCTTGAGTCTTGGAATCGTAAAGCCAGAGTGTTTCTGCTTTGTTGGATTTCTTGTTCTGTAGCTGCTTGTTATTGTTGCCATTTCCATTGTTGGAAGTAGAAGTTGATGATGATGTTGGTATTGGTATTGGTATTGGTATTGGAATATCCGTATTATCTGTGCTAGTGCTGTGTATCGTCATCTTTTGCGTGTTCTTGTTCAATCAAGGGTGAAAGGGTGAAGCAAAGGAGTATGCAAGAATCTTGTCGATGTCTCTGAAGCTGGATATAATACTCGTATTATTGTGAGGTAGACGTGCGTTTCAATCATTTCACCCTGAATGTGTTGAGTGATGATGTGATGACGATGATGAGACGAATCAGAAAGCACGTTTCATCGCACCATTGATTCCTTCGACCACCAGTCGTGCCGTGCGACTGGCTGGCGGTGTTCCCGCCGATGGCATGCTTCCTTTGTGTCTTTCCCAACGTCTCCAGCAGAAATTTCTTAGGAGTCCGTGTCGGACCAGTATCCCGACCTTGCGCCAGCTCGGAGCTTCAAAAAATTTGAATCTTCAGGCAACATTGAACATGAACCATCTGAATCAACTGAAACTGAACTCGTCACGTGGTGGTTGCTTGAATGTGACGAATAGTAAGCACAATACTCTAACCAATCCCAATTCATCAGCCACATCCAAGCAGCAACAATCCAATCAATCCAATAATCCCTGGTTGGAATATTTGAAACTCTCTGTGTTTGTCGACGGTTTCTGTTGTCATTGTGGAGATTTTTCTTCGTCAGAAGAGTGCGAAGACAAACCAACAACAACGGAAACGAATTCTAATAGTTACGTAGTAGCAAACCACCAAATGCCTTCCAAAAAGAACAAGTCCAATAAAACAAGGGATTGGACAAGATGGATATCTTCGTCTTTGGAATCTTTTTCCTACTCTTCTTCGAATCAGCAACAACATGATCAACATAAACCCAATAAGCTACCACAACATGAATTACAATTACAGCACGTGCAATCATTGCCAACTCCACCACCATCTCGCCGCCATCACAGCAAGCAAGACAAAAATTTGAAAAAGACACACGGCCTTGGCAGATCCTCTAGTTATGCTTTGAAACGAACTGGGACTTTGAATCCCCCGTTCTCGGAATTTGACATTCAAGATGCGAACGACTATCATCATGACGATGATTCCGAAGCCGGACTTGAAATCATCATGAGAAAATATGAGCCACCACCACGACCAATTGAAACATCACGAAAATTGGACAAAAAAGTCTCCTTTTCGGAGATTCAGATTTTTGCGTCTACTACCGAATCCTTGTCGCCCTCGTCGTCCCTCACATCATCCGAAGCTGGTTATCACTTCCAAGACTCTCCGCGAGATCCACCACCGCATATTACAACGACTTCTATTGATGCCTTTGAAGCCAACAAACCTACAGATCCCAATCCCATACCTTATCATATGCGGTTCGCACGACCACCGCCCGAACTATTGGTCCCCAAGGAAGACTTGCGACGTGCCTCGAGCTTGATGGATGACGATGAGTCTAGAATGTCAGCGACGACTCCAACCAAACAGCGAAGTGTCAAATGGAAGCCATTTTCTCGATTTGGTACCTCCTTGAAGAACAAAAAGAACAAAAAGACGATTCGGAAAAGCAGAAAACAACGATCTCAAAACAACATTCGAGTCTTGGATGCCACGGATCCAAAATATGCCAAGCACATCAACATGGCGGGGATTGTATCTAGATCCAGAGATTCTAACTATGAAGGTATGTATTGAATAGTATATGAACAATAGATGTCTCAAAGTATCATAGGAAGGACTACCGGTACTATAATAATAGCAAATTCTATTACATTCCCTTGCTTGTATCTGCTTGTGTCGGTATATTGTGGCTATTACCCATTTGAAGTCTGCGAAAAGGATAGGCGTCGGTTGGTGGGCTTGATGATGATCTCCTTGTTGGGATCCAACAATGGTCGGAATAGTTTTCGTCTCTTGGCAGTGGTGGTGGTGGTGGTGGCGGTAGCAGTAGCAGTAGCAGTGGCCGGTCGTGCTGTGGCCGTATTGCTGGTGCTGCCAATTGTCGACGAAAAGTTGGCATTGGCCGCTACCTTTACTTCCGGGGTTGCAGTCTTGTTGCTCTCACTGCTGCTGCTGCTGCTGGAAGATGAGGAGGAGGAAGATGATGATGATGAGGAGGAGGTTGAAGAAGATGAGTCACTGCTTCTGCTGGAACTTGAACTGGATGAGGAACTCGAAGATGATGCGGAATGATCGTCATTATCATCATCACCCTCATCGTTGTCTTCCTTTTCATCAGCCTTTTCTGGTTTGGCTCCATCATTTTCCTGCTCCACCTTTTCGTTGTCGCCATTGTCTTCTTCTTTCAAATTGTCTCCGTCGTCCTTCTTTCTTAGTGGTGGCGGCAGACTAATTTCCATCCCCACTACTACATTTGGTTTCTCCACCTTGGTTGGCTTGAAACCTTTTGGCTTGGCATCGCTTTCATGATTGTCATGCTTGCTACTTTTTGGCTTGTCGTCGCCATCATCGTCTTTTTCTTTGTTTTGGACTGGTGGATCGACGGTAGTATCCACAGCAGCGTCTTGAGTCTTTTCGGGTTCCTCCCCCTCTTCCGCCTCTTCATTTTCTTTTTGGGTAAGAACTTCATTTACCCTATCTGGAACCAAAGTCGAGGAAGAAGACGACTCGTTGTCATCGTTGGGGTCGTGGTTTTGCACTGGTGGGTCGACCGAAGAATCCAAAACAGCTTCTTGAGTCTTTTCGGGTTCCTCCGCTTCTTCCATTTCATCATTTTCTTTTTGGGTAAGAACTTCAGTTCCCCTCTCTAGAGCCAAAGTTGAGGAAGAAGACGACTCGGAAGATGAGGAGGAGGACGAAGATGATGAGGATGAAGAGGAAGACGACGACGAGGAGGAGGATGATGATGATGATGATGAAGAGGAGGATGAATCGCTATCATCAGACTGTACGGATGCTTCATCATTGTCATCGTTTTCATCGGCCTTCTTTGGTTCGTTCGTTGCTGAGTCCAATGCTACATCCTCGTCTTCCGGCTGCTCCGAATGCCATAGATAGTCGGGGAGGCTCACAAGCTCAGATTTGACTTTATCGTCAGACTTCTCAACGGGTTTCGTTTGATCTGGCTGATTGGGTGCTTTTGCCTTTGTAGATAGTGGCAGTGGGTCGTTCTTGTCCTTCTCCTCTTCACCGTTATCCAATGATTCGTTCGAGGTGTCTGTTACCTGTGCGTCGTCTTCAGAATCGCTACTTTCATCGGCTTCTGGATCATTTTCTTCGGTGTCAACATCCATCGTGTCTGCCATGTCTTCTTCGGGCTCTGTAGTTTCCGCTTCATCTTCTTCACTGCTAGTAGAAGTGTCGACAACTCTTTCCTCATTTTCATTTTTTGTTTCCAATGCCGCATTGGTAGCAGCTGCTTTTTTCGCGTTGGCTTCCTTTTCGACTGGTTTCTTCTTTTTATCTTTGGCCCCAGTATTTGCATCCTTTTTCGTGGATGCTCCAGTTGTTGTGGGAGGACCTTGTGAAGCATTTGCAGGATGGACCAATCGTGTCTGAATGTTGTCGTGTCCTCTGGTGCCGATATTGCCCCAGATAGTATCTTCACGAAGATTCACAATCGAAACTTGCTCATGTCGTCCTCGTATGATAAGATCCCATATGGTGTCCGTTGGTTGCAGCAACGAACCATGGGTGGATCGAAGACCAATCATATATGTATGGTGTCTCACATCCTCAGATTTGATATCTTCACGGGTATTGGCGATTCGGATACACTGATTGGGACCTAGACTCAGGTCAATGACTGCCTTCGATGAATCCCGGAGGGGACATAGCAGAGGGTCAAAGTAGATGTCTGGTGTTTGTTTGTTCAAATAATTGTAAAGCCAATCCTCAACTGTTATGCCAGTATCTGACACACAGCAGTGAAACTTGTGCCAATATCCTTGCCGCTTTCCAAACCATTTGAAAGATACGGTGAGAAATTTCGACTTATTCTGTGCTGGTGGTTGCAGAGGCTGCCCGATACTCGAAAGGGGGATTGATTGTATGGTTCCCTCGTTCCTATGCGGACTGGTGTTATTCGATGGTACAGGCATAAAAATAAATGGGACATAACCCCAGGATGATGGCCTCTGTTCCTCTGCACCACTCGCTTGGTCGCTACTTCCTTTACCATCACTGCTTCGTCGACGATCACTAGTACCTTCTTGATCGCTTCCTTGATTCGACGATTGCTGTATCGCTGCAAGCTTGCGTTTCTTGGCTTTTGACTTTCTTGGCATGGTCTCAAAATCAATCTATTGAGACAACAATGGATGCAATTCTGAAAATCTTTTCACTTGATGATCAAAATATGTTTGGTTGGAAGAATTGGTTGTGTGGCAATCGCGCGAATTCTGCGAGATGGACTCACTCGAACACTAAAACAAAATCACACCTATACCGCGTACCGGCATGGTCGGAAAAAAAGTTCAAAAGTACTGTATGACAATGAATTACGAAATATAATATGGGACGACTTATTGCTTGATGTTTTGATGTTCTAAACGACAGAATGTCACACCAGCTCCACCAAATAAGTGGGATCGGCCTTGACTAGCTTTAGCAATCAACGGCCCTCGGTAGTGTAATCACAATGAATCCGTGACCTCGCGGTGTCCAGCGAGGAGTCAGCTAATAAGCCGATTCCGAAGAAGCTGCAGGTGGTCTTTTTTGCCCTACGTATGAGCTAGATTTGAGACCTTTCTCCTGCATGTCTAATTCTACTACCATGCGCTCTTACAGCCATATCAGCATTGACCAACAGTGTCCATCAGAAACAATGCCTGCCTAATTGGAAAACCCGGAACTGTCCGCAGCAGCTGCCACAATGGATCCATCCATTCGGATTGTGGACGGACCAGTTCCACCCTTTCCCCTAATGCTGGGACCTCCTGAAAATTCTGGCACTGGACGGGGCTCGTCGAAATCATCCAAAGGATTGGAAAAGCCAGCAGATTCCAACTTGAGCTTGGCTCTAACTTTTGCAATTGGGGACATCATGTCTGCTGGGGGGCTTCCAGGCTCGTAACCCTCTTTCAGACTTCTGTCTGATGATTCTTTCGTCAGCCGATCCGCCTTGTATCGTTCCAGACGGCGTTTGGCCCGCTCCATGACTTCCTTCATCTCTTGGCTTCCAGTCGCCACGGAAGATACCGAAGCGACCGATGCACCACCAGCCGAGACGGCTTTCTTTATGGGTTGGTTGGGTGACGGAATGCTGGGCACTTCTGTTCCATCGGCGGACGAAGGTTTTCGGGTATCATCTTCTGACTTTTGTAATTCGTCATTATTGTCGCCGTCACGCCCAGATGTGTCAATGTTGTCGTCTCTGCCAAAGACTGCCCTTTTGAACACCCACAGTCTTGATTCCTTTGGATTCTCAGTGGCAATCGCCAGGTATTTTGGTCGTATGTACACCAGCATATTTGTGAAGCCTTGCAGTGGATAGAGAATGCATTGGGCCAATACTAGGCCATATAAATTGTATGGAAGCTCCTTCTCGTCCACAGCGGTATCGGGAAAGCTTTCTATTAGACGTGGCAACTGTGACGTCCCACTCGTCAAAACAAAACTTAGGAAATATAAAAGTGCCTGAGTTAGAACAAGCTTCAACCGTTTGAGTTGTCTCGATTGATCCGCAAGATCGTCTGTGCTGTTGGTTCTTGGCGGCACCGTTCTCACAGATGTGATCAATGCGTCACTCTTTTCCTCTTCCTCGTATTTCAACATTTCCGTTCTGTACAGAGACGGTCTATCGAGCCTCTCATCACCTTTTGTTCTTGTCGCTTGTCTTTCCAATGCTTTTGCCTTTTGTTCTTGTCTCCGGACATGGATAAAGAGAATGACCGTGTTCAGCAAGGCTAGTACAAACACACTCACTCCGACCCATCCTCCTAATATCCAACCAACCACCTCCGATCGACATTTTTCTTCCGAGCCGATTGGTTCTCGATACGACACGCAACGCTTGGGCCATCTGCAAATTCGAACAAATACAATATGTCGCAAATTAGTAATCCAGTTCTGACATCAGCCATAGTGGTAACCATCAGCAACAAAATACAACAACGACTAACCTCTTGACCCAGCATCCCAATCCAATCTGTGTATTATAATTTCCAAGTACAAGAGGAGGTCAGCATTGAAAAGATAAAACATCGCAACAATTGTCAGACTTGTGAAGTTGCATACCTCTGGCTCTGAATAAGCCGACAAAAAGAGACCGACGAACGCCGTGACTAAGGGATATCCAAAACAAAAGATGTGCATGAACGGTTCAATCCGCTTGGCGACTTGTTTGTTGCTGAAACCGAATCGAGCCGTCAAAACAAAGTAGACCGAAAGAGAGCCATAATAGAGAATCACAGCATATAGCAGTTGCTGAAAGAATCCAACTGCAGAACAGGTAGTTTCATTTCCAAACACCCAAGCTTTGTCGGAGGTCTCTTTGGGATAAAGGAAGGACGCCAGAGCCAAAGTTATGGACGTGATAATGTCAAAGAAACTCATTGCAGTCACCAATCGGTTGTACGGAGTCCATTTCTTGGACGGGTTCTTCCTGGATTGCAATCCCATATACACAATGATCGAACTACCAATCAAACTCAGAATGGCTGAAGGAATTGGCAATACGGCCACCAATTTCTTTTGGTTTTCCGACAAGGAACGAAAGACGATAGGATCTGTTATTTCGTTCTCCATCTTGACGTACTAATAATCTTCAGATTAGCGACCTGTATTGCAAGGATGATGCCACGCCGTGTTGTCTATCGTTGCTACTAGTATGTTTACGAGGAGATGAAGCCTGTATGCGGTTTAGAAATAGCAAAACTTCTATTTTTTCTCATCTCCCGCGATGTCTCGATTATAGTCACCTATATTCTCCGTTTCCTAGCATTTCATTGGTCCAAACACGGAGGACCAAGAAGTTTTTAAGACTTGCCTGCTTGTTCCAAGATTATGATGTCCTAGTCAAGACCTAATTAGCGGGGTACGAAAGCGCCTCTGTTAGAGCGGATCCATGACGCACCAGCAAGTAATTTTGATAGAGGAGAGGCCGCAATGTTACTCTCGGACCTCCGTGTTTTAGAGCGGATGCAAGTTTTGGCATCACAATTTTTTGGCATGATGGAAGAGCAGAGGCCGTAATGTTACTCGGACCGTCGTGTTTTAGCGTGCAATAAAACTCCCTAAAATAAAATTTGAAAAGGAGAGCTCGTAATGAAAGCGGTGGCGTTTGCTGTTTAACATAACCAGTGGCGGCCAGCGTGCTTCTTGTTACTGTACCGGTAGGCTGACCCGTTATGAACTCTAGTGGTGCTATAGTAGCTACTACAATCCGGCAAAACACTAAGCTCGCTGAGCCTGATTATCAAAGCTTCCCGTGGGCAAAATGGTGAATAGTTGCAGTCTATGACTGTGAGATACGAGACTCAACATCAGAAGCGTGGTCTGTTTTATTCCTGCTTAGCCTGTGGTGGCTGTCGACAAAGCTGGTGCTTATTGAAGCAATACTAAGACTGTTCATTCAAGACTTTCTCGGGCTTTGTAGTATGGATCCATCCATCAAAATGGATGCAGATTCACTCTTGTTGACGGAACTTTTGGATGTCGTTGGATCTTTCATCACACTTCGATCGACTGGTGCCTTCCTAGAAGAGACTGATAACGAGTCTTCTCCGATCTCGCTAATGACTTCAAGACTATTCGAACCACTTGTGATAAACTTTCGACGTGACGATTTTGGACGTTCTCTCGCCGTCTCATGCTCATCGTTGTCCACTCCTTCCTCCTCATCCTCCTCCTTAGCACCACCACTCCCATTGGTCAGTGACGATATCATATCCTTGCCCAAAGCTTGATGTGGACGTGCCGTCTTATTACCTTTGCTGTCACGCTTGATATCTAGTGTTCCAGCATGCATCGACTGAATCGGCTCCACCTTGGAACCCCAAATGGCACGACGAAAGGCCCAACTCTTGGACTCTTCTGGAAAATCGACTTTTGACTTCAAGTACTTTGGTCGAATGTATACCAACATGTTGAATAGCCCCTGGAGAGGTAGCAAACTGGCTTGCAAGACCAACAAGATGAAATTGTTGTAGGGAAGCTCCATTTCCCAGACATACTCCGTGGCCATGCTTTCGAACAGTCTCAAAATATAGGTACTTGCATTGCTGACAATGTAGCTAGCCACAAACAAAAAGGCCTGTGTGCTGACGAGTCGCAACCTTCTCCGTTGGGCCGCTCGTGTGTCTTGGTTCATCGAGAGGCTGTTTTGAGATGCGGATCTTTTGTAGTTGGTCCGCAGTGATGAGGCAAAGGATAAATGAGCTGTACTTTTGTCTTCCTCGATAACATATTCCCCCATGGATGATCCTGCTGCCGTGGATTTCCCGCTGGTAGATAGTGCTCGTGGTAGTGCAGTAGCAGTGCTAATCTGCATACCCTTGTGGATCCGCCGACGGACAAATATCCAAATGATCAAATTGTTGATCACCAACGCAATCAAAGTACCAATGGCGACCCAGCCTCCAAAAATCCAAGAGACCATTCCCGACAGACATGGCTCGTCGGTACCATCTGGACCGTATCCACATCGTTTCGGGTACCTATGAAAGTGCAACGTATGTATATTTGTTAGGCATATGGTTAGAACATCTGCAGAAATGATGATGAGTCTATGACCTCAGTAGCCATAATATAGATAGGACTTACCTATTGACCCAGCATCCGAGCCCCACCTCTGGTTCGGCATATACTCCTAGAACAAGTCCAATGACACCAGTTATCAGCGGATAGCCCACACTGAGTACATGCATGACTGGTTCGATCTTTCGAGTAATCTGGTCATTTTTCATTCCAAAGCGTGCCGTGAATAAAAAGTAAAAGGACAAACAGGCATTGTAAAAGGTCCCTGAAGGAAAAAAAAAGGAAAAACCCATCCAGCACCAGTATTATGTACTATGAGATTATATCATTTCTTCCAAGCTAGCATAACACCGTACATAGCGAAAGGCTTACCACTGTAGGATATTTGATTGAAGAACCCCATTAACGAACACGTCGAGTCGTTTCCCATGGCCCAAGCTTTTGTGGATGTTTCCGTGGGATTCAGGAACGCAGCGGATGCCAGAGCAATCGAGGTTATAATGTCGTATACACTCATTCCAACAAGCAAACGATTGTAGGGAGTCCATGGTCTTGATTTTCTCGAAAGATAGGCCATGAAGATAATGATGGAGCTACCAACGATGCTGAGAATTGCGGAAGGAATCGGAAGGCTTGCTAAAAGGGTCTTTTGGGAGTCTGTCAAGGATCGATAAGTGTATTGATCGTCATCCTCGATTATAGAAGCATTCTGAGCATCGCTTGGGATCAGCGTATCTTCCTCTTGGTAGATGAAGTCGTCCATTTTATCGTCTACTATACGTGCTGTTATGCTGTATGTTATAGTATTATATTGACACGATAGGATCAACTAGCTAGCACACGGGCACTGCCGCGCTGCGTGATCGCACAGACACCCATCAAATGCAGTTGCACCATCGTTCCGTATATAGCGCGATCAGGCGAGTTCCGATTGATTTGTGCAGCCCAGCCAAGAGCCTCGCAAAGAGACACTTGTGGTTTGATGACAATAAGTAGCGGTATTTACCATGTTTTCCTAAATACCGGTACGAGAAGCCGATGTCTCATTTATTGAATTTTGAACAAAACTATGGTAGTACGCCATCGAAACTCGGTATCCCCATGATGAGAGTAACTGCCAACTTCTATTTGTCCATTTATTTTATGCATGGAACCGCGTAATCCATCACGATTTTTGGAATCTTCCAATACGATCAAAGCATGAATGACATGATTTAGAAACATGCGAACATGAAGGGTGGTTGTGGAATTTGACTCTCCAACAACTCGGAAGTTGTTATTGCGTCCTTGCCGACCGATGCATATATATGTCATCATCCCGCAAGCCCATCGATTTTTGTTGCGCCCCAAAAATAGATTCAATTTGCATCAGACCTGGTTTGTTGTATTTTGCTTCAATCAAGGATCTGTGCAATCATGCTGGTTTTGGGCTTTCCACTAGGGATCCGTCCATCAAGATTCCTACAGAGAACGATCCTCCACCACCACCACCATGATTGTGGTGGGAACCGCTGCTCCTCGCCGACTGCCCATACTGATCCGGTGCTGTCTGCCTGGACGAGACAGAAAAGCAGCTAGAGTCCTCTGCCTCGGATATTTCATTGATGACTTGCATACTGTTGCTGTTCGTCGACTTGTTGTTCTTGTTGAGACCTGATGCCCGTGAGATCACAATCGACTTGGAAAGCTCCGATGATTCATTCAGACCATCCCCACTAGTCATGCCGTGGTCATCACTATCCTTCGCGTCACCACCACTCGCATTGGTGAGCGAGGATACCATTCCCTTGACCACCGCCGGAGAGGAAAAGGCAGCATTCTTGTTACCTCCTTGAATGTCAATAACGAGGGAATGCACCGGCTCCACCTTGGCACCTAGCACAGCCCGTCGAATGGACCAAACCCGGGATTCGCGGGGGAAATCGTTTCTGTTCCGAATGTACTTGGGGCGGATATACACCATCATGTTGAACAAACCTTGAAGTGGGAGCAAAATGGATTGGAGAATCATCAAGGTGTAATTGCTGTAGGGCAGCTCCATCTCTTGGACGTAATCGAATGCCTGACTCTCAAAGAGTCTCAGAATGTAGGTGATCATACTACTAGCCACATAGCTTGCCACAAACAAAATCGCCTGAGAGCGGACCAGCCGCAGCCGTCGCTCTTGAGAGTCTCGGATATCTTCATTTGTGACACTATTCTGAGACGCGTCGATCCGAAAGCTAGTCCCACCCGTTCGAAAGGATGAAAAGGTTCCACTTTTGGAGTCGTCAAACTCTCCAGTGGATGAGTTCGACGGAGGCACAGAATTGCGCCCATTTGCTCCTATCTGCTGCCGAACAAAGGCCCAAATGATCAAATTGTTCACAAAGAGACTAGCGAGCGTAAAGAATCCAATCCATGACCCAAAGATGTATGAAATCATGGTTGATATGCATGGCTCTCCGGTAGCATTAGGGCCAGAACCACATCCTTTCGGATACCTGTTGTAATATCAATCGTGAGTAAGCGAATGGTCGATCATGTGTACCTACAGTATTGACTGTTGACAACACCTATAACAAATCAAATCGACTACACTGCTATACTCACCTGTATACCCAACATCCCATGCCCGCCACTGGTTCTGCATATACCCCCAAGACAAGACCGATGATACCTGTTATCAGTGGAAACCCCACACTGAATATATGCATGGCTGGCTCTATCCGTCGAGCTATCTGATCATTCTTCATTCGAAAGCGTGCCGTGAACAAGAAATAATAACTCAACGAAGCGTTGTAGAGCGTCCCTAAATTAGACAGATGAGCAATGAAGGAAAGCATCCGTGAGTGAATGAATTGAAATCAAAAAGCAAAACTTTGCTGACATGCATACCGCTGAAAGCAATGTTGTTCAAGAACCCCATTGCCGAACACGTGGAGTCGGTTCCCATGGCCCATGCTTTGTTGGAGGTTTCTCGGTTGCCCAGAAACGTGGCACAGCCCAGCGCTATTGATGTTATTATGTCGTATACACTCATCGCAACAAGCAAACGGTTGTACGGAGTCCATGGTTTTGACTTGCGGGAAAGATAGGCCATGAAGATAATGACAGAGCTGCCGAAGACGCTGAGAATTGCAGAAGGAATCGGGAGGATTGCCAAGAGGTTCTTTTGGGAATCTGTCAAGGATCGATAAGCGTACTGATCGTCATCTTGGATTGTGTTGTCATCAGGTATCGTATCACGCTCGAACGGGTCATTGTCGGGAAAGATGAAGTCGTCCATTAAACTATATAATCCTTTGATTTCTGGATGAAACGATGATGCGATGAGTCAGCTAGATGCTACCGCGGTTCACAAAACCTCCAAAAATAGACGCGATCGCGAACGCACGGAGCATATTTTTCGCGGGATAACCATTCTACAATAATTAGGGGAATCTTAGTGGTGGCGCGGAAGCAACAAAACAACTTGAAAATTCTGAAGATCCAACTATAAAATATATACCGGTACTCACAAATCTTGTTGAAAGTATGATACGGGGCAGAGCAACGGCTTGAATACCAATAGCAATGCAGCAGATTTACAGCGAGTGTTGTAAAAATGGTCTATATACATTTTCACTTGACGTCGTCGTCATTTGAAGAAGAAGTTGACGACGACGATATAATACTGCCTGCTCGCAGGATGGATCCATCCATCATGACAGTTGCTGGGCCTTTGCATTGTGATCTCCAAAAAGACGTACGCCAAACATCATCTATCTCTTCACGTCGACTATCATCTTCCTCTGTGTCCGAGATCGACTCCAAGTTGTCGGCTTCTGGAATCACTTCCAGACTGTTGGATCCACGAGAAGAACGAAATGACGATCTGGAAGACATTGGACGCTTTCCTTTTTCTTTCCTATCTGGTTCAGCACTGGTATTGGTCAGTGACGATATTCTATCCCTTTCGTTTCGTGGAGTATCGGCTTGACTTATTGCGTTGTTTTGGTGGATGTCAATCGAATGTACCGCCGGTCGCACCACGTCTGCACCCCAAACAGCACGTCGAATGGCCCAAACACGAGACTCGCCTGGGAAATCGCTTCTATTCTTGATGTACTTGGGTCGGATGTACACCATCATGTTGAACAAACCTTGAAGCGGAAGCAAACTAGCTTGTAGTACCATCAAGATGTAGTGTTTTTTCGGAAGTTCCATTTCTTCAACATAGGTTGCCGCTTGACTCTCGAAAAGACGCAAGAGGACTGTACTTCCATTACTCACAATGTAGCTGGCCACAAAAAGAAAGGCCTGTGAACTCACAAGCTTCAGACGTTTTCTCTGTGATGCCTTGGTATCTGGATCCATGGAAATGGTGGATACCGTATTCTGAGTGGTACTCCTGTTGCCACCCAAATCAGTATTCGATCGAATACTCCGAAAGGATGATGCCATGGATGCCTGCTTCGCACTTTCACCATCGTCGTCCAAGTCCATGGTCGCCGACCCCTTTGGTGAAAATTTTCCACTCTTCTTCTTATTATTGTTGTTGCTTGACCCCGTCTGTCGAAAGACGTACCACGAGATTATAAAGTTGTCCACCACCAGCAACGCCAATGTAAGACAGGCTACCCATCCGCCAAAGATCCAACCAATCGTTCCTGATAGACAGGGCTCACCAGTTCCATCTGGACCATAGCCACACCGTTCTGGATAACTGATAATATAGTAATAAGAATGGTACAGCGAGTCAAGAGGAGTATAATAGTACATCATGGTGAGAAACAAGAACGCTCATTGCGTGGGGAATATCCATAAATTCCACGCCACTACTACTACAGTATCCAAGCAATCATCATAATCCGCTGGTTGTGACTCACCTATTGACCCAGCAACCGAGTCCTACCTCAGGCTCAGAATAAACACCAAGAAATAGACCAATGAAACCAGTCAACACTGGATAGCCCACGCTGAACATGTGCATTGCTGGTTCTATCCGACGTGCAATCTGATGGTTTTGTATGCCAAACCGTGCGGTCAATAGAAAGTAAAGACTGAGAAAACCATTGTAGAGTGTCCCCGAATAACTCAGCTGATTGAGAAAGCCAATCAAGGTGCACGACGCATCGTTTCCGTAGACCAGGGCCTTGTTGGAAGTTTCCTTGGGGTACAGGAAGGGGGATGCTCCCAATGCAATGGATGTGATAATGTCATATATACTCATTGCGACTAAGAGCCTGTTATAGGGAGTCCATGGCCTTGATTTACTCCTTGACTTATAGGCCATGTATATAATCACAGTGCTACCAAAGATGCTGAGCAGCGCTGACGGGATTGGAAGGATTGCCAACAGGGTCTTTTGAGAATCTGTCAACGATCTGTAGTTGTATGTTGGATCATCGTTATCTGGAATGAGACTTGTTCTTGGGTCGCTCATTGTATTGTGTCGCTTCAATATGCGATCGTGTAAGGTTGACAATGGCTTGAAGCATATATATGTTGTGTTCGATGGTCACGACAGAGGTGTTTTGCCTGGTACTTCCCCTATTTTATATTTGTTCATGCAGTATTGCGGTCTGGAGGAGGAAGTTTCTGTGTGACACCTTTGAAATGATATATGCTATTATTTTATATATTGTTTTCGCAAATTTGACAATGAGATAACTCCGTCGCGACCATATTTAGGAAACACACACAAACCCGAAATCTATCCCCAAACGACCGGTTGCGGTTCTGTTTTCACCCCTTTTGCATGACGCTACTATCTGTCTGACGCACAGACATAACATTCGATCGTTTTCGAAACTTTGTAATATACGATATAGGTATGACGAGCAAGTTTGAATGGCTTGCGGTCTAGTTTGTTGTTGGGGAGCATGCTGAAATCGAGAACGAAGTTTGGTCCGGGCGTGTGGCCAATTTGAGAAACTCTGTGTCCCTAATATGAATATGCAACAACAAATGGCAGCAATACTACCCATCATGCATCGTCCCATGCTGAGAAGCTCTGTGCAAATACTGTATATGAGTTACGTTGAGAATTCCTGGGATAATATTGATATTAATTACATGAATATTAGTTTAGCTAAAGATGTTGCGAACTCCATCCAAGACTCCCTTGTTCTCCTTGGGTTCCACTGGGATAACCTCTTTGGCTTGTTCTTCTGACAATCCCTCAAAGGCCAGCTTGTAACCAAATTCAAACTCATCTTTAGCCTTGCGTAGTTGAGGATAAGCACGGACGACGGTTTCCTTTAGCTTGGCCAGATCTTGGAATAAGGTTCCTGCAATACCTCCATCAAGTTGCTTTTTCGAAATTCCTGACAAGAGTCCACCTTCGGCATAGGACTTGGCCAAGGCAGCCGATCGGTCATCTCCCTTGAAGGAACCGCAGGGGTACCAGATATTTTGACGCTTGGTGCGAACAAAGAGGTTGAAGACGGGCATGCCATCGTTACCTGGTTTTTGGGCGTCCACCATTTGTTGTTGCATGGCGGCCATTTCTTGTTGTTTCCTGAATTGACCTCTCATGTTGGGTGGAACATTGGCTTTGCCCTTTTTCATGTCCAAGTTGGATCCATTTTGAATGACTGGCATAGAAGTAGAGCTGCTGCTCACGAAACTAGAGGATGTAGAAAAGGCGGAAACCGAGGCCATGGTGGCCAAGCAAATAAGGAAGGCAAAGAATTTGTTCATGGTCGTGATTGCTGATATTTGTATTTGTATTTGTATTATTGTGGCGAGGTTGCTGTTGCTTATTGTATTGGTACTTTTCAAGAGATTGGCTTCGTCACGAGTGTACTTTAGATTGTTATCAACTGATGTGATGTGATGTAATGTGCTGTTCTGTTCGCATCAGCATTTGATTGCATCATCAGCTACCGTACCGGTAGGTGCATCATCGTCCAGCTGGAAATCAGATCATCACTGACGTGTTCTCATATTGGCTTCGGATGATGGCAAGACCGACAACCTCAGTCGAAGCAGTCTTTGATTCTTCATCCAAGTAACCTACCGTACCAATGCCAGACGGGAAGGGTCCAATGAGACTACGAATCACGAATATGATTTCACTCGTGGTATACTGCCGGTAATTTTTAATCACACCGCATACCGTATGACATATAACACAATAATAACAATAACTCCTCAGTAGCAAGCACAAGCACCATGGCAGACCAGCAACAGCAGCAGCAGCAGAGGCAGCAACATAACAGTGGCCAACACACCGCTTCCAATAATAACAAGAACAACAACGGCAACAACGGCAACAACGGCAATAACATGACAATGAGCAGCGCTCTCTCTTCGATTGCTCCTGCCATCGCCAGTACGGCCTGTTGCTGGGGTCCCGCCATGGCCAGTCTCTTGGGTGCCACAACGGCGTCGCCGTTGTTGTCCAGAATATCTCGATACCGACCCTATCTGCTGGGGGTGTCGGCCACCATGATCAGCTACAGTTTTTACAATGTCTATGGCAAACCCTCGAGACAAGAACATCATACTGCATTATTATGCTGCAGTGATGATGATGATGATGATTATGACAAGCAAAAAGAACTTCATCGTCGACAATTGCAACAAAATCGAGTCATTGTCTGGGCTAGTTTGGCAGTTGCGTTAGCCGGAGCTAGTTATGGGCGTGTCTCCCTATTACCGTCATCCATCATTATGAGGAATAATAATAGTAGTAGAGGAGGATGGCGTAGTAGGACTACCGGTAGTGCGATGATCAATGCAGCCAACAACGCCAGTATGAACAAACTCGTGACGACGACGACAATTCCCATCCAGGGTATGCACTGTCAGGGATGTGCCAACAAGGTTCGAACGGCCATTCAAAATGAAATGTTCTTGCACGATAAAACCAACAACAACAACAACAATATTGATGTCTCAATCGATCTGGAGCAAGGACTTGCTACTATCATTCAAGTACCTCCATTGCAAGAGGATGATACTGATACTGATACTGATTCTGTCGCAATGAATGAGACTGCCATCCAAAATGCGATTGAAAAACTGGGATATTCTGTCGGTAATTCGACAACAAAATAAAATATTACATTCGGTAATAAGGTATGACTTTGGATTCATGATACAACGCAGGATTGAATCCCTAAAACCATTGGTATTGGTTAACATGATACCTGCAACAGTGGAACTGCAGCAGTTTGCCACGTATTCAAAATACTCACTCTTATCAATATGGACGACACTGTATGCTGCCAGACTGTGGGGTGTGTGAAACCTGCTTTTATTATAAATTAAAGCAACGTATGCAACTGGAACTCGAACTCGGGCCATAGTATAGATGCCATAGTTGACGCTGGTTGTGAGTTATACGTGTAGTACCTATGTTTCGGCAATTGTGGTGGGTCGACCTGGTATTTTTGGGCCGCACGTCTCGTTCTAAGTATAGTTAATAAAATCATATTTGGAAAACATGGCCTGGAATAATGAAAGTGGTATTGTTATAGTCAACCGACATTTTGATTTTGGTCTCTTCACAGATAACCAACTACCTATATTACCTTTGTATGGCGAAATCAACTTTGCTCTACCAATATATCATTACAATAAACTGGGATGCGCGCAGATATGCGCGATTCAATAATAGACGACAATAAAACCGCATCGCATGCATCGCGTATCATCATCATCATCATCAGTTATCTGAAGATCGTAACATGCTGGACTCGGAATGAGAATCCGCTTTTCCTGCGCCCTAGAACCTATTGTCTCACTCTTTTTGATTCTGATTCCAGGCTTGTTATTGTTTCAATATTCGGAACATTCTTATTCTGCGACAGCCCTGATTTGCAACAATCACCTGACATTTCATCATCATCTTCGACCTTCGTTGGATTCATCAATCGCTCATCCTCAAACCTCGATACGACTGTCGGCCCAAAAGTCGTCAGTAGAAAAACACGAGAACATCATGTCGGAAGAAAATGATCTTATTCCTTCACCCTTTCGATTGGCCTACATTACAGATGTGGAGGGCAACCTGAATTACTTTCTAAAGTTTGTCGAATCCTGTCCCATTTTAACGGTCCAATTCCAATATCGCACTATAACAACGAGTGAATTCCAAGCAGACGATGATATCCAAGCCTTGGAGCTGGATTTTTGCCAACCTACTGCTACCGATGATCATTCCACGGACAATTATCATTTTGTATTTGGTGGAGATTCCGTGGACAAGGGCACTGGCGACATTCGATTGAATCGATGCCTGGTAGCCTTTAAGAAAAAGCATCCCACTCGAGTCTTTTTGTTGGTAGGGAATCGAGATTTGAACAAGTTACGGTTTTCCGCCGAATTGTCAGAGGCCGAGTTGGGACGGGATCTGAATACCATTCCAGGTCCGCATTGGGATCCTTCTGCACCCACCTTGGCCGAATATTTGCAGCGTTTGGTGGCTGATAAATCACAGGTAGATCTTGAATCGTTGCATACCAGGGTGAACAAATTAAAGTACATGCTGAAGCATACTTTGGGGTGCCCCAAGACGTTTGAATTTCGGCGCCAAGAGTTATCCATTCTCCAAAATCGTTCAGCAGATGCTATCACGGACGATCAAGTTGTTGATAATTTTATCTTTGAAGTCCAAGAAGGATCCCTCCACGACTATTTCCATCATGCACAAGTAGCGGTCATCATTGGGAATACTCTCTTTTGTCACGGAGCCGTCGACAAGGATACCATGCAGTTTGTACCCAGTCCTCAATCCAAGTTTGAAAATCCACCTTCCAAACCAACCCCATGGAAAGTGATACCCAATGTCCACGAATGGGTCGATGCCTTGAATGAATTCTATCAACTTGGCTTGAAGGATCACGCCGAACGACCCTACTGGAATGACGATTTTACAAGTCGTGGAGGTGAATCCCTCATGGCATTGCAGAATCGACCCGCCATGTGGGGTCGTTCCATTATCAGCAACTGCTACGGCGATGGAGGCTGCATTACCACCAGGCACGCGGCGGAACATCGGAAGGATCCCCAACGATTGCAAGAAGAGACCAAGAACAATCCTCTTTGCTTTGAAAAAGTATGCAGCGATCCATTGGATCCAATTGTCGCAAGTTGGTTATCGAAACAAGGTATTCAGCGTGTGGTGGTGGGACACAAACCCACGGGAGATTGCCCATCCGTATTGAGCAGTGTCTACACGGGAGTGGAAATCGTATCCGCGGACACGTCCTTTTCTGACACTTCGTCCGAGGATAATAGAGGAGCGGCGACGGGCGTGGTGCAACTGAGTGGTTTCAGTTCCACGGACAATCAATTGCAGTTGAGCGGTATTCTTCAAAATGGAACGAGCTACTCGTGTGCCTTTGCGAGATTACAAAGCAAAGAGCTTGCAACTGCGACTGAGTCGCAAGCAATTGATGGTACTACTCATAATATTGAAAGCCTCAAAGGGGATATATTTCTGGGCCGCCAGTTGAAGGATGGAGACTGGTGGATCAAGGTGAGAACGGGCTCGGCGGAGGATGATTTGTATTGTTTGACAAGGGGAAACGGGAGAAAAGTCGAGTACAAGTCTGTTCCAGCATCTTCAATCGATGAAGATATGCTGACAGGAATGGCCAAAGAGTTTCGATAGCTAGCTACGGCAGTCACATCGCTTCCATATTTTTAAAATAGTCTAATGTCAGCAGAATCAAAGTGTTTCTAATAGGCTAAGTGTGACTCTATATGATACCCCCCCACGAAGCCCGATCGGTTAAAAAAATCCTTCGAATCAAGGATTCAAGACAACTCTGATGTCGTAGTTGGTCGCAGACAAATTTCTAAGATCAGACCATTAAGTGTGAGTGGTCGCAAAATGGTTTTCATGATCAGATTCAATAAGTCTCACACAGTCGACAAAGTCTCATGTCGAATAGAAACAAGACTGCCAATTATGCAATCTGCCATTTCAATCAATATATTTGTTTGGGATAGAAACGACACCTTCTTCACATCTTTTTTGTGGCACTCACACAATTCCATATCCACTCCTCTTTACTTTAGAAAAAGAGATGCTTGTGTAAGGCTCCACAATCATGACTCTGAACTACCTGGAAACAACACAAACAAATATGAGAAGAGAGAATGTAATGAAACGACATCACAGCGATGTTGCAAGACAAGTTCATTTCGTGAGGCGCCCTAAAGTTATTCCTGTTCTTCCTATTCGATCGGACGATATGAGCATCTCAAGTTCTGGAGATGACACTATCATTTCAATGATATCTGATGGCGATGACAGCAGCCAGATCACGGAATGTCACTCAAACTTGTCACCTAACCCGATGCCGCCTGCAGGACTGTCGTCGTCTACAACACAGGTTCTCACACGAATCCGTAACTCTCACCAGAGAACTCTGCAAAGGGAAATGACTTGGACGGATTCTGACAGGTGGAGTCAAGAGGAGCGAATAGTGTCACCAATACCCACGGCATCTCCATCAAACGAAAGGAGACCTCGAAATCCACGTCGGTCGCGACGATCATTTCGAAGCTACTCCCCGAGCGATTCCGGGGCTCTTAAAGGCCACTCCAGTTTCCCTTCATCGGTGTCGCCTTCCACTTTCGACAGTGCTTCTAGTCCTAGAGCTGTGACTTTGATGTCATCGCCACCAAGATATGGTCGAGTCCGAAAGGCTACAAAGGGATCCAGTCGTAGATCGTCCAGTCCAGTTTCCAACTCAAACAGCTGGTATGGCAATGCCGGCCGAAGTGAACAACCAAACAGACCGCTTAGAAGACGACTTCGAACCGAGACAAGCAGAATCCTTTCGCCAGGCGTTACTACCTGTTCCGAGGATAGGGTTCCATTTCAAATGTCACCACGCAGTGCCCAAAGTGTTCAACAAAGATCTGCACCCAATCTAGCCAATTTAAATGCTAGCTATGATGCAACCGAGAATGACGGGAACACCAGTCTTATTCATATGGACCATATCGAAAATGGCCAACATCTCGACCCATTTATAGGACAAAAACTCCATCGCCGAAGTATTTTTTCTCGGAGCCTTTCTTCCAAACCAGCGCGAAGCTTACGGGATCCTAAGAAAAGTAGGTCTCCTTCCTCGTCGCCAATGTCAAGCTCGCAAAAGCGAGCATCATCCAAGGGTCAAGGTCCAAACAAACAAATTATCTTGCAATTAGCCCAGGCAAAATGGAACTGGAATGGGTAAGGGAACGGTGAGTGACCTAGTGATTGATTACTTGAATCAACCACCACCAGCACACCACCACGAAGACCTCAAGACTATAATGCGGATCATCGTGGATCCGTTTGGTACATAAGATAAATGGATCAATTGAAAATAGTTCAACTAATCCTTTGTTTTATCGGGGCACGGAAAATATTGACAGTATTCTTTATTTGCTGTGATCCTTACTGTACGTGTACCGGTATGTTTCAACTCAGTAAATTTCCAATCCACCTTTTGTGGATTTTCGTGTTGGACGCGCGCGTGCAAAAATTCAGCGATGCTCGGCTCATAAAAAAATCGCTTTAAGCGATTTGCGACTAGTTTGAATCCAACTCCACTTTTCATGTCAACATCGATCGCTAACAATAATTTCTGCTCCACCTACTCACGACCACCACAAAGACAAATAGATTCACCATGTTCAAGCGCCTTTCGTCTACCAAATCAACTAGAAAGAATATCAAGGGTGTGGTCAATGAACCCCCCGTAAAGACTGAGCCAGTTGACGAGCCCATTGCCGAGGAAAAGGAACCTGTCTCGGAAATTCGTGCTGAGGATGCTCCACGTCAAAGCGATGCTATCGAGACAATGGACCATGTAATCTCAAAGGCAGAGAAGACTGCATGCGCCAACGACACTGTACGCGGAGCCATGCAGTATGCCCTTGCCCAAGGCCGCGAGGGTGATGCTATCGATCAAGTCTTTAGCACGGTCGAAGATTTTACTTGTGCTCCAGAGAATGATTCGATTGCGGCTGCCAGCATTAAGAAGTGTGGAATTACCAAATTCAGTCAAGAAGAAAAGGTTGGAATCTCTCTCCGCACTTCCATCAGCACAGATGGGTTATACGTGAACTCGATCTCTGCTGGATCCAAATTTGAGTCTACAGAACTTGCTATTGGACAAAAGGTCCTCAAGATCAATGGACAAGACTGCCCCGCTGCCCTTGCCGATGCCATTGACATGTTAAAGAGTGCTGAGAGCTCTTTGGTTGTTGAGGTTGGACCCAATGATGAGGTCGCCAAGCAATTTAAGGAAATGGGACAGATCGAAACGGTACAGAACGACTTGATTGTCAAGAAACCCGAAATGACTGAAATTGCCGTTGATGGATACGCCGACTCCTGTGGATTCTTCTGGTCGCTTCAAAACGGTCTCTGCGCCTTGCAAGATCTTGATGTCAAGGCTATCGAGCAAGAAGAACCTGTCGAAGAGGCTCCGAAGGAAGTGGAGGAAGTCAAGCCAGAAATCGAAGACAAGGCGTTGGCCGACGAGGAAGAGGAGGAAGCTCCTCAGGAAAAGAAGAAAAAGAGCCTTTTGAAGAAGCCATCTCTTCCTTCTCTCAAACTGAGAAAGAATAAGAGCAAGAAGGCCGTCAAAGAACCAGATCTCAAGGCAGAACAACCTGTCGAAGAAGCTCCAAAAGAAGCGGAAGAAACCCCTAAGGTAGAGCTGGAAGCCAAAGCCGAAGAAGCCCCCAAGAAAGAGGAGAACTCAGAGCAATTGACCGAAGACAAGCCATTGACCAAAGGGGAAGCCCCCAAGGAAGCCCCCAAGGTAGAGGAGGAATCAAAGCCTGAGTCTGAAGGCGAGGCACTGGCCGAAGAGGAAGCCCCCAAGATAGAAGAGGAAATCAAGCCTGAGACCGAAGCCAAGGCAGTACCTGAAGAGGAAGCTCCAAAGGAAAAGAAGAAGAAGACGAGACGATTCAAGGCTCCTTCAATGCCTTCCATCAAGCTCAGAAAGAACAAGAGCAAGAAGGTCGTCGAAGAACCTGCTCCTGTTGAGACCGTTACCGGAGAAGATGGTATGATGACCATCAAGTTCGCCAAGGACTCTCTTGATGAATCTGTTGGTCTTGCCCTCCGAAACTCCGTTTTGAACGATAATATTTACGTCTACGGAATCTTTGAAGGAAGCAAGCTGAAGTCTTCGGGACTAGGCGAGGACATGCGAGTGCACAGCATCAATGGAGAATCCTTCTCCAATGTGGAAAAGGCCGTCAAGCTTATCAAGGAAGCTTCTGAATTGGAAATTGTCGCTGGACCCAACGACGAACCAGAAGAAACAGATGAAGAAGATGATGAAGAAACAGAAGGAACAGTAGAGGAAGAGCCTCAACAAGCCTCTAGAGGTTGGTTCTGGTAAATATGTACACACGGGGACAGCAAAACCAGTTGTAGACGACTATATGGTTCATGTTTAACTGTTAGAAAGGGTGATTCGATAGAAGTTATTATGTCTCTTTCTCTCTTTATTTATTATGCATTTGTGATTGTCACATATGGGTGGGTACCGGTAAACGCGGGGAGGGGTTGTAGTTATTGTGGACCTCGGCGGCAGAGTTTCGTGTCTTGTTTGTCCAAGAGTATAGGACTATTAGGGTTATGCTCTTGCTTTGTTTTGCAATTGCAGCATCGCTCCTAGCTGTTACATACAGCTGCTTGCATGAGCACCTAGCCCGTGATTCGATTGCCAGTGCTAAGAAAGCTTGATATATTAATCTGAGCTACAGCACACAGCTACAAGGCCTAGATGTTTTCCAAAGCGCATCGATGATTTAACAGAAAACAACCTTGACATTTGATGGATCCCTTGTTCTTGTGGTTGGGCATCAGTGCATCCATTTACGTCATTCACAACAGCAACAGCAACAAAAAAGAAAACATTCTCCATCGACGGCAGTGTGCTGCACTCGGGCTTTGGCTGGCTCTGTCTCTTCAATATCTCTTGGCTTTTCTACTTCAGTCTTGTCGACTTCGGTCTTGACTTCTTGTCGATCGTCCATGGCTTCCGAGTTTGGTGCAGATTTGCTGGCATCTTCTTCAATTGTCATTGTGATACTGCCGCGGATTGAAAGATGACGATTGTATAATAATTCTTGTTTCTGTCGAGTGGAGAGTAACAATATAATGATGTATATATTTTAGCGGCAGGAATGGATCTGTTTGCTGTATTTTAAAAATGACCAGAAAGCGCGCGAGCACGGCTATCGATTATTTTTTCGTCACGAAATAAGACTGATGCACAGGAGTGAACGTATATAGACCACCCATGATGACGACATACAACGCATTCTAAAGCAGAGCGACAACAATATCGATAGACCTTGGAAGTAGATTTCTGCAGATGTGTGTAAAGTAAGACATGGATTTAAAATTAATTTTCTTTCGGAGTATTGTTACTCATTCATTAATTGATACCCTTTCGAAGGTATCGTGCCGAACCTCCACAGACATCACATTCTCCTGTAAACTCAGGAATAGTATAAGACCAAGTGCGTTCCATGTTTAGTTGTTTTTTGTTGTCACCACAGGAATAGTAGCCATTCTGGCAGGTGATAAGAGCAGAACAACCGCTCTTGTAGTCATGGATAGCCTCGAAACCGACATCAACAGCATTTTTTTCGTTACCGTCCTTCACAATCCAGTGTAGAGTATCTCCAGGTTTACCTTCTTGGCACATCTTGATGTTGGTAACACTGGCACACTTGCCACCAAAACTAGAAGTTCCGGATCCTTCCCCATAGGTAGCAGCACAAGTTTCGGATTCCCCGCCTCCACTTCCAAGCAAGGGTGTACCGGAGTCATACTCAGGACATCCATCTGTACCAGTCATGTCACATACGTGACTGATGGAGTCACCGGACTTTGCACAGGTAGGCATTGATGTGTCGATTTCCATGCAAACTTCAACTGTGCAGTCTCCGCCCAAGTTACAAGCATCGGTGTCGAGCTTGGTCATGGACCATCCAGTGCAGCCAGCTTGGTCTGCGCAGTCAGGAACCGGACCTGGCTCAGGGGTTGGACTAGGTGGTGTCGGAGGATCAGCTGGTGTCGGGGGATCAACTGGGGTTGGAGGATCGACTGGTGTCGGAGGATCGACTGGTGTCGGAGGATCAACTGGTGTAGGAGGATTGACTGGAGAGCTGGTTGGGTCGGCAACTGGAGTCTTTGTTGGTGACTCAGTGGGGCTTGGGGTCGGTGCAGGAGTTGGTGCCTTGGTAGGACTTGGAGTTGGCTCTGGGGTTGGCTCAGGTGTTGGCTCAGGTGTTGGCTCAGGTGTTGGTTCAGGAGTTGGCGCAGGGGTTGGCGCAGATGTTGGCGACTTGCTTGGCGAAGCGGAAGGCGAAGCAGATGGGGCGGCTGATGGCGAGGCGCTGGGAGAAGCCGAGGGTGCAGCGGATGGGGCTGCCGATGGTGCAGCCGATGGTGCAGCACTAGGAGAAGCCGAAGGCGAAGCAGATGGGAGAGGAGTCGGAGAGTCACTTGGGGAGGAAGACGGAAGGGGGGTTGGAGGAACTGACGGCGTGGCGGTAGGGAACTCCGTTGGTGAAGCAGAGGAACACACATCGCATTTCCCAGCGGCAACTGGAATGGTGTAGGACCAAACACGTTCGAGTGCTAGCTGAGCTTCTGTGTCGCCGCAAGCATATAGGTTGTTCTGACATGATACGGAAGCGGCACATCCATCAGTGTAATCGTGTGTGGTAGAGAATCCAACATCCGAATCACTGTTTCGACCGTCCTTGATAATCCAATGAAGGGTGTCGCCTGGAAAGCCTTCTTGACACAGCTTGATGTTGGAAACACTGGCACATTTTCCAGGAATTCCGCCTGTTCCGCCTTCACCGTATACGGCATCGCATAGTTCGGATTGACCGCCACCGGTTCCGAGCTTGGGGACACCAGAAGCATCGTAGACTGGGCATCCATCAGGACCCGTCATGTCACAAACATGACTGACCCCATCACCACTCTTGGCACACTTGTCCTTGGACGTGTCGATTGTCATGCACACCTCGACGGTGCATGGTCCAAATCCACATGCGTCGGTATCGAGTTGACTGATCGAAAAGTCAAAGCAGCTCGCTTGGTCGGCACAAGTTCCAACGGGTTCAGCCTTGGCGAGAGGAACCAAACCAAGGCCGATAAGATAGATTGCTTTCAAAGAAAATTTCATTGGATCTTTTTTTCTTTGGATCTTTCGTTCAATCGATCGAAATATCAAATTGTGAGATCGTATAAAAAATATCATGCGAATTTCAACGTAAGTGCACCACCAAACAGGGTGCGTTTGACCGTTGAGAAAGGAAAAAGTTCAATCGAGACGTGCCGATTGGGTGTTTTCCATTTAGTGGTGTGGGTTTCGAACGGCCAATCCGCAACCGACACGCAGATAACGAATTTTCCATTTAATTGATTAGAATTCTTTTCTTCCTTTCCATGGTCACGAATGATCGCGCTTCGGCTTCACTGGAGAAAAAAGGTGTTGCAAAATAGCAAAAGGACGACGAATACCGGATACCATATAAGCAAGCAGGTGCACTTTGAGCAGGCGAAAAGTTGCGAGACGGGATCAGGTGCGCTCATCCAAAATGTTAGAAAGGGAGAGTAATTGAAGATGACAGAGGGAACAGACGGGTTACTTGCTACAATGGTGGTGGCACATCCTCTTCTATTCTTCGTTTCAGCATCGCGATATCTGTGGAGAGTTAGTTTTTGATTGCTGCTGTGCAGCAGTGGTTATTATAATAAACGGAAAGGATTTACTTCGTGGAAGTGATAGGCGACGATGTTGCCTTTGCGAATCAATCAAATCATTGTCGTTGAATGCTGAATCAACAACAACCAACCGTTTCACCAGGCGGAGCTTGGCTGAACAAAGCAAGAAAGAGATTGTAATGTAATTGCCATGGGCGTGGTTGCTGCCTGGCTACCTTGGTATTTTCCGGTTCTCGACCAGACTTGGGACAATAGAGTTATTAGTTTGTATATTTATTATAATATATATGCAGATATCAGATTTTCAATTTAGCTGTCATTGGGAACTAAGATAGCCCCCAGAAGCATAGCAGCCGGAATCAGAACCGACGCGGATGATGGAAATGTTTGCTGACGGCAACAAACGTTCCGTGACACCGTTTGTGAGTTCTATCTAAGCAGCACTTCTATGAAGTGTATTTTTGTCGGTTTGTATGGATGTATCCCCAAGTGTCTGTCTGTCTGTTTGTCTCCAACAATCATGGCCGCACAACGATGACACAACCACCACCTTAGTACTTCTTCTTAATCGTCACAGCATTCGCAACAGCACTGAATGCAACCCGCAATACAGAATATTGACATGCAAGTCTCGCAAAGGTGACTGCATTGGTCCGTGTTGGTAGTGTGCGGGGAGGTGGGCTTGACTAGGTCTAACGTTCTGGTTCCTTCTTTTGGCATTGTTTCTGCTGTATCATCATTGTTGATGGCTTGTTCCTTTCGATCGTCCATGGCTTCTGCGGCTGGTGCAGGTTTGTTGGTATCTTCTTCTATGATTGTCATGATGCTGCTTCTGGTAGTAGTAATAGTAGTAGTAGTATCAGTAGTAGTGTGGAGGAAAAAGTGATTGTGATACTGCACGGAACTTCAAACTGATTTTTATGAATGAAATCTTTGGATCTAGAGTTTTTATGTTCGAATGTGTGCTACTCGTACATAATCTCGATCGTTGTGATTTCGAAAATGGCCGGCCGACGCGTCACGACCAAGATTCAGCGCGGTTGATGTAGTAGAAACACCGGTACAATAATACATACTATCAGAACACGCCCAAACCCCTACCTACAGTACAGGTATACGAGTATATGCGAAAGAAGAGAATAGAGTGGAGTGGTAAAAACTGTTCTTGTATACTCTTGTTATTGCATTCTACCGGTATACCGGCAAGACAATATAATAATACATGTAACTCTAGCTCTACCGGTAGTAGCCAAATGTAATAATTGAGCCACCCATGGTGTGTCAGCATTGCGGCAAATCTAGTATTTGGAATTCCATGACGATTGATTGGGTGAATGAACTTGAATTGCCTTGCACTAGGAAGAAACAGACCAGATCAGCATATGGTGGAGGTTCAGCACAGGATTTATGATTGCTGAATCGAAAGTAAGTGCCGTCAAACCTTTAGCCAGCACTGTAACAAGGAAACCTGGCAAAACTGGCAAACCCCCTGGCAGAACTAATATTATCACAAATCTTGGCAATCCAATGTGTTCCAGCAATTGAATTATCAATATTGCTCTTCTACTTGTATCCAATCGATCTTATTATTGATTGTCAACGCAAATCATCAGGTTTGTCAATCAAGCATAATGTACAATTACCCCTTATGCATTATAATATAAGAAATATATTATCGTCGAAACCTCAATTTTGCGAAAAATCATCAGACCGGTATTCAATCCAATGGATGCCAGATTGATAATACAATTTAGCTTTGCTTGACCACTTTTATATGGCCAATCAGATATCGTAGGAATGAATGAAATCGAACACCTTCTTGAGAACCTTCGTTCCTTATAAGTTGATCTGTACGAAGGAAGAATAATATGGATGATAGTAGTCTTCTCCAACATCAAACCCCCCTCTCCCCAAAAAGACGAAGATGAAGCAGGAATTATTGGTCACAACAACAGCAAAAGACGCAGGGAAAGGTACAACAATGAATGCAACCCTCCCAAACCATTTGACAACATGAATCTTGTCTGCGAGTCAGCGGTTGATCCATCAAACCTGTTTTTTTGACAGTCGTCTTGGCCGCCGAATTCTTTTTGACTTTGGGAGCTTGTTCCTTTTTTATAGAAGCAGTACCGGTACTGGTAGTGCTTTCGGTGATCTCTGTGGTGATGGTCCCTTCTTCTCTCCGGTCGTCCATGTGTTCGGCATACGGAGCGGGGTTGGTGACGTCTTGTTGGATTGTCATTGTCATTGTTGTTGCTGATGCTGATGCTTCAGCACTATCTGTCGAACTAATCTGCGGACGTGTGATGCTGTCCTGTAGGTTGATGTATAGGTATAATAGAGAATCGAGGATGAAGTAAGTGACAACCAACGACCTGAAGTTTTAGTTTTGATTCTTGCTTCAATCAACACATCTGGCGCTTATTTCTTGGAGAGCAGGTGATTTCTGACTTCGCGGATCTTCGGAGGCGACTTATGGAATATGGAAACTACGACATTGTTTGTTAAGTATTCACTTCCGTACAAACGCCCGAGCGACATGAACATGTTCATCTTCCAATCACGGAAAGCCTATGCAAGTACCGACACCCTCATCGTTGAACAGTATGATTTTTCATGTCGCAGTATAGTACCAGGTACTCGTACTACAGTATGCTGTGCATTACCGGTACTGTAGATGCACAAGGATTACTACAGTATTATCAACCTATACTACTAGTAGTATAAATTAACATTTTAACAGTCCTAGTAATATTTTACAAGAAAAGCATTTTAACAACCTTTCAGCTCAGCCTTGAAATCAGAACCGTTGACGAAACGGAATGAATAAATAATCATTCAGGCAGTTTCAGTCATTGGAATAAGAACTCTATTACAGTCTCCTCATGAGATTGATTTTGTTTGTCAACCATCCAATGATGCTTGTGAAAGTTTCAGCAAGTTCCAGGCATGGCGTGCCTTTCCTTTTTCTTCCTGTGACAGTGGTCCCTGAAGGTGCATTTCACCAGGATCTGGAATCATCATTTGTCTTCGCAGATGGTCGCAGGCAATCCACCATTATGCTCCTCGTCAAATCCCTTATCTACCGAGAATCCCAAAGCAAGACGCAACAGAATACACCCGTGTATACACAACAATCCCATACCAATGTACACAACCGATCTCCATTGGTGGTTCGGTGCGTGGATATTCCGTTATCATTCTTTTCCTTTCGATATTTGCCAGCTCCAGTACCATAGGCTCGAATCGAAGTATGGACCGCTGGATCCACAAAGTCACCGTCCGAACTTGCCAGGTCGGAACTCGAACTAAAGGAAATTCCGCTACTGTTGCTGTCGTAGGAATTCTTTCGTCGACGACGAGTAGGATTTTGACCAATGTCGTTGAGAGAAGTGCCTTCCATACTGGACACACTGGTAATGCTCGTGGCAATGCTCAAAATGGAAGCCGTGGCGGCATCGGAATCGTCTTCACTGATGCTTCCATTGGAACTTCCCGTCAAGAATCCGCTTGATGCAGAGGAGTCACTCAAACTCGAATCGGCCATACTGGATTGGGTGTCATAGTCTTGAAGTCGCTCTTCCATGGCTTGTGGGGATGGTGCATAGGTCGGTTCTTCTGGTTCTGGCATTATCGTGCTGGGATCTTGAGGATTTTGATACAAGGCCTGAAAATCAGATCCCAGGGTGGCGGTTTCCGAGTTTCGTCGTGGCATGATGGTCCCAGCAGCAGCTGGATTATCGTTATCAGCATCAGCATCAGCATCAGTCTCATCGTTAACAGTTTCAGCATCATCATTTGGCATGACCATAATACCATCATTCTCATCATCCTCATCATCGTCCATCACATCGGACTGTGATGGTGGGGGTGGCGGTGTAATGGGCCGTTTCTTATCTTCCTCTTCACCTTCTTGTGGCATTGTCATGGTGGTGATCTATGATTGACGATTCGGCGCGTGGAGGATGATGAGGTGTCTGTCTTGTATTGTATCGTATCGTATCGTATCGTATCGTATATTATTATGAATATACAATGCTATGACTTTTTGGTGATTGCTGCAGGCTTCCGTTTGAGGCTTCGTTATTTTGCTACACTAAAGATGAAACTCTTTTAGACTTTTTCGAAACAGGTGATGGTTGTGCAAGACTGGCTTGTGTTGACAGTGCAACGCTGTGTGTGTATTATATTAATACTGCAACGCTGAGGTATTATATTGTTGGGGTTGGTGTACCTATTAATAACAGCATCCAAAGTTCCCACTTTTCATGCAATCATGATCCGTGCTGCGGTGTCTTCTCATTGTCACATTTCGAAAAACCTTCTACAGCGATTGTAGTACACCTTGTACACATGATATTTATAGAATCTGGCATGGTGGCGATATTATTCGACTCTTTCGACACAATATTTTGAATTTTGCACGAGGAAGACAATATTTAAAAATGGACTCATCTACCGGTACTACCACATATCTACTATCTGGATCTATATTAGCTACACCTCTGTTGATCAATTCACTCTGATCTTAGGAGAAATATTGGAGGTGAAGGGGCGAACAAGAGTTTGTATGTCTCTAAATTCCCCCATCAGCTAGTACTCGCTCGCCTTCTTCTTGTTTGGTGGCTCGTTGTTGTTGCAAGAATGATGATATACACTCGAGTAGCTATTTGTCTCACTTTCAAGGAAATCTGTCATACGGATCGAAAGGTGAATTCCTTCATCGAGCTGTGTGACGCCATCCATCTCGAAATGAGTCACTGTCAGTGATTCAGCTCCCTATTGTCGCCAAATATCATCATGCCTACGGTACTGCGTTGGGCGGCAGCCAGGTACTACCACCCTTCCTCTATATGTATATCATCATGCCTGCTTGTTCTTCCTTTCCAGCAGTCCAGCATATCCCTCTCGATGCAGTAGTGTCTCGTTTTCCTGCTCATAGTAATGGCCATACCATCACTTTCGGTGCTGCCTAGTCATTTCATGGACTGACTGACTGACTGACTGACTCGCTGGGGACTGATGCCTTCTCAAAACAAAAACATGAGACAATTCCCCAAACCTTCGCAACACCACCAACACCACATTCCGTTGTCTCGAGGAGGTAGTTCGCCATTGTTGTTCTCGCTGTTGGTTACAACAGGAGCTGGTGTAGAATCATCATTTGCAATGGCATCGGACATGATTTCGTGGTAGATTGATTGATTGAGTCTTACTACTAGCTAGTAGATCGATGATGGCTGTGCTGGCTATGGTGTGTGGTCCTCCTCCTCGTTTGCTGCTGCTGGTGGGTGCTTTGGTGGCTTTTGTTCTTGTTGTTCGTGCTAGCTGGCACCAGCTGCGTCTTGTGTCGGCAATCAATCAAAACCGATGGATCGATAGTTGTGAGTCAATAGTTGTCCTTATGTCAAAGTGGAAGGATTGTCAGGATTGTCGTCTGCAGTGGGAAACAACAGAATTTAAAAATATATGGCAAGCGTCGGTTGGAAAATTCCGACGCGTTGAGTCAGTCCTGCGCGCTTTTCAATCACGAATATTATGCTGAATACTACAGTACTGTAAGGAGGAGAAACATAGATGGAAGATGTCTGTCCCCAACTGTTGGTGCAGCCTCATTTGGTTCTTCATGCGATTTGGGCTACCACGGCCGACCATGCGCCACATTATGCCAAAGCTTGTTGGCGTGTGGTGGTGGAAAAAGTTGCATGACATGGTCGACCTCAAAGAAGATGGTAATGAAAAGGAATTCAAGCGGCTTCTCAAATTTATATCCAAGGAACACCACCAGCTAGTACCAGCCTGGCTGGTTACATGGGTGGTGCTGGTGCTGCTTGTGGCAACGCTACCACCGATCCTATGGAATGGTAGATAATGATGATGATCCATTCTTTGTTGCTATACTTGTATTGCCTTTCGTATTATCTAGTAAAGCATATCGTTTTTGGATTTGTTGCAAACTAAATAGAATAGAGGCTCATATATTTTATTTCTTTTAGCTCTTCATCTCATCTTCGTCAGAAGCCGTTAGGTACTGTATTAGCTCTAATTTTGTTCGGAATTTGTACATTTTGAACATGTATGCAAGACTCAAAATATACCTAATATCGAAGGCATTATCGGCCTTATCATCATTACAATAATCGTTCACAGTACCGGTACCTATACAGATACTATCTTTAGTCAGAGTAACCCTAACCCTTGACAAACAAAAAGGCAATAAAAAGACACCAGAATGCCTTCTTCTTGGATATGGATGAAAGGAATCACTCCAACGATTCCAACACAGGTGATGGATCCAGTCGGTGACGACGACCAGCGCCCGTCTGTGTTGGATTTGATTGCGGAACATGATACCAATATCCAAGAGCTTGCGTCTTTGGTACAAGAGGACCCCTTGTACGAACCAGAAAAGCACGATGCCATTTTTCTATTGCGATTTCTCCTGAGTCACAAGCAAAATGTCAAACGAGCCTCCAAGGCCGTCAAAGCCACGCTGGTCTTTCGAAAGGAGTATCGATTGGATGAACGAGACATTCGTCATTTGGTTCCGCACAAGATACAAGACGGAGAATATGGTGAAATGCCATTTGCCAAGACTGATAACCTACAGAATGCTTGGAAGACTCGGTCGCCAGAAGATGCCATTGTCTTCACCATTCCAGATCCAAAGAGGGGTGTGGTGGCCTTTTTGAATATCGGTAACTTGAAGAATGATTCCAAGACTGCCAAGAAGCTCACAGTAGATGATGTGGCGTCAGTATTTATTCTCACTTCCGAATGGGCCCATCAATGGTTGGACTATGTCACTCGAACGACTGGACGATTCACCAAATCGGTGCGACTGATTGATTTTTCAAATTTTTCCATCTTTCAAAACTCTAGAGAAGCTACCAAGCGAGACGGAAAGATTATGGATATGGTGAGTCAATACATACAAGATGTAGTCTGCTGTGTGTTTCAGCATCGGATTCCAAGGAATTGTCGTACTACATAAATGAGACGTGTTGCAATGACGATGTCGTGATGTTGATTGTGTGACTATGTTGCTAATGAATTCATATCAAAAATTGTACTACTACTGTGAGCTAACAGCATACTGTTTTTCTTTCTATTCATCATTATCTTCTTCTCTATTCTGCTATCTTCAAAATTAGATGGAAGATATCTACCCGCAGCTCCTGCAGGCCCTGTTCATTTACAATGCACCAAACTGGATACATTCCGCTTGGGCCATCTTTCGCCCCATCATGCCCAAACGGATCATTGCAAAGATTGATATTATCGACCCCAAGAACAATCAAAAGGAGAAAGAAAAGCTACTAGCCTTCTTGTCGGACGAGAACATGCCAGTAACCATGGGAGGGAGTAATACGACGAGTCCCCGTGATTGGGAATCGCAGTAGTATATATAGTCACAGCAGTAGTTGGATGTCATGCTTGCTTTTGCATCATATTGCATAAGGGAGAATCAATTTGATAGAGAATCAATCTGATGTCTTTGTCTTTGGCAATTCCTGATGAGCAATGGCGAGACGTCGTTGCATTCTTGATGAAAATGTAACGCTAAAGCGATGAGCGACGCAACCATGAAAGTCTCATCACATGAATAGTTAGCATATCTACCCATTCGTCTTTACCACTCCGAATTTTATCCATTCACATTTCTTCAATCAACCCCCTTGTCATGGCCTCCCACTCGACTTGATTCTCTTGCAATGACTTTCCCTCTCTTGCCAAATACCGAAACAAAGGTCGCTCTGGCTTGGTCAATGTCTCTTTTCCTCTGCTTGGGAAATGAGTTGCCACATAGCTATCCCATTCGTCTTTTCCAAGCGCTGTGGTAATGACCGACTCGAACTTGCAAGGCGACGCAGTAGCGAATATCGCCACCTTTGAGTTCTTGCCTGGCTGTTCTATTTCGGTGTTTGCTGGGAAGAAGCAATATCCCAGCTTTTTGGCAGCACAAAAGGCCACTCCCGTATTAGGATCCGCATAGTAATCAAGTTTGCTTCTCACTTCTCGAAGCGTCTGACACAGCTCATCATCTGTGACCCGCGCCGACGCGAATTCGGCTTGCAACTTGGCAAACCACGACGTCTCGTGAAGGACCATGGTGCGATCTGCTCCAGTTTCCAGCTGCTGGTACCAAAGCTTGACTTGCTCATGATTCTGATCCGTTAGGTAGAATAACAGTCGCTCAAGATTATAGGGTAATTGGATATTAATGGCTTCACTCATGGTGGTGTGCATGGTGTCTGGACGCTGGACCAATCCATTGGAAAAGGCTTGGTGCGTAATATCATTGACGTTCACGCCAGCACACATTCTTCCAATGGGAACACCCATTCGTTTGGCCATATAGCCACCGGCAATGTTTCCCATGGCACCAGTGGGTAACACGACGTCCAATGTAAAGTCTATTTTATGAATCAGACAAGGTGAGAATGATTATTAGCAAAAGGCATAAGATCCAATATATATAACGCAAAAGCATCATTTCCATTCCCAAAAATATTAGACATACCTGGATCTCCCGCTTCAATGCCAAGTGACTCTGCGACTCGCAAATATGCCCATACAAAATGAACCATTTGCATGAGTGGTCTGGCAATGTTGTAGCTATTCACCCCGCAAATGAATCGATCGTCGGTCTGCGAGGTTGGATCCGTCATGATACTCTTGATAGGGGCATCCATATCGTCTCCACCTCCTTGAAAAGCCACCACTTTAATCTTCTCATGAGTGCAAGTCGTCAGCTGTTTGCGCTGAAAGTCCGAGATTTGGCCTTCTGGATAATGTACGAGAATGCCCAAATATTCCGACTTGCAATCTTCCACCGCTTGGACAGCTGCTGGTCCTGTATCTCCAGTGGTAGCGACTACCAAGGTGATTTTTCGCTTTCGTTTGACGGCAAAGTAGTTGAGCATTTGTACCACAAACTGCAAGCTCAAGTCTTTGAAGCAAAAGGTAGCTCCATGGAATAATTCCACCACAAAAATAGTATTCGGGGCATTCGTATTCTGAATGACTGGCACCACTGGCGCATCAAAGCCAGAAAGAGATACTCGGATGATTCGTCGCAAGTCACTTAACGGGATCTCTTCTGTTGACAAGAACAGACTCAAAATGGATGTGGCTAGGTCAACATAGTCCAACTTGGACCATTCTTGAAGGGTGGAAGGACTGATTTTGTCAGGCAGTCTTTCAGGAACAAACAAACCGCCATCTGGTGCATACCCTGAACACAGAGCTTGTTCGAAGGTAAATCGATTGGACGATCCTCGTGTGGAAGTGTACTTCATTCTCTATCTCTATGATTCGTTGGATGGTCAAAGGAGCATCATCTGCGCTGATGCAAGATGATGATGAACTTATTATTGCGATACAATAAGTATATATTTTTCAATATCGGTAGGAGTAATTTGAAATTAATTATTTCAGATTCTCCTTTTCTCCGTTTCGATAATATACCAAAATTTTCGACGCTTGCATCCGATTTTTTTAACGCATAGTAGCACCGCGCAGGCCCCTCCACAACGGCTGTCGGCCCTATGTATTTCGCAATGTCAACGGTTGCAGTTCTGAACCGAATTCATTTCAACGCCCACTTTTTCTTGCGAATCCACACCGGAACTGTGAACACGTTCAACAATATCCATATCCAGAACACTCCAAACAAAAAGTAGACACCATGCCAACCATTCAGTGGACTAATGATTCAGAGTTAGTCTCTGTAGAGACCGAGAAACAGCAAGCTCTTCAAGAGCCCTCCTTCAGCAATGTTTCGGAGGAAGAGTTGCCTTTTGGTGAGCGTCTTGGTCGCAACTTTGATAGTTTCATGACCTACGTTTGCTTCCCTGAAGAACAAATTGATTTCGATTGTTTTCCAGAGGAACGAAACTTGGAGGCTTTGGACCCTGTCACCGGCATTGTGGAGAAGGAAAGTCAACACGAAAGGCTTGGAATCAGCATCCGCAAGATGGAGGATGGCAGAATCATCATCTACAAGATCAACGAGGACAGCATGTTTGTCGATACTGACCTCGAAGTTGGAATGAAGATTATCTCGATCAATGACGAGGCCTGTCCTCCAACTGTCCCTGAGACTATTGCTACTCTCAAGTTGGCCAAGGACATTGTCAAGATTGTTGCTGAACCACAAAGGGATGGCATTGTTGTCGATGATGCACAAAGAGAAGGCGTTCCTGGAGAAAGAGCCCTTGCCAATAGAAACACTGTTTCTTTCACCGACTATTTCACTTCGTCCTATACCGAGTATGAAAACGCCATTACCAACATGAGTATCAACAAGATGCTTGAGGCAGTGACTGGCCTAGAAGCCTTCTCGGAAGAAGATATTTGCATTGAAAAAGAAAGCAAGGCAGAGAAGCTCGGTGTTGCGTTGATGCAATCAAAGACCTCGAATAACATCTATGTTAACCACGTATGGGAAAACAGCAAGTTTGCTGCCGCTGGATTGAAGGCTGGTGTCAAGGTGCTCAAGATCAATGGGCAATACTGCCCAGCTTCCCTCAACGAAACTGTATCACTCTTGAACACAGCTGAGGGTAAATTGAACTTGACCGTCATCGTGGACGACAACTTTTGCTATGAATTGGATGAAACTTTCATGATGAATGGTAAGAAGTTGGCAAACAAGACTACTATCCGATTGCAAAAGGAGAAGGACGAACCGATCGGCATGCTTCTTCGAAAATATGAAGACAGGGAAGGAATCTTTGTCCGAAAACTTTCGGAAGATGGAAAGGCAGCCAAGACGTCCTTGAAGCCACACATGAAGATTCTATTAATCAACGGTCAAAGATGTCCCCAAAATATGGAAGACTGCACGCAAATGATATCTGAAATTGAAGGGGAACTCAAGATCGTAGCGGTATCCAATATTCCTGACGAATTGATGGAACCAGTGGCTGCCTAACAAGAGCTGGACTTATTTTATCGCTACTACCTCCTTTTGACTTGTGAAAAGAAGAATTGATGACACAGACATGATGATGCGTACTCGTGAACGGATCATGAATTCTGATGATAGACAGAAGACAGTAGTTTGTAAATGATGATGATAGAGATGAAAATTGAAAATTATTAAAATATGTAATAATATTATACCTGCAGTGATGGGTTCGTCTCTCATATATATATCATCTGGCTTCGCGTTGGATCGTGTTGGAATGTTCTTTCGCCTAAATCTCAAATGCGGCATGTTTATATTAGAGAATTCACGCGTGTATGCGCATATTATTCTCACGACTACAATATATAATAGCGCTGTTCGTTTCGATCGCATCGAAAGCATCAATGACACCAAAAGAGACTTGAGAGCAAACGACAGCTGCACAGCACTCAAACCTTACATTCAACGACATGGTGCCTAAGCTCTCAATATAGCAGCCATGACTCTACAAAATACTGGACATGGACTCATGGGTATGATTGATGAAGCTAGACCAAACAGTAACAAATCAAGTGATCACGATGACGGTGTTGAACTTATGGACGAAGATGAGCAAGTGGATGATGAGCAAGTGGATGAGGTTTCTATTTATGGTGTTCAAGCTATTTCTATTGATGCAGGACCCATTTCAGATGCAACCGGAATAGAGACTACGAGTCCCCCAGAGGAAGTAGAAACTGCGAATCAATCCATGCCTGAAAATATTAGACAAGCAGACGAGAGTCGAACTGATACTCCTAGCATCATGCCGGAACAATATGTCATGGCTGTCGATAGTCATATTGTGAATCATGATGAAGCCCCAACCCCGCACGCTAGTGACACGCCTTTCATGGACAATAATAGAGCGACGATGGCTCTCCATGAAGATGAGGAAGATGAGGATACAAATGTAGATCCGTATGGATCGTCACTCATCATGGGATCAATTTCGGAAGACGAACCAGCACCAACCCACTTTGCCTCGCTTCGATCCGCCAAAGATAGAGCCAGGCGGGCATTGGAGGATGCCAAACGACGTGTGGCAACTGGAAAATTGAAGCAGCAAGCTGAGATGTTCACTAGCGAAATGAATGTTGCGAGCGGCATCACCTCACCTCCTGGCATTACATCACCTCGTCATATACCTCCCGCCCGGCTAGAGAAGATGATGCAGGGCAATACCCTGGATCAGTATCTGGTAGACAGCAATGGGTCGATAAGTGGCGGAATGTATATAGACGGCCACGATTCCGACAACTACACCCTGTTCAGTGAAGGAGAATTGGCAGAGATGGCAAAGGGATCCTTTGCTGTCAAACAGATTCCAGCCAGCAAAGAAAGTGACCATCATCGAACCGCATCATTTTTTCAATTTGAAGCTCCAGTAATACATGAAGAAATGGTAGCAGCAACAGCACCAGGACAACTGATGACGACAACCATGATAACAAAAGAAGCAAGCGAGTCTATAGTTGCCGAACAAGTCAATCTAGAAGCAACCTCGCCTGGGACTCAAAGAGCGGAGACTTCATTGTCGCCTCCAATCGCCAGAAAGGAGACAACTGTATTGCAAGAAGACAAGATCGAATCTACCATGAACCAACCAGTAAATCCAGAATCAGCCTCGCCTTTTACTCATGAAATGAAGCCTTTGACTCACCCTACAATAGCCAGAAAGGAGACAACTTCGATGCAAGAAGAGAATATCGAATCTACAATGAACCAACCAGGTGTTCGAGCTATTTCAGATGATGCAGGACCTAATTCAGATGAAACCAGAGTACTAGTAGAGACTACGAGTCCCCTAGAGGAAGCAGAAACTGCCAGTCAATCCATGCCTGAAAATGTTAGGCAAACAGGCGATAATCGAACTGATAATTCTATCGTCATGCCGGAACAAGATGTCATGGCTGACCAAAGTCATGTTGTGAATCATGATGAAGCCCTAACATCATACGTCATTGGAACGTCATTCACAGATAACAGCAGAGAGACAATGATTCTCCACGAAGATGAAGATGAGGACGCAAATATGGATCCGTTTGGATCGTCACTCATCATGGGATCAATTTCGGAAGACGAACCAGGACCGACACACTTTGCCTCTCTTCGATCCGCCAAAGAGAGGGCCAAACGGGCATTGGAGGATGCCAAACGACGAGTGGCAACTGGAAAATTGAAGCAGCAAGCTGAGATGTTCACTAGCGAAATGAATGTTGCGAGCGGCATCACCTCACCTCCTGGCATTACATCACCTCGTCATATACCTCCCGCCCGGCTAGAGAAGATGATGCAGGGCAATACCCTGGATCAGTATCTGGTAGACAGCAATGGGTCGATAAGTGGCGGAATGTATATAGACGGCCACGATTCCGACAACTACACCCTGTTCAGTGAAGGAGAATTGGCAGAGATGGCAAAGGGATCCTTTGCTGTCAAACAGATTCCAGCCAGCAAAGAAAGTGACCATCATCGAACCGCATCATTTTTTCAATTTGAAGCTCCAGTAATACATGAAGAAATGGTAGCAGCAACAGCACCAGGACAACTGATGACGACAACCATGATAACAAAAGAAGCAAGCGAGTCTATAGTTGCCGAACAAGTCAATCTAGAAGCAACCTCGCCTGGGACTCAAGGAGCGGAGACTTCATTGTTGCCTCCAATCGCCAGAAAGGAGACAACTGTATTGCAAGAAGACAAGATCGAATCTACCATGAACCAACCAGTAAATCCAGAATCAGCCTCGCCTGCGAACTGTGAAGAGAAGCCCTTGATTCACCCTACCAGTACAATCGCCAGGAAGGAGAAAAATCTCTTGCACGAAAAGACTATTGAAGCTACTCTGAACCAACCGGCCAATCCAGATGTGATTTCGCCTATGACCAACAAAATGAAGAGTTGGATTTCTCCTAAAATCGACAAAAAGAAGATCTTCGCCTTTACCAGAAGCGATTCGCCTGATCCAGAAGTAGTTTCGTCTACTGCTACTACAAAAGGAAAGTCTTGGATGCCTCCAAAAATCGACAGAATGGCTTCCGGCTCTCCGATGGCAAGCAGCAAGAAGAGTTGGAAGGAACTTCTTCGAAGCTCGCCTGTTGCAAGAGTCGCAAGAAAAAAGAGTCAAGGACCACAAGGAAAGAACATGGTGAATGAGTTTCTGGGGCCAGGGGTAGTTCCATCAGTGGAGAAAGAAGTAGCAAATCTACAAATTCCAGAGGCTTCCATAGTTCCCTCAATTTCATCGCAGACTTCACACTCCGAAGGAAAGATTGGGAAGAAAGATAAAATCGAAAATGACAAGAGTCATCACTCGCAACCTGAAAGACCGATTGTCCTGACGTCAATGCAAATGCGGCAAGAAACCAGAGCCCGACATCGTGCAGGTCCTAGGCCTGTGGTTTCTGGTATTCAAAAGGGCAAAATCAAACCCAGAGACAACAAGGAATCTCGTACGAGAGTTCAACGTGGAAACAGAAGACAGACAGCAAGAACTAACGACAATGTTGTTCTTGGAAGTGGTCCCAGAGAATTGACAAAAACAGACGCAGGCGGTGATTTAAATTCAGACGCAGCTCCCAAGAAGGGGAATATGCCTTTGTTGAATAGACGGCGGAAGAGTCTTGACAATGCGACAATATCCGCGGTAAGCGACGACATTCCTAATTCACCGTCCAGGATTCGAGTTCATCGTGGAAACAGAAGTGCAAGAAGTAGCGACAATGATGTTGTGGGAATGGAGGCCATAGAATTGGCAAAAGCAGATGCAGAGGTTGATTTGAATTCAAAGGCAGCTCCCAAAGCGGTCGTTCCTGTCGTGGATAGGCGGCGGAAGAGTCTTGACAATGCCACGATACCTGCAGTAAAAGACCCCATTCCTCATTCACCGTCCAGGACTAATCGGCGAACGCCGGGGCCAAGGCGCCCTGTCCCAAGTCACCACAGACCGAGTAGACAAACGGGAAGAGATGGGGAGAAAAGAGGGAGTAGGTTGTCGAGATCACCGATACGACATACAAGTGATCGAACTTCAGATCGAGGTCAGACGACGACAAGTCGGTCGAAAAGTGCGGACAAGACGGCAGCGAATGAAGTTGCTGGTCAAAGTACTAGCATGACGGAGCACTATCGTCCTTCCAGAAGAGGTAGAAAGAGTCATTCGCCCGTGCCTCCCCAAAGAAGACATCAATCGGACAACAGTACCGCTGCATCATCACCCCAGCAGGGTGCCCACAAGATCAATGCCCGACGAAGGGCCAGAGGTGGAACTTGGGGGTCAGAACGCGATACAAATGGCGAGACTGGGGCTACCAAGCCAGCAAGACGACGAGGGAGTAGAGGGAGTCAGCTGCCTGCCCCTCCGCCAATGAAGTAACAAACATACAAGCAGAAGAAAGGAGTAACACATATATGCAAAGGGAGAAAGGGGGAGGGCAAATATAAAGAAAGGTAAATTTTGAAGCCACACTTACAAAGTGCTAGAGATTTTGCTGTTGGCATTGTAATATTAAAAGAGTTTTGATCATATGTACACCGCAAGTATCGTGTAGTCATGGCTTCCTCCAAAACCAATAAGGTCCCAGACCCTAAATTGAACTTTGAAGAACTCTACCAGCTATCAATGCTTTAAGTGTTCCCTTTTATGGAATGTAGTGCTTTCAATTCTGCATTTTAAATACTGTATTGCATCGTGGTATTTTCAAATCCTCACCCTCAAGATCTGTCGTTGGTGGTACACGTGGACCCAAGATAGGTCCCCTTACCGAATAAGGTCCTTACTTTTTTCACACCCATCACGACACCGAACACCCATCACCAACCACCTTGGAACAACGATCACAAGAGGCCAGATGCAACAAACAACCATCAATATCCCCACTGCGACCCCTGTCAACCATTTGCAATCAAAAGTTTCCTTATCTCTCATTCCGTTGGAACAAATTTTGGCCACACCGTCATCCATCACCATGTCTTCCGACAAACAAATGCATCAAATGATCCAACAACAGAAGAGGTGATTGAAATGATTGATGGGAAAGTCACTTCTATCTATATGTTACACTCGATGGCATCATCTTTTATCACCTGCTTGTGGCTTATTTGTGGGTTCCTTTGAGAAGATTTCCAATCAAATCCGTCAGGTGGCAAATCTGAATGAATCGATGAATCGGCATCTGTGGACCCCAGAAGAAGAGAATATGGAGCCAAATACTACAGAAAGCTTCATTGTTATATGAATTATGTTCAGAGCTGCGATTGGGTATTCATTCCAAATCCTTATCATTCCACAACCAACCAATGTCGATCAAGCTGCTTTTGTTGGTTGGCTCTTTGGAGCCCACGGTGGGCCCCACATGCAACGAATGGCAAGATTCGGGCGTTGATAGACTCCATGGGTATCTACACTATGGTGGGGCCTTGTTGGGTTGCTTCATTTGCTTTGGTTGTAGAGAATTTGGGATTTTCATCTTGGTTTCTTTCGATTTTCCATCTTTCAGGAAGTCCCCATGGCCGCTCATGGCCGCCATGGCGGGGCACAACCACTCAGCAATATACCAGTCCCTTCTTTTGATCCTTACGCTTCGAGCAGTATGCGATCTAGTCATAGATTCGGCCTAGATCCAGCATACAGTGGGCTAATTGGGGTGAGAACAATGGTAAGTTCTGCTCCAAAACCAGTATTGGCCAAGTTGTGGGCCTGCTTTCTTCAAACTTCTGTATTCTAACTCATATTTGTCGTCTATGGGTATATAAATCATGTTTGGGGGGGGGTTGGAATGGGGGGTCTCTGGGTAGAAGTGATCGAACCACTGTGACCTGATGTGGGTGATCAACTCAGCATGCATTCGAGAAATTGTCAAGAACCTTTCCCAGTCGCCGTATCGGCACCCAGATAAAGGGCGGACCTTCACCAAAGTTGCCTATATACCTATAGGTATCAAAATTTGGCGGTGCTTCGGAGTGCTGCAATGGAAAAGAGATGTTTAGCTCCTGTTTTTTTTCAATTGACTTGGAGGAATTTCGTTGAATCTGATTGTTCTACATCAAACTTTGCAATTCAGAGTATACAGAAATCTAGTATAGATACAACCAAAAGATACTGTAGGTCGCAATAACTCGATTTGTAATCACAACAAGGTCGTATGGTACAAGATAGGACTCTTGGTTCATGGGTTTTTGGTCGTAGTCGAAGAAGTCAAAACTAAGGTCTGGGGCCGTACGCGTACTTTCGATCGCCACGACTACACGATAGCCGTTTGCTACGCAAAGATGTGATGAAAGAGCTGGCAGTATTCTGAGTTGACCGTTGAACGATCATACCGGATGAAAATTACCGTTTGGAACGCGTGACAAGTACCAGGTGGTACCAGTTCTACAGAAAACCAACGTGCGAGCTAGCATGTCAATTGATACCCGGAAAATTTGTAGCCGACTTTCCGTTCTTCAGCAAGCACAGCTCGAGTCCCTCTATGATCATCAGAGGTCGTTATGTAGCCGACACGTCAAATATGGCGGCAAACTAACCACCAGCTTTTTTTACATCAGAAAGATGCTGCCAGTAAAATCAGTCTTCGTCTCACTTTTTCTTGATACACTCATTCGTAACACTCAAACTTACCTCAAAATGTTGACCAAGATCTTCTGCCTACTTCTCCTTATTGCCTTGAGCACCTCTGTCAATGGACAAAGAGGTGGGCGCCGTGGCCTCCAGATGGAAGGTAAAGGAATGGGCAAGGGCATGTCTTCGTCGTCGAGCGGAAAGGGCAAAGGAGGAAAGGGCAAGGGCGGAACACCCATGCCATCGTCTACACCTTCTATGATGCCTTCAGCTTCGCCTTCTGTCTCAAATGCCCCTACTGATGCTCCCTCCAAGACCCCAACCATGATGCCCTCCGCGTCACCATCCAAGACCCCAACCATGACTCCCTCAGTGACTCCATCCATGAGTCCTAGCATGTCCAAGATGCCATCCACTATCCCCTCTGAATCTCCAAGTTCGGCTCCTTCCACGGGCAAGGGCAAAGGAGGAAAAGGATCCAGTGGAAAGGGATCCAGCGGAAAAGGATCCAGTGGAAAAGGCATGAGAAGATGGTAAGCTGCCTGCCGAAACGACCGATCTCATGGTTGTGATCAAAGTATCAAATGAAGCCATTCTTGACTGATGATTCCGAGAATGTGCCCTGTATTGCATAGATTACATATATAACGTTTATAAAGTTACAAAACTTTTCATTTTGATTCAGTAGCATCTAGTTCTACTTTAGAGCCATGCTGGAGCACCGAGATGGTCATCATACAGAATACGAAAGTCTTCGGGCAGCAAACCAGCAGGAACGTGGAAGCATTTTCGGATCTTTCGTTTACACCTGCAGCCTGCAGCGTACAAAGATCGAATCTCCAATCAAGCAGGCGCGGATCTCTCGATCTGACCGTTCGACGATCGGTAAGTGAAAAGTACTACCGTTAAAACGTCCTAATCACTCATGCGAGCAAGCATCTCTAGTTCAAACACGGAAAATTTGTAGCATATTTGAACTTTACCCGCTTCCCTTGTCCGTTCCGAAGCAAATGAAGCTTTAGATCTTCTATGTTCTTTTTCCGTTCATTGGCAAGGGCAGCAGGGCAGCTCGAGCCAGTTAGGCGGCGCCAAGCCACTACTATTTGAACTAAAGAAATCGGGAGATAAAAACTCCACGTTTCTCACAATTCTCGTCAGATCCATTTATTAACCTGAAGTAAAAACACAATGTTGACCAAGATCTTCTCGCTCCTTCTCCTCATCGCTCTGAGCACCTCTGTCCATGGACAAAGAGGAATGCGTCGTGAGCTGAGCCACGAAGACACCGATCTCTACACTTACATGATGAGCGGAAAAGGCAAGGGCGGCAAGGGCAAGGGCGGCTCCTCCTCCTCGAGCAGCGGAAAGGGCAAGGGCACTCCTAAGCCTACCTTGACTCCCACCACTTCTCCCTCCAAGGTGCCTACCAAGGCGCCTACAAGTATGCCCTCCAAGATCCCTACTTCGGCGCCCAGCACACCTCCTCCAACAAAGACTCCTACCACTTCTCCCTCCAAGATGCCAACCAAGGCCCCCACCATGCTTCCATCAGCATCTCCAAGCATGACTCCCTCTGTCAGCAAGGGCAAGGGAAAAGGAAAAGGAGGAAAAGGAAAGGGAGGAAGCTCCAGCAGAAGATGGTAGACGAAGGAAGAGATCTAATGATGATTTCAATATGAGGTTGTGAAATCAAGCCATTATCGATAGTGGACTGGCAATGTTGCATGTGCCGTTTTTTACATAGGATTATAACGTTAAGTTTGTGTTACGTTGCTAAGATCCTTTAGATCTGATGCTACTGTTAGGTCCTACTGGCTACGACGCCATACTTGAATATTCATTTGGTAAACCGGTACCAGTACACCTCGTCTTCCGAGGGCCACGGTTTCTTCTTGCCGAAACTGAGAATCTCAAAACGATTTCATCACAAAAGGCCTTTGGCGATATCTTAACAATATTACATAAGGACTCGAAATGGAATCACTTATCAAACGCGATTTTCATAAGAACACTCTCAAAAATGAGAAACGCAAAGAGCGGGCGAGGAGGTCTTTTCTTTTTAAAAGGTGGAACCTACCTATGTATTACTAAATGCGGGCATCCCGGAACCGTTACAGGGTCTGTTAGGCTCGAAGCATTATGACTATCGGAGTGGCTGCATTTCCGTTCCAAAGGAATGCCGCCCATTTAGTATCTTCGTTCTAAATGAACGAAGATTCTCTCGACAAAAGATTCAATGATTCATCCATTCCTATCAGGCCTTTTGAAAAACCTTGGGTCTACAAGTACCATCATCTTCGTCTTCTTCATGTCAGTTCAACGTCGCTTTTCCTACCGCCCATTCCTTCGTCTTGTTGCATTGATACCTCGTCACCGCCACTAGATGTTAGCAGTGTCCCCGTCATCTGAAGTTCGGCTTGGCACTGGTTCCACCATTTGGCCACTCGCAAAAACAAAAGGAGGTTCAACATCATCAGTCCACCACAAACGTGCATCACGGTAGCTCGATTCATATCCTGAAAGAGCCCATTGTACAGGATTCCCGCAAAAAAGTCGCCACCAGCCGTGGTCATAAGGAAGAGTGCCATGATGAGAGCCTTGCAACTCGACGAAGAGTTGGAATAGCAAAAGTCGTATCCAGTGACGGACAGTAATATTTCGGCAATGGAAAGTAGGGTGATCTGAGGCAGTTGCCAGAGAATGGATATGTTGCTTTTGCCGTTGCCGTTGCCGTTGCTATCTGAATCAACATCATCATGGTTCGCTTCCGCTTGGGCCTGAAGGACGGATTCTAAAACTCCACTCACAAAAAAGGAAATTGCGCAGAACAACATTCCCCAAGCCATGCGAGACAAATGTGTAAAGGGACGACCCATCAAGCGTTCGATGGATGGATAAATGCACTTGTCAAAGAGTGGGATAAATAGCAAGATTTCCACTGGGTTGATGACATTCATTTGCTCTGGTTCAATTCCAAACGTCAAATGCATTCGCGATGCCTGAAGCGTCCACACGGAACCCTGTTGATCGTATAGCATCCAAAAGATAGGCAACATTGACAACACTGGAAGAATTTGCAGTGTACGGTTGGCATCTTCTAGTTGCTGGGCAGTCCACTCATTGCTCTGCTCCACACTTGGCGGAGAGGTTCTTGGTGATGGCTGGATGCTTTGATAGTCACTTTGTGGGGACCTCCACCATTCCTTTATTCGTTCGTGTAGCAGTAGACCGCATAGCCAAAACATGCTCCCCAAGGATCCTCGTTGTCCTGGAACATGGTGCACATACTCCTTCCGTTTGGACAAAAATGCCACCAATGCAAAGAAAAGAAAAATTGTGGGTGCCAAAAAGGCAAAACCAAAGCCGTAGCGCGCCTTGACGATTGGAACCAAGAATATCGAAGTTAGAGCTCCAAGATTAATGCAAAAGTAAAAGTAAGCAAAGAATGCTTGAACTTCAAGGCTGGAACTTGGTCCTTCGTCAGCTGCATGCTCGGTATTGTCGTCATGAGATTCATTGCCTTTCGACTGAGAGGCCACTTGATCTGCTCCAAAGGCACTGACACAAGGCTTGATGCCACCAGTTCCTATACAAACAAAGAATAAGCCAGTAAAGGTCGTGGCTCGTTTCTGAAACAATTCCGACTCGGAAAGTTCAGTTGCTACTGAAGAATCAGTGCCACCCTGCTTATAGTTCGAATGAAGGAATGCTCCAACGGTGAGAATAGCGAGACCCACGAGATAGAGGGACGCAAAGCGGATGATGGTGCGATATCGACCCCAACTTCCATCGGCCAACAAGGCACCAATAATGGGAGAAAAGTAGGCCAAACTGGCAACATAGGCAAACAAGGCGATTGCCGTAGTCTCAGACAATTGAAGGGCATTCTTGAAATACAACACCAAAATGGCTCGAAATCCAAAATAGGCAAAGCGTTCCGCAGCCTCGCATGCCAAAATAGACCACACAACAGGCGTGAGGAAACCCTTCGATGTTTCTTGAATGCGTATACTATCCGACAGTAGCTCATCCTCTACTTGCATCATTGGTAGTGATGATAATGATGACCCTCCCCCTGACTTATTTCTGTGTTTCATCTCGAGTTCCGTTTCAGCAGAATCAGACATTGTTTTATTTGAGCGTCTACGGAGAGATTTCATGCAGCATTGTGTAAAAGGATTTTAGAGTTGCTTGTAGACCAGCAGCAACAACTAATCAATCAGGGTACCTGGTACGGCTTCAAAGGCGACACTTGTTATTGTGACTCAAACAAGTGTGGTTTATGGGTTAGTCGAATGGATCGATCTGTTGCGGACAACAGCACGCGTCAGTTGAGAATTTCGCTTCGCTTTTCGCCTAGGTATTCATAAAAATAACTAAGCAAGCCAATCGCCATTTTGGTAAATAGCTGCACGAACGTTGAATTTGGATATGCGGCCCATCACGAAACCAACATTTCCAAACAAAAGCTCAAAAAGACAAAACAACGATGACAGATCCTTTTGAAAATTGCTCCCCTCTCCTTCGAATGCGCCAAGGCGGATTTTTGAAGGAGGGTAAAATCCATGACGGAACACTTGGTGTATTGAAATTTACTACTAGCTCACTCCAAGAAGTCGCATATGAAAGTGTGGACAACTATCCTGCCATTCTTCGAATGCGAGAGAGAAGAGACCCAATCAACTCGCTGGAAGACTCCGAATCCTCCAACGCCCCTCTAGTCAAAGACAACACTATGGTCAGAGGATGTCGACAGCGCTCGGATGCACGAACGCCATACTACGAAGACGAATCGTCATCCTCCAATAGTAACGACAGAGGATCCGACAGTGAGACAGCTACTGAGGAAGCCGAAAGCGACAAGACAGAATCTAATAACAGCTCCGAGTCCAGCAATGGGTCAACATTCGAATCCTTGCCAAACATGAGAGTGCCTACCGGACGAACCCAACCAAACCTGATTATTCCTTCGGCAATGTCCCTGGAAGACGAGAACAACAAATATGCGTTTGCAGATCCTATCCAAGAGATTTCAATCACAGAAAGCAATATTCTAGAGAGCTTCTCCATGCACAGTTATTCGAGGTGTTCCCGAGATACCTTTGATGATGACGAAGACGAGAAGGGGACGGAAACGCCACCGAGAAGAGCAAGAGAAGAAAAGAATATAGCCAAGACTCCGTCATCGCCTTTGGAAGCCTCCATTATGGCCATGGATGCCTACTACAAAAATGTATTAGCACGACCAACAAAGCAAACTATTGATCCACGCATCGAAGAAATGAAACAAATCATGCTTGTATTCTGGAAGCAAGATCAAACCTCTGCTACTGCTCTGTTCTCCATCTCGTGGCAACTTTCTCGGCGATACCTATCGATTGCTGCTTCCCCTGCACAGCCTGAGCATGTCGACAACTCTAATGCGGAGACGTCATTGATCCAATATTTCAACGCATCAAACGATGATCCGCTCTGGAGAAGTTTCCAACGATTCTTTGCCAACCAAGGCACAATCATCATTCCTCAGTATCTCTGTCCATCTTCTGTCGAGGACTTCATGATTTTCGATTGGGGGAATGAAATCGAAGGCATGGAAAGCGATGAGATTAGTGACTCGTATGGTGAAATTGATGAACTTCTCACAGTCGACCGCGTCTTGAGTCTGGAAGACTTTGATGATGATGAAATCTTCAAGTTTCGAAACTTTATAGAAGCAGAAGACAAGCACTCAAATAATGAGGTTGATAATGATGACGATGGCGACATACACCCCACTCTCAGCGGAGAAGATGGCGTTTTCGAATTCCGAGGCTGCGTCAACAACAATCATTACGTCTTTGAGTCCCAGTCTTCTTCCATGGCCAATCATGACTCCAATATTGCTCAACCTGCTGCATATGAACCCTTTTCCAAGTTGGAAAAGATCGTTGAAGAGGTAAGCAGCAATGCGGAAACCGAGTCCAATGCGACTTCGGTGAGTAAAGACGATGGTATTCGTCCTGCCATCAATGATGACGCAGATCCAGCGGCATCTCCGACCCAAGCAACGGTAGAAAAAGACTCAAGAAGTACAGATTCAAGTTTGTTCCCCGACAGTCTAGACAACATGCTCATGATGATTCCAAACAAATCGGTGGTCGATGACGGTGCCATATCTGTTGAAGAGAGTCAGGATGACACTTTTGAACAAAGTCACGAGGATGCTGAAAACAATGGCGACTGGGGGAATGCATACAGCAGCTCTGCCAAACACAACAAAATGACAAACATGCCAATTGAAGCTGCTTTTGATATGGCAATCAAGGGTGTTCGATCGATTCACTCCGAGAACAATTCTACAAAGGAAGTAACTCGAAGGGGAACAAAGGACGGTTCCCTCAGATCGAGGGATGCGTTGAGCGTTGCTTCCGAGCAAACAAATGTTACCCACGATTGTGTGTCAGAAAATCTTGTCGACCGATTTCTGACAACACTGGAGATTGCTCTTTGTCTGCGATAAGGTGAAACGTGGGGAATGGGGCACATCCCTTGGTTGAGGTGGCAATAGTTCTGTTCCGTAAATACAATCAGAAATGGGATAATTGTATTTAAAAACGATCGCTATCAGCATTATTTAGAGGAGATTCTTCTTCAAGAATTCGGAGAGTCGAGACCATGCAAGATCACGGTCTTCTTGTGCAAAGGCACCAGGGAACCCCAATTTCTTCACTTGGGCCATTGAGAATTCATCATGGTTCATGAAGGCATGTCCTTCCTTTTCGTACCGGTGAATCTCAAATGGCTTATCCCCTGGAGCAGCCTTGAGCTTCGCTTCTAGAGCATCCACCGAAGGTTTGTCACTGAAACCCGCAAAGTGATCCAAATCACCAAAGTGCCCTAAAATGGAAGCGGGAGAGTGAAATCAGTGCCATGAGCAAACGGTTGATCAGAAGTAAGCAACCATATCGCTTTAGTTTCTTACCTTGAATGGGAGTCTTGGCCACGATATCAGCAACATTACAGAGGGCTTCAGGTGGAATGCCATAAAATGGAGCAACAGCGGCTAGTGGCTTCTTGAAAAGAGCCGCAGTAGCCAGTGCTAGGGATCCTCCCATGCAGAATCCAACAACACCAATCTTTCGATCAGCGTTGTCCTTTTGGAGCTCGGCACAAAGAACTTCAATTTCATCGACAGCATTCTTAAAGTCAAGGTTATCCATCAAATGACTTGCCTCTTCTGCTTCCAGACCGAGCTTTCCCTTGTACAAATCTGGGATGATGGCTTCCGCACCGACAAGATCCGCAATCTTTTGAGCATGAGCCTTGCACTGGTCATTGACGCCCCACCACTCTTGGATGACAATTACGACGGGAAGAGAGTCGCTGCCTCCAGAAGAAGGCTTGAAAGAAACAAACGGTGGAAGATGAACTGTCATATTATGCTACTTGGTTCTTGTTCTGATGAGGAGGAACTTATTTGATGTAACGATTCTTCTTCTTTCTTGATGGAAGCATAGACTGACGTTGATGATTTTGCATGGTGTGAAGTCCAATGAGTCAGTCAGAAAGTTCTTTTTCGCCCTAACGGTTTTGACATAAATTATTTATTACAGCGCACCTTGGTCCCAAATAATATTAGCTCAACGCACGTATCACTCTAAAATTCTAAAGGCTTGTCCACAATTTTGAAAACTTCACCGATTTCCATCACCTCACCCACCAATTGGTGCGCTCTTCACACAACACCCATCACATCACACACACACACACACGATTATACATACCAACATGAAGCTCCAAGAAATGATTGATAGCTGGCAAGAAACGTCAAATCAAAAGCAACAACAAGAGATTGTGGAAGGAACCGACTACTCTGTTCCAATTCAAATAGAATACGAGGAAGAAGCTTGGCAACGTCAGCTCATGGAGCACCGATCTCCGGCCGATGCAAATGACCAAGAACGAAATTCCCAGGAACATCCTTTAGCCCAAGACTATCCGCTTGAACGGGAACCCGCCTCTACATTGACATGGGAAAGCTTTATGGATACGGTGGCCTTTCCAGAAAAGTCAATTCCGGGAGCGGTAAGGGCTCAAGATTGGACACAATCAGAAGCCAGAGATGCATTGTTGGATACGTGTCAAGATACTGTATTATGTGGTGCTCTGTCGTCGCATCAACAGGAAGACTGGGCTGCGCAAAATGGGCATCGGGCAATGATGGATGACATTCTTGATGAAGAAGAGTTTTAAAAAATGGCAAGCCAAAACATTTGTATTTCAAAGAGCCAAGTCCTCGATCGTGACAGGGCCGCTCCCATATATCTACCAATGGGGCATATCATGGGATTTTATTGCACCATATGGTAGAAGTATGGTCGCTGGTATTGTTTTGTATCGAATGTGATACAGAAAACCAGCCATAGTCGGGGATTAGTTTTTTTAGAGGGGATATAGTATTGCTAGGTTTAGATTATTCTTTTATACAATTTCCTCATGATAACCTTTTTTTTTCTAGGCACGGGCAATCAACCAATTAGGGTAAACTAATCAGTCACTGGGTAGTTTCGATTTTGGTGACACTTCCAGTGGGGTCGGTGCTTCGACTTGGCGACAGATGGCTCATTGGAATTAGTCGGCAATAGTACCGGAAAAGCGGGTCGACAGCGATCACTTTATCTCCGGAACGTACTATAGGTCTAAGGTGCCACCATTAGACCAGCAACCGAAGATGTGCCATTGGCGGCAGCACCATTGGTATATAGCTTCCAATGCTGTAGACCCCGAGCTATCGCTGATTCATTCCAACAAAATTACGAAGTTCCCTTGAAAAGCTTAAGGCATTCATTCGTCACTGGCTGGTGGCCCTCTCTTCAATCGTTTCCAAATTTGTTGCCTCGCTGAAATCAACTTCCTTTAGATTTCCACACTCCTCAAAGGCGTCCTTTCCAGTAATCTTGACGTTGGAATATCATCTGATGCCGTTTCTCGATATTTCATGCATTATAGAATATATACCAGAACTGTCTACCGGTATAACTGCATACGTACTATAAAATAATGTACACGTGTACGTGCACTGCGTCTCGTTTTGGCGGGAAAATCATGCGAGAGTTTTCTCTGATTGCAAAGATACGCCCCCTCGCAAGGAGGTCACTCTATGGAAACGTCTTCACTGATTATGTAGCGTTATACTCGTACGAAGGGGGGTATCCTTGGATCTGCTTCTTTCGTCGAATTTCTGTCATTTTCACTTTTGTTGCGTGCGTATTCGGATGTGAAGCAAAAGATCGCAAGAGATCATCACTTAAAATCAATTTGTGATCCAAAAAGCAGCCAAGCAACATGCAGATTGACCTCCCAACTGTCTCACTGAAGCAACCAGTCGAAGAGATTGCAAGCTTGATTGCTGAAAAGGCACCAGCCGGAGCCTTGTGGGTGGAAGATTTGCCACTTGTTCCATTTGGTGAAATGGGTGACATGCTTTCCCAGCTCTCTGGCTCTGACGAGTTGGGAAATCGTCTCAACCAAGCCTATACCAAGAATATGGTCTACAAAGATGCCTATGCCCAAGGAAAGGGTGGTCCCACTGTGGATCGCAAGCGTGTCTTGGATTTGAGCCCCGAACGATTGGCAGCGATTGCAGAAGCTGATCCACAAGTCTTGGAATTGGCCAAGGAAACTACAGGCTTCGCACAAGTCTTGAACTTTTGGAAGGAAACTACAGCTTCCACTAACAAGATCCAAAAAGCCTTGGCATCAGCGATTGGAAGCGATGACATGTTGGACGATCTTGCGTTTAACTATCGCATGGTGGATTATTACCCTCACAATGACCCAAAAGAGGCTCCACGCTGTGGAGAACACCGTGATTTTGGATCTTTTACCTTGATTCATACCACTGAACCTGGCCTAGAGCTATTTAGCAATGGGCAGTGGTACCAAGTTGCACCCAAGCGAGGAGCAGCCTTGATGCTCTTTGGATGGTGCACTCAGATTCGCTCGAATGGCCGCATCCCTGCCACCTTGCACCGTGTGGTGGACGATCGGGAGTGCGATGCCAATGGTGTAGTCCCGCGCCGTCTTTCCGCCATTTTGTTCTGCGCTCCTAAGCAGCCCGAGACTGTGCTTGAGCCAGTCGTCAAGACGGGAGATGTTCGTCAATACATTGATGGTATTCGTGTTGGTCAGTTGCGTGGTAAGATGGCACGCAAGTGGCGCTACCGTGAGGGAACCGAAGATGAGATGGATCGCATCTATGAGGAAGAGGAGATTCGTGTCACCAATATGAAAACTCAAGATGATGTCGTTCAAACGTTTGTCGCTGTCTGACCTGAAGGATGCATACATTCCCTCCTATTCGCATAGTCCTAGATTTGAATATAATGCTAGTTTTACACTAGATATTTCATTCTATTACCAAAAGCCAACAAATGGAGAACTTGGAGCAAAACGACGGAGTATAGGATCCAGGGGTATAATGCGGTTCAATTCATCGTGTTCCATCTGCGTGGGCGGGATATTGAAACCTTTGTAGAAATCAGCATCACGCTGAACATATTCCAGATCCTTTAGATAGACTTCATATTCTGGATCAATTGGATCTGGCTCAGGGTCAAGCCAATGACTTTCACAAGAACCTCCGCTCACACAGTTGGTCCATCGCCATCCTAAACGAGGTCCAGCTTCTACAAATTCCACGTAGAAAGGAGGCTCCCTAGAATGATGACCATCGAATCCATAGTGTTGAGGCGAAGTTTCAATCAAAGACCAGCGTCTATGCACGAATAGAGACGGACTTCGTTTCTTCATTCGATACCTCGCTAGCATTAGATCAGCAGCATCTTCGATCCTGTCCATGTGCCCACCACCATACACATAGCCGCCAAAGTCTACTTTCTTGAGAGCTACGAAATCGTTGTCACCAATGTCTCGAATGTCACCAGTGATCTTTGTTCTAAGAAGACTAAGCTCTTCCAAGTGCGGGAACTTTGATAGACTCATGATCGACCCTTCGACATTGCCACAGCCACATAAGTTCACCTCGACCAAAGTTTGTCCAACTACCTGAAGACCCTCCAAGTCTCCCGTCAGCTTGGTATTATTCATACATTCAAGTCTTTTCAATTTGGGTAGGCCACTAAGCATACTAAAGTCCCATCGAAGGAGTCCGGTATTCGAGAGGATCAGACTTTCCAGCTGCGGAAAGTTGAAAAGGAATCCATAGGTTCCGTCAAGGCTCAAACCTTCCAAGGAGAGCTCCCGCAGATCCCGGAATCTCGAGACCACAGACAGATCTACCTTGTCAAGGCCTGGACGACGAGGTGGTATTGGGGTTGCTTCGGAATCGTCAGAATCAAAGCCAGTGAAGGCTTGGTTTGGGAAAGGATCTTCACCAGTCTTCACATCAAATTTTCGGGTTCCACGGTATTGAAAGTTACAATGGATGGTTTGCAGTCTTGGAAGGGCATGTACAATCCAGCTGAGTGCAAGCGCATACTTTTGATTAACAATGAAGTAGTCGGGGCAGTTCATCGATTGAAACTTTGTGGACATGGAACGTGGAACCTGAGTCAACTTGACAGCGTCTCTCCATTTCTGGCAGACCCGAACTCGAAGTAAACCTTTCCAGTCTAGATATCCAACCACCATCGACATTTCGTCAAGGCCTAGTGCATCAATATTGCATAGAATGGGCATGATTCTCTATAAGGGTGCTAGATGCATGACAGAAGGCGGAATCGTTACGGCAGAGAGTCACAGCTACCGGTATATATTATACATTGCGATGCGCGGATGATGAATATTTTGAAAAATTAAGAAGGCCTTTTTCAGTTCCAACCCAATCATGTACGTAGTTAGTATCTATATCGCGGTATGAAACTATGATCTAAATCTGACATTGCGAGGATGATGGCGTTCATAGATGTTGCTACTGTGGGATATATGGTCTTATTTCAATCTATTTTATACTCTAATGTTGTAATTTGAATGGGAATGGGATCTTCGAAATCACAGGCTAGGCACTGTAGGTTCGCTGTGTCAGAAAAAGTCAGTCAATTCAGCACCTTGTGCCCTATTGTCCAGTGGATCAGTCTAATGAGTTTTAGTCTCGGTCTATCAGATCTGGCATATTGTCATCATCTGAAACATAATCGTGCATCAAAGATGCAAAGTTGTTTCTGTTAGGTATGAGGGGCGGTGGGATAGTATCGTTCAACTCTTCGTACTGCATTTGAGTCGGTGGCGAATGGAAACCTTCGTAGAAAGAAACATCCTTCGCTAGCCGTTCGAAATGAATCAAGTATGCGTCGTATCGTGGATCTGTCGGATCAGGTTCGGGATCGAACCAGTTTGTCTCGCAAGACCCATGAGCCATGCAGTTGGTCCATCGCCAACCCAATCTGGTTTCAGCTCTCACAAATTCAATTTCGAAGGGTGGGTCTCTGGGAGGGTGGCCGTCAGCCGCATAGTGTTGAGGCGAGTCTTCGGACAGATTCCACCGGGGATAACCCGACAAACCTGGGTTTCGTTTGTTGAGTCGATACCATACCTGCATGATATCAGGTGCATCTTCAATTTTTTTAATGACCTCGCCGCCGTACACGCCAGAAGGCAAGTCTACTTCAGACAGTGCCTCAAAGTCGTCTTTACCAATTTCTCGAATGTCACCTATTATCTTAGTTTTCGTAAGACTCAGCTTCTTCAGGCGTGGGAACTTGGCGAGACTCTTGATCGAGCCTTCGACCTTTTGGCATTTCGACAGAACGATTTCTTCCAATGTCGATCCGATCACCTTTAGGCTCTCAAGATTTCCGGTAAGCTCACTGTTTTCCGTGGCGTGTAGTTTCTTGAGCTTCGGTAACTGAGCGACCATACTGAGATCCCATCGCAGATGTCCAGTATATGTGATGTTCAGAACCTCAAGTTTAGGAAAATTGAAAAGGTAATCGTAGGACCCGTTAAAGCTCAAGCCTTCCAAGCTGAGACTTCTTAGATCCCGTAGTCTGGTAAGGACTCGAAAGTCAATCCAAGGACTTTCTCGGTTCTCAGGGTGGTAGACATACGATTCGATCGGAGCGTCACCCTTCTCCACCATGAAGGTTGTCGTTCCTTTCAAAAAGAAACCAGTATGGATGGTTTGAATTCTCGGTAGAGCATCCACAACCCAATTCAATGCAAGTGCGTACTCTCGATTGACGATAAAGTAATCTGGATTCTCCATCCAGCTAATCTTTCTTGACATGGACGGAGGGACAAGCGTCACTTTCACGGCTTCTCTCCATTTGCTGCACACCCGGGACTTTAGCAATTCCTTCCAACTGAGAAAGCCAAGTACCTGGGAAAGCTCATCAAGACCAAGCATATCAGCGGCTGGAAGATTCGACATGGTAATGTGAATCAGCAAGGATCTTATTTGCTTGTCAACGTGCTTGTTATCTTATTTGGCTGCGTGAAACTATTGATAGTAAGGTTTGGAGATATGCGGATTTTTAAAAATGATGATGACTGTCATCCTCGGTTTCTCCCAAACCTCGGCGCGTGTTTTGGATTTGAAATCGTTCAATGAATACTTCGATCGATATGGGTCTATGTTAGGCCTTTCAATTTAAATTTAGAAAATAATCAGGTCATCAAGGATCCGAAACCAAAACATTCTTCAGCTCGTACCATAGGTACTGTACCGTAGCAGGTACCTGATAGTGGATGAATTCTATGACAGCAATTTCATCTAAAATATTTACAGTTGGATTCGATATTCTGGCGGAAAGAAGTTTCCCAAGAATTTCGAGCAGTTGAAAGGCTTGTTTTCATTCACAGTCAATTGGAACCACAATCATCCTCGACAATCGAACACTGAGTCTTGCAGTCTCTGGAGGAGATTCAATCGGATTTCCGACACGACAAATGTCAAGATCTCTTTTCCGAGGGTTGCAGTCCGTTATAGTCGTCGATCGCGAGCTTGGACTTAGTATGCGCTCGGCAAAATTCCCTGCCTTGACTTGTATTGCGTTATCAAATCCCCTGTGGCGTGCCAAGACTTGGTTTTGCCGAGTTGCGTTTCTATAAATCTTTGCAATGTACTCATCTTCTCGATAACCACCTTCGATAAGTTCCAGTTCTTGCTCTGTCAAGACCGTCTGTATCCCAATCTCAATGTGCTGTGTTCGCATGGATTTCGTTTCTACCGACTCCAGTCCTGTCGAGTCATCATCGTCATCATGCTTACTCGATATCCCTCCATATACAGAGAGTTCGAGAGCCCACCTCTTCTCCCGCAACCGGATTATCTCCAACTCCCAAGAAGAAAAGTACATGAAAGATATCTCATCCGTTGTGTAGTCATTTCGACCTGGGATCTCGACCACGTCTCGGTCGTCCTGAAATGCCACTCGTCGTTCTTGCATCATTGCAATAGCAGTTTGCAATGCAGTAATATGGAATAATATACCGTATTTTGGTACAGAATTGGTTTTGTCAATTTTGTGGAGGTTCTTCTTGCGCCCTGGAAATCAGAGTTCTGGATTATTGTTCGCGTCTTCATTGGAATGGCCTAGCCATCCTGTATGCATTCTGTCACATATCATTTTATTATATGTGCACAATGCGAATCACAGCGACCGAATCGGGATCGTCAGTTGCATGCGGTAGCTCTTGCTTAAAAAGGCGAAATGGAACCAAGCAATATCCCAAAGCAAAATCCCCAACCACCAAAGCGAAGCCTGGGGGTGGAAACGTGGAAGTGATTATGATCTTTTCGTTCAGTAGGTAGTACCTGGTACAGGATACGAGCGCTCTCAATTGAATGCAAGTGCAGGATCATCTTGTTTGCGACTCATTGATCGCTTTCTTTTTCTCCGAAATAAGATGAAGATGGTTCGCATTGGATTGAATGCGTACCACAACCAGTACACGTACTGTACACATGATACTACTCTGCGGAAGTCTCATTTGAGTCGAATGAATCAATCAATCAACTGAATACAATTACAGGATTCGTTTCATTCGTTTCGTTCCAGAAATGATAATACTGCTGCTTCCTACCGGTACCGTACCTCCCGGTGTATCAGGCAACGATTCTTGTTCGTCCAGCACCGCCAGAATCGACTATACGTTCCGGTTGCGATTCATTCAATTTGAAAACAATTATCCAAGCAGCATCAAGCAATCATGTCCAATCCAATAATAGTTCGTTTCCTTCCTTCATGACGGATCTTCAACTTTTCTCTTCTGTAGTATCAGACAGCGCACTTCACAAGATTGGCGTCGAAAATCTAGGTTGTCCATGAGATTGACAGAGACATGTGGGTTCTTTTGGGTATCAAACAACCATGCATCGCCCCAGGTCATGTTGGGTGATGTTGCATGATACCACTTCATTGAGGGGTTGTAAAAGACTCCAACCGAATGTCGGGTCGTTTTGGATCCAACCACTTGGTACGTGGTTGTATCGTTCTCGTGCGACAACGTGGAAGTATCTGCCACCAATAGCGGATGGTCTTGCAATTGGTCATTTCTGTCCTGCGGTAAAAAGACCCACAGGGTGACGACCCCCACCAACACAAAGCGGCGCTCCAATTGCTCTGGTGAGTTTCCCAGATCGGATAACAGGGGCTCCCATTTCCTCCACCATTCGCTGGTCAACTGACCCAGTGATGTTGTTTGTGGATAGTCAATGTGCACCAGAGACATTCCATCAGGAGGCACTGTTCGATGAGTGACATGGGTCGGTCGGATATGCCATTGTTGTTGAGATGATTTTGATACGGTTGATTGAGCAAACCGAGCGAGCAACAGTGATTGGCCTTGGTCCGACCGTAAAAAGTCGCTAGCCGCGGAACGAATCCCACTGTCGTCGTCTTGTTTGCCATCACCTTCACGGTCTTGGCAAGATACAAAATGCTGCTTCAGATATTCAGCAAGATTAACTCGAATCATTCCTTTCTGTTCGAATGATTGTTGGTAAAGTATTATATTGTCATTGGCATTGCAATCGAGCGGGATGGCTTCAATTTCATGTCGTTCGACAATGGATTCATCTAGTGACCCACCATTGATAAAGGGCTGCAGCATACTCCTCTTCGTGCCATCTTCTTTATTTGTTGCAACAGGACGAGATAGAAAGGTAGCTCTGGCTCGAATCATCCTATAATAAGATTGACAAGCGCATCAAAAGGCGGCGACAGTCTGGTGGTTTTGGTTTTGGGTTCCTCTCTCACGCCATTATTTTATTGTATTGTTTTTGTCAACATGTTATTTTATTTGAGATATTGCGGCGGTGTGTCATCGCGTCATTCACACAGGCTTTGTGATCGAATTGATCGGAATTTATTATGTGTGATGTGCGCGTGCGGTGCGGTTATCGAGCGCGCGGTCATCATCAGAAACTGTCAAACTTTGCATCTCATATCTATATTATAATTACTGGGACCTACAGTACTACTAGGGTGGTGGTGGTGCTCCGTTTCAGAAAAACAAAAGTGTAGTGTGTAGGCGTATCGTGGATTGCAGTTTTTGAACAGCCTCGTTCCAAGACATTTGCAGCTGAGGGATACAAAAAGCAGCCTGATTCAAGTATTCTTCGTATCGTGGATACTTCAGGGATAAAGCCAACTCATGTCGAATGCTCGCCCATGATCTAGGGTAACCATGCAGTTAGTCCATGGCATCGAGGATAGCCCAATCGGGTTCCAGTCATCTCCAATGAAACTTTTAAAAGTGTTGGTCTCGGACATGATGAGGACCATCAACTGATTGAGGTGGTGCACAGGACATTGCCTGTGTGGATTTCTTCTTCATCCAATACCATATGTGCAGAATATCAGGTATATCTCTTGTTTAGACTGAAGAAGTGACAACCGAAGCTACAGTATGATTACCGGTGATATTCAGCCCAATACACGGTTTCATCTTGTCTAGCTTCAGCACATGAATGCAAACCGACCAATTCTTCTGATTTTGGATGGTGTTGCTGGGAGAGACATCGAGCATCATCTCGAGTCAAATTTCTTTGATCAAATGGTCTCAGCTCAAACTTTTTGGTGTCTGCAATCGGACTCCACAGTTGCAACGCGTCCGTTTGGTTGCACACTCGGAGTTCCAAATATCGATTGTAGACGGTCGAAAAGCACAAATCCGTCCCATGCACTCGAACCTGACTCCCAGAATTGTAATGTTGAATGATTTCAAATTGGTAGTCTCGCCGATTGCACCATTCGATCCAAACAAGGTGTCCCTCTCGGCATCTTGCCGAAGAACTTCCCCGGGAACGACAATCTCCATCCCTTCCATCGCCTGTGGTATACTCGTCACAGTCAGCGCACTCCATGCAATAGAACATTTCTTCCCGACTCTCTTGCCAATAGTATCCATCCTCCCAATGCAGTCGCAATTGAAAACTGGGGCTGACGGCAGGTTCCAAGGTTGGCATTGTAGACGGTTCTTGGGTTGGCAGTGGAGCCATACTTGGTCTTGCTTCTGGCTGCGTGGTGGTGGTGCTCGTTGTTGGTGACGTTGCACCAGTTGCTGTCGTGGAAGACTCTGCAGTGGCGGCAACAGAAGTATCCACTGCTGCACCCCCGCCAACAGGCGTGAGGGTCAGAACCAGAATCAACGAAATGGCCACCAGGAAGGCGATTGCGCCCATGACCCTGCGCCCGGTGAGGAACACCAAAAATTGTTTGGCGTATCGAAAGAATGGATCTTGACTTGCGAGTTCGATGATCGTTGGTTTCGATTCCGCGACGACGACGACGACATCATTGGAAAGGGAATTGTCACTCTCCTCGTCATTCGTCACTGTTGTATCATTTGTAATTTCCTTCATCTTTGAATAGTCTTTGTTTAATACACACGGCACAAAGTCGAGACGGGTTTATTTCTATTGTGGGTGATCGATGGTTGAATTTTCAAATATTGATCCAACACTCGCCAATTTTTTCCGATTTTTCGTCTACTCGTAGAAACGACTCGTGGAATTTGAAGCTGGTATTCGAAACGGTCGTGGTATTCATAATACTTGGTCTGTCCATCTGGCCCCCCAATTCACACACATGCCGATCGTGATGCGCGATGATGATGATGACATCATGAATTCATCAAAATATCCATAACATAGATTGGACAATATAGGTCAGGTCTTCAGTACCACAAGACTATTGACATCTGACTCGGTTGTCTCTCTTACTGTATCACTAAACAATACAAGCAGCAATGACCTCATTGTTTCTTTCTTCCCTTCGGCAAGGCGCTCAATACGCGGCTCTCCCTTCCCTCGTTTCAGGTTGTCTCCTGACAGCTCACACGGCTACTGCATCCTCCCATGGTGGCAATAATCCGGCGTATCCCACCACCAAATGTGACTCAGCAGCATCGCGTTCCCCCTCGTTGTTACGACGCCGGATGACGGCCGTTGGAAGATTTTCCCTTTTGTCGGAAACCCGCAGCAATCCTTCCATTCCGGTGCTGGTCTTGGCCCTATCCGGCAAACCGCTGAGGGCTCAAGACTTCTCCCGACTGTACCAACAACGGGAAATGGGAGAAAAACACTATCGCTTCCGATCCGTCACCAAGGATGCTACACACTTTTCACTAGTGCCATCTCAAGACTTTGAACTCCCCATTCAGGAGAGTCTGGTGTACCCACTGATCTATCGACGAGAACTCAAGGCTTGGATAACCGACCTTTTGTTGGAGCCATTGGATCTTTCCAAAAGTCTATGGCAAGTCAAGACGGCTACTGGTGGAAACATTGGGCAGTCGGGTGCCATTTCGACGACCAGCAGTAGTACGGAAGACGATGAAACAACGACGACTTCTGTTCCATTGGAAAGGCACAATCAACTGTTGGATGATAATGTCGAGTCTCTTCTTTTATTTCGAGCTCATCATTGCATGGCGGACGGAGTCAGTCTAGGAGCACTCTTTGTGGATTTCATGGACGAACGGGAAGAGATGGAGGAAATGCTGGCAGGAAAAATTGGTGATTTCAAAAAGAACCGTAAAAGGAAGTCTTGGTTTCAGAAATTGTTGGTGATGATATACTATTGGGGCTGGGGATCCGTCAAGACGTTTGGTTATCAATTATATCTATACTGTGCCAACTTGAAGAGTACACTCTCTAGATCCAACCCTTGGAAAAAGCTGCGACGAGCTTACGAAGCCAAGTCCAAGTCCGAAGGTTCTTCCAAACGAACACTTTCCTGGGTCAGTGTTTGTCCAGTGGATGAAGTGAAGGAGGTTGCAGAGCACTTTTCCACCAAAAAGCAAAAGGTAACCATCAATGATATCTTTTGCAGTTGCATAAGCGCGGCCATTGCCAAACTCATTCAATACCATCAAGCACAAAATCCCGAGCTTTCCCTAAGATTGCCCTACATGAACTTGGTCATGCCCGTCCACATGTTTGGCGGAGTACTATTGCCAGGACATTCCATGGGAAATAAAATTGGTGCCATGGTCAGCCGCATTCCCGGGACAAACACCACATCTTGTACGGAACGACTGATGCAAGTGCACAACACCTTGTATGCCCGCAAAATGACACCGGCCGCGGTTTGGTCCTACCTCACGGCCAAAGCGGTTGGAACGGTCGGATTCGGTGGCGGCAGCAGCGGCCCCATTGACAGTAGCGCCGCAGACAATACCTTTATTCCATGGGCGTTTGAAAAATCTCACGCCAATGCTTCCGTGGTGGTGACCAATGTTCGAGGACCCGAGACGATGGTGCATTTGGACGGTCGGAGAATAGAACGTTTCTTGGGATTCCTCCCACTTCCACCAGGAATTCCAGTGGGAATGGTGGTGCAATCCTATGCCAATAATCTGACGTTGACCATCATGGCCGAACCTTGGGCTGTTCCAGATGCCATGGGAGATCTCTTTCTTTCTTGGGTGGTGGAAGAATACGATGCTTTGCGAAAGCAAGCTAATATCCAACCAATGAAGCAATAGAGTAATATTGGCAATACAATGATAATGATGTTTGGTTGCTACATCATTTGTTGAATGTTTAATGACTTATTATTGGTTCCGCAGATGATTCGTTCAACTGCTTCGATATGAAAATGTACATATTACATGAATGCTCACAGGATCGAGCGGCGGCAGGCTTAATCGAGCCGAAGGTGTGTTTCTGGCACGTTTTCGGCAATGATATCCAAAATCCCATCGACTTGTTGAATTTCCCACATGCAGTCTTTGACATCCTTGGGGCATGAATGGCCGTTGATGCTCATGATGCGAAGGCCGGGTCGAAGGTTGGTTCCAACAAAGTCGCTGTAAGGATCAATGCTCTTGACAAAGATTCCACCTTTCAATCTGTCTCTTCGCAACGTCATGCCAGGATTTTCTCCTCCACGCTTGACAATAGTGGTAGTGATGAAGGAGTCACAATCTAGAGTGTTATTCACAACATCTCTTGCCATCTCGACACAAAGTTCCAGCGATCCAGTAACGGACTGAATCTTTCGGATGAGAGCATCGATTCTGTTTGGACAGGGTTCACCATTGATGGATACGACTCGCATGCCTTTCTTCAACCCACATCCGTAAAACTTGCTGGATGGCAAAATTTGGTTCACAAAGATTCCGGGCCAATCTTGGGTTTGCACAAAGGCAACTCCGACAACCTCCGACTTGCTCTCCTTCACGATGCTGAAATGTTTTGTTCGGCCTGATTTGGGTTTCAAGTTGACCGGCTTGGATCCAATAGCCTGATTTCGCCACTGTGATCGGACGGTTGCTACACCGTTTCCAGCACCCCAGTCCCCTTCGCCTTTATGAGAGTCATCGTCACTGATATCGTTTTCAAGGCCAACGACGTGAGTGAAGATATTGGCGAGCGCGGACTTTCCAATTTCCAAAGCATCCATTCCTTGCAGCACAAAGCCTGGTGTGACACCTGGCTGTGCAAAGATTTGCACGCCGTCCTCGACACTTTCAAGCAAAAACTCGGCTTCTTCCAGATCGGTAGGGCATGAGTCCTGGTTGATCGATATAATTTGCATGCCAGGTGTTAGTCCAGCAGCTGCTGCCTTGCTGCTACGGGCTACATGGGACACGAAGATCCCAGTTTGACCATCGAGAACTGTAAGACTGATTCCAAGATCTTCGCCTGGAAAGTCCTTCACCATGGAATATAGTCTGATATCATCGTCTTCTTCGTCGTCAAAAGCATACTTATCATCCTTGATCACAAAGGACCCCCTTGGTGAAGTCGATGTCGTTGTGATTTCTTTGTTATCATTTGGAGGGACTCTGTTTTTTGCAATGAACGATAAGAGAGTGTTATACTTTTGGCCCAAGATCTTTTCGGGAAAGGCAACCGTGTCCATGAACTCTTCCCATGTGATACCGGTTTCCTTCATTTGCTGAACCGATTCCTCATCTACTGATTGGGTGCCCAAGTATTGCGCCAATGACATCTTATCTTCTTTTGAGTCTTCACCATCAGATACAGTATCGTTTTCTTGTACCACATCATTCGGCGACACACTGCGGCTGTTAGCCTTGGCCGCACGCTTTTCCCTCGAGACGGCAACAAAATCTTTAATGGCCACGAAAGGCTTCGACTTTTCAGGGAATGCAACTGTGTCCATGAATTTTTCCCATTGTTCATACGTCAAGAGTGGTTGCTTTTGATTTTGTTCCTTAGCATCCTCCTCCATGGTCCGGGTCGTACTAGGGACCTCGTGGTCCTCCTCCAAATTCAACAAGGGTTTGGGCTTTCGCCTGAGCTTCTGTCTCAATGCAGAAAACATTGGGCGGATGCGCCCCTTTTTCTTTTGCTCCGGGACGACGGAGTCAGCTTCTGGTGCTTCTCGTTCCATTTCGATTGAAGTCGCTTCACGACCGGAACCTCCGCCGAAGTCCCAATTGATGAGGGCTTTCTCGACAGTTTCCATCCATTGCCATTCGTTCTGATCAAAACGTGCCTCATCAACAGGCATAGCGGTTGGTTCTGGCTCCACAATTTGTGCAGGTTGCTTGCCCCGTCTACTTCTAGTCGAATGCGTCAGACTGATTCTCTTCTTGAACCTCATGATAGAAACTATGTATCGTCGTAATGCCAATAACGAACGTCTCGATATGAGAGTATTATTCGAAAAGAGAATATTAGCGGATTCTTGAGCGAATGCGACCGGCTTGATCTCCGTTGTGCGTTGGAATGAGTCGCTGATCGAGCCAGCCTACTTATGACATTTAACACCGGACCGTTAAACTAATAGTCCAGTACTCATATAGCTTCTCACGCATCAAACCAAAAAGAGCTGCACCATGAACTTCCTCGAGCACCACCCTGGACTTTTATTTGCTTCTGCGCATTGATTCAGTCTTGGCACCGAGAATAAGAAGATGTTGTGGCTCGAAACCCATCGAACAGGTAGAGAGAGGGCTTGACAGTACCACCGCGGCACCATTGGCGTCAAATACACTATATCACAATAGCCACCACGGTGACAGTATACTTGAATAATCAGAATCAACAATGACGAATAGATGCGAGGCGAGCCATGAAGCATCCTCCTCTGAGATGAACAAGGGTGATGATATGAAAGGTTTAGAGCAGCAGTACGAGAGCGTTTCGTTGCAAGAACACAACATTCCGGCTAGACCTAAAAAGACGACGCCTTTTGAGATTCCACAATTGAATGAACCTTTGGAAGACAAGCGGCAAGAAAACTCTGAAAAGAGGGAAAGGGATCTTTCACACGTCCTCTCAGATTCTCCATCTAAGCGAAGACGATTTCAAAGACGGAACTCAGTGACTTCCAAGATGATATCAATGACCGCACTATCACTTCCAGATATCGACCTCGAAGAGGGCGGTCGGGCATGTCCTGAATTTGATGACGATATTCATATTGCGGTAAATCTTGTGCAACATTTTCAAGCTAGTCATGAGAGGCATTGCTAACATAGAGGGAAATAAATTGCCTAATTTACATTCTATTAAAGTGTTCGGTATATAGCTTGCACGCTCAAGCCAACGCTTCGATCGGGACTATTGCGAAGAGGGAATGGAAGAGGGAATGGAGACTCACTTTCATTAAAGAGCCACCACTTTGTTGGACATCGAATTCCCAACCTTCCCTCATAGTTCCACACTTACTTCAGTATAACATTCTTCTGTATCCAAGTCTTCATTGTCATCACAACTAACATCGTCATCTTTTTCAGAGGAGGATTCCCGCACAACGTAGCTTGGTATTATCGTTCGCTTCTTGTTGTGAGTCGGGTATATCAAATGGTGCAGCAGCTTCGTGTGTCTGCAAACTTCTTCATAGTGGTGATCATGCCGCGCCAACAATTGGGCATGTCGCACACATCGCCGATAGGTTTCGCACCTACATTTATAGTCCATAGTATCAATGCCTCGATAGGATCGAATGGACAGGAAATAGGCCTTGCAGATCCGTGCCATGAGCAACAGGGTTTCAATGGTCGGTCGAGTGGATTCCTTGCGGAGTTGCATCGACGCATAGTCCATGGCTTGTACATAGTTCCCAATGGCATAGTGACATTCGGCCGCCAGACCATGATCTTGCAAAGCATTGTACCGTTCGCAGGCACTGTACTGCCGACAAGCCTGTTTGTAATTCAACTGTTGATGATAACACCGCGCCAGTCCATAATGAGCTTGCCCCTGCAGCTTCTTGGCATGTCGACCAGCCGTTCCCTTATATTCCTTCGCTATTTGTAGTATTCGACTGTACTCGCTGATTACCTCTTCCATCAAATCTTCATCAAATTGACGATGCAGCAACTTGGCAAGCCTGAGATTCAAGTGCGGCATAGGCTTATCCGCTTGCGCCAGTGCCGTTCGAAGTAATTGAATGGTGCGCTCATCACTGTCGTCGTACCGAGCCATTGGAACTAGTTCAATCAACTTACACAAGACTCGCATTTGTTGGTGTCGATTTTTGGCGTCTCGTCGTGCAGGATTTGTGAAACCGGGTCTCCGCCGACGACGGCGACGACTCATCGTGTCTCGTGTCGCTCTCTCATGATCCATTTTCAGCGCTTCTAGGCATTCTTCCAACTTTTTGACAGCCATTCGATATTCTCGCTGGCCTTCAATCATGAGTCGATGCACTGCAGTCACGCTGACTTCAACTTGTTGCATTCTACTCAACTCATATCCCTCGTTTTCGTGCATCATGGCTTCCGCCCATAATCTCTTGGCACATACCTTCTTGAGAGGACCCCGACACATGGGACAGCAGGCGTCGGCCTCTCTTTCTTCTTGATATTGCGCCATGTCCCGTATGCACTTGCGACAGAAAATGTGTCCACAAGGCAATATTTTGGGATTGGAAGGCATGTCGCTCCAGCATATTGGACATTCCTCGCAGTCATAAGAAGCCTGCTTGGGTGAGCCCATTGTTGGTAGTCGATTTCTCAAGGCAGAGACTGCATTGGTTAGGCTCATGGTTGTCATGGTCGCCATTGTTCCTTTTTAATCTTGTGTTGGAAGTCTTTGTGTTCGGTTTCTTGTATTGCACTTCCGCCTTTGTTCTGACCTCTAATGATATTATTATATCACTGACACCCGTCGATCAATAGTAGAATCAAATCTCAGAAGATCTTCTAGAGAGTTCCGATCTTTTGTTTCATTCCCCAACAAACAAAGCAAGTATAGCTTCAGACTCGAATTCAATCAAGACTGTTGACAAAGCGTGTGATAATGAGTGTCAAGCAACAATGATGATGAGATGATAATCATGGATGTATATGGAGGTCTGTGACTTTTGTGTTTGACGGAATGTCAATCCCGACAAGTTTGAATTGCCTTCCGAGGAACCTTGCGTCAAAAGTAATAAACGGCCGCCCGGGAGGTACGAGCTTTATCCTTGGTACGAGTCAAACTTGTGTCCATAGCGTTTCAATTCGTGTTCTGTTGGGATGCACATGATTGATGGGAAGCTTCCGAATGATGCGATGCGATGTTTGAGTCGGCGAAATCTTTCACTCCTCTGAAGGAGACAGATGTCGCATCTCCTGTCGATGGGATGTCGATGATCGGTCACAATTCGATTCCGTCGACTCCTACAGTTTCGCTTTTTCTCTAGAGAGGCAGCCGGAATAAATACGCATCGCAATCCCATTTGCACTCTTCTCTTTTATTACTCTGCGTTGCCGAGAAAACAGTGAACATGAAGCTCTTCAACGTTACCATCCTCCTCATGGCTTTTGCTGCCTTGGTATCCGCTGACATCACTGAAAAGCAAGCCAAGAAGGCCTGCGCCAAGCTAAAGGACAAGGGTGATCGTCAGAACTGTGTCTTTGATGTTCTTGCCACGCAAGACATTGACATGGCCGAGGCCTATTAAAAATATTGTTCACCACGATACAGTGGGTGTGAACAAGAGAAAGAGAGGCATGTATATGCACATGTATTGGGATGAAAGAGTCACTGGGGAATCAATCATTCAATAATGAATGAATGGTTCTCATTTTGCTTTTTTCTTTCTGTTTCATGTGTGTATTATATGATCTCTTTTCTGTTTCCATGTTGCATGAGAATGATGGGAGATCTTGCAAATGATGCTGGCGTGATTTTACCGCTGTCCCTAATATATAAGTAGTGAACTCCTTGCATCATGTGCTGGTGGTATAGACGAGAACCTCTACAGTTGTTCCATAATTAATGTAGACATTCTTTTCTTTTTTCATTCTTTTCCATGACATTTATATGAACAATCAATCGCTATAGTCTTGGGTTCAATCGGCTTTCCATGTATGGTCAGCATTATTTCACTTGGGTTGGTTCATACTCTGCCATGATATCGTATAGTCTTCTTTTTTCAGGGCGACTTTCATCAACAGTCGCTCTATGAGTTTCAAGACGTCAGTCTTGGAGACAGACTTTATCGTGCCTGTAGCTCGCTAGCGATCTTGACCAAGACGGACAGATGAAATGAATCTCTTGGTGAGAAGGGTAATTATCTTCATTCGTGTCCAAGCTCATTCGCATAGAAATCTTCCTTGTTTTGTAGTGATATTGACATGGCTTTTCCCATGTAGGCTCCTATAGTAACTGAGATCAAAACCAAGCGTAGTAAAGTCTGATCTATATATTGCATTCGTCAGTGCGACGAATGTGATGAATCCGATACTGTATTGTAGCAATATAATTCAGCAGTGCCAGTCCCTTTTTCCTTGCCATAGACAACAATTGGACTTCTTCCCCGTCTCTCATCAATATGATTAGTCCACCCATTCATTATGACACCTCGACGATTGGCACGGTATCAAACTACGGCGCCCCACACAATATCTTGGCAAGGGGCCTGGCGGCCTCGTACACCACTAGCAAACTGAATATCAACCAAATGGTAGACCACGCGGTTGCCACACCTACACAAGATCCTACTGGGATTCCATAGACCTGCACGACGGTGCATTTGCACATTTCTTTATCTGAGCAAGTGCACACTGGGTACAGTGCAAACCTCATGGTGCACCAAATAGCCACTGGAACTAGATTCACTAGTATTGTAGTGACCAAGAAAATAATGGCTGACACTTTGTTTTCGGAACTGATGGGAGCAGGATTTCTTCCGAGAAGAGATCTGTATTTTTTGAAACAAGGAGTGATATTGTGAAAACGTTCGTTACACGTCATGTTTCCATCTTGGGATGGTGATTTGATGGGAAGAAAGAGGGCCATGTTGAAGGCAACGAGGAAACAGAGTCCATTCATGACAAATTGGTAGCTGAATCGGTCATCCGAGTAACCTTCCAGACAAACATGGTCATTACTGTTTTCCATGATCGTCTATTGAATCAATGAATCTTTTACTGTGTCCTATTGTTCCGTTGTTGACGGCTGCCTGAGTAAGAGAGCGGGTCATCGTTGTGATCTTGAGTCCTCAACCATCCAGTCCTGAGGTTCTCAGTCATGAATGGACAGTCACGGGATGAATTTTTCCGCGTGCAATAGTTTTTTTTATATCGGAGTCGTGGTCTGCTCGTTTCCTCCATTCTGATTGGGCCAAGAGTGGAGAATTTCCAAACGAATTCTGCTTTGGCGATTGGAAAAAAATTGGTGACAACCAATAAAGTCACAACTCCACTCAAACGGACATCATCATCATCATACGATCCCTGTCACACTAAAGTCAACATCAACAACAACAAAAGAATCATGACGATTACTAACTGCATGCCCACTCTAGCCACCGAAGCAGGTCTTGGTTCTCCCATCTTTCGGGAAGTTGCGACCACGACGGATGCTCCACTCTTTCGCAACAAGGAACAGGCAAACACCAAGAAAAATAAAAGAAGGTTTTCTTTGAAAAAGATGATGACAAAGATCAAGTCGTCCAAGAGAATCCTCAAGATTAGCAAGTCCGCCAGTCAAGATAGCAGTGATGATGCCATGGAGCCCAAGAAGCTAGCCTTTGGGGCAGGATCATCCTCTACCAGTGCTCCAAGACTGGAAATGGTGGCAACTGATGATGACATCTCATCCGCTAGTTCCGAAGACTCGGAACGAGGGCATGACGTCGTCCACAAAGAGGCTCACAAAGAATCTGCGTCCTCTAAAATTATTGAATCATCATCCTTTGCTGTCGTCGAGCCAGCAATGGAGGAACAAGAGATCAAGTTGGAACAAGAAGAAGAAGGCACGTCTGAAGCAACGCAACCAGTCACAAAGATCATCAACTACGAGATTGACGATGAAGAATATGTGGAAGAGAAGGAACCCGAGAAGACACCATGTACCGCATCTGATGCTGTGGCTCTTCTTTTGGCGGGTGCCCTCATGGCAGCTCAAGCACTTGCTTACTAATCGTCACATTTTGCACACAAAACAAACACAACAGCAACCATAGAGGTGACCAATGAGTTGGTCAAACATCACGGGGCCAAGGCAATCAATACATAGACAGACAATACAGTATTATAGCCAGCCAATATACTATAAGATTGTATGTGTTCATTCATTACAATTTTCGTGGCATCTGTTTACGATAGTTACATCGTGACAGGCCGCTTGTTCCAAAAAGTGAGTTTCATTTCGTACCAAGCACCTCCAAACTAGATATAAAGCGATTCGAACAGTCTTTGATTGTTACTTGGGGAGCATAGCTGTTCCTGGTATGGCATCACAGCATCTTCGGTCACAGCCAGATCCGTCAGAAGGTACAGTACGAGGACGGTTTGCTGGATCAGCGACTAGCATCAGAGTTAGGATATGAGAGTCGTACCAGCCATTCATGGGGCATTATGGCACCATGCCATGTTGACATGGCTTTAGAATAGGGCGACTGCTGCCTTACTTCATTCATTAGTGCCTCCCGTAGTAGCAAGAAGATGCAGCATTTGTGGGATAGTTGTGATAGTCAGAAAATGTCGGCACGATCAAGCAAGCCATGAAGCTGCTCGTTCTCATTGATGCATCTTGCGCAGGCCAGCACCAGCAGAAGATACCCCTCCATATTTTCGTAACTATTGTTATTGCCCTTCCCTAAAATGTGATCATCAAACAAACAACCAGAATATGTAACTTATGCCGTCCTTCGCCAGCAGAATATTAGCTTGCGCAAGCTGCTCGACCTCACTGATGCCCTCATTTTCAGAGAAGTTCCCTCCGACTATTGGCCTGGTATGCCGTATATTTAGACCGCGATCAGCGTCGATCAGCTGGCGTCCTACACCATAGAAGCTCGACCATTGCGTTTGCGCACCTTTAAAAAAAACTTCCGGTGGTTGGTTGGAAGCGAATTTATTTTATCTGAAAGTATACTCTCGCAATGTTATTTTATACCGGAAACCAATCAACTTTCCGGTATTCGTTTTGTTAGCGGCGAATCTTGATTGATGCGAAAACCGAACGGGAAGATATCGCAAATGCATTGAATTTTGTCGAAGTTCTGGGTTGAAACGAAAGAAGACTTATAGTTTTCTTGGGAGAGACATTTTTCTGCGATACTTCCGGAAGTTTTCGCCGTCTAATGCCGAAATAAGATGAGAAATTCGCAGCGAACGATGTTCACATCCTTCGTATTGAGGCGAACTTATCAGTAATGGCGGCTCTTGAACTCCTTTTTGTTGAATCTTCCACTACTTGTGGAACAAAATACTGCGGGCGAAGCCGAATATAAGTTCCCAACTACGGATGGTCAAACTGATATTTATGGCCCCAACAGAATCTTCCTTGATTGAAAGTGTACAAATGCTTCGCTTGTCGTTTTAGAACAATGTCCCCAACTTCCCCACAAATTCCTCTCTTTCAAGTTGGTCCGTTGATAAAAGAGACTTCACGCAAATCGAGCAGAAGCATTTCATACTTCCTTCCAGCAGTCTCAAACCACTCTTGATTCTCATATTTTCGAAAGAGCAGCGTTTGCACCAGATACTTCCCACTTCCGATATTCTATACACAGAACAGATCATGACAACTTCCACCATGCAGATGCATTTGAACGTCGACATTGTTGGGCCCAGCACCAAGTCGTCTCCTGTTTCGAAGCTGGCTGTTCCAACTGTACACCGCATCGAACCAGATATTGAGGTAATTCTCAGCAAACTAAAAGCTCACAAGTCAAGATCAGGATCCACTATCGCAAAAGCAAAAACTGGACCCATAAAGAAGAATACAAACCGCCGTTTGCAAAAGCGGTCGAAGAATCAAGGGCTAACATCGAAATTGACCCCGCGTCATCCCTTCAACCATTGCCCCTTGCCACCTCCACCCATGCTGCCAACTCTAAAGTTGGGCGAAGCTGTTCCATTCAAAAATTAAAACAGAACTGGCAGAGTGGTGATGGCGACGCTGGAAAATATCCGAGCGAAGCGATCGGCATGTGATTTTTGAGAATAAATAAATTTTAAGATAAGAGAAAAATAGAATACTTTTGTGGCTATAACTTGAAACAGTGACTCGTCTGTTAATAATACTGTAGTCCTCTTCGAAATGTTCAACGCTTTGCAAAAGTTGGGTGTGTACGGCACATAAACATGTTGTCATCAACCGTCTCGGTCCACAACAATTTCCAAATCTACACTCAAGCTTCTTTGTTCCAAGGAGTCGTATTATTCCATCAGAAACTTGGCTTCGCTTCGCTTCCCTTCGCTTGGGGATTGATTGATTCATTCATTCGCATCGGAAGCTTTATTGTTCTTCCCTCTGATGGCTTGCTTTGTTGACACCCCAACACAGTACCGATTGTAGGGCTCTCGAACTCTTCCTCCTGGGGATTCGCATTTAGAAGCTTCATCATTTAAAAATCCCCAGACGGCTTGCGTTGTTGACACCATGGGGCTCCTTCCTTGTCCTCCTTTTCGATGATGAGAACTCAGTTGACATCTTCACTTTGCACTGGAATCAGTCATCTCTTCCTTGACACCACATAGTGGAGACTAAGGAAGCTCGTATGGAAATTACTCAGGCCTGAATACCGGAATACTTGGCTTCGATTCTTCTCAAGATGAGGAGACTATCGAAATCGCTTAGACTACAGTGGAAGTCAGTTGCCAAGTTGGCAACTGGCAACCGTACTGTGACCAATGCACATGTTTCAGCACTAGCTACAGCACAGTATAGAAGACAATATTTAATTTTAAAAGATGACAAAAAGTTCACAGTAGCAGAGAAGTCTCATCTCGCATCGCCCGTAGTGCGTCGTTCATTAGAGATATTGAGCCCGTAGCTTTTCACGATCAATGATTTCTTGATTGGTCATTTTGGTTGAATATGCCGGTACATCCTTCCACTTTTCTTCGACATTAACACTTCGTCCGTTTTCCCGGTGATAGTCAGCTAGGCGCTCTCTGCATCTTGACGACAGGAGCTCCTTGGCGCTTTCATACTCTAGTTGTGTCGGTTCTGGTACTGGTTCAAGTTCAAGTTCCTCGCGGATTTCAGCCTTTTTCCCCGCTCGTTGAACATTATCGGCTCCGGCCTGGCCATCTTGCACCCTGATGTCCCCATTCACTTGGTTTGAAGAAAGGTCTTTGCTGCTCATAACGACACTGTTTTCCCGTTCTAGGCCAGCGATTGGCAGGGAAGAAAATGTGGGCTCTTCTTCGTTGTGACGACGGGCCTTGGAGGACTTCAATACCTTCTTCACTTGCATGATCACTCTGGTAGCACCTTTTTTATTGGTTGGTCGCTTTACATCCGATACAACACACTCACAGTCAAAAGGATCGCCTTCTTCCAGTGACGGTTCCTCTTCCTTAACGGTGCTCGCTTCAGTCGAAACCTTTCCACAAACTGATTTTTCGATAAAACGAAAGAATTGATCAAACGGGTTTCCATCGTTGCCTTCGTAGTTGCCTTGATCCACTGTTGCTCCTTCTGGAGGTGGCGCATGTTTGTCACATTCCTCGGACGGTGGGGGTTGCAATTTTTGCTGTGCCATTTGGTTAGACGTTTTTCCCTTTGATTTTAATTGTGGCTTTCCCATATTCTGGTAAACTCCTTCCCTCATCTCTTTATCATTGCACATGGATGTCGACAAACGCATTTCAATCATGGCTTGATGGTCGGGAATACTACCGTCGTCCTCCGAAACCAGCGACGTAGCATTTTCTTCTTTCTCACGGTCAGTAGAGTGATCAAACGCCACTGCTCTGTATGGGGATGAGATAGTGTCTCTGCTTTCTTCTTTCTTCTCAACGGGTTGTTTGGTACCATTTGTTTCGGAAGAAGCTTGTTCTTGTTTACCATCGTGATGGTCGGACGCCAACGACTGTGTGGAGTGAAGGATGAGTGTCTCTCTTTTCAGCGGAATCTTATTTCGACCTTTTTCGGCTTTAGCATTGTATAGAATCTGTTGCATAAACTTGCGTCGGCTGCTATCAAGGGTCAAAGGTTTTGCAGCAGCATTTGATGTTTGGATCGTATTTGTGGATGCTGCGGCCGATGTCACATTCGATGCTGCAGGGGTAATGGAAGGTGATGCCTGCTCTATCTTGCATACATGATCAAATGTAGCGTTGACGACCCTTGCTTCGTTTTCCATCTCACTTCAATTTTACACTCCGCAAAGACCACAAGATGGGATGTGAAAATGCTTTCCCGCCGATGTGAAAATGTGATGGCGTTTCAACCGATGATTGTAGCGTGCAAGGTCGTGTGCCGTTAAGTAAGATCATTACCATAGTTTTGTTGGCGATAAACCACACCAAAAAGCGATGTCACACCGATTTTTTTTAGTTTTGGGAGAAATCGGCGAAAAATAGCTGTCACAAAACCCCGTTGTGGGGAAGACCATGACGATTGGCACCTAAACTGAATATTATCAACCAAACAAGATGAAGACAAAAGACAAGAAACGAAGCTCGCATGTGAGAAGGAGAAAACTGTTCTCCTTGAGCACATCATACCACTCGGTGGAGCACGACGATGAAAGTTGTGGCGATAATGGAGGTCTGCTTCAACAACAACAACAAGAATCATCGCAAGAACCGATGGTGGTTTCTAAACTGCACAACACAAAGCTATCTAGTCCAGAGCACCCTCAATTCTTCAGCAAAGATGAAGAAATGTGCCCTTCTTCGCCAGATGGCTTCTTTGACTTGATTGGTAAACGCAATTTTGATTTTGCAAGCAAACCAATCGAGGAAAACGACCCCTTTACAAGAACTCAAACTGCCCCAATCGTTGCTGGTGGCAGCAAGACAAAAGAAACAATTTCGGTTGAGCTTACTCAACAAGCCCAAACAGAACCGAAAAAGAGGCACAGTTCTCTGTGCGAATGGCCAGAGGATAATATGAATGAAGACCTCACAGAAGAAGTCTGGCAGGAATCTAGTACTGCACAGCCCAATGGGGTTGCGCATCCATTGACCAGAAATGTTGCTCCGGCAAAGGCCCCAACACCAGAATACGTCATTACAGGTACCATCGAGTTGAAGACAGCCGATCAACCCTCTGGCATTACATTTCAAAAGACGGATAATATTTGCCCACTGAAGATCCAAGGATTCTCACCCTTCAGTCAGTTCAAGACCAAGACCAATTTGAAGCCAGGAATGGTCGTTTTGGAAATCAATGGTCGTGAAATGACTTGGGAGTCTACAAAGGAAGCCATTGTGGAAATCAAGAAGGCAAAACCTGGCAGGGTCACCATCATGGCGATTGCACCAAGTAAGATAACGAGTGCGCCCAAAGCTGTGGCAGATAGAATTGCAAACCCGCCCATCGCTTTGAAGAAGCAAGAGAACAAGTTTCCTGCCAAGAAGTCAATTGAAGCTACCAATATCTGTACCAAGCCTCCAAAGCCGCCAGTGGTGCAAAAGAAAGATCTGCAGGTTGACGTTGACGATGATGAATCACGAATCAAGACCCCAATCAAGACGTCAAGCGAAGGAAAAGTATCTGAGCAAACACACTATCGCGACCCATCGTTAATGATGATGGAGTCAACGGTAACAGAAGCAACAGAAGACGATTTCGTCCCAATGATCGATGTGAAGAAAGGTGGTCCATCGTTCAAGCAACTGAATCCTTCGTTTACGCGAGTGGATTCGGCAATGACATCTGATACTGGGGTCAGCAGTCCAAAACGAACAACACCCGTGCCCCTCTTGGGACAAGTCATTAATGACGACGACGAAGAAGATGATGGCAATAATGACGATGATGCCGTGGAAATGGATGTGGTGTATGTAGGCGAGTCTTATTCGGATGACGAAGAAGAAGACGAGGTTGTCCTTCCAGAAGAAGGAGCAGCGACAAAGGAATCGTCATTGAGTCCAAAACAACCTCCTACGCCCAAGCAATCCAACACGACGGCGGCAAGTGGGGGGTTTGGTAGCAGCACTACCAACAACTACAACAAGCCACCGCTACCGTATCGCAATGGAACGAGAGCAACAAAAGTATCCCATGAAGATCCTCCAATGGCAGGTACACAAGAGCCATCATCTAGAAGTACCAGCAGTACTTTAAAGGAAGAATCGTCATCATCATCGGCCAGATCATCAAGGAGCAACGAGAAGAAGAAGGAGACGGACACAAAACCCAAAAAGAGGATATCGGTAGAGACGGTTTGGGATGACGAAGAAGAAGAAGACGAATCAAGTCAGGGAATCTTTTGCCACGCCATTGGTGGTATTCATGTTTCTCCAATGCTGACGACCATGAAAGACATTTCCACTTTTGCCAACCGCTTTACGGAGCGCATGCCGTCATGGGTGAGGGTACTATGTCACGAGTAATACTACGGTGGTACAATAGGAAATAACACAAATAAAAACTGCACATTTAGGGGGAAATCATATCAAATCAGATCCAATCTGTACTGCAACTGCAACTGCTTAGGATCATCAAGCATCATTGCTCTTCTCGTCATAGTCTCATCGCCTACTAACATATCCAACATTTCAACTACTCAATACCGCTTGGACGGCCACAACTCCACTACAAGGGACTGGCGGAGCCCTCCTGTGATTGTACTAATATTGTGAAGCGACATGGAGTTGAAGAGAATGGCATCTCCTCGGTTCAGTTTGTGGGCAATTGGTACCCCTTTCTCATAGGTGACAAAGTCCCCACCTTCCGATGCGTCCGGTTCGGAAAGCAAGACGCTAATGGTAAGTTCTGAACCGCAATCCCGGTGCCCTGCAGTGGTAAGACCACCACCTGGACCGTAGTGATGAAGTTCCACAGTTCGAACGTCGTCCTCTGCGCTGACACCAATAAATTCCATATCCAAAACAGGAATGGCACCCTTCATCCAGGAACGGGCTTCCATCCCCCCACGGATCGCACTCCAGGCTTCCGTGAGCGTTCGGACGAACCAATGATTCTCATTGTGCATGTAGAGGACCACATGTCCATCATTCCATGCAAAATGGTGCGGCGCCGAGAGCAAGTCCTCGTTCAACTCGGAGCGTGCCACTGTGCTCTCGCCGATTGTAGAGGTCGTCGTCGTTGTTGTTTCCGGGGTTGACGACCGCCAGCCCGAGGTGTCGTGTTGTTCTCGAATCGCAGCCGAATGTCGATCCTTCGTGCCATCCTGCTTGTACAAACCCCGGGGCCAGACCCCATCGGCAGCGGCTTCTTTGAGTATCAGATCGATTTGCTCGTCGCTGAGAAGCTTTCGCAACACCAAGGGTTCCTCGAGAGGCCCGCCTTGATGGTCGGCTTCACCGTCCAAGTATTCTTCTTTTGCTTGGAGTTGGGCTGGTTTTAGCTCTAGGTCCAGTTCTTCATTGTTGCTGTCTTTCGCCCACACAAACGGTGGAGAAGAAGGATCAGATGGTGACGATGCTACTGCTGTTGCCATTGTTGCTATCCGTTCTAGTATTCTTGAATGTGATAATGATCAAAGACAACAAATATTTTATGTAAAACAAAAGCACATAACGCAAAAAGGCGAAGGCGAAGAATATTAAAATCTACGTGGCATATTCGATCGATATTATACCGGTAGGGAGAAGAATGTTTGAAATCATCTCGTCTTGTCTGGTCCGCTGTCATTTCCTTCAACGAAATCAGGTGGCAGAAGGAGTTTAGATGTAGTCTTTTTTTCGAATCTTTCATAAGGTACTGCAGTGCTACAGTATTCGCAAAGCCAAATTCGTTTAATTGAATTTCAGTTCGCAGTCGTCTTATATTTGAATGTGATGTTGTTGATATATTAAAACCCTTTTGCGAACAAATCTGAGAAACTCTCAGATTTAATTAATTTTGGAAATCAAATCTGAGAAACTCTCAGATTTGAAATCCGATTTGGAAGCGCTGGAAATTGTCCGTCAAATAATCGCCCTCCACTCTGTTACATAGGCCGAAAACCACTACATAACGTCTGAATTGTACGCAACGACAAAAAATCCATTCCCCACTTTTTCTCCCCACTAGCCATGTTTTCAAAATACCTGCACCAAATTTTCATTCTATCTGCACGCACAGAAATCATCTCACCGCCGTCACAACAGTTGACTCTTTTCTCCTTCTATAACCCACTACAATTGAAGACAACACCCGCACACCAAAAGTATGAGTGAAATTATCTGAAGTGTGTCTGCTATAGTGTTATGTTTGCTGCTTCAATGCCTTCATATTGCTGCGCCAAGATGATCCTCGTCACCTGACCAAAAATCGATTTCTCGTCCCATTTTCTAGTTCTTCCTCTGTGCTTCCATTCCTCTAGAACCTTCGAAAGAATCCTCCACTTTGCATAATCATGGTATAGCTCTCAACGCCTTGCCGATCCCTCTCCATTCCCAAGCAACCATCGCTTTTTGCTGCTGCCTTGTTTCATGTCAGTCCGGGTTACTTTACTAAAATAAACTAAATTAGAACCCAAAACCTGGTGGAAACACACGATTTTTGGGTTGATATCGCACGATCCCACTTCGTTTTGGTAAGAGAACCCAGATCGGAACACCAAAACAAAATATTAATTATTTAAATTTTTTTATATAACATATTGCAATCGCTTATGTCGCCAACAACATGATTTGCATGTGTAAAAACTCTACACAGACATTCGCCAAAATAGTAAGCGAAACTCAATATTGATTCCAACAACAATCTCTCAACCATGTGGCAACAGTCACTGCTGCTCTTGTTTCCCCACTTTGCTGTATGGAGGCTTCACTGGTATGCCATGCCAGGTCTGTCCCACTCTTCTCTATCTTGGTCCTATGAAGTGAGCCGAGCAATTAGTTTCTCTAGACGACTACTAGTAGCTCCCAAATGAAGCTGAAAGGCACGAACATCACATAATCTTAATGGGCAATAATGGAACCAGAGTCAAGTCTGGAGGCAAGAACCATGGAATATTATCTGAAAGCAATGTCTCTATGGCTATATTGAAGGCATTGGAATGGCTGATGGTTGATAGATGAGTTTCATTGTTCCGATTCTTTTCAGTTCTACACCCAGTCAAGAAAGCTTGCCATCTGGGTCCAGTCCAAAACTTGTATGACTCGCCACCGCATTGACTCATTGCTGATACATGTGATAGTATGTGATCAAGTTTGACACTGCCCTTGAATATTCTACAATCAGCAAAGACCTAGGAAAGGTGAGAGTTTATGGATGCGTTACTAAATGTTCAACTCATGCTTGCATCCAGCTTTTTTTCAATTTTGATCCTCTGGTCCTAAACCTCTTATGCTTCCACAATAAGGAGTGGATAAGAAGATTCTTCATATGACTACATGCAGAATATTGGAAGAATGGGTCATCTATTAAGCAATGCTGATGGGGATCAGATGAGATTGAATCGCAAATTAAAGGATGTCTATTGCTGCTTCTGGCAACACTACACATTTCATTGTTCCAGCTGCTTGCAGTTTCATTCCATCATATTACTCCAGTATGAAGACTATTCTCCAAAGAGTTCTATGTTTGCCGACAATGGGATGAAATGAAAAGCAGTGCAAATCAGATGAGTGGAAGTGAATTTGATGGCTGCATTTATAGGTCCCAGCTGAGAATGCTTCTTCTGGAGTTTTGATCGATCATCATGTTTACGATGTGCTTCCACCATATAGAAACAATATAATGGTTGTTCCATACAATGGCTACATTCTGGCGACTGCTTGGGACATGGCCGAGGCAATTCTGATGAGTAGAACTGGATTTGATGGACAAGTTGGTGAGTTCCAACTCATGCTTGTTGTGGAATTTTGATCCATCATCATGCTTACCATGTGCTTTCACCATATGGGTCCAATATAATGATTGTTCCAATCAATGAATACATACTGGTGAGCAATTGGGACATGGCCGTGGCAATTCTGAGGAGTAGAACTGGATTTGATAGTCAAGTTAGTGAGTTCCAACTGATGCCTGTTCTTGAATTTCCATTGATTGTCATGCTTACCATGTGCTTTCACCATATAGGTCCGTTATAATGATTGTTCCAATCAATGAATACATACCGGTGAGCAATTGGGACATGGTCGAGGCAATTCTGAGGAGTAGAACTGGATTTGATGGACAAAATGGTGAGTTCCAGCTGATGCTTGTTGTGGGATTTTGATCCATCATCATGCTTACCATGTGCTTCCACCATATAGGTCCAATATGATGGTTGTTCCAATCAAGAAATACATACTGGTGAGCAATTGGGACAGGGTCGAGGCAATTCTGAGGAGTAGAACTGGATTTGATGGACAAAATGGTGAGTTCCAGCTGATGCTTGTTGCGGAATTTTGATCCATCATCATGCTTACCATGTGCTTCCACCATATAGGTCCGTTATAATGATTGTTCCAATCAATGAATACATACCGGTGAGCAATTGGGACATGGTCGAGGCAATTCTGAGGAGTAGAACTGGATTTGATGGACAAAATGGTGAGTTCCAGCTGATGCTTGTTGTGGGATTTTGATCCATCATCATGCTTACCATGTGCTTCCACCATATAGGTCCAATATGATGGTTGTTCCAATCAAGAAATACATACTGGTGAGCAATTGGGACAGGGTCGAGGCAATTCTGAGGAGTAGAACTGGATTTGATGGACAAAATGGTGAGTTCCAGCTGATGCTTGTTGTGGAATTTTGATCCATCATCATGCTTACCATGTGCTTCCACCATATAGGTCCAATATGATGGTTGTTCCAATCAAGAAATACATACTGGTGAGCAATTGGGACATGGCCACGGTAATTCTGATGAGTAGAACTGGATTTGATGGACAAAATGGTGAGTTCCAGCTGATGCTTGTTGCGGAATTTTGATCCATCATCATGCTTACCATGTGCTTCCACCATATAGCTCCAATATGGTGATTGTTACAATCAATGAATACATACTGGTGAGCAATTGGGACATCGCAGAGGCAATTCTGTCAAGTATGGAACTGGACCTGATGGCCCAGTTTGTGAGTTCCAGCTGATGCTTCTTGTTGGTCAAGAGTTTCAGTTGATTGTCATGCTTACCTATGCTTCCCCCAGGGTACAGATGTTTGGTGATGCTGCCTACCGGTAGTCATTAGTAGGTAAATAGTTTATACTAGGTGGTAATAGGCCTAATGTTTTTTAAAACATATGCTACTGTACTATTTATGAGCTCATCGGACAAGATTACATAGCCATGGTTGGTAATCTTCTTCAGCCTCCAATTGACAAGCAACTCTCCTGACCAGGAGGTGGATCTCAATAGTAATGTTATTGTTCTTGTTCTGACTTCCAACTTGGGAGCCTGATTCATTGGCTGTCCATGAAACCTTGTCTCATCTTCTAGGAAGAGCCAGCCTGATTCCAAGATGCCGTCATGAAGCTGATTGTCTTGTAAACGCCACATCGCTAATTCTTCAATCGTATCAAGTGTTGGATCTCCTCAATCCTGCTCCCATTTTAAAAGCAACTCTCATGACCAGGAAATGGATTTCACTATGGCATTGTTGCTATGCAAGGAAATTGATCAAATGCATTGATGGTACAGTGCTCGGCAATCATCTCCAATAAGATCGCATGGATTCAATTGAAGACATTGGCCTTGCAATGATTGCCACAATAAGGTGGAGCCTCTGGCCCAGCAAACACAAGAACCAAGTCCACGCATTCTTCTATTGGCAAGATCTTCTGCCATGGTTGCAAGGTGCTACTAGCAGAAGTTTTGGTGGGTTTCTTCTCCCTGTATAGTATCATCCAAGCATGATGCTGAATATTCAATGGTTTTGGGGAGATATATGGCGCACCTTTGGTTGTTTGACCGTGAGATCATGCATTCCAACAAAAAAAATTTAAAAAATATATATGACATGAATGATATATAAAAATTGATGGCAAGTTGTCTGTGATTTCGGTCCGAATTCAAATCTGAGAATTTCTCAGATTTAATTAATTTTGGCCTTTGGCAGGCTGGCGTGCAATTTTTTTTAAATCTGAGAAATTCTCAGATTTGAAAAGCCAAGGTATCCAAAATTGGACCAAAATTTTGATTGACGTATGTAGAATGTACCATAATCAAATCTGAGAAACTCTCAGATTTGAATTCTGTTCGCAAAAGGGTTAAAAAATAAAATCACAAAGCTAATAAAAGACTTGCTATTCGGGAAAGGAGGTCAGTTGGTTGTGGACAACTGAAAATCATCTCGCGCGTCTTGTCTGGCCCACCGTTGGAAATCACATAGCCTTCCTAAATAAAAGAGTTTTTATGCCCGTTGTCGTTAATCGAAAAACAACGAAACTAAATCTGGACTTCTCTCTTCAAGCTATATTTCATATACCGGTACATATATGGATGTCAGAGCGCAGCTTAGTAACCTATTAATCAATCCTGTTAAAGACGCTCCCTTGATGCCAGTGATTACTTTTCCATACAACAAGGAAGCACTCATCACTCACCATCACAGACGTCGTATAGTATTCCAACGTGTATCCATCTCCATTGCACAGTACTATAGCCAAATGTCTATAGCTAAATATCCCAACATTTGTACAGTATCCGCTTGAAGTACCTATATTAAAATCGTGGTCCAATGTTTTGAAATTGTTTTTTGAATCATCAAGCTGCGAGGGGCACCCAGTCCGCGAGATCCTATCAATCGCGCCGTTTGTGTTCTTGACGAGTGCCATCTCATTTTTATTTTTAAAAAATCACATGTTACCAAGAACTTGTAACAGTCCTACTGTACGTGCGAAAAATGTGTGCATAAGTCCGCATTACATATATTCCGGTCAATACTCGCATCACTGTCCTGTTGTTGTTGCCCGCCGGGGCGGGGTGCATCCGTTACATTCGTCCACTTTTCCGGATGCTGGTGGTTCATCCCTACTACTTGGTGGGCTAATGATTGTCTGAGTCGGTTCCGAGCTTGTTGATGACTCTCTGCTTGGTGCGTAACTTATATTGGTTCTGCCGCCTCAGGTTGTCATTCTGCGCAGGCGGGGACAAGTGGTGTCATCTGTGCTCTCCCCAAATCTGTCTGGCAAACTTTCTCCTGGTCAAAAATCTTGTTCCTCTCTCTCTCTCTCTCTCTCTCTAGCGTCACTTTCACTATCCAATAAGACACCCACGCCGCACAAAACTCCTCAGAATCAATGTAGCTAATCACAATCCGGCCTATATATATAGAAGCACATGCGCGTCGTCGCTCCTTGTGCAGTTGGAAAACAATTTTGCAACCTCAAAGCTATCGACCATGAATTATGCTGTGGGGTACCCCCGAATAGCACATGATGACGTTATTGGCGGACCATTTTCTCTCAAGAGCAGATCCCCCAAGCTATCGTAGGAGCTTTGACGGTCCATTCGTACTCTTTCTTCTCATTGTCATTGTCATTGTTGTTGTTGCTGCTGTTTTCGAAATTCAGCATCAATCACCTTTGCCATTCATCATCTTGAATATTATCCATGCTCTTGTTGTTGTTATTGTTGTTTTCTCGTTTGTATGCTGCCGAGGTGCTTCTATAGCCACTATTATACCCACGTGTGCAGGACCAGCAATAACGCAACAAGACGGCTATGTGTTATTGTACGCATAACAACAAGCATGGTGTTACTCTTGCGGTGCCAGTTCTGCGTGTTGTAGGTATTACTGTAATAATAGGGTGATGGTTTCAGTATACTCGAATATTATATGATTGCTCGTCCTCGCCTTGTTCCTAAAGATATATTTCCTCTGGCCAGCAGTACAATTAGAACAGTTTCCTGTATCGTACTGTAACAATAATGAGAAGGTGTCCAACAATCTCCAGGCAAACGCACAGCTACTGTACTGTCCCTCAGCTCCATCTTAGGTTCCGCTTTTTATTATGCTGCGCCTGTGATTTATATATACCCGGATATTACTCTTATTTTTATTATATAATGCTCCGTCGGTTTTTGGGCTTAGCTTAGCCTTTTTTGGACCTCAAAAGAAGCTAAATCTGGCGCCGTCATCATCATCATCATACTTCAAACATACCTGGAACCGGTATCCAAGACCATACCTCAGCTTGCCTGATTACATTGCGATCCGTTCCACCTGTTGTTCCTCCATTCCTTTCTTCTCTGGCAAATCCATAAGCTTCACCAATCTACCTGAAGACCTCACAAGAATATATAACATTGTCCGACCAAACCAATACCATGAATTTTGACCAACTGAGAGCATCAACAATAGCGTCCTTTCTGACTCAGCTGCTATTTGAAGAAGCCTATAGTCCATCTCGGGTATTGCTTCTTGGTCCCTCCATCACCATGGTGTATGCCCTCAGCATTTGGTTCACCTATGCCCTCTCTCATGAGTTTGGGTGGATCTCCAGCATTCCGCAAGTCCTATTTCCACCCTTGGCGATTCAACTGGCAGCGGTGGCAGCTGCCTGGAAGACTGTTGTTGACAATAATCAAGTAGATCCAGACATGATTTATCGATACAATGTCTTTTTTTGGATCCTGTCGATCCATCAGCTGTATCATCTACGACAATCCCTTGTGGTGGGGATTCCCACATCCAAGATTCCTTACTATGGTGGAAAACACTTGAAGGGACAAACCATTCTCGTGACGGGTGCCAATGCGGGGATTGGCAAGGAAACCGTCTATCAATTGTCCTGCATGGGAGCCAGGCGCATCGTCTTGCTGTGTCGGTCGGAGAAGAAGGGAAAGCAAGCCGAATGGGACATTCGCATGAAACTGTCGACCCAACCACCCTATGAGCATGGGAACGATACCGAATTGATTGTCTGCCAATGTGACTTGAGTGACTTTGTCTCTATTCGAACTGCAGTGCACCATATAAAAACAAACAAAAAGATTGAAACGGTGGATGTGATCATCAACAATGCAGGATTGGTCATGGGGACACATTCTAAATCAAAGGATGGATACGAGCTCATGATGCAAGCGAATTATCTAGGACATTTTCTCTTGACCCAACTACTGATACAAGAAAAACTGTTGAATCCGGAAATAAGCGACGGTGATGATCCATCATCAAGGCCCCCTCGAGTCATCAACTTGACGTCGTCCACGTTCAAACTAGTGGGCAAGGAGGGATTTGATTTTGACGACATGTTCTGCGAAAAAGGCCGAAAATATACCATGTTTGGTAAGTTCGAAAGAGCGATATATGGATGAATGAGTGACCTATTCATTCATTGATACTGCCCTCGTTTGGGGGAGTTTTCATGATACCTATTCTTGTTTCTCACATTCTCCTTCTGGCTTCCTTTTTCCAGGCCAATACAGCCAGACCAAACTCGCGAATGTCTTGTATACCAAAGAACTATCAAGGAGGTATCCCAAGTTGCTGGCCTACGCCGTCCATCCTGGCATTGTTCGAACCAATGTCACCTCCAACATGAGTTGGTACCTACGAGTCCCCAATGCCATTTTCTCCTGGTACATTGCTGCCATGCAAAAGACACCGACTCAAGGAGCCTATAGCAGCGTGTATTGTGCCGCAGCCTTTGTCGACAATTTGCCTCCCAGCGGATCCTTGGTGCACAATTGCCATCACCACGCGGACGACGCGGCCACAACTCCGGCTTCGGAATCAATTCCTGATGCCAAGCGGTTATGGGAGGTCAGTGAGCATCTTACTGGATTAAACTTCAAGAAGACTAATTAAAAGGTGAAACTATAGCTATGGTGACGTACATTTCGTAGACCTGGTACAAATTCTACGTAGTAAAATTAGTCAAAATGGTGTATCTGAACTGAATAGTCAGGTCCAGATCTGCTGTTTAGAGGCATTGTCGATATAACACGACAAAGGCCCAGTATTGAATACAATAGATTTGAAAACACTTTCCTTTTATGTGTGAATAATTGGTTGGACCACTTTTTGATAATTGATGCTGTGTTTCCCATAACTGTTGCAAATGTACTGAATCTACGTGAAAGAAACTAAAAAAGCCCTTTGTTTGAACGTCAAAATAGGAAAGTGACTTCCAATTTACCCACATATATATATACTCTTATCAGACCTCTTCTTTATAAATGTCTTTGAACTATGTGTTTAGTTCTTTGGTGGCCAAATTTGGCGAGTAGTATTTAGAGGTTTTAGGTACTGTTCGGTGTAGTCGATTTCACGTACATTTTGTACTGGCTCTACGGACGAATGTATTGTCTGACCAGAAACGGTTAAAATTAGTTGAAAGACATTATTGAGTCGAAGTAGTCAGTAGCGCGACTGGAACATTTGCGAACCTTTTCCTTCAACCGCGGCGCATACACGACCTGAGAGACGACGAGTGCGGATGATTGGTAGCGCAGCTATCATATTTCCCACCGCAAGCGTTCCTTTGGCTAGAGAAGTAGATTCCTCTCATCATGACTACCACACCTCCAAAGAAGATGATCAACGTGAATGGAATCATGAGGCTGAATCCTGAATACAACAAATGGAAAAAGATGCAAGACGACTCTGGCGGTGGAGGTGGGCAAGTGGCACCTTCAGCTCCGCCTGAGGCAGAAATGGCAGCGGCAGGTATGCGATACACTAAGGAATGAATAATTGCAGGGTCTATGTCCTTTTGAATGTTGGACTCATGGCGATTATAATCATCCATCTCATCCTTCTCCTTCTCTCCTCCGTGACATTTGCAGATGCCAGTGGCGTTCCAATGGTAGCTGCTGCCTATATCCACGATAGTGATCAAATGCAATACCCTGCAGCAACCACAGGAGCAGCACCTGGGTACAGTGCACCATCTCCAGTAGTCGTGGCACATTCAAATCAACACGAACCCATGTCGACGGTGCCTGCCCCCAACAACAACGGAACACAGGGATATTCCTCTCCCGTCAATCACGGCTATTCCTCAACAGTAGCCCAACAAACTCCAACTCACACTCCAAATCAGGCTACAGGACAAAGACCCCCACAGTACCTTGGAAAGTTTGGATCGTAAGTAATATGCCTCCATTCGTGTTTTAAAAGTACGTCTCTGTCGACTTGGTTTCTCATATGAATGCCCACTTCTTCTCTCCACCAGACGCCCATTCGACATTACTTGCCCCAACTGCCACCGCCAAGGCCTAACGCGAACGGACGTGGTCATTAGCACGGGGACCATTGTTGCCATTATCCTTCTCCTCTTTTTCTTTTGGCCGTTGTTTTGGCTTCCATTGGTCATGACAGATTGCAAACAGGTGGATCATTATTGTCCTCATTGCAGGGTCAAGGTTGGAGAGAAACCAAGCTCGTGCTGTAGTTAGGGATAGTATTGTAAAAAGGTCGAACCGCAACACCAAATGTCTTCAGATAAACTCGAAATGCACCGGCCAACAGTGCCGAGCAAAGGAAGATGAACGTGATACTTGTTGAGCAAATTAGATGTGTCATTGTCAAAATAATTAAAATGATAGTCTATAGCCTTTGTACATGTCAAGTTGTATATATAAATATATATATATAGCGCGAGGAACACTACAGCCCATAGTCGGCGTAGTCCTTTCGAAATACCGAACTCCATTCTTCCAGTTCGGAGGCAAGCTTCATATCCAATTCCTTGGCCGATTCTTCGTCCAATGGCGTACCATCCGGTTTGCTGTATAGCAATGCCACTTGTTCTCGTTGCTTTTCAAGTTCGACACTTTCCGTAAAGGCCTTGTCCCAAGCTTCCAGTTCAGGATCCACAGCAATCTGCAATGACTCTTGGTGATGTCCATCGGCAGATACACCACCACCACCAGCCTCAACGGTCCGTTGGATGTCACCCGCTTCATAAGTGGACTTTCCAGTGAACTTGAGAATGCCTGCCAACAAGGTTTTTTTCGCAGCGGCGCCCAAGAGAAATTTGTCGTCTCCGGTAAAAGCGGCGACGAATCGGTTGTCCAGCGAGTGGGCCAGTGCCTCCAAAATCTTGCCACCAATTTGCGTCTCTAACGAAACATTCAACCCTTGAAGTAGAACGGCAACAGGGAGCAATTCGGCAAGTGGACCAATACTGGCACCAATGGCGAGTAATATCTTGAGTAACAAGATTGTGTCGGATATGCTGACTTCTTGAGATAATATTCGACGAAGTGTCTCTTTGACAATGTCTCCAAACTCGTAGTCTTCCTTGCCGGTAAACTTGACAACCACGGATCTTGCTTGGGATCCGATAGCCTGAGTTCCCATTTTCGCTTGGCCGTCAATCCACAGTGCCACTCCTCCGACTTTTCCCGTGCCCTTTCGATAAAAAGATCGTACCTTGGCAGCTTCGCGTTTGGCATTAAATGACGCTTTATTCGCAAAGGCTTGCATGTCGGAAGTCCCTCGTTGTGCCACAGCCCCGAATCCAGTTGTGGCAGCCGTTGCTGCAGACCTAAAATCATTGCTGCCAGTCCTTACAACATTCGAAATATCAGAAGTCCCTCGTTGGGCTAGAGCCCCAAATCCGGTTGTGGCAGCAGTTGCTGCAGACCTAATGTCGTTACTGCCAGTCCTTACAACATTCGAGAAAGCAGAGGTTGCAGATGAGAAGGGATCTTTCCAAGCTTTAGGTTTCTTTGAAATTTCTGAATCTTCTGAATCTTCTTCCTTTCTGATTTCTTCTGCAGGGGGGGCGGATAGTGAATCCAGGTATCCATTATTGACAAAATTTGATCCAGAAGACTGATAGGTGTTGCCCCCAGGTGCATCATTTCTTGGAAAGACGGATAGGCTTGTTGTAACACTGCATGCTCTACTAGGTCTGAACCGAATAGAATTTCGAAAAACTGTCGTTTCAAAATGCTGACGTTGAGGACTGAAACAGAAGCATCTCGTGATGAGGAATGTTTTGAAGCACAGGAGGTGAAATAAATTAGATTTTCCTCTCATCTGTCATTCACAATCGCTGACTGATTACTATTCGTAGTGGTCTTCAGATGGAATGAGTTGATCGAGGGCCGTGCATTGATGATGAAGTGACACCTTTTTTTTTGAACCGATCACTGACGCAGTCTCATAATGGTCATCACGTCAGTCGGAGACAGCAGTCAGATGGATCGGAAACCTGTTGGTTGTGAAACTAACGAAACGACGGTACCACTGATATTATCATGGGTCGCAGTTCCACTTGAACTTGGAACACGGAGGAACTCCCAACAGCGATCCCGCTTCTCTAGGTCCCAACATGGAGCGCAAAACGTAGTTGTTTCCGAAAATGATGTTTTTCACGACACCACTTCAGCAAAGTGCGAGCCATTTTAGTAGCATTTCGTTTAAATCGACATGCTTCGCCTCCTTTCTATACCACGTCAATTAGGGCGAGGGGCTCTGGACGCTGTTCGCTTCGCGATATTTGTATAGTCGCCAGATAAATCTGACATTTCGGAGTAACACTGCAGAACACAAAATACCGCCGCCACTTTTCCACGACCATGTTTCCTGCATTTCTCTCACGTAAACAAACAAATTATAGTATCAGAAAAGCTGCAATTACGAACAATGCAGCAAACAACAACACCAATTGAAACTACTAGTCCTGGCTATTTCTTTGGCAGTGATGCTAAACTGGAGCCTACCACCAAGGACATCATCTTTGGCAGAGGCAAAAAGTACCAAGATCACGAAGGGAACAAACGCATGAGAGATTGTGTCAATGAATACAAACAACTCTACAATGCCTTGAAGAGATTTCAGAAACAAGCGCTTGTAGAAACCATTTACAAAAAGCTTGTGGAAGGTGGAGCTCGCTTCTTGCGCAAGGACGAGGCTACTGACACATGGGTGCTGGTAAAAAGGGAGCTAGCCACCCAAAAAGTGTCTCATGCTTTGAGATGCAAGAAGCACTTGGGAAAGTCATCCCCCAAGAACATCATAGATCTGAAGAAGCCTGCCGTTTCTATTAGAAAGGACAGCAACAGCACGATCGAATCCACCGTCTCTACTCTCGGAGACTTGGTATCATCGGTTGGCTCGAAGGAGAATCAGATGCACGCCATCGACCCCGCTTCCGTTGTTGGAAGAGTCACTCCTGCGATGGATCCAATTCTTACCACCAGACCAGTCGCTGTCAAGGCCAGTCTTTCTACTATTGGAACCAACATGGCGGCTACTCCAATGCCCGCGGCTCCGGTGCCATCTGTCGCAACCCTTCACGCACTACAAACGCTGCAAATGCAAGACATGTTGCAGCGCCAACGATTGCTAGCAATGATGGATCTGCAAAGGCAAGCCCAACAGCAGGCAGCGTCCGCCCTTTACGAAGCAGCTATTAGTCAAATCCTCGTCCAGCAGCACACCATGAAGCAAGCTTCTGAGTGATTTTGCGACGTGGTGAATGAGGGTTTATATGTTCAAATATACGTTGAGGTTATGTATCACAAATCAGTCTAAATAAATCTAGAGACATTGATCAAGTCTTCTGTGTTTCCCATGGGCATTAGATGGACACCATCAAGTGTGGCTCGTGTTGATAGGTTTTCCAACTCCCTTCCAAGCCAAGCCATGGACGTGAAGTAAGGTTGTGAAAAGAAGGCCAAATGAGCCTTGAACAGAGCATCTTGTTCCAGCTCGGGTTGATCTAATAGTTTCAACCAAAATTGAAGATTCTTGGCACTCCTTGGCATTGCCAGACCGGCAACATACCTTGTGTCAGCATCTCTAGGATAGCTTTCAAAAATATCCAAGGCAGGAGTGGACAATAATGGTTGTGTGATGAAACCTTCCATTCCAGCGTCAATCTTTTTATTCACACTTTCAAAACTATACGGATCATTTGGATTGGTGACTCCCCATAACGAAATATCTTCGTTTTGCTCCTTCAGTAATATTGCGGCATCACTGGTGGAAAGGGTTTTGTCAGATTTATCATTCCCTCCGACGAGCAAGATTGTGTCTGCCTTAAGACTGAATTCTTTCAGAGATGATGGAGTATGATGGCAAGTTGCAATAGTCACTACACGATTGGGAGGCGACACTTGTAACATGAAATCCTCTCGCTCCTCCGAAGTCAACACGTGCGGTAAGTCGGGCAAAACATAGCGGGTATTCGCTCGCAAGTGAGCTTGAACAGCTGTAAGTTTGGGGCTCCATTCAACACTATTGTGTTTCCAAAGGGAAAGAGCAGTAAAGGAAGGTCTCATGGTAACATTGTATCTCTAGGCGATGATTATGATGCTCCAACCAATGCGATGAAGATGATTATGTCATGATATGACATTTGGATATTTTCACAGCGCCGACCAAACGGACTAAAGTGTATTATTCTATTTGATGCAGTTATGAAGGTTCTAAAAGTTTTAAAAACTAAGCATGTTGCCTAAGTATCAACATGAGTTCTATACACATACCAACAGAACACAATCAAACAATCCAGTCCCCCACTGTTCCCCACCGGAGATACCAGTAGCCATTGAGTCTACGGACGCCATATCGTCTCCGAATGTTGCTCTTTTGAATTCATCATCCTCAATGATATCATCGATGTCCACCATTCGGGAGTGTCCTGTTGCTGTATCAGAAAAAACTGTGTAACCATCCGTATTTCCTGTCATATCAGAAAAAACTGTGTAGCCAGCATCCGTGTAATCATCCTCGGAGGCGGACAATGCATCATCAAACAGGTAGTCTCGTTCTTCCTCCTGCTTTTGTTTGACAGCTTCGAGCTTACTGTAGTACTTTTCCACAGCCATTCTGATTCTGTCACCTGATGATGCTCTCTCATCATTTGTTTGTAACGAGACTACGGCACCTGTAGCAAGAACAGCCGCAGGTCTAGAACGGGTTGAATTGGCTGGTTTGCTATCCTTCTTCGTGGAAGACATTGCCTCTTGGCCCCACCTGTTCTTGTCTCGCCTGCTCTCTCGGATCACTTTTGGCGTTGGGGTTTTCACCTGGCTAGCCTGTGTTCTTTTCTGGTTCTCCCGATGCACTATAGTTGAACTAGACTTCGGCTCGCTACTCTTTATTTCATTGTTCTTCTGGCTTCTTTCCATCGCCGAAGGTCGTGGTTTTTGTTGGTCAATCTTGTTCGTCGTGGAAGATTTCACAGTCTGAGTACTAGTAGGTGAATAAGTCTGAGCCTTCTTGCTCTCCAGGCTCACTTCTGCTACAGGAGGTTTTTGTTGGCCAATACTATCCTTGGAAAGTTTCATGCTAGGAGCAGTCTTGCTTTTCATGCTCTCTCGGCCCACCGTTGGTGAAGGAGGAAAGATCGCCCACTGATTATCATTGTTGAGGGAAGCTTTAACTTCTTTAGCACCCGTGCTTGATGTAGGAGGCTCTCGTTTATCATTCATACTGTCGAGATTGAATTCAAGAGAACCCACGGAACTGTTGGACGACGAAGATCCTTCCGTGTAGTAGGTTGCTGTTGTTGGATCTTCAGGATTCGTCGTCGTCGTCGTCTTGCGTCCAAACGATCGCATTCCCCGTAAGGACTTTGATCCTTTATTGTTGATGCTAAATGGCTGTATCGAGCGCAATCCCCGAAGAGATCGCTGTTTCTTGAGCTGCATGGTTTCTGGTGGTGTGCAAAGTAGAATGAACGAATGAATAATGACTGAGACAGCCGGATTGGAGAAGAAGAAAATTTCAATTCGCCGTGCGAATACAAAATGTGGCCTGAATTTTTTTAGCCAACACAATACGTGGCAATTCTGCCGACCATAATTACGAGCGAGGACCAAGACCGTTGAGTCTTTTTTTGGTGCACAAACGCATGAAATTTTCGACGTGGAGGAATTCGCGCGCACCACAAAATCTTGATGAGAAACCGATATATCCACATGAGAAAAGGTCGAATTCGGCGATGTTGAGGTTTTCCTAAACTAGTAGTTAGAAAGCTAAATGTCAGTCATTTCTAGCTTTGTATGTTTGCAATAGAGGACACCAGAAAAATCGGACACTATGGATTGTGAGTTGCTCTATCGTACCAAGAACCAGCATCGGCGCGCCACCGTCTCCATCACATTAGGCCGCCGGAATTGTACAGTAGTCTAGAATGCCAATGCAATCTTGCTGTTCAAGTAATATCGATGTCTTCGTGTTTGTTTGTCCATCCCCCTCTAGCGCAATGCTTAATATAAATACATACTGTAGGAAGTCAACGATACCGCATGGATCTTTGCAAGTTGTGACTTTTTCGGGTCGGAGAAGTCGAATGCTGAGTCAGTTTCGCACATCTCGCATCCTCAAATAAACTGCGACGATGAGACCACCATCATCATCTTCGGCACGATTGATTCTTCAGTGTTCCTCTTATTTACTAGACTGAACCTTTTGAAAGCATTCATCATACATAGTGATGCAAAGAGGCTTGTTCAATCTATTTTGGTTCATGACTCTATTTTCCCTCTTTAGCAAGAATAAGAACAAAGCAAGTGCCACCGCCGTTTCGAACAACAAGTCAACGATAATAATGAATCAAATGGCAGCTACATCTGCAACCTTGGAAGACAGACTGAGAGGAGCTCTATGGTCCTTCATGGCCGGAGATGCCTTGGCATCACCCACGGTACGCCTTTGCTGTTTGTTCGTCTTGCTTTTCAGTTGCTTCTTGTCTCTTGCTAAAAGAAATATCTGTCTCGACGACACGACGATGTTCTCTGAAACTTATTCAGCACTGGTATTATGGAGGACAATACCAAGTCATTCAAGAGTATGGAAAGGAAATTACTGACTACACCAAACCCAACCACAAGCTTGCTGGTTCCATCTTGAACAAGTCAGATTTGAATGGTGGAGGTCGACGTGGGTATGGCGGATCCAATAACAGTAAGAAAACCATCATTGGGGATGTCATTAACCATGGCAAACAAGATTTGTGGAGTCCCAAAAAGAGCATTCACTATCATGCCACTTTGGCCAAAGGAGAAAACACCTTGGAAGTCCAAATTGCACGAGTCCTCATGAAGAGCATTGTGACAAATGATGGAAACTTCAATGCGGACCACTTTCGAGATGCTTATGTTAAATTCATGACCACTCCGGGTAGCCACAATGATACTTACGCCAGTACCTGTCATCGCATGTTCTTTGCCAACTTGGTTCACAAAGGTTTGCCTGCCAAGGATTGCCCCGACAACGATTCGCACAATGTAGACGTCATTGACTCGTTAATTTTACCCACCATTGTGGCTCTGGCGGGAAGTTGTCAACGAAATCCTGACATTGGATCCATGAGTGCCGCATGCGTAGCCGTCACTCGTCGATCGAGCATTTCGGAACAGATTGCCAGTCAATGGGCCAGTGTGGTACATTCGTCACTGCACGACAATGACGAACCGAGCTTTCAGACGGCGTTGAATACCTTTTCGAAACAGACCATACGGCGACTTCCGAATCCACGTGCTTCTGATGCTTCCACCTTGTGTGCCTGTTATCTATCCCAAAGTTTGCCAGCAATGATGGACCTGATTGCCAAGTACCTACCAGAAAACAATCCATGGTTTGGACTCTTGGCCAATGCCAATGTGGGTGGAGAAAATGTCCATCGGGGATCCGTGATTGGTGCTATTCTGGGAGCACGAGCCTCCGATGCAAACCTTCCCGTCCAACTCAAGGAAGGACTCTACCATCATCAAGAAATCGCCGCTGAGATTGATGCCTTTGTCAAGGCAGTCTTGCCAAAGGAGGGAGAGAAGAAAGAAGAATTATAGCGTAAACTGTGGTAACTTATTGCTTATAAACAACTCTTTGCTTTTGTATATATTATTGTATTCGTTTTATTGTATCGTCGTATTGGCAAACTTATGGGAAAAAAATTATGGAAAATCTCAATCGGCAAATGTGTTTCATGCAGACGAGGCCCAAGTAGGGTTCATCATGGACTCTGTCACCATCAAGGTAGATCGTCGGCGAGGTGCCTTGCTTCGAATCTTGTGCATGATGGTGTCCACCTCTTGTTCATGTGGTGATGATGATGATGATGAACTGGATGTCAACTCCAAAGAGCGTCGTCGACTGGGACGACGCATGGGAGGGGTGGCCATAACGGAGCTGCCAGGAGGTGCCTCCAGCGACAATGGTTGCTGCTGGTTATTGAATCTACGGGAAGACTTTTTGCGTTTCATGGCACGTTTGGTCACTTCCATGAAATTGTTGAGACCGTCCCATTTGCGATTGCGAACGGATTCGGATCGTCCTTCTTTGATTTGAAGGACCTCCAAGGTGCATTCTACAATATCTCTCATGCTGTAACCTTGCGTCATTAGCCTGGAGGATGCCAAAATAAGAAAAAGAAAACAAAGGTCAGATTCCACGAATAAAAAATTGGACGGAACATCGGACAATATCAGCATCAGCATCAGAGTAGAGTAATAAGAATAACTCACATGTGAGCACGTTGCGTGACATCAAATCTCGGGCACTTTCGTGATCCTGCTGTGCATGTAAATGCCTTGTTGGCTGCAATCTCGTAGCTGTCTACTTCCACATCGTATACGTTAAAGTGATCCCAATCGAGGGCGAGTGGAACACCATCACTGACGCTGGGATTGTCTCCCATGATGATAGGATACTCGCGGAATTCAAGCCTTCCAAAGCCTACGCTCTTGGTGGATGGTGATGCTGTCATTGGCTCTCCCTCGTCTAGGCTTAATGATGATTTCAAAGCCGACTTCATGATGTTGTTTTGTGTTTTCCTCTTTGTCAGTTCGTGATTTGTGTTGGAAAGTCTGGAATTTTTCACTATCTTCAATCAGACGAGTGGTGCCGTACCATTAGTGGGAGAGAACACGTGATCACAGGCCGCGTGCGTGTTGGGAAAACCAAGACTGGTACCTCAAATGCCTCTCTACTTAACAAGAGCGATCCCATCTGATAGCAAGAGAAGCACAATGTCCGACATTTATGTTCGAATGGGCCCAAGGGGGCTAAAAGTCCCGTCTGTTCTCCAAATGCCAGGTTTAACGCTTCGGTTCTTTGGAATGTCAAGAGACATCACAAAATATTCCAAGATTAGGAGTTGTGAAGCGTGTGCGTCCGTCCGAAAATGCGCAGGGATTCCTGGTAGTTCTACCGGTGTTAGTACCTGGTACACGTACCTCGAGGAGGGTCGCGTTCGCTCCATCATTGATAGCGCCGGTAGTAGACTGACTCCTCTCCTATCGCGGCTATCCTCATAGATGCTTGTAATATACAGTAACAGTGCAGCTTGTATTTAAAAATGTACCTACCGGAATAGTCAGGGGTGAGGTTCAATGCATTTCAAAAATGTTTTGATGTAGCCACGATACTCCTAGCTGCAATATGACAGTAAGTTGCTTGACTTGGATGATGGCAAACCTAATACCAACGCGGCTCCGCACAAGCAGGAAAAGATGAACCCGCCAACCTCTACCTACACACCAAGTATCTGCACAAACCGGAAAAGATGAACCCGCCAACCTCCACACAGCAAGCATCTGCGCAAGCTAACAAAAGTTAATAGTAAGAAATATTTTTTAAAATGTATAGTTACAGCTTTACGAGAGGTTGCCAGGTATGGCTCGTGTACAATCCCTCTCGTCCTTAGTCCTTTTTGGATCGTCCAAAGAATTTCTTCTTCTTTTTCTTGTCATCGCTGTCGTCATCACCGTCCTTCTTCTTCTTTTCATCATCATCTTCACCATCCTTGCTTCCTTCTTCTTCATCATCTTCTTCGTCGTCATCACCGCCATCTTCCATGCGTTCGACAAGAGCCTCACCCCAGTCATCTCCAAGAACTGCTCCAGCTACAGTCTCCTTGGCAGCAGTGGCGGTGGCAGCAGCAAGATCCTTAGCCTTGTCCAAAAAGCCTCCGAATCGTTTCTTGGTCTTGCTCTCTTCTTCTTCCTCCTCCTCCTCTTCGCCTTCTCCTTCTTCAATGTCACGCATCTTCTTGCTCTTCTTGCCCGACACGGCAGCTCCGGCAGCGGCACCACCAGCGGCGCCTCCAGCAGCAGCACCACCATCCTTCTTTTTCTTGCCATCGTCTTCCTCCTCTGCTCCTTCCTTCTTCTCGTCCACTTCATCGACAGTATCTTCAGCGACTCCTGCGACATCATCGTCGACAACTTCGGTAGCATTTTCGGCAGCATTGCCAATGCCTGCAATGATAATAGAAAGGAGGAAGAATGTTTGTGTTAGACGCAATCTGTACATTGGTGAACAAAGTAGACAGATAGGAATATCCAATATTATGGTCTTACCATCATCGCCTCCCAAGCCACCAAGATCGCCGCCACCACCGCCGCCGCTGTCTCCCATTTCGGCAATGTCGACGTCTCCCATGACGGATCCGACAATTTGGGCCGCAATAAGATCAGTGGCAGCGGCTCCAATGGATGCCATGATACCACCGAACTTGCTCTTGCCAGGGTCTTCCGGCGCATCTGCTTGATTTGCTGCTCTGGAACGGTTGGGCTTCTTTTGAGCCTTCTTGCCCTTGTTATCGTTATCGTTATCGGGTTCATCGGGTTCTTGTTCTTCCAATTCGGCATCATCGAACCAGTTTCCTTCCTCTTCTTCTTCCTCGCCGTCTTCGCCATCATCATCTCCATCTAGGTCATCATCTCCTCCATCAACTCCATCGTCATCGAGTTCGACATCTTCATCGACATCGATTTCAAAGTCATCAAAGTCTCCACCCGTACCATCCCAGGTATCGTAACCGCCTTCCATGCCTTCCATATTTTGCATCTCGACATCATCGGGAGCAAAGCCATCAGGGTCCATGAAATCGGCTTCAATCAGTTCGGGACATTCTCCAAGAGCACGAAGGTTATCAGGATCCACCAAGACCTTCATGGTTTCGGGATCTTGCATCAACTCTTCGCACAAGGGATTCGAGTCACGAAGTGCTTTGAGTTCCTCGTCATTTTCAATGTTCTCTTCCAGATTGTCGGGATCGTCCAACAGCCGTTGCATGTTCTCTTGGACTTCGGGGTCTTCCATGTGATCCGCGGCTAGGTTCAGGGCACGTTTGTTTTCGTCCATGCCTTCGTAGTCGTCACCTTCGGCATCACCGTCCCCATCTCCGTCACCATCGAGTTCTGTTGAAGGAAACAAAAAAGCAAGCAAAAGGAACAAGTGTGTGTTGATGGTTAGCAACAAAAGCTGCAATGCAAGAATAAATCAAGCAATCAATCAATCAAATGAAACTTACCATCCAGAGCATCTTCAAAGCAACATCCCATGATGGCACCTGTCACCAAGGCAAAACCTCCACCGGCGATACATCCCATCAACTTCTTGATAAACAGGAGAAACTTGACGACCTTGAAGAAGGGAGAGTTGACAAACCATTTCCAGCATCCCTGCTTCTTTTCTTCATCGCCTGGCAAGACACCACCTGCCTCACGGTAGACGGTCTCAAAGTTAATCTTGACAAGTTTGGGGTCTTCAAAGACTGGTCTCAAATCAGGATACTGATCCAGCAAGTGCTGCAAGCGTGGACAATCCTTGTAAATTCCAGAGGCAAAATCAGGGTCCTCCCGGATTTTCATAACAATGTCTCTCATCATTTCCAAGTTGTCTTTCATCACTTCTTGGGCCTTTTCTTGCAATTCATCCGGAACATCTGTCAGAGGAGCTTGCTCTGCCGCCTTTGGGGCATTGCGCTTTCGAATTCCCATGGTTATATGTATATATACTGTATAGATATGCGATTGAGTAGTGAAGGAAAGGGTTCCAAGGTGTTTCTTCAGCTATCGTTCAGCGTTCAGATTTCTAAAATGCCGCCTGTTGTGAAAGTGATTATTCGCTGTTGTTGTTGTTGTATGAGTGATTTGATACACTACTTCCAAAGCTGTTAGGATGGAGTGTTTCTAACTACGATGCGGCTGTAGCTGAAGTGCTAGAGTATAGCCGTTCCAAGTAATGTGCTGTACTAAACTTCCGCTTCTCGGCAGTACCAGGCAGCATGTTTCCAGCCCAGTGGCGGTTTCGGAGGTGATGAATTGGCCCTGTTGGGGAATGTCGGAGGAATTGGTGCAACCACAGTACCGGATTTGGGCTAATTGTTAAGTAAAATAGACATTTTTGAATTTTTACACTACGTAGAAATGGGCATGCATGGGCATGAAAGTCATTTTTAGGATTACGATTACGAGTATTTTTCGGGTCGCATAGAAAAGAGGATCCCCCAAAATAAAGAGTTGAAAGTGCTAAGTATTGTACGTCCAAGAGGGACAGTGTATCAAAGGTAGCCACAATTATTATTCAATTTATACATTTTACATCCGCTCGGAGAAACATGAACTATCTAGCGAGCGATCAAGACGCCAAGATAATAGTGACAATACTCTTTTCAACCCATCACCAAGCAAGTGGCTGGTGCTGGTGCTAACAACAAATCATCATCAAAGCCAATCATTCTTGTTCTTGGAACACCAGATTCTTGAACTGTTCCCATGCTTTCAAAAAAGGAATTCTACAGCTCGTTCCTTTTGCTGCGCACCGCAACAATAGTCACACATTCAACATTTAGTCATTCATTGCTGTCCATCTCTATAAATCCACTAGCATTGGGAATAATCGATCCAACAAGGGCTTTCGGTCCAATTCGTCCTCCGAGTCGGACAGAGGCGACAACCCCGGTATTCCTCCACTGGCACCCTTCATTTTTCCCTTGTAGGGAGTATCCGCGGCCACAATTTCCACTTGTCCGCTAGCCTTTTTCAATAATTCCAAGGCTTCGTGAAACTTCATATCGTCATGACACGATGTTCCGTTCAATTGGATGACTTTCATGCCCGTCTCCAGAGAGGATCCAGCAAAGATACTGTCTCCGTTAATCTGGGAGATAAAGAGACCTGGTACTTTGGTGGAATTCTTGAGCCAGATGCCACATTTGGTTTTGCGTTTGGGTTTCTTGCCAGCCGCCTTGAAGAGAGTGGCCGCTTCGACCTGCATTGTCGCGCCTACTTGAGCCTTTTGCAAGACTTTGGCAGCGTCTCTTGGACCCAACCAAGTCATTTCTTCCCCATTCACCTTGGTGACAATCATTCCTGGCTCCAAACCTTTCCCCGCAAACGGAGACTCGTCGCGGATTGTTCGAATCATGAGTGGAGAATCGGGTGTTTTTCGGGAAAAGGCAATTCCATATTTGGCTCCAGCCTGTTTGGTAGCAGCGGCTTTGACGACGACCATGTCCTTCTTGTTGATAGTGTTGCCTTTGTTTTTGTTTAGTGAGTAAGTGTTCTAGGACTGCTGGCACTGTAGATATGTAGATATGTAGATAGGTTACAAGAAAGGTGGAGGGAGTTGTCGATTTTCCGTTCGTGGGAGTTATTCGTTTGCGATTGTTGTGAGAAGGTCTGGGCGGGTTGGCTCGGCGGTTGGCTCACGTCCTACCTATGGCCGTGGTAGTTTCAGGTCGCACCAATCGCCGATTCGCCCACGAGTTTCTCTTCATTTAGCCGAACAAATATAAAAGGGGTTATGATAAGAGGGAAAACCGATACCCCCAGATTCACCCCGGAAGAAAACAAAAGGCATGACAAGAGACACATAATAATACTGACCATTGATTGACCTGAACTCTGCGGTTATTGTGAAGGACAAATCTTCCTAATAGGTACAACAAGTACCAAGTAGACTTGATCCTCCCAGCCTCAAGAGAGTGAAAATGGCACAAATTCGTGCAGCAAGTCGGCGGTCATCCACAGCGAGTCTGAGCAGCGTCTTGCGGAAGTTGGCCATTGTCATTGTGGGATGCATGGTTGTCATTGTTCGAGTTTCAAGTCCAGAGAGCGTTGAATTGAATGTGAATGATCCGGAACGAGTTCAGCGACAACAACAAATACAACAAAATCACCAAAAGCCAGTATCAACGACCCGTCAGTTGGAAATGCAAAAGCCTCCATTGTCCCCTAATTTGGAAAGTGCGATTGCGAAACCAATTACAGAACCATCCAATTCCAAAGCATCCGAAAAGAGCGATGAAGAGAGCGATGAGGAGGAATCAGAATCAGATGAAGAGGAGGACGAGGGCGAGAGAAAATCAGAGACAGAACCACCAGTAGCTACGCCGACAGACCCTCCAACTGGAGGACCTACTACTTCTTCTTCAGCAGAAACAACAGCAACAGCACAGGCATCCAGAACAAGTTGCCAGAGACATTGTCCCAAACGAATCAATCGCATATTCTTTCACAACAAACCAGCTGGTCTTTTGGATCGAGAGCTGACGTATCACGTAATGTCCAATCTTGCTGGATACTTGTGCGCTCTGGTGGAGATTCCACCGCCATCCGTATCGCTCCAAGCGGTTCACAATCACAACAAAATGGTCGACACGGAACTCCGATGGATTGATTTTTTCAACATGACCTTTGTGGATGATGGAACATCATCATTACTGGAGGCAAACGATAATCCAAAGTTTCCAGCAGACGTATATTGGGGTAGTTCTGGAACCTACAAACAAGCGGATTATCCTGGATGGAAAATTGTGGTTACGTCTAAGAAGGACAACATGACTGAACATTACCAGGAATTGCAAGAGTTTTCATTCCAACAATCGCCGGATGCCGAAACTGGCTTTATTTGGGAAATTCACAAGCCATACTTCAAATCCGAGCTGCGGAAATCTGATACCTTGCCAGAGCTGCCGGAAGACCTCCAAGCAATGCTTGGCTCCTCCTATTCTCCCAGTATGCAACCCTTCTTGCGCTGGAGTCCCAGCAATGTGACTGGATGCAACTATGTAGATGACGATCAATATAGAATGTCACCAACTCAGTTGGAACCCATCCGAGAAGCCATACGGGCCCGTGTTCGATCTCTGGCTCCATCCAACACCTCTGTCTTTGGTTTCTTTCACATTCGACGAGGGGATGGTACCAAATCCTGCAACACCACATTGCCCGTCTTGAAAGAATTTTTTGATTGCTCCATTGCTGGAACGGAACAAACTGGAAAACATATTACCTTCTTGTTGGGAAGTGACGAACACGACGACGAGTACCGGCAGGCAGTCATGGACTTGAGCAAGGATGTACCACACATTTCTATGCTGGATGCTGACAAGATTGTCGACTCGACCATGCAGGAAATGGCAGAAAATGGACAAATGCCCAAGAGATACATGAACAACTACCATCAGTTTGAGTTTCTGAAAACACTGGGTATGGATCGAAAGTTCGACTTTGCATCCGTACATCTCATTCGAAGACGGAATGTGGATTGTCAAGAGTGCACTAATTTATTGAAAACATATCCAGAAGCCTGGTCATAAAATAAACACCTTGCGCTAACATATTTTATATATCGACTACTGCTTAGTAAATTTATGATTTACGCTTACAACTCCAACACTTGCTCCTCTATTTCGCGTGGATTTTCGGCTTTGGCTTTTCGTACCGGTATCACTGTTCGTTTACGAGACTTTGTGTCATTTGCTACCGCCGTGGAGTCTTGAGTCGGACCAGATACCAGTGTTGCACATAGTGTGTCCTGAAAACTCAATAATATGTCGAATAGACTCTGGACTGAGGTGGAAGAATTGTGGCCATTTTGTTCTCCAAGTCTCTCCTCTTTTGTGACCTTGCTTGATCGAGATTTGAGCGACAATATGGACGCCCCCCTGAAGAATCTAGGTCGGCGTGTCTTTGGATCAAACCGTTGTACCGTCGGTACTGCAGCTTCTTTCTTCAGTCCGAATATGATTGCTCGTCGGTTCAATTTCTCATCATCGACGGGAGATTGTACGGTCGCGATGGAACTTTTGGGAATAGGTTTGCGGAGCTTTCGAAGCTGCATTACTTGTGACACGACTTCGCTGGTTCTAGATTGTTTCCTTGATGGAGGGAGAACACTTTGGAACAGTGGGTTGTTATTCTTTGTATAGCGCTCGGGAAACTGATCATCAAGGTCGAAGCATTCCTCCTCCTTCTTCGAGTTCCTGAAAAACCACCCGGAAGGACTGTTCTCGTCCTTTTGGATAGGGATTTTGCTTTCGCTCTCGGCAAATGAAAAGTCGTCCATGTCAATATCAAATTCTTGCACCATTGGTGGTTCACGGGCTGTAGAGGGCTCAACTTTGCTCGTGGGGGCGTTCGTCACGTCGTCGCGGTTCTCAGTCACTGTTTGCAAAACAGCAGTCGTCTGTTTCTGTTTACTTGTTTCTTTGACTTTGTCTCCAGAATACTCAAGAGCTTCTGCAGTAGATATTCGAGGGTGGCTACTTGATTCATTTTTTTCTCCTGATCCTTCAATAATATCACCTCCAGTCGCCTTTTCTTCTTCTTGTTTACCTGGTTCCATTTCGTCACCTGCCTCCTGCTGGATATCAGTAGCAGTACTGATATCATCAAGATCAAAATCCAATTGAGCCTCTAGCTGCACCAAAGTAATCTCAATGGAATTCCCGCTCGCTCTCAATGCCAATGCCGCATCCTTGATTTCATTCGGAAATGTCTTGCCATTGATCTTAATAATCAGCATTCCGTGCTCCAAGCCTGAAGAAGCCATAATACTCTTTGGTGCGACATTGTCAATGAAAATCCCCTCTCGTTTTGTAGAGTTCTTGATGGAAAATCCCCAACTGTTCTCTTCTGAGTCTCTCTTCACTCTGATGGTCTTTGGAATGGCAGCTTTGATCGATACATTTGATCCGACAGGTGCACTCTTAAGAAGACGAGCGCAATCTTTTGGAGTCTTCCAGGTCGCGTCTTGCCCATTCACTTCGAGAACATACATTCCTGGTAAAAGGCCCTTACGAGTAAACAAGCATTTTGATCGAATGGATTCTATCGTTGTTGGGATATTTGGCTTGCTGCGATGGAAGACGATTCCATATTTCACTTTCTCTGACTTTTTACGTACTACCGCTTCCACCACACTCCCATGTTGTTGACATTCATTCTTCTTGCTCCTTCGAAGGAAACCCATTGTTACAATAGACGGCGGAGGGGATTGGGTTCGATGTGGTGCTCCAAACGTATATTATATTTGGTTTCGTGCGTTGACAATCGCAAAATGTGACAAGATTTAGGCACGTGCTAAATATTTAGCTCTATATATTCGTAACGCACCAGCGTACTGCATAGCGCGGAAACTTGAAGAATAGCGCATGCAGTCGTTGAATAAGGCAGATAGAGCATAGTTTGATGATGCAGTAGATTCATTATAATAAAATAGTGATTATGATACATTGTCCAATAGTAGCATTACGGGAGTGCTACCGAGTCCGAAGTGCTGATCGATGTCTTCTTCCGTAATCTTGGAACCAATTTCTTAAATATTGATTTCTTCGTCTTCTCGTAGACAACATCCGGATCTTCTTCACTGGGGCCTTCCTCGAGGCTAGTTTCTGAGATGGAATCGTCTCGCCATCTTTGGGTCCATATTTCAAAGAATGATCGTGTATTTTTGGGTTTCTTTCGTGGCTTCTTTGCCACAGGCGCGTGTTGAGATGGGCTCGATTTTGCTCCACCCTGAGTCTTCTTGTAGTATTCTGCGGAGAGTGGAAAAGTTATGGACTTCATTTCTCTCATTGATCGTAATTGTTTTTTTGGGTTTTGACCTTCACCTTCAGCAACAAAGCCACAACCGAAGACACTGACGTAACCATCCAGTGCACAAGCAATGTTCCCAGGTGCAGTCTCTGGATTCGGGGTCACTGTCTCCGGAACTCCTGGTTTGGGCCAGTTTTCATCAACGTCTACAATATGCAGGTTCACTGCTGTTATTTGTAATTCATGCTTTGTTTCGTCCAATATTTTGAAAGCATCTCGTGCCCTTCTAGGACAAGGCTCGCCATTGATCTCAATGATTTTCATATTTTCCCTCAACTCAGTGTTTTCAAATTGACCAGTAACCTTTGCAATGATTACACCTGAAGACTCTTTTGGTCTTACTAGGTACAAGCCCCAGGGCGTGTACTTGCTGTGCCTCTTGCCTACTGCACAGAAAATTTCAACTACAATTGAAACAAACCCTCCGATAGGAGTATTCTGAAGCATCATTGCAGCTTCCACTGGCGTTTCCCATTGTACACGTTTAGCGTTGATCTCGGTGACTACCATCCCAGGTGCAAAACCCTGACCATAGAACACGCCATCCTTCAGCATCGATTGAATGGTCAATGGACTGTGCGGCGACTTCCTACAAAAAATGATACCAAACTTGGTGTCCTTCTTTCTTAGAATTGTGACTCTTCGAAGCGTCATTTTGCTTGTTGTACTGAGTTATCTTGTTTGTAGCAATTCCTCCTCGCTTCTGACGCCCTTCACCGTGTGGTGTTGTCTGCGGTCCTGAAGGTTTTCCGGTTCTTGACAGTGAAAAAGTGCGCACGAAACGTATTATCGCCTGCGGGCGATACGACCGTCTTCTTGATGTCGCACACAATCGCTAATGAAAATTGTCGGTATATAATATTTTTTTATGGTGACGCGTTTTCTGTTGAAACGGTATTTTCAATTTGGATGTTCCTTTTATCGGCGCCACACAGAAGCAGGAAGGGCAATACAATCACGATGCATACTACTATTTTCATCGTACCATGCACCGAACCCACTTCTACGCTTTTTCAGTACCAACTTCAAATTAATCTTTAGTTGTAGCCATTGGAATTAGTGTTTGTTCAGTTGTTATAGGTTTCTATTTGGTGACAGGGCGAGAGTACACATAAAAAAATACTATGTGCACTACAAGAGTGCCAGAGCTGGATGCTGTCTATTTACAGCGGCGCTTTCAGTCAGCGTTGTACTTCGTGGTGCAGCCTGCTGAGAACTGGAGTTCTCCTTGTCCTCAGGTGAACGTGGCATAGCATGAACGCCAACGAGTTCCAAATCATCCCCAGTTTGTGCAACCATATTGATGACATCCTTTGCCTCACGAGGGCATCGCTTTCCATTAATTCTAATAACTTTCATACCAGCCGTAAGTTCGGTGGAAGCAAATAGACCGTCTTCTTCGATTCCGGAGATGTAGATTCCAGACATCTTGGTTGAATTTTTCAATGTCAAACCCCATTTTTGGTACTTGTTGCTTCTGTGGACAGTTCCAGTGAAACATTCCACTGTCAGAGAAACCTCTTGGCCAACATCGGTTTGGGCCAAAAGTGTAGCTGCTTCAGTGGGGCGCTTCCACTCGACTTCAACTCCATTCACTGCCTTGACAACCATTCCAGGGATAAGACCATGTTTTGCAAATATCCCTTCCTTTCGAACTTCCTTGATGATCACAGGAGAGTCCGTGGTCTTACGGCAGAACGAGATGCCGTATTTCGAGTCGACTGTGGCTCTAACACCGGAGATTACTTTCACTGTCATGCTGATTGATTCACGTTGTCTTCTCGTTGTTGCAAAATTGTGAAGGAGTGAAAATCAGAGGATATTGGTCCGGTTTATATTCATCATACGCGTACGAATATAAATGAAATGTAGGCAGTTGCCGACTCCGCGATTTCGGGTTACGGACGTTTCTTTGGCGATCAAAATCAGACTGACTAGTTCGAATAAGTGGAATGACTAGTTCGAATGCCAAAACCAATACTATTTTATGTGTTATTAGTCCTAGTACTGTACCCTTTGGTTTTATTATACCACTAGGAACGCATTGTTCTCACTATTATTATTATTATTGTTATCTTATTTCTACTGATACGCTTAGTCGAAGTCGAACACAAGGCATTTGAAATAGCTGTCCAAGAATGGACCTTCTTGTCGGGATGCCAAGTCATCCACCGTCACCTTGAATCCCTCTTGGAAGGCTGATGTCGCCAAAATTTCCACCTTCTCACCAGACTTTCGTAGTAGTTTGCCGGTTGCTTTCAGAGTAGAGGGACAAGGCTTACCGTTGATCATAAGGATCTGCATACCTGGTTTCAATGGAGAGAAAGCAAATGGACTGTCCTCCTTGATATGCGAGATGAATAGTCCTTCACGACTCGATGAGTTCTTAACAATCAAACCGAATCCTTCATTTCGCCTCGACTTGTATGCCGTTCCACAGAAGCCTTCTGCTGTAATAGAGATACGCCCTACCGGTGCATGTCGAATAGCTGCGGATGCTTCCGCAGGGCTGAGGAGCCATGAGGCACGCCGACCATTGATCTGCAATACAACCATTCCAGGTTGGATCATGCTGCCTTTCATGATGCCAGTCTCAGAAATTTCCTTAACGACCAGTGGAGATGTCGAGTCAGCCCGTGAAAATGTAATTCCAATCGGTGCAGTAGGTGTTTTCTTGTATGCAATTGCTTGGATTCGGGATAGCCTTTGATCTTGGTGTATTCCGTTTTCACCTTTTCTTGCTGTTAGTAGCATTCGTCCCGACTTTCTGGCTTCTTGGAAAAGCTTGAAGACGTGTTCGACATCCTTCTGAACAACGGACTTGTTGTCAACGGCAAGTAGAACCATGCCCGCTTCAAGAGCGGTTTTCGAGAACCAACTGTCCTTGCGGATTTCCTTGACCACCAAACTGTCCTTTTTCCTAGAAAGGACAATCCCTGGTTTGGTCTTTCGGAGTTCTTTCTGCAAAGAGATGTGCACGAGCTCACTTCTTTGCTTTCTTGGATCCTTCTTTGGCATTGATCCACCAAAACAGCTCACAATTGGATGGGAGGAGAGCATGGCGTCAGTCGTCTTCCGTCTTGTTGGAAGCTTTCTCAGTATCATGACTTCTTCTTCTGGTCGAGGACTTTGCAAGTTATCTTTTTGGAAGTCGGCTCCAATGGTATTCATCATACTTTCATGTACATCATGCTCCGAGTCGCATGTCATATCGGACACTGTGATGTTGTCGCCGTCCAGAAAGGCTAAAGTAGCAAGGATGGTAACCTCCCCTTCGGTTCCATCCAATAGATCCACTGCATCCTCTGCCTTGAGTGGACAAGGCTTTCCGTTGATGAGAATAACTTGCATTCCAGCGCGCAATTCGGACCTTGCAAACTCGGAAGCTGGGTCAATGCCAACAATAAAGACTCCTTCGCGAGACGAAGAACTGGTCACTGAAAGGCCGAGCGAATCGCCGGCGATAGCTTTGAAAGCCTTCCCAGTGTAGCCTTCGGTAGTGATGGATACTTCACCTGGCGCAGCATTTTGAAGTTCTTCGACGGCTTCTCGTGGATTCATCCATGTTGCATCCTTCTCGTTCACTTGAATTACAACCATTCCAGGACAAAGTTCTGACCCTTGAAACTTTCCTTTTTTCGCAAATGATTTGATGATAAGAGGTGCATCTCTGGCGTTCTTTCGGAATGTAATTCCAAAGACATCTTCTTTTGTCTTCTTTGTGACAATTGTGTGTAATCGAGAATATCTTGGCACATTATAAGTAGTAGAAGAAGAACCTTCAATGGCAACATTATCTTTGGTCAACTTCACTTCGATACTTCCACATTCCGCAATATTTGACTCATCCTTTTCTGGGGGACATTTGTTGGTTTCCGGCTTGGTATAACAGCCTGCCACAAGTGATAGCTTCCCCTCATCTTGTGCCTGGCAGAGCGCCTTGATGACTTTGGAAGGAGTGCGGCCAGCCATTGGAACACCATTGACAGATAGAACGGCCATTCCAACTCGAAGCGCAGTGGACGTAAACCACCCTTTTTCTCGAATCGTGTTGACCAGGAGTAGAGTTGTCCCTCTGGTTCGTTCCAAAACAAGTCCTGGTTTCCCAATGAGCTGGTCCATCTCAAGCTGGATTTCAACCACCACTTGTTGTCGGTCTTGAAGTTCAGGTTCGTCGAATCTTAATGTTCTTGAGTCAGCTAGCTTCATCTGATTTTTGCGGAGGTGACTGGACGTTCGATCTTTGACGTGAAGTGAACTATAATCATCTGGAGGAGTAGAAGTAGTGGTTGGATGATGATCTTGTAGTTGCCCTTTCTTTGATGTCAAAAGTGGCCATCTTTTCCGAGGACTGTAGTCTTTGGTTGACACCGCTACGGTGATTCTTTCAGTGAGCTGCGGCGGCATTTCACTTGTCAACCACCTTGTTTTGTTGTTGGGTGGAACTACAAGTTTTGTCGGTGGTTAATCGCAAGGCGTTTTTTTTTTTCAAGGATGTAAAATTTGGTTCTTTTTTGTGAGTGATTTTTCGATGCCATAAGTAAATAAATCGGAGTAGCGATGGACCGCATAAGTAAATATATTTTCCTAGCTCGCTTCAAAAATGGTACTCTGATAGACTCATTTTGGCTTTGAACATGCATACAGTATGGTGCCGGTATGAAGTAACGAGCACTGCAATGTCCTGTTGACCAAACGAATGAATGAATGGCCACTAGCATCTAGGTACAAACTCATGATACGCCATCTACTGTAAGTGGTTGGATAGTTCGTTGTAAAGAAAAATTAAAAAATGATTCTCAGCAATCGGCAGTTTCGATTTTGATGACATTCCCAGTGAGATCGGTGCGAGATGCAACTGCTGCTTTGCGACTCGAATTGGTGGCAAATCGCTCATAATCGGAATTCCAGGTGTTCCCTTTAAGCCAGTCGGTAGTCGTACTAGAACAGCGGGCCGAGAGCTTGGCTTTCGCAATCATTTTGTCTTCAGAACGCAGCTCAATGGTTCCATCCTTTCTATCTATCCATTTGACTTCAAGAAAAGTAGAACCAGCATTGGGATAGTGCGTAATGCTGCCATTCTTGTAGACCACGACATACCTTGCATTCCAAAGAAAGGGAGACCGGCGGCTTTGAATACGCAGCCAGCCTTTGTGAATCACATTGGTGGATCCCTGTGGTATCCCTTGTAACTTGTTCTGAATAGCATAGTTCATATGGTCGATTTTTGCGTTCAATCCTTCAAACTTTGACAGCTTCAAACTCACGTCTTCCAACGTCGTTAACTTCGATTTCACGTCTTCCAAGCGCGCAATTACCGCACTATCGGCGCTTATTGATTGGAGTTGCTTCGTCCCAAGGTTTTCTTGCTGTTGGGCCATCTCATGTTCAGGAATACAGGCTGACGATTCTACGGAAACCGCACTCTCGGCCTTGTTCTCAACATCTCCATTGGCAGAGAATCCGTGCTCAGTATCTCTGTTTGTATTTCGAGCCACCGCAGACAATGTGGCATTTTCCTTTTCCCTTTGCTCAATGGACATCTCCAAGCATTTCGATCCAAACTTTTCAAAGAGTTGCTCCACTTCTGGATGCACATATTCTGTCTCATCCTTACTGACTGCCATTGTCAAACCGCAACGCTCGAAGCTTTCGTCTTTAATGAGTAATCCAATGCCATCATACGACTTCTGAATTCTGTTCAAATGTTTCTTTGTCAAAGCTGGACCTTCGGCCGAAGCTGCGCTATCGATTCGATCCGTGAATCGTTCCAGCAACACATCAGCTAGGCCATCCTCCTCGTTATCGCCGCCCATTTCATCCACCAACAAACCTTGCATCTCTGAAAAAAGATTGGAGGTCTCCTTTAAACCTTCTTCAGCCCCACTTAGCGATGGAAGAGGGAGGCCAAAACCGCGGCCTACTGCCAGTCCTACTTGAACAACCTTCAATCCAATGAGAATAGCAGGTCCATATTTCTTGATCCAACCCTGAGGCATATCGATATCATAGCCAATCGCTTCACCATCCGTTCCCACAACTGGCTGCAGCGTTAGTGGACAGATGAAATATAACATTGCCTTGGTCGTGAGTATGCTGCTTGGCATTGAGGCTTTCTTCATTGCTGTAATAAACCGCGAAAAACCCTTCTCTTTATTGACTTCTTCGGCTACTGGAAGAATCACAAAATACTTTGGTTGTGGCTTTTCGCCTTTGAAGATCAGTTTCAAAAGATCGTTGGCCGCAGCTTGATATCTCATAACACGCTTTAGCGAATCGTGGATTTGTCCAAAAGACTTGTGGATTTGAGCAAAATTGACTTTGATGATTTCTTGATTCTCCATCGCTCTTTTCTCAATTCGTGACAGGGCTTCTGATTCTGATTTCACAGCATCGGGTTTGAAGTAGTCGTGAGCTAGCACTTGCTGCATCGTCAAGCGATCTTTCATATCGCGGCGAAGGATCTTCTGCAGCAAATCACGACCATAGGCATCTGTTACTTTGAGCTTCAATTTGCTCTTCGTATCTTCATCATTCCAGTCGTGTAGCTGTCTCATCGCGTCACCATCTGTGATATCGTCCTCATTGTTCACTTTAAATAACGACTCCTTTGTTATCAGCTCAAACAACAACACACCAAAAGACCAAACATCTAGACTCGTATGAGCAGCCAGCAGCTCATACGGCAAGTCAGCTTTTTTAATTGGCACCAACGTTTGCACAGCATTGTACCTTTCATTGAACTCGTCCCATGATTTCACTTCTTGCGTCTCCTCCCAAAACGAGCGAACTACGAAGTGTCGAACATCTTGTCCAGTGGTGGTCAAAACTTTCCTCTTATCTTTCTCGTCCTCGCTGTTCCTTCCTTGCTCAACATAATTCTCGTAAAGATCCAATTCCTTTCGAGTTTTCAGCTCATGGATCATCTCCGGGGGAAGTACGCCAGAAGAAAACTTCGACCCGATGTAGTCACCAACTTTCGTCGATGCATCCAAATCAATCAACAATAGCCGTCGATTTGTTCTCACCGCATTCAACATCTTGATGTCACCATGGACGATATCCTTCTCATGTAAGTGCAGCAATGCCTCTCCAATTTCGGTCATCAAGTTACGGACAGCAATTGGTGCAGGGCGCTCACTTCGAAATATTGTGTCCAAATTCCGATCTCCATAAGGCATCACCAATACGCTTCTGTATTCTGTAGAGACCTCATCTTGCTCTAAAAACGACGTATCGGCACCATCTTCTTGCAAGAACGAGTTCCTCAGTGATTGGACCAATCCAGTATCGCTCTTTTCTTGATCATGGCTTCCAATACTGCCGACAATATATTTCGAATCCAAACCATTATTTTTCCGACGATCCACTTCTCGGTGAAACTGATCCTTGTTCCGCATAAACTTTAGAACGACATTGCAACCAATTTCGTCCAAGCAAAATTCAACAAACTCCTTTTTGGAAATAATTCCATTTTTGTCGACATCTGCCCGTTGGAACAAATGGTTGATGTTCTTGTCGTCGTGTGGAATGAGCTCCACCTTGCCCAATATCGCCTTGAAGGCATCTTTGCCTACTTCTTTTCCTTCATACGATTTGTACTTCTCTTCAAAGTATTCCATCATCTTGGCATCCGTTGCCTTGACCACAACACAGGTTGCCGACTGGTGAATGGGTGGTCCTTTTTCAATATCATAGCGGCCAAGAAAGAACAGCCGTTCTTCAAACACTTTTTGGATGTGTCTGGGTGCCACCGACTTTGCAACGCGGGCGGATTGATCTTTGATGTCGGCGAGTTGTCGAACTCTTTTCAAATTGGCCTTCTCTTTCAGATAGTCGCACAACTTGATCATATATGGGTCCTCTTCGTCAGCTGCATTGTTTGCCAAGAATTTCAACCACCCGTTGCGTTCCGGAATAGAATGTAAGCGCCGCGTACCATCAATAATTGAACCAATATAGCTTGCTCTGACTTTTTCGAGAACTGTTATATCTTTGCCTAAGTTCTCCACCAACTCGGATCTCTGTATTGGATTGGAGGCATAGAGATTCACGACATTATCCCAGTTTATCAAATGCTTTTGTTCTTCGCCGAGTTGTGTGTAGAACCGAATGTGGATGGCTGGATTTGCACTAGGAACGTCCAAAGATATTAGATTATTGCATCTTTTAAGGACATTCTTCCCAACAACAGACACGTTGAAAGGGATAGAGAACTTCTCAAGACAACCGCAGTTGTAGAAGGCTTCCTCTCCAATCGTCTCCAAAACTGTCGACTCTCTCAAGTCAACTTCCTTCAGCCGATAGCATCTCTCAAAGGCTTGGTTTTCAATAGTCTTCACGTTCGATGGGCACTTGAAAGAATGTAAATCCCAGCACTGGTAAAAGGCCATCGCTTCAATCGTATCCAAAGCTCTGGCATTGCTGAAATCAGCTTCCTTCAGGTTCACGCATTGGCTAAACGCTTGGTATCCTATCGTCTTGACGCTGGGTGGGCACTTGAAAGTACCACCAAGACTAGTGCAATAGATGAAAGCTTCCTCTCCAATCATTTCCAAAGCTGTTGCCTTGCTGAAATCAACTTCCTTTAGCCTTTCACATTCACCAAAGGCTTTATTTCCAATAGTCTTAACGTTAGATGGGCACTTGAAAGCGAGAAGACTACGACACTCGTTAAAGGCTCGTTCCCCAATCGTTTCCAAAGCATTTGCCTCGCTGAAATCAACTTCCTTCAGCTATTCACAGTTCTCAAAGGCCTGTCTTCCAACAGTTTTGACGCTGGGAGGGCACTTGAAAGCAAGGAGACAAGGACATTTCAAAAAAGCCTGTCCTCCAATTGCTTCCAACGCTGTAGCCTCGCTGAAATCAATTTCCCTTAGATTTTCACATTCCTGAAAGGCCATATCTCCAATAAAATTGACGTTAGATGGACACTTGAATGCAAGAAGACTCGAACAGTCACAAAAAGCTTGCTCTCCAATCGTTTCCAAAGCTGCTGCCTGGGTGAAATCAACTTCCTTTAGATTTTCACATCCCATGAAGGCAAACCTTACAATGATCTTCAAATTTGATGGACAATTGAAAGCAAGAAGACTACGGCACTCCTTAAAGGCTGCGTTTCCAACGAGTTCCAAAGCAGTTGCCTCACTAAAATCAATTTCTCTCAGGTTTGTACACTCGTCAAAGGCCATCTGTCCAATAATTTTGACGTTGGACGGGCACTGGAAAGCAAGGAGATTGCGACACTTGGAAAAGGCCTCCTTTCCAATGGTTTCTAAAGCTGTTGCCTCGGTGAAGTCAATTTCTTCCAGCGTTTCACATTTCTCAAAGGCGCGCTTTCCAATGGTCTTTACAGGCCCACGCACAATCAATTTCTTCATGGTATTTTGGATGGCTTTTGGTATTTCTTGATCTTCGCTTTCGTACACAAATTCGATAACTTGTTCTTCATCCTTTGAGGATTCTTGTTCTTCTTGTTCTTCTTGTTCACTCTCATCACCCATCGTTTGCTGAGGCGAACTTTCATCTTCATTTGATATCATGTCTTCTGCTGTATCGTCCATCGAGTTTGTCAAAATGCCTCACATATATTACCGGTATAGATGACGATGATGATGCGAAATCTACGGTATACCGGTATACGGTATCGACGATAATAATATACGCACTTGAAAAGATATTGGATATCGCGCTTATATTGCGTGCTCGCTCGCGTACGTTCGTGATACATTCGACTGCTCCGAGTTCATGAACAAAATGCATGTGAAGAATGACGATGACACTGATGTATGCCGTCTAACAACGAAATCATTTTTTCTATCTTTTTCAATTGTTCGTGACACCTTCTAGAATCCAAGGTAGCCATTCAGCAACCACTTCATCACTTCCATACCATGGGCTTTGGTTCGTTTCCATATCTTGATAAAGTTCTGGTGCGACTTGTTTTCCGACCCATCCCACATCTGTCCATCCAAAGTGATTGACTTTTTCTTGTGGTAATATGAGTGATTCGGAGTTTGGCATGGCCAGTGATGAAAATATGGGTGTCATGCCATCTCCATCATATGTAGCACCATCGGACCCATCCGGACAGCAGAACGAGTAGGCACCTTTGGTCATGCCTCCCCATTGATCTCCCGAGAAACCCTTTCCAGCCACCGCCAGAGTCCGAACTTTACTTTTTGGTACGAATTGCTTTTCTTGTTCATTGATCCAAGATATACCGGCAAAGGCTGGACCTGGTGCCGATGCATGAGGAGTCCCCAAGGTTACTAGCGAATGGACGTATCTGGATCCATGGTATACCTTGCCCCCATATTCTTGTTCACTCAAGTATATCCGACTGATCCATCCACCGGCACTATGTCCAATCAAGGCGATCTTTTTCTGGCTCTTGTTTGCCACCACCAAATCGTCATCTACTACTGGCATTGGGAATTTACCTCGTGGTCGAACATCCTTGGGATAGAGGTTTGGCAAGGAGGATCCCCCGACTTCTGCCACTCCACCTGGATTTTCTTGAAAGTCTCTCCAGGCGTCTAGTAGTGAATATTGAAAGGTCGGAAACGGCTGGTCCATTTCCTCTTTCTGTTCCTCTATACGTTCCAACTGCGCAATCAAATGCTGGACGGTAAAATCAATCCGTTCCAAAATGGGTCGTACCGATCGTCCTCCCACCACGGAAACCCAGTGCCAGCTGGCCATTGGTACCGTGACCGTCAACAGTCCTTGTTTTTCCAAGTTGGATTGCAAGCTTTTTAGTTCGTTGGCTCCCGTGAGATACCCGGGCACCAAGACGGCCGCGGCCAGATTTTCAGTCGTTGGCATTCCGCTGTTGTTGTTGTTCTGATTGTTGTTGTTGTTGTTTTTATTGTTGTTGTTGTTCCTTGAAGGCGGAGGAGAAGACGAAGACAGCCCATGACAAATCGTAGTCAACTGAAGCAATAGTAATAGGAAAGTGCATATTGTTATCATCTTCGGATGCTGTATGTGTGTTTTCACGTCGTCAAACAGAGTATTTTTGATGTGTGACGGTTTTGTAAAATGAGATATTGAAAAAGAAGATCGTCTTTGGAGACCCGGAAGTTAATGGTCATTTCAGTCAATTTCAAATTAATTCGAAGTAGTCCTGCAAGAATGAAAAATGTCTTTTGCCGTGACGTTTTTATGATATGTTACGCATTCCTTGATCACTCCAGCGTTATTATTGCATGATTGAAAGAGATACGCCTCTATATTATAATTCATCCAAGACTTGCAACAGCAAACTCACGTTTCCTAACGGTGCATCAGGTAGCAAGCATACTAGTATCATAACACTTTAGCTTTTGAAATTGATAGTCGGAGAAGAGACAAAATCATCATATCAGAAGAAGAAGACATCAACAAAACCACATATCAGGTGTAAGGCAGTCATCATCAGCAGTCATCAGCACTACCACCAACACAACAATCATATTTACAATGAGCGACAAAGTTGCCCACTCCTTCTCTCCTCCTTTTGAGGGTTTCACGGCATATGGAGACAAGGAAGTACCTCCTCAGCACCATGAGCCCTACGCCAAACGGCCCGACCCGAGCAAACCCGCCAAAACCTTGAGCCCCGATGTTCGCAACAATTGGGTGATCTCACCAGCTTCCAGCATGAGCAATGTGATGCAAGCCAAAAAGGAAGAAAACCAACGACGCAAAAGTGTCTTGGGCCAAGCTCTTCCTATTTCTAGAAAAGTGGAGCGAAGCTTTCAATTGATCACTACTACTACTGTTGCTGCAGCAGGTGTCACCAAAATTCAAGTCTTGCAAGAAGATGATGATAATGATAATGATGAGGAAGAAAAATTACCTCCGACTCCAGTAGCATCCTTTATTGCACAAAAGACCGGGGATGACAAGTTTCCTTGGGCCTTTGTCAATGCAGAAACCGGCCTGGAACTTGCCTGTTACAAGCACAAATCGACCGATTTTGCCAGTCATTTGGAACAAACCGAGGCGGTCCAAAAGCTCAAACCAATGGATCTGGAGTTGTATGGCAAGACACCACTTTATGAAACCCAAAAGTATCGCAAAAAGGGACCCGAGGCCAAAGAAATCATATATCACTGGGGAAGTACCAAGATACGACGTCCCACCAAGATGATGTTTGGATTCATTTCCTTGTCGGAAGCGATAGAAATGTCGACCAAACATGAAACACCCCAAGAATTCAAATTGATAAAGGGGGAAGATGCTGGCTTCAAGATTATTTTGACGAACGATAAGAAAAAGGAAGTGGCCATTGGAGAATTCATGAAAAACGATCATGATGACGATGACGATACTGACACCGATAATGGCGTCAGTCATCGTCTGCGATTGACCATCAAGCCAAAGGTGGATCCAACACTCATTATTGTATTCTTGGCCATGACTAGTTCATTGACGCCAGACGCTGCAAGCTGATAATTTCGTGGTCTACATCTGGCATAATGTCATACAAATGGAAGGGGATACTACATAATGTATGGTTCAGGATTGAAGAGGATCATCTGGTTCGTGTATAGTACAATATCAATTACATTAGGATTTCGAATCAGATGATGCTGCTACCTGGGCATTAAATGAATCTATTTACATTTTTTGACTCGTATCAAGTTTGTCAACATAAGGTTGCAGGATAACGAAGCAGACCCTTGATTCCTCCATTTGTCACGATGACAACTCGATTGATTGATTCAAGCTCACTCCAAGATTTCCAAAAAAATCCGAGTATCAACTCTTCTTCCTGTGGTCTTTTTTCTTCTTTCCTTTTTTTGATCCTTGTTTCGAAAAGACGAAACACAGCAGAACAACTACACATGAAAAGACACCAAAGAATCGGGATTCCACTTGGCCTGTGGAGTTGACCTTTTCCATGTTTTCTATCAGTCCAGCATCTCCAGCCAAGAAGGGCGCTTCCGCTTTGGTCTGTGAGCCTTCAGTGACTTGAAAGGTGACTATAATGCTGAACGGGGCTCCCTAGTATTTGGTGCAAGCGAATTCGTTTCTTCTTCCTCCTTTACACCAAAGTAAGTCTCCATAATCTCGATACACTTCTCATAGATATCATCATTGGAGCGTTGTCGGAGGTCTTCAATTTTTTTTAAACCCTCAGCTTCTGAGATGAGTACGGCCATTTGATTCTGCCCATTAGATGCATTCGCTTCCTCTTCCCCGGCCTTTAGGATGTTCTCCAAGCCCTCAAGAAGAGTAGTTACAAGCTTTGGGTCGTTTACGGTCAATAAATCACAGAGTGGTCGGATGCAACCCTGTTGGACAAGAAATTTGATTTGTTGGCTATTTCCACCTGAACTTGCATTTGAAATTGCCCAAGCTGCTTCTTTTCGAATCTCGAATTCACCATTAGTGAGCAATTGAATAAGGGGAGGGATGATATTGCTTTCAATGACAGCTTGGATTTGTTCCTGGTTTCCTGCGAGAATATTGGAGAGGGCCCAGCATGCCTCCCTTCTGATCTTCGTTTTGGGACTCGACAGAAGAGCCAACAAATTAGGAAGGACATCGTCGTTGATGATTAGTTGATTTTGAGTCTCGTTTCCAGTTGCAATATTTCCGACTGTGCATAGAGCAGGTCTTTGAACTGAGGGAGAAGGGTGGAGGAGGAGTTCGACAAGACGACGGACTACCCCAGCATCAATGACTGCTTGGATTTTATCGTTGGGGCCACCAGATAAATAGGCAAGGGCCCAACAGGTATCAGTCAAAACCTCTTCGTCCCCACTGAACATCAGTTGCGACAGAATAGGAAGGGCGGGTCGGACAATTTCAAAATCTGGCTGTGGCTTTCCACGGCAAAAGTTGGAAAGTGCCCAGATAGCATTCCTTAGCATTGAAAGGTTGGATTTTTGGTGAAGTTGCTGAAGCAGAGGCTCCATTGCGCCAGCTTGAAGCACAAAATCGCGATATGGTGGTGAGTCACCTGCAATGTTTCCGAGTGCCCAAACAGCTTGTTCACGAACATCGGCGTTTGGACTCGTTAGAAGGCGGACGAAGATTGGAACGGCGCCAACTTCCGTAACCAGCTTTGTGTGTTTACGAGTTCCGGATGCAATATTGGTCAGTGCCCAAGCAGCTTCGAATTGCAATGCTGGGCTGTCATCGCGCTGGAGGAACTCAACAAAACGAGGTACTACCCCGGCATCAATAACTTGTTGGATAGGTGGGTTCTTCTCGATACTGAGCAATCGACGGAATTCAGATGTGCATTCGGTTTGTATAGCACCATCGTTTCCCATTATTCCTTGAACCAGTCCTTGAAACTGTTCGATTTTCTGTTCCCGTTGGCCTTCTCTATTTGGCTCCTCTACAACAACATCCGTTTTCTGCCGCTGTGCCTTACCAATGTTTCCTCGCTCTAGAAGCTCCTGTACGCCATAGTTGGGAGACTCTTCAAACGGAACCCAATAGTTGTTGCCACACTTGTTGCATTCCATTTTCTTATTCAGCAGATCGATTCCAGTGAATTCTCTAACTTGATCCATCGTTCGCTTCGTCCCCAGACCAAAACGAGAGTTGCGGATCAAGTCCAGCTCTTTGCGTTCTTGTTCCGTATTGTTGTGATGGGATCCTATTCCCAAAAGCATATTGACTCGATCTGTACCAAACACAGCGAGCCCGAGACGGGACTTCTCGATTTCTTCAACCCATTTCCATGCGCTTTTGCCCAGACTCAAGTCCTTTTCTTCATCCTCTTCTTCGCTGTCGTCTTCATCGTGACGAGGCTTTACTCCCATCACTAGATTTTCTGCATCGGTGCTGTAATCGTGACTTACCAAGACAATGTCTGGAGTATACATATCGTATCCATGGGTAAAGAATCGAATCCCACGGCTAACCTCTTCGCCGTCAAATGCATTGTCCAAAAACGGATCGGTAGGAACAACAAGTTCTCCATGACATCTCTGAAAACTCAAACCAGCTCCCCACATGGCATTGGTCAGCTTTGGACGGGTAAGGAAGCTGCATTGTTTCGTTCCCCAATGATGAATGCTCTCAGTAAAGGCCACCGTACACATGTTGGGGACGATTCGTCCATCTTGGTCGTTGGATTCCATCCCTGTAACATGGGTGCTCAAGACGCCATAATCATTCTTGGTACGATGATGCATTTCAATCAGACGTGTGTCAAAGCGCTTGCTGAAATTCATGCGACTGTGGATCTGCAAATGGGAAAAAGGTGATATGCAATCAGAATTGGAACCTTGAAGGCGACAGACACGACTACTGATAAGTAGAAACTCATTCACCATGACATGAAGAATCTTACATTCATACAGAAATCTTGTTCATTGACAGGCTGCAGATCAATCTCATCAGACTCATTACGATAGATGTAATCCCAATGAACCATGGCAGACAATTTCGACCGAGCATAGGTTGGGCCCATTGATTGAGCCGAATCAATCTTGACAATTCGGACTTGCGATCCGTACTCTTTGCAATTACGATTGTGCTTTTCACAATATAGTTCCCAGCACCCAGCGTCGTCTTCCAGATCTGATCGTGGTTGGACCTGATCAATCACACGAATAAACAGTCGCGATGGATTTTCTGCCTGCGTAAAGGCATAATGCAATGTCCGAGAACATAACTTATCTCTAAAGGCAGGAATCAGAATATGAATGGGAGTCTTTCTGGCATTTTCCAACTTCACATCTGCTTGTTTGGAATAGTGGGGACAACTTCCATGGAGGCAATCCGACTCGGCAACATCAATAGTTCCAAAAGGTCCGTTGGGAAAGAGTCGACGATTGTATTGGTTGTCCAGTGCCAACAGTGAAACTCCAAAGGGATGTTCGCGATTGAAATTCAATTGATTCTGCAGTCGCTTGACAATCTCCTGCTGTTCTCCAGTAGTCAATTGGTCCATAGCCTTGATGATTCCTTCTTCAGTCAAGTCAGGCGGACATCATGTGGTCCATTTTCTGTTGCATTTTATGGCGGTACGATATATATTATAAAAAATACGTGCGGTCTCATTTCACTCACTTTCTTCGTGTAGTCGAACGAATCCAATGACATCGTAGCACCCGTCGCGACGTCGCCGTCGCGTCGATATCGACCGTTACACGCGACACGCGACCGTTACCACGGTCCTGCGTACCCTTTCGAACAAGGATGTTTGAAGGTCACGCACGCATATAGTAGACGCATATAGCCCCTTGAGGTAACCCAAAAGTATAGCAAAAAGAGATCCTCGCCAGCGAGAAATCATTCATCACTGGGCAGTGTGATGCTAGATACGACATCCCACCAAACTTGTGTTTGGATTCATTTCCGAAGCGATGCATTAAAATGTCCACCAAACAAGAAACACCAATTGACGAACAAGAAGCAAGAGGGGAAAAGAAGAAGGTGGTTTCAAGAATATTTTGATCAACAAAAAGAAAAAAGAAGTAGTCAGTGGACAGTCATGGTGAAGGGTGGCGATACTGATAATGGCATCAGCCATCGTCTGCGATTGATCGTCTTCAATTGACCATGAAGCACCAATGCTGGTGGTGGGCCCAACAAGCTACTAATTATTATTGTTTTCTTGGCCATGACTCGTTCATTGACGCTAGAAACTTCCAATGAATAATGATGTATACTACGTCCAGCATACTATGATACAGATGGAGAGGAATAAAACACGCATGTTCTTCCAGGGCCAAAGAGGATCATGCGGTGGTTTGAAATTATTGAACGTGGAAACAAATAGCGTCAGGACTTCGAACCAGATAATGGTGCCACCTGTGGGCAAAAGACATTTACTTACATTTTGACATGTATCAATGCTGTAGAAGTGGAAAACTTGTCAGCAGTGGGGGGGGGGGGTCGTACTACTGCTGGAGCGCAAATTGCCTTGCTTCAAAACGACCGAACCAACAGCATCATGCGATAAGATGGGTACGATTTCAAGCATATGGTGCACATATTTTAGCAGTGGATACTCTTTTTTTTTAAAAGATCCAAGCCAAACTATATTTTGCTCGCCGAGGATTCGTCACGGTCGAACGGGTCAAATCCTACCTTTTGCGTAAAAAACCTTTACCTAATAAAAATATCACAAAAAATGATATCTCGCGCACGCTTTGGCCGTTGGATTCGTAGTGGCAATAAATGTTGCGCGCGTCAAGATTCTGTGATTTGGCTTGTCACATAATGACATCGTGCATCGAAAATACATTCTGCAACGTTGAAACGCATCCACATTTAGACCGAATCCCCAAATCTCCATCTTTGGATTGCCCACTTTCAAGTTTCGTGTGTGTGTGTACATCGCAGTTTTCTTGTTGCCGTTTGAGAAAGACTCAGTCTACATAGTATAACAACCATGGCACAAGTAAGAGCCAGTGCACGGCACAATAAGCGGGGTTCAACTTTGACCGAAATGTTCAAATTGGCAGGAGATATGGTGGGAGATGGAATGAACATGATGATTGGCACGAAAACTGATTTTGAAACCAAAAACTGGGATGATGAATCTAGTGAAGGGACAGGAACAACGGGTCAGGGGACCGCCATTCGAGCAATGAAACAAGAGTTTCAAAGGAGCCAAGACGAGGACGATTATTCCTACAATACTCAAAGTTCGGAGGAAGAGCGTCAGGAACGCGTGCGCCAGATTCGACAACGTGAAATGGAGAACATGCGTCGCGCCAAGGACGTCGGTGGCAACCGAGAGCTTGAACTGAAACAGAAGTTGAGCCAGTTTGAAGAGGACTTCCTCTCAAACATCCAAAAACAGGAAGCCGAGCCTGATTTTACCTTTCATGGCCCAACCACTCCAACCACTTCACCGCAACAGACAAAATCCAAAGGGAACGCATTTGATTGGACACAACCGGCAACACAGCAACTCATCCAAGTTTTGTCGGGAAGAAGCACTGCAACAGACGGGGGAACTACTGGTGCAGACGGGTACACAGAAGAGGAATCTACAGAAAATACAGGTGAATCCACGGAATATACAGGTGAATCCACGGAATATACAGAAGAAGAAGAAGAAGAAGAGGAGGAGGAGGAGGAGGAAGAAGATGAATTTGCTTCTCAAGTAATCCATGAGATGATGCAACTTTTGCACCACTCGCGCAAGAACAGAAACGAAGCAGAACGTCTGATAGAGTACAAGCGTATCTTCGTTCGCGAAAGACACGAGACGAGTCCTGATCTTGATGCGTACATTGTCAAAAACGCAAACTACAAGAAACTCGAATGTTCCACTCGTAGGTTCATTCGTCACATTCAAGATGGGGATGTTCCCCGAACAGAGCAAGCACTGAGCATGGAGAAAGAACTCGTTCAGAATGTTGCAGCAATGAGAGATATCAGACGGGAATCTGATGAATTAGATATGGAATTTGAAAATATGCTGGATGCTGCAGAGTGAAGGTCTTGCCAATCATCGTAATTTGTGTTGTAAATAAACAACTAGTTATTATCACAACGAATTACAGTTTTATTGTATCTAGGGCGATAATGGTAACAGACCCGACACTGTCTGCGAGCGTTTTTATTGCTTCGTCCAAGAGGCCGCTGCATTTCTTTCGGTTGATCGAAACGACTTTCTGTCCAACCTGCAAATCCGTATGTTTGAAAGCGCTGTTATTAGCAATACTGTGGACCACAATGTCGTCAGTTGGAGTCCGTGCAAGCGTCACTCCAAGTTTCTCGTCCTTTGACCTCTTCGATATAGAGGCAACAGTTGGTGAAGCGACGATTGCAAAGTGCCCCGTCGCCTCCTTTATTATACCCGTAGCTGTCTTTGGATCCAACGGACATGGTATCCCATCGATTGAAATAATATACATTCCCACTTCAAGTCCTTTTCCTCCCATGGGGCCGTCTTCACTCACACCACTGACAACGACTTTGCCGTCTTGTATCCCTTTTCTCATCTTCATTCCAACTTTTGAATTTTGGTTTTTCTTGTAGACTGATACAGTGATAATGGGGTTTGTCTCTGGTGTGTATCCGTTCGCATTTTCCAGGGAATTGCCGACTGTGTCAAGTGCAACAATGGTCAGCTTTCCGACACGGTCTTGAATCAGACCTTCAGCTTCGGCAAGACTTCGCGGGCAACTGACCCCAGCTATCGAAACCACACACTGGCCTGTCTTCAAGCCGCTATTTGCGAATATTCCACTTTCGTCAACGCCTCGAACAATGATATCTCTTCCATCAACCGACTGACCAAGCAAAATGCCCGTGGATTGGTCAATATTCTGCTTTAAAGCGCTAGCCACCGTAGCTGATGCAATGATTGTGACTTTCCCTGACGCTGACACCAGGGTCTCGTACGCTGCAACCGCATCGAAACAGCCCCTTCCATTTATCGATTCAACTACTTGGCCTACTCGTAGTGCAGAGTCGGCAAACAAGCCTTTCGGATCAATTTTGCTGATGACGACACGGCCTTGAGCAGATTCTCCAAAGCCAACGCCACTATTGGTCTCCTGCGACCGCTTCACTATTGATGCAGAAACTTGACCGGGAGAAACAATCTTTTCTTTCGCATCGATTGTCATTGTGCCCACATGTTGTGCAAAAAGATCCACAGCATCTGACAAGGGCAATGGGCAGTCCTCGCCATCAATCTTTGTAATCCGATGTCCTACGCACAAATCCGTGTTCACAAACGGTGAATCTGCGGATATATGGTTGACAAAAGCATAGTCTTGTGTCACGCCAATGGACAAACCTAACATGTCACTCTCCTGCTTGTCGTAGGCCACAGCTTGGATTTCCTTAAACTCAGGGGTGGCACTTCCGTTTTGCGGTGATTTCGCAATGTTGACGGGAATGGAAAATCCAGGCGCTTCTTCGCGCCTTGCAGGCATTGATCTCGCTCCGTTCTGAGGCGACTTCTCGATAATGGGCACCGTTGCAGAGGAGCTCTGATTTTCCGAGTTTCCCAAAGTCTGCTGCTTGAAACGGTCGACGGCCACAACGGTCAGGTCCCCAACGCAGTTTCGAATCAATGCAATGGCGTCTTGTGTATTATCAGGACAATCCACACCGTTGATGGAAACGACACGCTGGTCTTGACGCAAAGCCCAAACCGCGTCGCTTTCCAGGATGGACCCTTTCTTAACGTCAATGATAATCATCTCATTTGAAATTGTTCTGCCAATCGTAATGCCAACCTTTGTAGCCACCGTTGGCTTTATTGCCAGACCCATCGAACTGGAGGCAACGATTTCAAGTGACCCAATACTATCCCGAATGAGCTTTACTGTTTCGTCCTTGGTGGGAGGGCATGGTATTCCATTGATTGACACAATGAACTGCCCAGGAGCAAGGTCGGTTGTACTCAAAAGGCTACCTTCTGTAATCGAGCTAATCGCTATCCGATCCTGCAAGGACCGAACCACCTTGATTCCAATCTTGTCTTCCTTCGTACTCTTGGTGATCTTTGCAACAACTTGCCCCGGTAGCAACTTATTTGGTATCGTGCTGCCTGGGCTGGATATTTTGGGTTGTCGGGCCACTGCTGCAAGTACCTCACTCGCTCCTTCGACTGGTGATGAAGTAATCACTAATTCTCCGGACGATCGTTGGATCTTGGAAATCAATTCTGTAATTGACTCAGGGCAAGCTTCGTGGTTGACGGCAACAATTGCGTGACCCACTTGCAGTTCTGAATTCTGAAGTGGGCTTTCGTCTTGGATTTTGCACACCGTGATCATGCCGTCCGTCTTTGCAAAACTCACACCAATCCATTTGCCAGCTTGCTTGTTCGAAACGATTGACCGTGTTCCGAGAATTTCGGGTTCGGGCACTTGTTGTTCCTGCTGGACTCCTCTCTCTTCTTCTCCTTCTTCTTCTATGACTAATTCTGGTTCTTCAATCGTCGCCGCCACAATGGGAGGAAAGTTGTCCATCCCCTGTCTTGGTGGTTTCAACAACAACCCCTTGTATCCAACCTCGATGGAAACGGTACCCACTGTGGATCTTAGCATCTCAATGGCATCCAGCGCATTGTCGGGACAAATTTCGCCATTAATGGCGGCCACCGTTTGTCCCTTGGACAAGATGCTACGGCCAAACAGCCCATGTGGGTCTACATATTCCACAGTCACCCGGGGACTTTTTTTCGAGGACCGAAGCTTGATTCCAAGTTTCGTCTTGGCCGTCTTTTTGAAGGCTGTGACTTTGGTATTCCGGGCAATGATGGTGATGGTTCTGGGAGCTTCTGAAACCAGTGCCGTGGCGTGTTTGGCCGATGGTGGGCATTTTTGATCGTTAATGTACAGAATGGTTTGACCGAGGCTCAAGGGGCACCGGGAACGTATCGCTAGACCATCCTTCACCAACCGATTGACAATGACACTCCTGGGTTCCTTGACGTTCTTGAGCGCAATGCCAACCTTTTCTCCTGGAAATCGTTTTGACAGTGTGGTTGTTACTTCATTGATATGATGATGGTGATGATGTTGCACCTGACCATATTCGGAATCTACCACGCCATCTTCCACCTCTTCTTCCGTGCTGAAGGGAGTATACAACATTCGTTCGGAAGCTTCTGCTGAATTGGGTTCAATGGTATACTCTGGCTCCCCATACTCGGAATCGAATACGGCGCCTTGCTGCTCCTCCACAACAACCCCGTCGTGGACAATTGGCATACTGTTCAATTCTCGTTCGATCACTTCCTCCGAGTTGGGTTCAATAGTGAATTCAGCCTCTTCTCCATTGACAGTTTTCTCCGATGCAAAAGTAGAATCGCCCATGGAAACGTGATGCTTTAGCAAATAGGCACCCAGCGAAGCCTTTTTACAGGGTTTGATTTCAGATTGCACCGCCACCACGGTCACGTCACCGGTAGCGTCTCGTATCATGGTGGTGGCCTCGCTCAACAGGGAAGGACAGGCTTTTCCATTGATGGTACTTATCCGATATCCTTTGAGCAATCCCGACTTGGCAAAAATGCCAGTTTCCGAAACGCTGGCAATGATAAGTTCCGCTGGTCCCGAAATCCCATCTGATCTTGTCAACTTTTGAAGCGAAAGGCCAATCTTGGCATCCTTGTCTTGTTTGTGGGCGGTAGCCACCAAACCTTGCACCACAAGAGTCACCTTTCCAATGGGGGCCGACTTGAGCGTTTGAACAGCTGCCTGAACCGAATCCGCCGTTTCACCATTGATTTGTAACAATTGCAATCCTGGTACAATCTTTGTATTGGCAAAGGCACCTTTCGGAGCCACGTCCCTGACAATAATCTGAGACGATCCTGTCTTTTGTGCCAGCATCAGACCAAAATAAGTCGACGGACTCTCTTTCTTTACTGTAACTTCGAATTCCTTCATCTTTTTATTCGTATTGGCGAATTGTATATGCTTCTCTAAGGATGTTGTTGGCAGAGTGAAGATAGTATTTTAATATTTTTGGATCGATTTTGCTGAACTTCCAACTGTACTACTGTTCTCCAGTGTGAAGTATAGCGTAAGCAAGCTGTCGTTTACTATGTATCTTCTGTCAAGTCGAGTAATTGGTCGATATGGATTGCTACAGTACGCTGAAAGGGGAGGAGATGCTGATGCTGATGCTGAGATGCTGCTGACCGTATCATCCACCGACCAAATTATAATTTTTTCGTCGAAGTCTTCGATGGATACAGTGATGTCTGCGTGACAGTTATTTACGTTGAAATCTCTACCAGTTCTACGCGATCTTGATTTCGACCCCTTCGACTACTTGTTTCAGAGTTCTCATCTTCTCATACCGGTACCTGGTGGTACCGGCATGTTGATCGATGTACTGTAGGTAGGTATTATCGAGGGGGTTCTGTTTTTTTCCTATAGAGAGGAAGACTTTGGCTTTGGGAATAGAAATAGAAATGTACAATACATCTAATGTTGAACAATTTGATATCTACGACCTACCGTTCTATTACTATGGACGATCCAGTATGGCTTGTTTCGGTTCTGCAGTACTAGTATGCATGCTACTAGCTAGATAGCTAGCTGTGAAGGGGGAACGATCCACGATTGTCGTTCTTCTTCTTCTTCTATTGAACAGCAGCCACCAATCCTCCTCGTAGCCACCGCGACTTTTTCTGATCCAACAGACGATGACTTCTTCTACTGGGACTTCTGCTCGAGCAAAACCGAGATGACCCGATTCCTCTTTGATGCCCACCACTACGCCTTGGCCTCAGTTCGTCTTCCTCGTCATCATCATCACCATCTTCTTCTTCTTTTGGCGGCAGGGACAGGTTGGATATCGTCCTGTTGCTTTCCAAGCCAATGGGGACTGCCAAATCCTTGGGCACGGCCACAATGTGTGCCGTTACTAGACGAACCAATCCAGAAAAGGAAACAGGACATTTCCGTTCATTGATCCGCGTCAATACCATTCCTGCTTCAAAACCAGCGTCTGCCAACACACTGTTGGGTTCCACCTTGGTAATGTACATGAGTTTGGATCGTTTGCTGTCCTTGTGAACGTACAAATCAAGTTTGGGCTCATGGGCTCCAACGATTGCTACTTTGGTCTCTTTGGTGACTTCATCCATCACTTCGATTTGAAGTTCCATCTGGGCATAAAGTTCCGAGAGGGAGTCGGGACAAGCTTCACCGTTGATCTTGACCACTTGCATCCCTGGTTTGTATCCCAGTTTGGACATGATGTGACTGCTGCTTCTACTGCTGTTGTTTTTGTTGCTGTTGCTGTTGCTGTTATTGTTTTTGTCTGCTGAACAAGAAGAAGAAGCAATCACAATGGCATTGTCGCCATCCGTTTCTTGTTTCAATGCCATTCCTAGTTCCCAGTTCACATTCCTCGTTAGTTCCATGGTCTCCCGAAGATCTTCTTGTGTTGGGATACTGCCAAACAAGAAATCAAAGGACATGAACTCGGAAAGTACTCGAAGTGGATTCGGACTTGTATCCCTTTCACTGTTATCGTTGTTACCATTGTTGGTACTATTATTGTTGTTGGGAAAGGATGTATCCACAAAGGATCGAAAGAAGGAATGGGTGGAACTTTCCTTCTCTGTAGTGGTAGTAGTAGGAGTATCATGATGATTTGAGTCGCCATTCTCGTCCCCAGCTTTATTATTATCAGCAGTGCCAGTGACAGTATCTTCAATCATCTCTCCACTAATTTCTGCCTTGACGATTCCTGACCAAAGACTTCCACTGGAAGTCCTTCGGTGGTGCGATGACGCTGGTGTTTCTGAAGGTGACTCGGGGGTTTGTGAAGAGATTATCTGCAGCTCAGGGTCATCCTGTCGCGGCTCCACTTCTTCTTCTTCTTCTGCTTCTTCTCGATGATGTTGGTAGTGGTGATGCTTTGTTGGCATTCTTCCCGTATCCATGGTTGCAGATTCGAATGAGAGAGATGATGTCGTCATTGCCAAGGCAGGATTGTAATCGACAGCGGATGCAACGTCATCATAATCATCGTATTGTGGTGGTGCTATCATTGTTGTTGTTGTTGTTGTTGTTGTTGTTTGATTGTTCGAGGATCTGTTTTGAATGGGCGAGGTTACATCATCGTGCCAATCTCGAAGGTCAGATCCCGCGGCGTGAATACTACTACTACTAGCAGTAGTAGGATAATAATAATAAGGATGACGATGATTTGAAACAACAGAGGCGACAGATTGTTGTTGTTGTTGTTGATGATGTTGTTGTTCATCATTGTGGCCGTCTGCATCATCATAAATAGTAGTAGCAGTAGTATTAGTACCAGCATCAGTATGACGAAACTCGGTCCAGATACCGAGGGAATCGTCAATGGGAATCCATGATGATAATGCTACTGCGGATGCTGCTTCTTCCGAGACAATAATCATGCTGCTGCTGTTGCTTTGGTCTGCCGCCAGCAGTTCCATCCTTGGATGTCACTTTTTGATTGCAGTATATATAGTCTTTGTGGTAATACACTCCTATAGCGTCGTTATGTCAACAAGTTGTTGTTGGATGAAAGATGATTGATGTTCTGATATAAATGGAATGATGGCAGCATTTGTGACGGAGGTACAATAAAAATGTGATGCGATCTCATTGATATTACACATTCTATTGTTGTCCGGCAAACTAGCGTGGGACGATTGGCCTTCCTCGGTTGTATTCTTGAGGAGCCGTTGAGGACAAGAGGTGCGACTAATATATTTGGAGCGTAGTATTTTCTACGTGTATTCACGAAAAAAGATTTGCTGGTTTCGCGCGAGGTTGGTTTTGTCCGCGAGAAATATAGTTCTGATCAATCGCCATAACCGGTATCCGTGCGTGGACAGACAGTCGCACATGTTTCTTTCCGTTGACATTCTCAATTCGTCGTAGTCGTACACGTACCTAGTACTCCACCACACACTGCACTCCTTCTCTTCGCTCAGGATACACGTACCAATGCTGGAGGATGAAGAAGCGAATGAATGATTCATTCCTCTGCGGCACGAAATACTCAGCATGGTGATACACCACTTTCGGTGGAAAGTGGTGTACTTGGCTGTTTGTTGATTGAGCATCAGCAGCAGCCAACAATCATCATACCGTGATAACTTCCTCACTTCTTAGCTATGAACTAGTACTAGTAGTACCCCATCGCACGAACTACCGGTGTACTCCTTCATCACGCGGACAGTACCATGCTATAATTTGCTCAAACCCTCTCCTCTATACCGGTATAGTAATAGCTTCTGTGGTCTTGCTTTCGTCAATACTATCCCTTTGTTCAACCCTCATCCTCCTCATCAACCATCATCAACAAGCAACAACGGATGCAATACAACTAATGCTATAATACTAATGATTATTGTTCCTACCTACCTAGGACCATCACCACGACGATACCATTCTTGACGACGCCGACGATTTACTCTAGCCACCACCACCACCACCACCACCACCACCACCACCACCACCACCACCAGGTGGTACGACTGCTGTAGTAGTACTACTCTGGGAGTGTCACTAACAGTAGTAGTACCGTAGGATAGCACGTTAGGTACCGACCGAGCTGTGCAATCGATCCGTTCGTCCTTTCTTGTACAAAATAAGATTATTGGTATCCATAACTTCTCCTCATACATAGAAGGGTTATGATACCATCAACAACAACCAGAAATATATGGTCATCAAATATGAGCCTGCCTGCAATCAATCAATAAACAACTACTGCTAGTAGTCATTAGGGAAAAAGCGTATTCAATATACTCTATTCTAATAATATAATATAATATATGTATGTAGATTGACTATTTCATTCTAATTTGGGGTAATCCTGTGCATCCATATCATTGTACTCAACCAATTTCGATTTGCAAAAAGTTCTCATCGTCACTTTGATACTATTGAAAATGGCTTTGATTCCAATCAAAAGAATGAATCCTTGTTTCATTCCTCTTCGAGTCTCTTTTGGCATTGGTGGTGTCAACCCAGCCCCAATGCAACTGACAAAGAGAAAGTATATTCTATCAGTATTTCCATGTTGCTTGCATGTTGACAGCATGATAATATCAGTGGCTCACTTAGTCATCAAACAAGTAATCATCGAGTCCACATTCTTCTTCTCCACCGGGACATGGAAAGGCAGTAATGGCTTCAAAGACCAATTCAGACAGATCCGATGGTAGATCCACACTGCATTCTTCTGGATTGAATTGACAATCGGTTGCCGCATTGACCAAACGAGACCATGGAAGTTGTAGTTCCACATGAGTCATTTTCAATTCTTCCAACAATACTCCCATGGCACTCAAACATTCCAGTGCCCGTGTGGCAAGTTGAGGTTCACCATTGTAAAAGTGTCTGGAAACAATGCTGGCCAAGACATGGGCCCGATGTTTCAAGAGTTCCATGCTATTGTTGTCGTTGGTGAGAGTGCTTGGCAATCCAAGTTCATCTTCCAGTACCTCCCAGGCAAGATCAATTTGTCCCGCCCGCATGAGGCCGCGGACCATGGCGGCCGATTCGTAGGGTTGCATGGACTCGCGTTCGTGGTTCCGACGGGTGTCAATCGCTCGGCGGGCAATGTCGACCTGGGACATGTGCAGGGCCGCCACGGCCGTGCGGCTCAAGAGGGAACCCCGAAAGCCGTACCCCCAATCGTCGCATTCGTCAATCAAAAAGGCCGCAATGGTGGCCAAATCGTGAGCATCGTGCAAGTTTTGAGCACGTTTGATGGCGCGGCTGTATTGTAGTAGATTTTAGATTGAGTGAATGAGTGAAAGAGTGAGTTCAGTTTTGTTCAGTTCAGTTTTGTTCAGTTCAGTTCAGTTGGATTGTTAGATACTTACGTGATATCATTCATGGGCATGTCCTTGTGCAAGTGTGACACGGCAGACGAGTGAAGCGTGTAAAAGTCAGTGTCGGGTTGTGCGTGACGGAATTCTGGATTGGCGCTAAAGTTGTGTTTTCGTCTCCGGTTGTTCTTGTTGCGACGGCGGCGGTTGTTCTTGGTAGTATCTCTTGGTTGTTGTTGTTGTTGTTGTTGCTGTTTGGTCACTTGTTCCACACCCACGCTCGAAGGAGTCTCTCGCTCAAAGACATTGGCGACTTTGCTGTCCGCTTCTTCTTTGGTGAGAAAGGAAGATACCACGCTCACGTGAAGTGCGGAATTCGTTCGAGACGACACTGTGCTGTGATGATGATGATGATGATCATTGGCATTAGCATTAGCATTTGAAAGCAAAGGGGCGAATCCTTCTGCAGTCGAAGCGGCGTACGCCAAAAAGGCTGCGGTGACAACAGAGGATATCTTTGGCATTGTTCCTGTTGTTCCTGTTGTTGTTGTTATTGTTATTGTTATTCTTATTATTGTCTGTGCTGATCAGATTTTGTGAGTGTAATATGTGTGCTGCCGATCCAATGGAGGGATGCTGATGCTGATGACGACGATGATGTGATGATGTGTAATTTCCAAAAGTCTAAAATCGAGTCAGTATGATGGAACTAAAATTATTATTCCAATATAATGCCAATCAAGTGAAAATTGAGTCAGGCTTGAAAACTAAACTTGGAGGTTTTAGAATTTCGACTCAAACGGAACTTACTTGCGCTCGCAGGCTTCTCCATCTTAAAGTTGAACCAACTTGATTGGTTGGATCGGCATTCTGGAAGGTTCGAAGCCTGTTCGAACATTGTCCAAGGTTCTGTTTTCTCAAAATTCTCGACGTCAGCATTATCATTTCATCCAATCAAATGGCGCCAAAATCAAATTCCTCCTCTGCTTCTGACCAGAACGACGTCAGCAAACAGTCAAAAGTTCCAATCAGAATTAGCCGATCAGAACTGCAAGTGTTTGGGATTGGATTGTTGCTGACGTAACATGCTATTTTTTTTTCGTGGATTGCAGTTGTCACCACAAGATACCTTTTTTGGGTTTTGGATACCTCCTCAATGATCGAATGAATGAATGAATGAATGAATCATAGCAATCATCCTTCTTACAGCTGGCAAAGGCGAGCGCAAGAAGTACAGTACAGTACAGTACTTGCAACGACGAATGAATGAATCCACAAACTCTTTTCCGAACCTGGATATACAGCATGAGTATCTTTCCAAGACCATTCTTGTTCAAGCACCAGCCAGTAACTAGTACTAGTACTCAGCCAGAAACAACACTAGCATGAAACAACAAGAACAGGAACGACCCAGCCAGAAGAAGATCGGAAAGAAAAGAAAAAAATAGAATCAAAACATGATGACATCCTCAATCCTCTACAGCACTAGTACTATGCCATCAAATGAAAGTCTCCTCTGGCGACGACGGTGTCCATCAACACCAACAATCAGAAGCAGCAGCAGCAGCAGCAGCTCTAGATCAAAACCACGACGACGAGAGAACACTCCTCCCATCATTCATTCTTGCCCCTATCTCCTCTTGCTGGCCCTTCTCCTCTACAATAACAACAAGATCATTATTATGCCTGCTGGTGAGGAACTACTACTACAATGACAGCAGCCGGCCGCTTCTTCAAGAGAACAAGTCAAGCAAGAGGATAGTATGGAACACCGGCCGTGCTGCCTGGTGCCAATGCAGCTTCTTTCCACCGCCAAAGCCCTCCCCGTTCCTTGACAAGCAAAAGCTCCTCCTCAAGAATGCCATTATCATCATCATCATCATCACCATCACCACCATCACCACCATGCATGATGATTGATCATCATCATCATCATGCATGATGATTGATCACACCAAACAAGCCAAGAAGCAGCTCGCTCCTACTAGTAGTTATAAGTACATCTACATTCAACAGAAGCAGCCAGCAAGTCTGCCTCTTGGTCGTCTCGTGGTCGTCCATGATCCTCAACAAGAATCATCATGACATCAAAAATCATGAGGAATGAATGAATCCTACATAATAATCATCATCTTTCTCCTCTACCGGATGATGTGGTGCTGCTGGCGGTGGCGGCCGGAATGAGCAGGAGGAGGCTGATCACTTTGTTCTTGTTAGATACTATGATCATGACATGATCGTACTAGTAGTAGTAGCTAGGACGACTATATTTCATATTGGTGGATTATACTAATAGTTATTATCATACTACTAGGTACATGCATAATAGAACCAAACGTATCTAATAGTATAGTAGAACATAAGATTGTTTCCAACGCCAAATAGTTTTGTCATTGTACGGTACCTACCGGTACGATATTGGGATACGATCACTGTATATATGGATAACAAACGTCTCCCCCCAATAATGGCGAGTGGAGTCTCCCCAACCACATTTTCAAATATTTCCCCCGCGCGACTCACTCAACTGACTCTGATGATGGAGCCGGCGTGGAAGTTTTTGGAGAGGGGAGAAGATGCGATCGGAATAAGTGCGTGACGGACTCCAAACATACCCAACGCCCCTCCGGATGTTTCGTTGATTTGACCAATCATTACAATACAATCACAATACAATCACAACGCATCGACAAAGGACAAAAAACAAAAACAAAACAACCTTCATGCCCTTATTTGGAATGAACACACTGCAATATCCTCTTTTGTATAGTTTACCCTTAATGGTCCTTGCGTTATTGTTACCCAATTCATCGAGTATTTTACCTTGGATGATGAGCACCAATCCTGCTGCAACGACTATCAAAGCTTCCGCGTTGGCCCAACGAGCTGGATTGCACATGAAGCGATGCGCTTCCAATGGACGGCTCTTGTCGCAATCACTCTGTGTGAATCCTTTTGATGATACGGACAACAATACTACTACTAATAATGATAATAGCGAGACGAATCATAATAATAACAAGCAGCAACAGGAGCAAGGCGCAACCACCACCCTACAAAATGCACCATCCGACGTTCATTTGATTGTTCTCATTCATGGATGGTTGGGAAATCCCAAAGAAATGGACGGACTCAAAGAATCCTTGATGGAACAATCGCAGATTCAACTGGACAAGGAAAAAGAAAATGCTGACAATAAGAAGAAGTCGTCATCGTCATCATCGTCATCGTCCAGAGTGGTAGTCCACTCGGTACGATGCAATGATGGAAAAACCTCCGATGGCATTGTGGCGGGTGGAAAACGCGTCGCTGCGGAAATCAATGAAATGATTCAAGAAATACGAGATCGTTCTACTTCTACTACCAATGTCAATGATGATAATAATAATAATAATAATAATGGTGGCAATATTCGATTGTCCATTGCGGGAAATTCCTTGGGTGGCTTGTATGGTCGTTACGCCCTTTCGGAAATTGATTGGACGACCAAGGACACTAATAACAATGATGGTGATGATGATGATCCACAACAACAACAACAAGAACAAGCACCAGCCCAGTCCCAATTGATTCCGCATTACTTTGTCACGACGGCCACACCACATTTGGGTTGCGGCTTTCAACAAACCTATCTTCCATTACCACGATTCATTGAACATCCCCTGGGGAACATTATGCTACGCACGGGACAGGACCTCTTTCGACTATTTTCCGGCAAAGATGACATCATTCAAGAAATGGCCTTTTCGCCCACCTTTTTGAATCCTCTCCGCAAGTTTCACAAACGCATGGCCTATGCCAATGCTCATGGAACGGATTTGCAAGTGCCGTTGCCATCGGCCGCCTTTTGGGCTCCCACCGACTCGGTGCACACGGTGGTCGAGCACGATGCGGAGCATGCCTTTATTGTGCCACGAGGGGTGGCACTGACATTGACCACACCCAAACAAGAGGAGGAGGAATCTAACAGTATTATTACGGAACCCAAACAGGTTGTCGCCACCTCGGAAGAAATATCCAAACGATTGGATCAATTGGGCTGGACCAAGGTACTCATTGATGTTCGACATGAAATGCCCATTAATCTGAATACGGCTGTCGACAATGAGTCAGCATCCACTAGTAGTACTAGTAGCACTAGTAGCACTGAAGACGCAAACGAGCAAAAGCAGCAAAAGCAGCAATGGACCGCCAAAGAGCTGCTGGAACAATTTGATACAGGACGACTCAAGTCTCTACCAATTGGTCACATGGTCATGGTGGCCAATTCCAAGAATGAATTCTATCGAAACATGTGCAAGCCTGGAATCCCAATCATGGATTATCTGGCCAGGGAAATTATCAATTCCATATGAAGTGCTAGGATATATAAGATATAGAAAAAGTAATGACAGTATTGCTATTACTGTTCTGATGAGTTGTTTGCTTGTTGCTCTTGCTTTGCCAGTCGTAACAGCTTCTTTTCTCGTTGCTTCTTTTTCCATTCCATCTTTTTGGCCCGCTTTTTGGATACAATGTTGGATTCTTCTTCGTCACCCTCTTTGTCACCTTCAGCTTTTCGCTTCTTCTTGGAAGAAGAATCATCATCATTCTTCATCTTGCCAGACGATTTTTGATTGCTCATCGTCGTGACAGCCGATGATGACAACACCGTGGACGTTTCTTCCTTTTCTTCCTTACCGGTACTATTATCGTCCTTGTTGAATTGGTTGTCATATAGTTCCATTCCCATGGTCGCCAATGGTTTTTCGTATGTATTCTTCTTGGCCCCAATCATCTTCTTCTTCTTCTTCTTTGGAGCCTTATTTGCTGCTTTCCGTTGCAAGCATGCCACAAAAAAGCCATTGGTGCCATCTTCTTCGGGATTCACTCGAATCAAACATTGCAATTGTTCGGGACTAAGGCCAACCACATCGGGATGCTCCAACCCTCGGCGGTGCCAATGGTCCAAACATTTCGGTGCCACCAATTCCCATTCCCCTCCGTCATTACCATCATTGGAGGAGGAGGAGGATGATGATGATGATTCCAACAAGCGTTGGACGACGCCCTCGTTTTCTTGCACGTAGACGCTGCAGGTCGAATACACCACACGTTGGACCTTTGGAAAGGCAGAGGTGGCATGCTGGAGCGCTTGAAATTGAAAATTGGACAGGGATTCGATTCGATCGAAATTTTTGGGTTTGGACAAGGGATCTCGGTCCATGGCTTCTTGATGATTGGAAATCATGCCACTTCCCGAGCAACTTGGATCCAGCATGATTGCTGTCACATTGGAAAAGGTCTCGTCGGTTTCGGGATCAATGCTCAAGAAATCCGCATTGTGACACTCTACAGTAGTAACCTTATTCTTTTTGGCATCTCCGTCTCGGGGAGGTGTCTCTGTGAGTTCCTTCATGCGGCGTTGCAATAGCTCAAATCGGTCTTTGGACTTGTCCAAGGCATGTACCACCACTGACGACGCACGTTTGGAAGAGGAGGATTTACTAGTAGTAGTAGTAGTAGTTGATGCTGCGGCTGCTGCCTGTTCGGTCAATAGTGCCGCCAAGTGACACGTTTTGTTGCCCGGAGCGGCACACGCATCCAAAAAATCCCCCTCCATGGATGGTAGCGTATCAAACCCATGGACCATGCAGAGTGCCGAAAAACAAGACGACTTGTCTTGTAATACTACCTGTTGCGACTTCACCAACTCTTGTAGATTTGCACGGGTGGATGCGGTTGGTGGAAAAACCAAAACATTGGGAACATGAGGGTCCACATACCGAGGCATTTTTGATGAGGAAGAGGAGTCTTGCAATGATGGTTTTTTGGTTTTCTTTTTGTTCTTGTTGTTCTTGGATGGTTTTGTTTTGGCATCGATTTGAGAAAGTACTTGCTCCATGGAAGATACTATCGTATTGACCCGTACATAACGTGGAATGGTAACATAGTCCGAGGAGGATTGGTCGGGTGAAGACGCGGTCATATTCGCAAAGGAGGGTTGTAACCTGAACAGAGTGGCTTGCAGTTGTTCCTGTTGTTTCAATAGTTGTCGTTTGAGAGCCCCTCCCCCTCGAATGGCTCTGTTAGGACCCATCAAAAGTTCATACAGCAAGATGTATAACAATCCCTTGTTATTGGCGTCGACCGGCACTTCTCGAAGTATTTTGTCCAACAATGGCTTGTGTTGCAAAACATGTGAGCTTTGCGCATACGCTGTCTTGCTGCAAGTCAGTTCCCCATCTTTGTTGTAGGCCACTGCCTTTAGTCCCTTCTTCGTCTTTATTATTTGGTTCAGAATATTTCCCGCTGGAGCATACGGAGATGATGACATGGTGAACAGGAAGTTGTTTTACAATGACAGTACTTGTATAGATGGAAGGAATATAATGTTAGAAAAACTATACAGATCATTTTGATGATTGGTTTTGTACAGTGTATCTTCGAGATGCGCAATTTCGCGCACACATCAAAAATAACGTCATCTCATCTACCGTAGTATATTATTCGACATGCGAAGAACAAAATATAGACCCAACGGAGATGCAACTTGTCATTGCTGCTTGGTGCTTCACCTTCTTATCCACCAATGCCTCAACACAAAGGTTGAATCAGTTTCCGAACGAAGCATACAGTACCACCTTTTCAAGTCGACTATCAGCAAAGGCAAAACGAAACAGGAAAGCATCCAACAAGTCGTCGTCGTCGTCATCGTCATCGTCCAACAAGAAGTCAAAATCCGGCTCTACAAAGCTTCCACGTGTCATCATTTTCGATCTAGACGGTTGCCTATGGAGGCCAGAGCTCTTTGAACTCGTGACAAATGCGGATGGTCCACCATTTACCCATAATCCACAAGATAGTAGTAGTACTGTCGTTCCAGCAGGAACCACCCTGTTGTCGAAACAAGGCCAACGCATTGAACTGTTGGGATCCACTCGTCAGATTTTACATGAGCTATATACTCAAGAAGAATGGTATCCCACTCGAATCGGCATCTCCTCGCGAACAGATCCACCTGAATGGGCGTACAATCTGATGGAGATGTTTGCTATCTATGAGGTCAACGACGATGACGACGGCAACAAGAATCGAATGACAAAGACTCCAACGGCGACGATCCCAGCAGTGACTTGCCAAATGAAGGATGTCTTTGATCCTATCCTCTGCATACTCGATAAGAATACAGACAAGGCAACACAGTTTGAACGACTATTAGAGCAGGCGAATGATCAAAGTACGAGCAACAACCACAAGCGACTTCAGTTCAAAGACATGGTATTTTTCGACAATGAAGCCGGAAACTGCAAACAAGTTGCCAAGTTGGGGGTGACATGTGTGTATACACCAAAGGGAGTAACCTACGAGGCATGGCAGAATGCAATCCAAAATTTTCCCGCCAATCGGGTGTTGGGTCCGAAAATGCCGTATTGAAGTTCTGGTGTTGGTGGTGGTGATCAGCATGATGGCAGAAAGGCTCCATGTGGTTCTACCGGTATATACTTCCTACGTACTATGAGCACATTCACTTGGCATGTCAATCGCAAGTACCGTAGTGCCTCGTCGCCGCTCTACTTTCTCTGCATTATTGCGAGCCTATATATATTAAAATATATAGACACTTGGAGGATGCCAGGTAACCGTACCCAATATATGTCAGCTTGGTTGGTGTGTAACAACAAAACGGCGGCGTCCACTTTTATTATGACGACCGTTAAATCAACGGACAGTCGTCGGTTTGGAAATTTTGAGAACGCATCAAGACTACGACTGTGTCAAAAGTCGGTACCGGTATATTCAACTCGCACAAAAGACGTCAAAGATGAAAATCAGCGCTATTGCCTTTCTTACTACCGCCGTTGGCCTTGCCACTGCACAAAATGGAACCGAGCCCTTTGCAGCTGACTTCTCTCCTATTGTTGAAAAGGGATCCTATACTTCGCTTTTGGGAGCCATCAATGAGACTGGCAGCGACGCGGTGATTTCTTCAAACGCCCCTGTCACGATTTTTGGCCCTTGGGACGAGGCCTTTGATAACATTACCGATGTGTTGGAAACTCTAACAACGGAAGATATTCAAGGTGTCCTTCTCAATCACGTGATCGTTGGTGTTAATCTCACCACAGAAATGATAGCGGCAGAAGGTTGTATTGAAGCCACAACAGCCGGAGGCTTGGAGATTTCTATTTTCCGTGATCCATTCACCGGCCTTATCGATGTTGATGGATTTCATGTTGTTGTGGACCCCGATATCACCGGGGACTATGGAGTTATGCACGGAATTGATCGTGTGATCCTCGCGGAAGAGCATAAATTCTTTCCCTGCCCTCCTCCCCTCGACCTTTCGCCTATTGCCCAGCTTGGAAACTACTCGACTCTTCTCGCTGCGTTTGAACAAACAAACAACGAATTCACAATCGCTACCAATATCGGTTTCTTCAACACAAGTACGTCAACTGTTTATCTGGTTGCGACTGCTCTTTGAAAGCAACCTGTACTAATTCTTTACTTCATTGTTTGCTCCTTTCAATCCAATTCACAAAGCCATCTTTGGGCCGAGCGACGCTGTTCTTGCTGCCATTCAGAGTACTCTGGATGAATTGAACAATGACGAGGTATGTATGAGACAATCTGAATGACAAGTCGTACAATAAGTCCTACAATATTTGGAACAGTCTAATCGAACTATGTCCACTTGCAGCTTAATGAGGTTCTCTGGGGACATCTGGCGTATGGCGAAATATTCTCTGATGAGTTTCGCGCATTGGAATGTGCTGAGGCGGAAACCTTTGCAGGAACATTCGTAGCCGTTCGCTTCAACCGCAATACAGGCATAGCCTCGGTCAACGGCATCCCAATCAGTTCTACCAACTTGGACATTGATGGAGAAGGTTATGTCTTCCATGGAATTGAAGGCGTCCTCGTCGATTCGGAATACGTTCCGTGTTCCGCAGATCCCCTTGACTTTTCTTCGGTAGAGTTAGCTGGAAACTACAGCACGCTTCTCAGTTTGGTGGCTCAAACAGGCCTCGTCGACGAGCTCAAGGAAATTAGACCCGTCAGTAAGTGGATAATTCTGCATTCGAATTCACTGCCTGCTAGACTGTTCTGGATGAACTCATTCTGTTGCCCTGGTGTTTCTTTTTGCAGCAATTCTGGCGCCCACCGACGCGGCGTTTGCACGGTATCAAAGCAACTTGACAGGACTATCGGACGAGGAGATTGCAGAGAGTACGTTCTGAGATTCTTCTAGCTGTTTCACATTTGTTGCAACTATCGTCAGCATTCCAACTCACTATCTGGGCAACGGTCTTTTTTCTTTCGTAGTACTTCGCATTCATGTCATTGCATTTGACACCATTGATGCACAGTGGATCCTTGATTCAGAGTGCATGGAATTTTTCACGGAAGGGGGGTCCATGGTCAGTTTCAGATACGACAATGTTACTGAGCAAATCACCGTCAATGGAATCCCCCTTGTGCAGGCCGACATTCTTGGTAACTTTGGAGTCTTGCATGGTATTGATGGCAATTTTGCTTTTGATGGACAATATGAACCCTGTTTTGAAGATCCGTATAGTGTAGTTGGATATCTCACGTCCTACTATGACCAACAAGTCACTGAAGCGGCAGTGGCGGCATTTGCATCAAGTGCAAGTAAGTGCTCTGAAGATATTCTTTCTCCTCTTCTTGACATGTAACATTTGACTAATTGATACTATTCTCGATACACAGCGTTTTTCGGACCAACCGACGAGGCATTTTACTCTCTTGATGAATATCCATTTTACAGTGATGATGCTGCCGAGAGAGAAGTCGAGGTAAGTGCACTTACGTTCGTCTTGCAGTCTTCTTTGACGTCATGGTATGTACTAATGATGGATTCTTTTTTTCTTCTTCGCCCCAAATCGCAGTTGTTGCTCGGACACATTGTTCCAGGTATCCACACAGCTGCACAAGTAAAAGAAGCTGGATGCGTTATTCTCGATACTTTGGCTGGAACTAAGGTCCGTGTCATGTGGGTGGAAGGCGATATGGGTGGGCGTCGTTTAGCGGGCCATGAAATGACTGGAATGGTGATGGTAAATGACGCCATGGTCATTCTTGCCGACCAATTGGACGAAGAATCTGATGTTATGTTCCATGGGATTGACAAGGTCATTCTTTCGGGATCCTTTAGCGAGTGCCCGTCTACCATGTCCCCAGTGACAGCTCCAACCGATGCCCCAGCACCCAGAGGGACTCCACCAACCGAATCGAGTGCCGCCTTTGTCAATCATGTCAGCATTATCTTTGCCTCCATGGTTGCACTGCTTGCTCTTTAGAACCTTTGGGTTGGAAATGTTTGTCGGTGGTTGCTCTTGTCTCCTTTAATGCGACCGGATTATTGCAATGTGATGCACTTTTTTAATTACAAAACACTCATTCAATTGAATTCGAATAATTATTATTTTTGTTTGTGATCCCACTCTCCAACGTGGTTAGGAGTTGTACATCTCGTTTCATAATTGGTGGCTAGATATTGTCCAAGCCCACGCAGGCTTTCCGGGTTCCGATCCGGGTGAGACACAGATTCGGGCCTCGAAGAGTAGAACTCGAAGAGTTCCAACTCGAAGAGTCCACGAACTTGAAGTCTCCGCAAGATATAAATCCTGCATCCTTTTCTTTCCCCCTCTGCCTTTGTGGATGTACAACCCACAAACACTGCTCTTCCCCCCAAGCAACTGGCACTTCAGTGACAGTATATGGTGATCTTGACTCGTTCACGAGGTTTCCATTAGGCGCCAACGCCTATGTTCGTAGACCTGGGTTTCAGAGGCAATTGTGAGACGGCGACCACCGCAAATCTCTCCTCGGGAGACATGGGAGCAGCCACCGCGGCGGTAGCAGTGGAGGGACCAGAAGCGACTTTCTTTGGTATTTGAAGGGGTACCATCAAAAGGTAGCAGAAGGGGGTCACCTTCCAGGCGTTGTTTGTAGAGACTCGGATAAAGGTAGGTGCTGCAAAAGAAGAACGAAGTCCATGCAATGCCATTGGCATGGCAGAAAACGGGTCCTGTACGTCGGACCCGGTACGATAGTGCCGGACGGAACCACTTCCTGGTACAGAGGCCAGACCGGGCAGTGTACGCGATAATGACAATGCTACTTTTAGTACTACCAGGGCCATGTACATTTCAACTGAATCCAGCCTAGACCATCGATAGAAAGATTTCACAGCACACATATCTAAAACATTGAGCAATGGGAAACAAGGCAAGGAGCAAGAAGGCACCAAGCAAAGGGAAGGGCAATGGAAGCAAGAAGAAGATAGCTTCAACCACTGAAACACCAGCAAAGCCCCCACCAAGACAAACCCGTGAGTTTTTTTGAATTACTAGTATCAGAATGTGATTGCTAAACATTGAAGTAACAACAGCATGCTTTGTTTATTGTAGGGGAGTCTCGGAGAAAGGAAAAGGTATATGATGATGATTCAAGTGTGAGCAGTGATGAGGACCTTGAGCGCAACGAGGATGAGGATGAGGATGATGAGTCCTGTCTGTCTCCTTCACCTAACGCCCGTAGTGGGACTACGACCTCACCAAGAACCGCAACTGCAACCACAGCTATGGCAGTTGTGGCAAGTGGCAGAACCACAAATGAAACAACAACTCCAACAAGAGGAGCTGCGGCAGCTAATGCTTTTGAAGCCAGGTTCCAGCACATGGAGAATCTTCTGGAGAGATTTTTTCAGGCACAAGGAAGACAACTGCCGTGTCAGGTGGTTCCGAGAACAGTGAGTGCTGCCAGAAGCGCTTGTTCCCCTGGAAACACTACCATTACAAATTCCAATCGCTCAATGGACAAGCAAGAGCAGATCTTGGTCATGAAGCTACCGCAAAACCAAGACGCAATTAAAAAGGGTCTTTATGCTTTTGTGAAGCTACATACCTTCCGTCGCATTAAGTTCCCTACTACTGAAGAGAAGGGAGTGCGGGAATGCACCAAGGCAGTCCAGAAAAGTTATGTCCTGTTACCAGAGGGTGTGGATACAGATGTGTTTGCCAGCGAGTGGCAATCAAGTTTGAGAGAGAGACTGAGAATGCTGAGAAACAACTGTCAAAACAGTGCCAAAAAGAAATTTATCAGTGAGTATTCATGTTTCCACTGTTGTGTGACAAAAGCCTGGATCTCACCCGCTTCTTTTGTTGGATATACTAGGTGACTGGAAGGAGGGGGTTGTGCCCCAAAACTTGGAAGCTAGCCTTGTGACCAACTACCGAGACTATGCAGATGATGACGGAAAGGTGAGGGACAATAGAAAGGACAACTATGATTCCTTCCTCTACTTCATTGATCGCATCTTGCCATCTGTCAATGCAGATGTCACTAAGTATTATGGTGATGCAAGATGTCAATTTGGGTTGAGCAATGCTTTCACTGTCACGGATGAAGCATTTGGACTTCTGATGGTGGAGAACTACGTGGAACGGTGGAAGGCACTGGCCAAAGAATGGCCCAGCAGTGACACCACTGAAGATCAAGGACTGAAACGCAAACGCATGCGTTCACTGGGTGGCAGGTACACTGGCAGTGAAAAGGGGATGGTTGCAGGTGGATGGGATAATGGTGGCATCAATCGTTTCAATGAGTTAGCACAGATGGTAAGTACGGCAAGGAAAAAGCTAGTAGAAACCAGGAAGTTGGAAAACATAATCATGAATCACTGGAGAGGATTGGAAGGGGATTCTGAACAAAGGCGCAAAAAGGCAAAGCAGCACATTGTAACAGCATATGAGGATGAAGACGAATAGATTAGTGAAAAGTAGGTAATACAAGTAGTTGATATTATCATACTGTCATTGTGATATTTCAATTGTTGTAGTCATCACATAATCACTTTGAGCATGTTTGTGATCCCACTCTCCAACGTGGTTAGGAGTTGTACATCTCGTTTCATAATTGGTGGCTAGATATTGTCCTAGCCCACGCAGGCTTTCCGGGTTCCGATCCGGGTGAGACACAGATTCGGGCCTCGAAGAGTAGAACTCGAAGAGTTCCAACTCGAAGAGTCCACGAACTTGAAGTCTCCGCAAGATATAAATCCTGCATCCTTTTCTTTCCCCCTCTGCCTTTGTGGATGTACAACCCACAAACACTGCTCTTCCCCCCAAGCAACTGGCACTTCAGTGACAGTATATGGTGATCTTGACTCGTTCACGAGGTTTCCATTAGGCGCCAACGCCTATGTTCGTAGACCTGGGTTTCAGAGGCAATTGTGAGACGGCGACCACCGCAAATCTCTCCTCGGGAGACATGGGAGCAGCCACCGCGGCGGTAGCAGTGGAGGGACCAGAAGCGACTTTCTTTGGTATTTGAAGGGGTACCATCAAAAGGTAGCAGAAGGGGGTCACCTTCCAGGCGTTGTTTGTAGAGACTCGGATAAAGGTAGGTGCTGCAAAAGAAGAACGAAGTCCATGCAATGCCATTGGCATGGCAGAAAACGGGTCCTGTACGTCGGACCCGGTACGATAGTGCCGGACGGAACCACTTCCTGGTACAGAGGCCAGACCGGGCAGTGTACGCGATAATGACAATGCTACTTTTAGTACTACCAGGGCCATGTACATTTCAACTGAATCCAGCCTAGACCATCGATAGAAAGATTTCACAGCACACATATCTAAAACATTGAGCAATGGGAAACAAGGCAAGGAGCAAGAAGGCACCAAGCAAAGGGAAGGGCAATGGAAGCAAGAAGAAGATAGCTTCAACCACTGAAACACCAGCAAAGCCCCCACCAAGACAAACCCGTGAGTTTTTTTGAATTACTAGTATCAGAATGTGATTGCTAAACATTGAAGTAACAACAGCATGCTTTGTTTATTGTAGGGGAGTCTCGGAGAAAGGAAAAGGTATATGATGATGATTCAAGTGTGAGCAGTGATGAGGACCTTGAGCGCAACGAGGATGAGGATGAGGATGATGAGTCCTGTCTGTCTCCTTCACCTAACGCCCGTAGTGGGACTACGACCTCACCAAGAACCGCAACTGCAACCACAGCTATGGCAGTTGTGGCAAGTGGCAGAACCACAAATGAAACAACAACTCCAACAAGAGGAGCTGCGGCAGCTAATGCTTTTGAAGCCAGGTTCCAGCACATGGAGAATCTTCTGGAGAGATTTTTTCAGGCACAAGGAAGACAACTGCCGTGTCAGGTGGTTCCGAGAACAGTGAGTGCTGCCAGAAGCGCTTGTTCCCCTGGAAACACTACCATTACAAATTCCAATCGCTCAATGGACAAGCAAGAGCAGATCTTGGTCATGAAGCTACCGCAAAACCAAGACGCAATTAAAAAGGGTCTTTATGCTTTTGTGAAGCTACATACCTTCCGTCGCATTAAGTTCCCTACTACTGAAGAGAAGGGAGTGCGGGAATGCACCAAGGCAGTCCAGAAAAGTTATGTCCTGTTACCAGAGGGTGTGGATACAGATGTGTTTGCCAGCGAGTGGCAATCAAGTTTGAGAGAGAGACTGAGAATGCTGAGAAACAACTGTCAAAACAGTGCCAAAAAGAAATTTATCAGTGAGTATTCATGTTTCCACTGTTGTGTGACAAAAGCCTGGATCTCACCCGCTTCTTTTGTTGGATATACTAGGTGACTGGAAGGAGGGGGTTGTGCCCCAAAACTTGGAAGCTAGCCTTGTGACCAACTACCGAGACTATGCAGATGATGACGGAAAGGTGAGGGACAATAGAAAGGACAACTATGATTCCTTCCTCTACTTCATTGATCGCATCTTGCCATCTGTCAATGCAGATGTCACTAAGTATTATGGTGATGCAAGATGTCAATTTGGGTTGAGCAATGCTTTCACTGTCACGGATGAAGCATTTGGACTTCTGATGGTGGAGAACTACGTGGAACGGTGGAAGGCACTGGCCAAAGAATGGCCCAGCAGTGACACCACTGAAGATCAAGGACTGAAACGCAAACGCATGCGTTCACTGGGTGGCAGGTACACTGGCAGTGAAAAGGGGATGGTTGCAGGTGGATGGGATAATGGTGGCATCAATCGTTTCAATGAGTTAGCACAGATGGTAAGTACGGCAAGGAAAAAGCTAGTAGAAACCAGGAAGTTGGAAAACATAATCATGAATCACTGGAGAGGATTGGAAGGGGATTCTGAACAAAGGCGCAAAAAGGCAAAGCAGCACATTGTAACAGCATATGAGGATGAAGACGAATAGATTAGTGAAAAGTAGGTAATACAAGTAGTTGATATTATCATACTGTCATTGTGATATTTCAATTGTTGTAGTCATCACATAATCACTTTGAGCATGTGACAATAGATGATGCTGGAAATGCAAAAATGACAGGGTGAAGGTGGTATTGAGACACTCAGTGGATGGTTCATGGTGGCTAGACCGTGTCCCAAAATGACAGGTAGTAGGTGATTTTTTCGCATGGCGAAGGTGACATTAGCACAGAGGCAAAAATAAATATGAAAAGGTTCCAGTCGAATGGCTGCGAAAAAATCACGTGGCCACGTGACATAAGCAGACGGAGCCATGTCCTAATGTGACACAAGCAAGCCAACCAATGGGACCTGACTTTCTTTTCCGATGTGATTTAGTCACTGGTTTAAGTCGGAAGGTGACCATACCACAGTTCCTTGGGAGGTCCGCCTGCCCATAATCCTCAGGCTCCAGAATGGAGCAGTCTTCCCAATTGAGGCCAAAGCATTCAGCTGAGCAAAGCCAACCCAGCCAAAGGACCAGGTTAGCTAGCCCCGCCAGAGCAATGTCTTGGCATTGGACGTTAGAAGTGGCTTCATGGAATTGGCGGTCCAAGAAGCGACCCAGAGCTTGAATGTGGCGATCCAAGAGGGCCACAGAAGGCCTGGAGTAGTCACCCATGCGTGCTACCATTCCCTCTGCGAACAAGTGGAATGACAAACTATCCGTCGGTCGACAATCTTGGTAGAGAACTTTGTTGTCCTGTGACATGTACGCATTTTGCGGAGTGTTGAGGGAGTCCAGAGATAGCCACTGGGAAGCTGCCGATCGGAGGGCTTGAACTGTGCCAAAGCTGATGGGAGTTTGTGCACCTCGGTTGTGCTTCTTGGTGGAATGGCGGAGGCTGTACCATTCCTGACACCACATGAGGGGGATATCAGGTCCGGAAGGAGGCTCCAGCAGAGCGGTGGGCTTCAGAACTTGGATGGCAAAATTGGTCTCAAACTGACGGATGATACTCAGTTCTGACTTGTAGCATCCTGACTCGTTCCAACATCAAGAGGAGGAGGTCATTGGCACGAACTAGTTCATGTTGCGGGTACTGTTGCACAGTGCAGGCTTCACAGACAAAGTTGGGCCAGGTGGCATGGTGGGGGAAGGTCAAGCCTTCATCACGGAGGCGGCGAGTCTTCAAGGGTTCCCAGCTCAGAAGCAGTCACGGTGATAGGTGGAGCCACAGGCACGGAATCGGCCAAATCCCTTTGCAGAAAATGTGCATTGAAGCCGCGTCTCAATCTCCTTGCGGCTGAACCCTTTCTGGCAGCCCACGCACAAGTGTGGTTTAGGCGGCATGCCAAGAGGGGGCGGCAGTGGGAGTCTTGTCCAACCTAGAGTTGGGGTTGAGGGAGAGAGTGTGAGGTGCAATCTTGTGAGGGTAAAATAGAATCTAATGAAGTTATCCAAGAAAAGGCCGGTCTTGACCGAAGCTATTGAAGAGAAAGTAGCTTTCGCCGAGGCTTCATCAGCGGCAAGACAAGTGGGCAAAAGGCAAGAGTTTTGGACTTTTCGTTGGCGATTCAAAAAGCAAGCAAGCCGGCGTGGTTGTTTCGACGGTGTAGCTATCATCCTCAGTCCTTAAGTGAAGATTTGGTATATTCATGTAGGTGAAACGCAAGGTTCAATTAAGGGAGGCGTCAAATTTGTGCAAACGCCTGTATGGTCGTCAGTTTGGCTCTGTACTTGGCGTATGATCCAAGAGTTCATCTTGGATGGTTGAAACTGTTCGGGCAGTAAGACATTTTGATTCGACATGACGTGGGAAGAGTAAGTTCTTCAAGTTGGGTGGTCTGCTGTATGCAACAATGAGGCCATTCCGGTTGCGATTGTGAGGATTCCATATGTTGTACAGGTAATCTTCAAATTCAGTCTTTGGTACAAGTGGGAGGGGCGTTTGGATGAAGAGGCCTTCCCATGTCACGCGGTCGGTGCTGAGGCGACTCAATTCAAAATTGCACGCTCTGCCAAAGGTCTTTGACCGAGAGATAGGGCGAAGGACTTGTGTATGGAAGGCGTCTTGAATGGTTTTTTGAGATGGGTCGCGCGAGTGGAATGGAAGGTGTAGGAAGCAGAGATGGTCCGTTGAAGAAGGGGTGACAGGTTCTTTGCGGGGCTTAGAGAACTGTTGAAGGGCTGTCTCAAAGGCAGAGTTAAGGAACTTCAGTTTGTAGCCTCTTGCAAAGAGGTGAGAATGGAACTTAGCAAGAGATTGTTTCTTGTCAATGTCTCTGGAAGTGAGTTGCAAAATGCGAAAGATTCCTCCAGTGACAAGCCTGAGTCGCACCGAAGAGGTGCGGGCGGAGTTAGGAGGGATGTAGAGATGGAGGTTCAGTGGTTTTTCATATAGTTTGGTGTTAATATGAAAGGGTTCAACAGTAAGAGTAAGGTCAAGGAAGTTGACAGTCTTCAGAAGGGTAGAAAAGTCCCAATTGAGAGTGCAAAAGTTGCCTTGACATTCTTTAAATTCGTCCCATCGTTGGCGATCCACGGCTGGATCTGGGTGGTGAATCCAAATGCCAAATTGGTCGTCAATGTATCGGCGGAGGTAGTGTAGAGATGATCCAAAAGATTGAAGTAGATCAATCTCAAAAATACCATAGTACAACATGGCAAAGGAGGGTGCAGGTGGTGTGCCCATTGCAGTTCCGTCTGTTTGGAGCCAGTAGGTGTCTCCAAAGCGGAAACAGTTCCTTTTCATGATTATTTCAAGGGCAACCAGAATTGGGTCGGCTGAGACGTTGTCACAGAGAGGGGAAGTTGTCAAGAAGTTGCGGATACGAAGAAAGGCGTCTTCAAGGTCGATGCTGGGGTACATTGCCACTACATCACCAGTGAAGAGGCTCATGCGAGAGAAGTCAGTTCCATGCATGTTGTCCAAATCATTTTTAGTTGGAATGAGCTGGAAAGGTAGGTAGGAAGTTTCTTAACAAGGGGCTGAAGTTGTTGGTCTAGCCATTTGCCAAGGCCATAGAGCAAGCTTCCAGAGACGGAAACGATTGGGCGTGTCTTCCAAGGGCTCTTGTGAATCTTTGCAAGGACGTAGAAGTATGCATAGGGGTCTGTCACAGACTCAAGAGATCTCCGAAGATATGTCATGTCCATTTTGCTGATGGCATAGGAGTTCTCGGTGAGGAATTTCTTGAGAAGGTGTCTCGTTTCAGAGGTGAAGTTGTCAGCTTCTTCCTGAGAAAGTTGTTGATAGGGCCGGGTGAGAAGATGATCAGTAAGGCAGCGGCGTACGTAGACTTCTCGTTCCAAAATCACTGGTCCTAGATTCTTATCAGAGTTGAGGACGAGTAGATCAGGGTGATGGCGGAGGGTGGAGAGGAGACGGTGCTGGATGGGAGTGAGGTTTGAATAGACTTTTCGGCGACGGAACAGTGGCTTCAGTCGTTTGCGAAAGGAGTCAATTCGGGCCTGAATCTCACGATTGATCATTTGGTCTTTTAATTGCCATTGGTCATTGCGAATATAAAGCTGTTTTGGAGTCCACTCAGACTCTTCGCCAGCAAAGTAACACTTTGTTTGAAGATCTTTCGCAAAACGGTCCAGGGATGTAGAAAAGCGGCTCTGGCTGGTGGTGAATTCTGGACGGGGACAGAATTTCAAGCCCAAGCCGAGAAGAGATTGCATGAAAGGAGGTGGGCTTTTTGTTGTGCACAAGTTGTGGCAAGCAGCATTGGAAAGGCGAGATTCAAGAGTAACAATTGGAAGTGATAAAATATGATTATGTAAGGTTACTCGGTGGGATTGTGATGGGTCCGCAAAGAGGCCGTAGCGTGATATCATAGTTGATCGCAAGTGTTGGTCTATCTTCTGCTGTTGTTTCGAGATGGCTTGTTTTTCTGCAATGATTTCTTTCTGGAGGTGGATTTTCGTTTGGAGGAATCTGCGACGACAGCGGCGGCTTTTGCGACAGTTTTTGGCTGTTGTTTGCCGGAGTTGGAAGCAGATGGTTGACGGTTGGGAGTGCTCTTTTTCTTTTTGATCGAGGCGCCGGGTCGAGTGGCCCCTCTGACATCGTTTTTTACCATAGAGCGTTGGATTGTCTGGAGTTGTTGTTCCAGTTTCTTTGTTTTCTCACAAATCTGGTCGTTGACACGTTGGTTGATTATGTCTTGGACTGTTTGAGGATTGGTAAGGTCTAGGTCTGCAATGGCCATTGCAGTAGTGGCAGTAGAAGTTTCTGCGCGAGCTAAAGCAATGAACTTCTTCATCAACTCGGTGTTGGCAATGGTAGAAGTTTGTTTCTCAAAAGTGTCCCAGCTGTCAACAAAGAGGGCTTGAAAGATATGTTGAAAGGCAACGACAGTTGGCGATGTTGCTGTCACAGCATACATGATGCGATCAGCTTCGTAGCGGTAGGCAGTTGTTCCGGTTTCGGCTGGTGTGTGGGCATGAGCAAGTGCAAAAATGCAGTCATAGACAGCATTTACATTTGAAAATTCGGAATGTTTGAGAAAAGGGGGTGTTTGAGCATCAGCAGTGTCAAAGATAAATTGATAGATATCGCAACTTTTGGTTTCACTGAGGTCTGGATCACCGATGGCAAGTGTGGTTGCAATAACAACAACACTGCGGGCAATGCAGTGCTGGATTGCTTTTCGGACTGAGGCAAGGATCTGTACTGTGTCACATGGGCCAATTTCTTTGGATGAAAGAGGAATCCACAGTCAACTGCCGTGTCCAAGAAGAATTGCAGCCCTTGGGCTGTCTTTTTGTCCGTGGGCCCATGGATGAGGAAATCGTCTACCCATACCCAGATGTGCACAGCTCCTCCATCGTTGGAGGTCAAGATGAATTCATAACCAAGCTGTGGATCAAATCCATTGTCTTGTAGACCTGTCCAGTAGCAGTTAGCTCTGGCTTCACCTTGGAAAACGCCAAATTTCTCCTTCACAAGTCGTACAAAGGCGAGACCGATCCGGCAGGCAATGGCTGGACTGTTTCCGGCCCCCATAGCTAGTCCATAGTAGGTCAGTAGCTCTTCGGTCTTAGGATGCAGGAGACCAAGGTACGGTCGGTCCTCTGGATATGTCGGAAAATTGTAAAAGAACTTGGACAGGTCAACCACTGCAGCGTATCCTTCAGTGTACTTTTGGTCCACAATGTGGGCTATCCTGGGCATGAAGATAGGGTCCTGCCCAACACAATCGTTCTGACCACCTTGTAGCATGTCAGAAATTCCCCGCCATTGTCCAGGTTGGCCATCCTTCCCAACAACAAATAAAGGGGCATTGGTGAGGACGGCGAGTCCTTCATCGATGCTTCGAAGTACCCCAAGTTCAACAAGTTCGTCCACAAATTGGATAGCAGCCTTTAGCACTTCTTCATCCATTGGAGGGTTAGGTCGGAGACAAGGATCTGGCTGTTTCAGGAAATTTTGGCGCGCCCCATTTCACAGTTCCTCCCAGTGCTCAGACGGGAACTCCCACCATACAAGTTGCAGTCATTTGGGGGCCGGTCCCTCCGAGTTGTAGTTGTTCCGGTGGACGGCTAGTCGTTGGACGCCATCCCAGTAGATGTTGTCCGGTTCAGGATAATGATCAGCGGCCCAGCGGAGGTTGGCCAGTTGTAGTGTGTGCCAGGGGCTACCAGGAGAAAGGTCTAGGGGATGCCAATCAAACACATTGTTGTTGAGGGTGGTGTTTGCCCCGGACAAGTTGTTCCCGGTCTTTGGTCCCTGTGTTGTTCTGGTGGGCGTAGCAGTCGGGTGGCTGAACAAATGTTGTAGTGAGAAGGAGATGTAACCCCAACCCTGAAGTAGTTCGTTGGGGGCTCTTGTGTGACAGTTCAGTTTTGTAGCCTTTGGAGATGCCCAGTCCCCGTGCAACTTCTTCCTTCAGGAGCCGCCGAACTCCCTTCTCGGTTTGGATCCATGCTCCTATTTGGTTAGGCATGGGGTCGTGGAGGGAGTTGGGTGAATGTGTACTGCTGGGTTGGGAGTAGGAGTTGCGCGGTACCAATCCCGGAGGAGTGAGAAGATTTCCCATAGGTTGGATCACTGACAGAACCCAATCTAAACTGTCCCATGTCCATTGTGCTCGACAATCAATTCTTGTCCGAACCACCAGTAGCCGTTCTTGGGTGATGGCACCTCCTATCGATGTTGCCTTGATAGTACAACAATTGATATTGTAGCCCGTTTCTCTCCATCTAGTAGTTGTAGGTTTGCTTGTTGGTCCGTATTGCCACAACGTTGGGTCAGAGCGCCAGGATTCAATGACAACCTTGGGCCTGTGTTTGGGAGGCACAGAATCCACCATGTCCTCCCATGGTTCTCGCTTGGGGCCGCCACTTGGTCGTGTGTAGTGGCTTTTCTCGATCACCAAAAGATCCACCGGGTGAGTGTCAAGGAGCCCCTTCTACTGACGGTGGGGTCCATAGAGCACCACTGGTGGGTCTCCAGTCTCAAGTCTGTTGGAACAGTCTCCCCATTTTCTCGGATGGAGAATGATGTTACCTTCATCTTTAGCCATGCATAGCGCATGACTTCACATCCATCTCCTATTATGCCCAGGGTTTCCAGTCCTACCAAAGTTGTTGCAGCTACCTTACAAATCTCTATTCCCACTGTTGCCCCACTTGCAAGAATACAAACAGAACAGTCAGCTATAACAGATTAAATTGATATTGCTTTCACAAGTGTGGTGGTGGTGGTGGTGGTGGTGGTGGTGGGTGTTGATTGTAGGTGGCAATTCGGATGATGAGTGACTGCTTCATTTGGCTTGATGTGCAATGTGTGCATTGTCCCCAAAGTGGAGACCTTTCCTTCGGAATGGTGGTCCCCAAAGTAGACGGCCTTTCGGCCGCCCCTTCGGATTTGTTCCCAGAGTAGACCAAGCGGTCCCTCAGGAATTTTGCTCCGGAGTATACCACATGAGTGGCACCTCCGGTGGTTGCCGGTTTCTCCCCCGGCCTAGGATTTCTTGCACCAGTTGTCCGAGACTTCCTTGATAATATCTCCAACCGGGCGCTCCTTGGTGGCCAAGACGGCAGTGGCAACTTGTTCCGCCACGACCTTGCCCCGTGAGCCGGCATGCCCTGCCAGGGGGCAGACAGTCTTGTTGTGTTCAAGTTTCAAGGCAGTGTGCAGAATGCAACTCTTGCATTGAGAACACTTCTTGAGGGTCGAATCTCCTTCCTTATTCTTGTCCTTGGTAGGTTCCCGGCCTCCTCGACCTTTGGCCGCCGGAAGGGATTCCAACTCCCTTTGGAGCTTCTGGTTTGTCTTGTTCACGCGTTCAATGTTTGTTCTCCTTGATGGTGTTGCTGCCAAAATCTTTCTTGCAGGCATCGCGTAGGTAGATGTAATTCTGGAGGAGCAACATCTTCTTACTGTTGGAGTTTGTGCGGATGTCCAGGAGATTCTCTGAGTGGACCTGGAGTATGACATAGGCCTCGGAGTCTTCCCAGGCTTCATCTGCTCCCATATCTTTGTGGCGGATCTTGTTGTTGAGAAGAGCCAAGAAGTTGATGTAGGTTTCCTTGATGATGCGAGGCATCAGACCTCGTTCAACGTAGTCTTCCACAAACTCAGTAGAGTAGCCTAGTTGGACCAGGTAGTGCAAGAACTGGAAGCGTTGGTTCTTGAATGTATCTTCTTCTTTCTTGAGGATCTTCTGGCAGGCTTCGTGAAGTTTATTGCTGCTGGTGATGAGGCCAAGCCCGTGGCAACTTTTGCGACAATAACCCATATCTAGCAGGGCGATCTTGGTACTGTCCGACCCAAAAGTTTCTAGGAGCTGGTTCATCACTTCCTCACCTGCTCCACCACTTTCACTATCACCCCCACCTGGCGAGCACTTACCTGGTAATGCCGCCATATCGCTTGCTCTGCCCCACAATCCTTTAATGGCGGCGTTCTTGAGACCCTCCGGCATCATTGCTCGATCAATATCGAAACTGGTAATAGAAATCCCATGAATTTCTTCCTCATTGCCTTTAGAACTGTCCGCTTGATAACTCTTGATTGCAGCTTCATGGAAAGCCGGCCTCGGGGATGCTTCCAATATTGCTGGAGACATCGATGCTGAAAGGTGGGTAGGATTTGTGCTGAGTGGCCTGGTCCCGTCTACCAGGGTTGGACCAGAAGGGGGTGGTTGCTCCTGTCCCATGTTAGTAGCGGCCAGTCGAGTTCTTGCTTCTTCTTGTTCTTGTTCCATTTGTCTGGCCGCAATGCTCATCTTATCAGCCGATCCCTGAAGCTTTACAAAGTAGGGGTGGATGGCTTCAAGAACAGATTGTAGGATGGGCTGATTGTTCTGGGCTTCAACAGCCGCTAACTCCGGTTCGAGTATTCTGGCGGTTGTAGGTGGCTTGGGTGGAGACTTTAGAGTGTTGTTGCCCTCTTCAATAGTGACTTGTTTGGGTGTAGCTCCCTTCAGTTTCTTCTTCCTTGCAATGGGAACTTTTTGCTGGAAGGTAGCCCTAGGTTTCTTCTTCGTTGGGGAACGGCTTGCTGCCTTTGCTTCCAGTCTTGCCTTCTCCGCTTTCAGCTTCTTCAATTTTGCCTCTTCGATCTCAGCGATCATTTCATTGATCCGGTCAAGGTCGTCTTGATGGTCGTCGTCTGAGACGTCCAAGAATTGTCCATCAGATTCCACATCGCTAGTATTGCTCTTCTTCTTCGTCCGAGATGGATAGCATCTCATTGGAGGCTTGGTTGAGATGCTTGTCCATTTCCTTCTCGGTCCGACAATAACCATATTGTTGACCATGAACAATAAATTCTCCCGTTTCCTTGTCAATGTCCTTGGTAGATGGGACTCCTTCATACCAACGTGGGGCTGCTCGTTCGCCACTGCTTCGACGTTATTTGTGGAGCCGGAGTTGGCACTTGTTCTTCAGCTTCCCACATATGATCTTGTCTTGCTTGCTGGTTGCCGTGGGTCCGACATATTTAACTTGACAGTGGTCTGTTGTGAGATGGACCCAAGCGTTGAGTGGGACCTCTCTTTCTTCGTCATAATCAAAACTCAGCTTGATCTTCAGGTTCTGAATCTTCTGGCTCGGTGTCGGGTGGTGGTCCTCGAGGATTCCTTGAAGGGGCTCCGTCTGAAAGCGTAGCATCGTGGTCTGACCGGGCATCTTCGCTTTCATCACTGTCAATTTCAAATTGGCGATATCTCGCCGGTTGGGTCAAGGAAACGGCCGAAGCCGTTCTTGTCGAATGAGAATGACGAGAAATGGCGGAGGTTACGCTGTCTCCCTTGCGACTCACGCCCGTGCTGGATGCGTCGGAATGTACGGTCTCCACTGGTTCTCTGGTCCCTTCACGCGTCTGAGCACGAGTTCGTCCCGTATTGGGGGAAAAGAAACGTCTGACAGGCTCATGATGACACTCCTCTCCCCTATAACTCAGATTCTTGTCTAAAAATCACCTTACCCCCTAAATTTCTACCTATTGCTGGAGTCTCAAGGTGTTTTGCTCAAGTTCCAAGTTGGATTGAGTTGTGTGCTTTTTGATGCAGCTGCAAGTCATTCCGATTCGGGGCTTTTCACAGGCATTCCTCCAGCTTCGTACTTTGTACGTTCACTTTCCTACGGTGGTCATTCGAAGTATTCATGACCACCGGAATCTGGAATGCTTCTTCTCTCTTTCTTTCGTAACCTTTCTATACGGTCAGCTGGGTACAGTAGAGTTCAGCACACATAAAAAATAACGTCATCTACTGTACTATTATTCGACATGAAGAACAAAATATAGACCCAACGGAGATGCAACTTGTTATTGCTGCTTGGTGCTTCACCTTCTTATCCACCAATGCCTCAACACAAAGGTTGAATCAGTTTCCGAACGAAGCAGGCAGTACCACCTTTTCAAGTCGACTATCAGCAAAGGCAAAACGAAACAGGAAAGCATCCAACAAGTCGTCGTCGTCATCGTCATCGTCCAACAAGAAGTCAAAATCCGGCTTTACAAAGCCTCCTAGTGTCATCATTTTCGATCTAGACGGTTGCCTATGGAGGCCAGAGCTCTTTGAACTCGTAACAAATGCGGATGGTCCACCATTTACCCATAATCCACAAGTTAGTAGTAGTACTGTCGTTCCAGCAGGAACCACCCTGTTGTCGAAACAAGGCCAACGCATTGAACTGTTGGGATCCACTCGTCAGATTTTACATGAGCTATATACTCAAGAAGAATGGTATCCCACTCGAATCGGCATCTCCTCGCGAACAGATCCACCTGAATGGGCGTACAATCTGATGGAGATGTTTGCTATCTATGAGGTCAACGACGATGACGACGGCAACAAGAATCGAATGACAAAGACTCCAACGGCGACGATCCCAGCAGTGACTTGCCAAATGAAGGATGTCTTTGATCCTATCCTCTGCATACTCGATAAGAATACAGACAAGGCAACACAGTTTGAACGACTATTAGAGCAGGCGAATGATCAAAGTACGAGCAACAACCACAAGCGACTTCAGTTCAAAGACATGGTATTTTTCGACAATGAAGCCGGAAACTGCAAACAAGTTGCCAAGTTGGGGGTGACATGTGTGTATACACCAAAGGGAGTAACCTACGAGGCATGGCAGAATGCAATCCAAAACTTTCCCGCCAATCGGGTGTTGGGTCCGAAAATGCCGTATTGAAGTTCTGGTGTTGGTGGTGGTGATCAGCATGATGGCAGAAAGGCTCTATGTGGTTCTACCGGTATATACTTCCTACGTACTATGAGCACATTCACTTGGCATGTCAATCGCAAGTACCGTAGTGCCTCGTCGCCGCTCTACTTTCTCTGCATTATTGCGAGCCTATATATATTAAAATATATAGACACTTGGAGGATGCCAGGTAACCGTACCCAATATATGTCAGCTTGGTTGGTGTGTAACAACAAAACGGCGGCGTCCACTTTTATTATGACGACCGTTAAATCAACGGACAGTCGTCGGTTTGGAAATTTTGAGAACGCATCAAGACTACGACTGTGTCAAAAGTCGGTACCGGTATATTCAACTCGCACAAAAGACGTCAAAGATGAAAATCAGCGCTATTGCCTTTCTTACTACCGCCGTTGGCCTTGCCACTGCACAAAATGGAACCGAGCCCTTTGCAGCTGACTTCTCTCCTATTGTTGAAAAGGGATCCTATACTTCGCTTTTGGGAGCCATCAATGAGACTGGCAGCGACGCGGTGATTTCTTCAAACGCCCCTGTCACGATTTTTGGCCCTTGGGACGAGGCCTTTGATAACATTACCGATGTGTTGGAAACTCTAACAACGGAAGATATTCAAGGTGTCCTTCTCAATCACGTGATCGTTGGTGTTAATCTCACCACAGAAATGATAGCGGCAGAAGGTTGTATTGAAGCCACAACAGCCGGAGGCTTGGAGATTTCTATTTTCCGTGATCCATTCACCGGCCTTATCGATGTTGATGGATTTCATGTTGTTGTGGACCCCGATATCACTGGGGACTATGGAGTTATGCACGGAATTGATCGTGTGATCCTCGCGGAAGAGCATGTATTCTTTCCCTGCCCTCCTCCCCTCGACCTTTCGCCTATTGCCCAGCTTGGAAACTACTCGACTCTTCTCGCTCTACTTGAGCAAACAAACAACGATTTCGCAATTTCTATCGCCCTTTCGAACTCAAGTACGTCCACTGTTTTTCTTATTTCGACTGCTCTTTGAAAACAACCTTTAATAATTCTTTACTTCAATGTTTGCTTCTTTCAATCCAATTCACAAAGCCATCTTTGGGCCAAGCGACACTGCTTTTGCTGCCATTCAGAGTACCCTGGATGAATTGAACGATGATCAGGTATGTATGAAACAATCTGAATGACAAGTCCTACACTAAGTTGAACAATCTAATCGAACTATGTCCACATGCAGCTCAATGAGGTTCTCTGGGGACATCTGGCGTATGGCGAAGTATTTTCTAATGAGGTTCGTGCATTCGGATGTGTTGAGGTGGAGACATTTGCAGGGACATCCGTAGCCGTTCGTTTCAACGATACTACAGGCATAGCCTCGGTCAACGGCATTCCAATTAGTTCTACCAACTTTGACATTGCTGGAGAAGGTTATGTCTTCCATGGAATTGAAGGCGTTCTTGCCGATTCGGAATACGTTCCGTGTGATCCTCTTGACCTTTCCTTGGTAGAGTTAGCTGGAAACTACAGCACGTTTCTCAGTTTGGTTGCTCAAACAGGCCTCGCCAACGAACTCAACGATTTTATACCCGTTAGTAAGTGGATAATACTGCATTCGAATTCACTGCCTGCTAGACTGTTCTGGATGAGCTCGTTCTGTTGCCCGTCCACTATTTATCTGATCGCGACTGCTCTTTGAAAACAACCTGTACTAATTCTTCATTTCATTGTTTGCTCTTCAACCCAATTCACAAAGCCATCTTTGGGCCGAGCGACGCTGCTTTTGCTGCCATTCAGAGTACCCTAGATGAATTGAACAATGATGAGGTATGTATGAAACAATCGGGAAGACAAGCCGTACAATATGTTGAACATTCTAATCGAACTATGTCCGCTTCCAGATTAGGGAGGTTCTCTTGGGACATCTGGCGTTTGGCGAAATATTCTATGATGAGGTTCGCGCATTCGAATGTGCTGAGGCGATAACATTTGGAGGAACTTTCCTAGCCGTTCGTGTCAACCGCACTACAGGCACAGCTTCGGTCAACGGCATTCCAATTAGTTCTACCAACTTTGACATTGATGGAGAAGGTTATGTCTTCCATGGAATTGAAGGCGTTCTCGCCGATTCGGAATACGTTTCGTGTTCCGCAAATCCTCTTGACCTTTCCTTGGTAGAGTTAGCTGGAAACTACAGCACGTTTCTCAGTTTGGTGGCTCAAACAGGCCTCGTCGACGAACTCAACAATTTTACACCCGTTAGTAAGTGGACAATTCTGCATTCGAATTCACTGCCTGCTAGACTGTTCTGGATGAGCTCGTTCTGTTGCCCGTCCACTATTTATCTGATCGCGACTGCTCTTTGAAAACAACCTGTACTAATTCTTCATTTCATTGTTTGCTCTTCAACCCAATTCACAAAGCCATCTTTGGGCCGAGCGACGCTGCTTTTGCTGCCATTCAGAGTACCCTAGATGAATTGAACAATGATGAGGTATGTATGAAACAATCGGGAAGACAAGCCGTACAATATGTTGAACATTCTAATCGAACTATGTCCGCTTCCAGATTAGGGAGGTTCTCTTGGGACATCTGGCGTTTGGCGAAATATTCTATGATGAGGTTCGCGCATTCGAATGTGCTGAGGCGATAACATTTGGAGGAACTTTCCTAGCCGTTCGTGTCAACCGCACTACAGGCACAGCTTCGGTCAACGGCATTCCAATTAGTTCTACCAACTTTGACATTGATGGAGAAGGTTATGTCTTCCATGGAATTGAAGGCGTTCTCGTCGATTCGGAATACGTTCCGTGTTCCGCAGATCCCCTTGACTTTTCCTCGGTAGAGTTAGCTGGAAACTACAGCACGCTTCTCAGTTTGGTGGCTCAAACAGGCCTCGTCGACGAACTCAACGAGGTTCGACCCGTTAGTAAGTGGATAATTCTGCATTCGAATTCACTGCCTGCTAGACTGTTCTGGATGAACTCATTCTGTTGCCCTGGTGTTTCTTTTTGCAGCAATTCTGGCGCCCACCGACGCGGCGTTTGCACGGTATCAAAGCAACTTGACAGGACTATCGGACGAGGAGATTGCAGAGAGTACGTTCTGAGATTCTTCTAGCTGTTTCACATTTGTTGCAACTATCGTCAGCATTCCAACTCACTATCTGGGCAACGGTCTTTTTTCTTTCGTAGTACTTCGCATTCATGTCATTGCATTTGACACCATTGATGCACAGTGGATCCTTGATTCAGAGTGCATGGAATTTTTCACGGAAGGGGGGTCCATGGTCAGTTTCAGATACGACAATGTTACTGAGCAAATCACCGTCAATGGAATCCCCCTTGTGCAGGCCGACATTCTTGGTAACTTTGGAGTCTTGCATGGTATTGATGGCAATTTTGCTTTTGATGGACAATATGAACCCTGTTTTGAAGATCCGTATAGTGTAGTTGGATATCTCACGTCCTACTATGACCAACAAGTCACTGAAGCGGCAGTGGCGGCATTTGCATCAAGTGCAAGTAAGTGCTCTGAAGATATTCTTTCTCCTCTTCTTGACATGTAACATTTGACTAATTGATACTATTCTCGATACACAGCGTTTTTCGGACCAACCGACGAGGCATTTTACTCTCTTGATGAATATCCATTTTACAGTGATGATGCTGCCGAGAGAGAAGTCGAGGTAAGTGCACTTACGTTCGTCTTGCAGTCTTCTTTGACGTCATGGTATGTACTAATGATGGATTCTTTTTTTCTTCTTCGCCCCAAATCGCAGTTGTTGCTCGGACACATTGTTCCAGGTATCCACACAGCTGCACAAGTAAAAGAAGCTGGATGCGTTATTCTCGATACTTTGGCTGGAACTAAGGTCCGTGTCATGTGGGTGGAAGGCGATATGGGTGGGCGTCGTTTAGCGGGCCATGAAATGACTGGAATGGTGATGGTAAATGACGCCATGGTCATTCTTGCCGACCAATTGGACGAAGAATCTGATGTTATGTTCCATGGGATTGACAAGGTCATTCTTTCGGGATCCTTTAGCGAGTGCCCGTCTACCATGTCCCCAGTGACAGCTCCAACCGATGCCCCAGCACCCAGAGGGACTCCACCAACCGAATCGAGTGCCGCCTTTTTCAATCATGTCAGCATTATCTTTGCCTCCATGTTTGCACTGCTCGCTCTTTAGAACCTTTGGGTTGGAAATGTTTGTCGGTGGTTGCTCTTGTCTCCTTTAATGCGACCCGATTATTGCAATGTGATGCACTTTTTTAATTACAAAACACTCATTCAATTGAATTCGAATAATAATTATTTTTGTTTGTGATCCCACTCTCCATAACGTTTTTTTTATTTTAAAAATTGTGTCGCAGCCGTTATATGAACGGATGCCATTTCAAGCCTATATTTTATCACACTTGCAAAATTATGCATGCAATGTTACGGCCCGACGTTACTTTTCCGAATGGCATCGTGTATCATAATAATGATGAAGCTAACCATTTATCTCCTTCTTGCTACTACTATTGCTGTTGCCTCCGCGCAACCTGATTTTGCACCCATAAGGCAAAAAGGCATCTACGGAACTCTTCTTGACACTATTGGCTTCACTGGTATCGATGCCATTATATCGGAGAATGCACCTGTCACTATCATCGGTCCCTCTGACCAGGCGTTCGGGGAGGTGGCTGGTGTCATTGCCACTTTGAGCACTGAAGAAATCAAACAAGTGAGTTAAGTGTTGCAGCCAATAGATCTATCTTGGCTTCTACCAATTGCTCATCACTTCCATCTTTTTGCTGGAAGATTGTGTTGAATCACATTGTTCCGAACGCAACCATCACAAGTGATGTATTGAGAAAAGAAGGTTGCATGGTTGTCAAGACTATCGGAGGCCTTGAAGTTTCCCTTTTCCGGGATCCAATAACTTTTGAAATGGATGTAGACAACGATCTCATCGTGGATCCTGACGTCGCTGGAGACTACGGTGTTCTCCATGGCATTGAGGATGTGATAATCGCTGATCAACACGGATTCTTGGGCTGCCCCAGCTTTTCAGATCTTTCAGCTATTTCTGATAAAGAGGACTTTTCGACTCTTCTTGGACTCATCGAGCAAACACACAATCATTTCACAATCACAATGAATACAGAGAATACCAGTAAGTTTACCAATGTTCTGACTACAGAACGAAGACCCAGCATGATCCTAGATACTAACAGACACCTTCAACTGAAGCAATCTTCGGGCCAACAAATGCTGCATTTACCGCTGCCCAGGGTCAACTGGATTCACTGACTGAGGACCAACTGGATCAAGTACGACGGATGTTTTGAAATCGTTCTTCGAGTTGTCTTGATCTACTCTAACTATAATACACGTACCATTCATCCCCGCTGAAGGTTGTTCGCGATCACATGGTGTTTGGGGAAATCTTGACCGAAGAAGTCATTGCGTTTGGCTGCGTCGAAAAGAATACACTTGCCGGTACGACGTTAGCCATTCGATTCGACGAATCATCAGGCGCAGCATCAGTGAATGGTGTCCCAATCAGTGCTACGGAAATTGACATTCGTGGAGAGTACTTTGTCCTTCATGGAATCGAAGGAACTCTTGTTGAAGCCCAGTACGTTCCTTGTGCCCAGGAACCTCTTGACTTTTCTCCCGTAGTTGAAACTGGGGAGTACAGCACCTTTCTCGACTTGGTGGACCAGACGACCTTGTCTGATGACATTAGTATGAAGAGGCCCAACAGTAAGCCATACTTCTGATGTGTATTTTATAGTCGAGATGGACTCCCGTAATGCCTCACATTGTCCTTTGAATCGATTAACCTTCAGCAATTTTGGCTCCAACAGATGCTGCGTTTGCAAGGGCCCAAAGTGTTGTCTCTGGACTAAGTGACGAAGAAATGGCAGCAGGTATGTGTCTGGATATTGTGCCAAGTATGCTACCAATTATGCTGACACTTTACGCAAATTCCCACTGATGTTCCAACAAACTCTTTTGTAGCCATACAAGTAGCACTTGCGAATCATGTCATCAACGGTACCATTATTGATTCAGCTTCTGTAGTAGCTGAAGAGTGCATTGAAGCTGAAACAGTCGGAGGGTATCCAGTCAGTATCAATTTCGACATTGTAACTGGACAGATCACCGTCAATGGAATCGCTGTTGTGCAGACCAATATCACTGGCAACTTTGGGATCTTACATGGTATTGATGGCGTAATAGGCATTGATGGGGAATACGCTCCATGCAGTCCATATAGCGAAATTGAATTTCTGTCGAACTTCTTTGAGATTGATATCAACGCAGCAGCAGATGACGAACCAATAACTGTTTTTGGTCCTCGCAATGACGCTCTCTTCTCACTAGACATCTATCCCTTTGATGGGGTCGGTTCTAGACAGAACGAGATGGATTTGGTGCTTGGACACATTGTCGCCGGTGTCCACACAGCTGAAGAAGTAAAAAAAGCTGGGTGTGTCGTTTTGGAGACGTTTGCTGGAACCAGAGTTCGTGTCATTTGGGTGGAAGATGGACCTGGTCACAGCGGCGGCATGAGAAGACGTCGCCTAGCAGGTCACGGTGGCGCCAACATGGGAGTGGTTATGGTGAATGATGCCAAGGTGATTCTTGCCGACCAATCGAATGGGGACAATGCGAATATTTTCCATGGAATCGACAAAGTGATTCTTCCTGGCTCTTTTAGCGAATGCCCCGTGAATATGCCGCCATCAATGCCTCCTGTGGCTCCTCCTCCAACCCAACAAGCAACCCCGGCAGCTCCCACTGTGGCTCCAGCCGAGTCGGGTGCCTTTTCAAGTGGTCTGAGCATTACCGCCATCCACATCCTTGCTTTGGTTGCTCTTTTATCACAGAGATAACATAATTACTTAATTCGGGTTCTGTTGGATGCTCCTGACTGACTCATTCACTGCAATTTTCGATCGCGGTTCTCCTGCCCAGTCTTTTGAATGTTGCCGATCAACGGTACCTAAGTATGTAGAATGCCATTGGTGCCGATCCAAGATACACGTGCGTCTCTACTTCTTCACTTCAAGTAAAAAGGAAACCTATTTTCTAAATCATGCGTGGAGGTTTCGAACTCTCAACAGAAAGGAATTTCAGTCTACATTCGCCTGTTCCACTTTTCAAGAGTACATTCATTAAATAGGGAGAATTTTATCAATTACGCAAATAAATGTTTGGTTTGTCCGTCAGTTTAAGGACGTGTTCTCCCGGAATTATGATGCGGGACAATTACTCATTCGACAATCCGCACGTCACTAAAAGTAGGACAAGCACGTGGTGTGTCTTCTTCATCTTTCTCCATCTTTCTCGCATTTTCTGCAAAACCAATGAATCCACCCTCTTCTGACAGCCAGTCCAAACTCCTTCCTGGTAGAACTGAATCCATCCACGAGAGACCTCCAAGCAATTCACCATCGCTTCCAGCACCACCATTTGGTGGATGGATTCCAAGCGGTACACTACCGCTTCCACCATCTGGAGATTCCACCCTCCAGTTTCCTTGGAAATTGCATCAGATGCTGGAAACAGTGGAAACAGAAGGTAATGCATCCATCATTTCATGGCTGGCAGTGCACCCGCAAGACACTTTCAAAGTCCATAAAAAAGAAGAGTTCATGGAGCAGGTGTTGCCGCGCTTCTTCGATCAGACCAAATACAAGTCGTTTCTGCGACAACTGAACCTATGGGGATTTGAGAGAGTACTCAAAGGTCCATGTCGTGGAGGCTATCGCCACTCATTATTCATCAAGAATCAGCCTAACTTATGTAATCAAATGAAACGAACGAAGATAAAGGGTACAAAACAAGGAGATTCAGGGGACTCCTCACAACAGCAGCTAACGGAAGGGGAACGGCATAACATGATGATATCGCATTTCAGTGACGAGCATCGAGTGGGGATCAAAACGAATGATCTGTACGACGAAACGTCATTCGATACCATTGAATATGAAAAGATACCAGTTAATCTTCCGATTGCCGCGGACCTATACCGCATGTATGATGATGAGACGATTCATGTTCCGATTCTTCCGACAGCCGAAGCGGAGGACCCGTACTCCCCCATCCCACTCTACAGGGTTTAAGATATCGGCGATGATGTGAGAAAAGGGAACTAGGTGTCGAAGATGATGATAGCATATGTAACTAACTATAAGGGGAAACATAGAACGCAAAGATGATGATCTGCTGCAATATCGATAGCGTCAGTGTCACTGCTTTATTTTCGAGTGTTTAGTTCCTCCATTCGCTTTAGCAAGTGTGATCTGAAACGTCGACGTGCTTTAATGTCGCTTGTAGAGGAGGTCCCAGTCGTTCGAGGATGACCTGAAACATCGTTTTCAGAGAGCCACTGCTTTATTGTCGCGTGTGGGTTCCTGTCGTTCCTTTTTTATTATTATCAGCACGATCATCTGAAACATCGACGTCAGTTTCACTGCTTTATTGTCGCGCGTGTGGGTCCCATCCGCCATTTCCATCGGCGAACCGAGGTCTTGCTCACGCCCAGGACACAGAAACCGTCGGAAATATCGTGTACGCGTGGTAATGGTACGGTACCTACCGGTACTACAATTTCCGAGAGAAAAAAGTGCCACTGCAGTACCTACTCCAATCGAACACACTATCATATTCCTCCAAAGAACTCGGTCCAGCTCCAGCTCCAGCTCCAGCTCCAGCAATTAGCTGACTACTAGACTACTATTAGCCAAGTTCAAAGTTGGGTGTTCAATGGAGGCGCCGCTACTAGTACTATGTACAAACGGAAAGAAACGACGTGGAGTAGCAGCCGTAGGCTACCGTAGGCTACCGTAGGCTACCGTAGTTGAGCACCAATATATTTCACCATCGTTTGTCACTATTCGAGTGAGTGGCTGTGACAGTCCAGCCCAATACTGAGCTTGACATTGTTTTTTGTGAGTTCACTTTAGTTCGCGCGCAAGCACTGCATACTTGTGCTCGTTGGGTCGTGATAAGATAGATTGGATTGATTGATCGATTGATTCATTCCTCTGATCGATTTTGACTATCGAAGATAGCCAACTGGCGCCTTCTTTTCGGGTTCTTCTGCTTGGTGTTTTCTTGGAGTGACTCTGGTGGGTTGTGGTGTGAAATAACTCTATCTTTCTGTCAGTATACTTGCACACAAGTTCGATATGTGTAGATCGGACATAGGTTGCTGGTGCAATACTGAGATGACGGTCGCCCTACCGTCGTTCATGGAGTCACTATTGAGTCCATTGGTTCGACCTCTTTCTTCCGTCTATACGTTTGCCTACCGCTGGTATATTCATCCATATTTATTACATGCACAGTATATAAATAACTCTATCTTTCTGTCAGTATACTTGCACACAAGTTCGATATGTGTAGATCGGACTTAGGTTGCTGGTGCAATACTGAGATGACGGTCGCCCTACCGTCGTTCATGGAGTCACTATTGAGTCCATTGGTTCGACCGCTTTCTTCCGTCTACGTTAGATTCATTCTCAGATCCTCGCGATTTTTAACAGCCGTCATTTAATTTTTTCGCCTGGCTGAGTTAAATTATTATTGAGGACAATATTATAACAACATGAAGCTCCCCGTTGCCATACTTGCTACCATACTTGGAGTCGTCACTGCACAAGATGCCACTGATTTCTCCTCGATAGTCCAAAATGGAGCTTATACAACCTTGCTTCAAGCGCTCAACGCATCAGGGAGCGACTCCGTGATCTTTCAGAACTTACCTGTGACGATCCTTGGTCCGACCGATGAAGCTTTTGCTTTCGCATCACCGCTGATCGATGACCTCAGCGATGAGGAACTTATCCAAATCCTTCTAGACCATGTGGTGCTTGGTCTAAACTATACAAAACAAAATTTGGAAGAGGCCGGAGGATGTGTCATTGCCACGACTGCTGGAGGGACAGAGGTTTCCATTTTCCTCGATCCCTCGAGTGGTTCCATGGACGTGGATGGTATTCCAATTGTGGATCAAGACGTGATCGGAGAATTTGGAGTGCTTCATGGCATTGAGAGCGTGATCATTCCAGGGCAGCATTCCCTTGTGGATTGTCCGGAACCAAGTCCACCAGCCGACTTTACGCCCATTACGCGTCTTGGTCGATACGACACTTTTATTAGTGCTCTCAACCAAACGGATTTGACATCTCTTCTCGGCCAATACGATGCTAGTAAGTGAAAGTGAGAGCGACTGAGTATATGAATTTTGTCTAGTTCTTTCCTCTCAAACTAAATCTTTTCTCGGAACCGCACAGTCATTATTGCGCCGACGGACGAGGCGTTTGCTGCTGCAAATATTGCGGATGGCGAGCTGGAGGAGATTTTGCAAAATCATTTGATTGCTTCATATGGACTGTATTCCTATGATCTGATCAATAGAGAATGTGTGGAAACAAGTACTCTCGGGGGACTCCGAGTTGCCTTCCGCTACGATGCATTAACAAGTGCCTTTTCTATCAATGGCATTCCACTAAACAATGATATCGACATTGAGGGCAACTTTGGAATCATGCACGGTATTGATGGGGTACTTATGGATGGATCTTCTCAGTTCACCAGCTGTTTTGACTTTTCTGATGTGACTAGAAATGGGAACTACAACACGCTTCTTGGCGCATTGGAACAGACAAATTTTACAGAGATGATTGCAGGTGCTGCCCCAGTCAGTAAGTATTTGGCACGAAATCTGCAGTCTTTATAATTTTCTTGTCACAATTCAAACTGACAGTATCTATGGTTGCAATCGAATAGCCATATTCGGGCCGACAGACACAGCATTTGCTGCGGCTCAAGAGACTATCAACTCGCTATCTGCCGACGGTCTCAAAGCCGTACTTGACAACCATGTGATCCTGTTTGACAATATCATTTCAGAGCGGCTAACACTTACAGGATGCATTGATCGGGTCATGGAGGGAGGGATGAGAGTAGACATCCGGTATGACAGCGAAACTGAGTCCGCAACGATAAACGGCATTCCTATAGTTGAATTTGACATTCAAGGGAACTATGGCGTGCTGCATGGGATTGAAGGTATTCTCCTTGAGGGCGAAACGCCATATTCTCCTTGCGTCGACTTTTCATCTGCTATCGAAAGCGGCAAGTACACTTTGTTCCTTTCCGCTCTAAATGAGACTGGAGAGGTCGATACCATAACTCAACTCCGGCCCGTGACTCTATTCGCACCAATTGACGAAGCATTTGCCGCACTGGACTCTCCATTGTCCACATTTGAAATCATTATCAACCACGTCATCTACTCTGATGACGCGTTTCTGTCGGGCTGTGTAGATGTACAAACGGCTGGAGGAATGAACGTTGACATCAGATACGATAGCGAGACCGGCGTAGGAACTGTCAATGGTATCCCCATTGTTGAATTTAACATTACTGGAAACTTTGGTGTGTTGTATGGTATTGATGGCATTCTCATTGAAGGTGTCACGCCATACACTCCGTGTACTGACTTTTCACCTATCAGGCAAGCCGGCAACTATGCCACTTTTCTGAATGTACTCAACGAGACCAAAAAAAATGAGTTCATTTCGATTCAATCACCACTCACCTTTTTTGGGCCGACCGATAGCGCTTTCTCGTTGGCCGGGGATGCAATTGCTACATTGACAGAGGACGAGCTAGTCTTGGCGTAAGTTTCTACGTTCGGTTTTGTTTTTCAATTAAAAAATTGTGATCTTGAATGGCGCGTCTAACATACCCATTTTGAAAGATTGGACAACCATATCCTTGCGTATCCATCTGACGTAACAGTGGAATATGTAAAGTCACAAGGCTGCGTTGACCTATTTTCCTTTGGTGTTTTGGAAATCAGTATCAGTTATAATGAAACTACTGGCAATATGACAGTTAATGGTATTCCTGTTGTGAATGCTGATGTATTCGGTGAATATGGGGTAATGCATGGAATTGATGGCGTTCTCGGTATCGATGGTGAATACTTTCCTTGTGCTTTTGAAGATGATGATTTCTTCTCCACGCCTGAAGGACCTACTTTCGATACCCTTGAAGAACTTGTAACAGAGTTCCAAAGACCACTTTTCACTGCTGTGTTGGCTGCGGGTGAAACCAGTGCGACCATCTTTGGCCCTGACGACTTCGCATTTGCAGCAATTGGCGAACCTGGGACTGCAGAGGAAAACCTCGAAGTAAGTGCTCTTTCGGTACCCTCCTCAATCTTTCCGAATCAAGGAACCACAATGGACTCATTCATCTCTTTGCAAGCAGATTCTGAAAGGCCACGTAGTAGTAGGAACGTACACAAGCGAACAAATCAAGGCCCAAGGATGTGTTGTCCTTGACACTTTGGCAGGAACCAAGATTCGAGCCATGTACGTGGCAGAACAGAGTGATAGTGATACTGAGGGTACTGTGATGGTCAATAACGCAAAGGTCATTGCAAGGTTAGATGGAGACGGGGCTGTTATCCATGGAATCGACAAGGTCATTTTCCCTGAATTGTTTGACGACTGCCCAGCGGAGTCTACCATGGCTCCTACTGTAGCAGCATCAACTGAATCTCCTCCAGTCACCACGTCGGCTGCCTTTGCATCGAAATTGATTTTTGTCTTTTGCTGTATCATTGTACTGATTGCTCTATAGTCCAGAGCAAGATATTAGAATAATACAATACTAGAATATTATTAATGTTTTCTTCGTATACGAAATTATTGAATATCGTTATTCACATCAATTTACCTGCTGTACAGTGAAAAATATCGGTGCGCGATGTGATGTATAAGATTTTGTTTCAACTGCCGATAGATCTACTCACGGTCACATCAGCAAATGTTTCTCTTTGAAAGAATCAGAATGATTATTGACAGATGAGACTTCAAGTTCTTCTTTTCTTCTCTATCGCTCTTGCAAATGCAGACGAACAACCCTTTGAAGCTGATTTCTCGCCCATTCAAAATGCTGGCAATTACTCGACTCTCCTAGATTCAGTAATCAAGACAGGAACTGACGAGGCGATATCTTCCAACGTCCCCGTTACAATATTCGGCCCATCCAATTTTGCATTCAGTGTCATCTCTAACCAGATAACTGGAATACCGGATCAGGAACTTGTCAATATCCTCCTTGGACATGTTATCCTCAATTCGACCATCACCACTGATGTCCTTGTAAAAGAAGGGTGCATCGTGGCAACGACTGCTGGAGGTCGGAATATATCCATTTACAGGGATCCTTTGACTGGCGCAGTGGACGTTGACGGCGTTGATGTTACAATATCTGATATTATAGGGGACTATGGAGTTTTTCATGGCATTGAAACGGTGCTTCTCCCAGGAGCAATTGAATTCTTAGACTGCCCTGCAACACCCGACTTTTCGCCCATCGCAGAGTCTGGCCAATACAGCGCTCTTCTTGGCGCTGTTGTCGAAACCAATACTGACTTCATTATTGCTGTCAATCCCCCTGTTAGTGAGTTCTGTCAATGCTGATTGCAACAATCTGATTCATTCATTCTTTCAAATGTGCTCAAAAGTCATCCTTTCTTTGTCTTCTTTTCATTAACGCAGCCATCTTCGGACCAACAAATTCGGCATTTGCTAGCATACAAGGAGGCGATACGAATGTGTCAGACATTATTGCCGATCATATTGTCATTAACCGAGACATCTCCTCAGCGGAAATAGTTTCATCTGGATGTGTCGACGCCGAAGCGGTTGGAGGCCTCCGACTTGCTATCCGCTTCGACAATACTACAAACACAACGTCAATCAATGGAATTCAAATCGTTGATTTGGGTATCACTGGAGAGTATGGTACCTTTCATGGAATTGATGGCGTTCTACTTGATAGTACTGACTACAGTCCGTGTACCGACTTCTCTCCAATTGTGGAGGCTGGCAACTATGAGACGCTTCTGAATGTTATCACTCAAACCAGAATGGTTGACTTCATCGGTCAATTTGCTCCGGTTAGTAAGTGCCCACAATTGGATTTGAAAGAGTTGGAATTATGCCAGCTCCTTTGTACTCACGTTTATTTTTGTCCCTTGATTCGAAGCAATTTTTGGGCCAACAGACGACGCCTTTGCAGCCTTTCAAGTTACTAACCCTGCCGGGATCATTGACGAAGAGCTCATTGAGCAGCACATAATTTCCATTGATAGTATCTTTTTTGATTTCATTGCGCGGGTTGGATGCTACGAGACGGTGACGACGGGAGGAATGACCGTTGATGTCCGCTACAACAATTCCACCAATACAACTACTATTAACGGCATTCCAATCATCAAAGCTGACATAGTCGGAAACTATGGAGTTTTGCATGGGATTGATGGGGTTCTGATACAGGGTGTTACAGACTATACCCCATGTGCTGATTTTTCTCCCATAGCCGAAGCCGGAGACTACACTACCTTTTTGGATATCGTTCTTCAGACGAGAACGGATGAGATAATATCCGAATACTCTCCTGTCACATTTTTCGCCCCCACTGACTCCGCATTTGCTGCGATTCAAGAAACTTTGGATGATATGTCTCTCTCGGAACTTTCCGAAAAGTAAGCCCAATAACAGCTGCTGCTCGTGATTGAATCTTTTGTGAAAAATGTTCACCAACCTCACCCATTTGTTCCGTCATGGGATGATTCAGTGTGCTGTACCATCATATGATTATATTCAAAGAAGTGTTTTCAGCCGAAGTGATGGCTTCTGGCTGTGTTGATGCGGAAACGTTTGGAGGAAGCATGGTTGCGATACGGTACAATAGCACAACAGGAAATGCAATCGTAAATGGAATTCCAATCGTTCAATTGGAAATTATTGGAAATTTCGGTGTGGTACATGGCATTGATGGCATTCTCAACGGAAGCGCCACTGATGTCTATATCCCATGCCCAACTGCCAGTCCGTCTACGATGCCAGTATTGGCGGGCGAGCCTAACGAAGCTCCCATGGTGCCCACTTCTAATCCCACTGGTCCTACTACTACCGCAACATCAACGAGCTCTACGTTTATGTCGTACGCTTATGCTTCTTTTGCAGCAGCGATTGCGTTGCTGGTCTTGTAGAATAGTACATGGCGTTACTCAAAATGATTTGGATACAACAAATATAGTAGAACTTTATATAATGGTTGTTAAGTTGGCAGAGATAAAACATTGTCACTGAAACATAGATGAAAACTAAAATAGCACATGTAGCCATCTTGTGCGTCGTCTTGATAACACATTCAAACGCAACGGTTATAGGACAAAAGCGGCAATGGCAATACTTGCTGCGAATACAATGGAGAGTCCAGAACGAGGTGCGCTGGATAGAGGCACAGTTGGACGAGGAATGACTGGAGCAGTCGGTGCCCTTGTTGGCTCCGGGGTTTGTGGGCAGTCAAATTGTTCACCAGAGTCAATGACCTTGTCAATTCCGTGGAAGATACTAGTTTCGTCCTGGATGTTAGGAAGGATAACTTTGGCATCGTTGACCATGACAGCGCCCTCGTCTTCAATGTACATGATACGAACGGTAGTGCCAATAACTGTACGGAGGATGACGCATCCCAACTCGACGACTTGTTCAGCAGTGTAAACTTGTTGGACTACGTGTCCACCAATAATGGTGACCAATTGAGTGTTGTTAGCTTGTGCGAGATCACTTGAAACAGCGGCGAATGCGGCGTCATCTGGTCCAAAGATAGCTGGAGAGAACAAATTGGAGTTCGTTAGCGCAAAATTTCAAGCTGCCAGAATCAACATCCTCTACTGTATTTGGATAGATACTTACTGACGGGTCCAACTCTTGCAAGTTCTTGTTGGAGTTGGGCATTTGTCAACAAAAAATTGACCATACCCGTGTAGTTCCCTGTCTCTTCGACTAGATCGACAAATGTAGGTGCTGGACAAGGAACATAGCCGGGTGAGTTCTCGAAAAGAACGCCTTGAATCCCGTGGAACAATCCGTAGTCTCCTACGATACCAATGTCGCTAACAATAATACCATTCACATCAACTTGGTCAAGTGTTTGGTTGTAGCGGAAAGCAACATCAAGTCCCCCAGCAGTCACCTTTTCCAAACATCCTGCTTCGACAATGTCAGCAGCTTCGATAGTTTCACCAACAATTGCATGTCGCAATATCGTATCCTTAAGGTCCTGTTGGTTCAGCCCATTGATAATGTTGGCAACATCGGCAAAAGCGATGTCGTTTGGACCAAGGATTGTAACTGGAGCACTTGCCGAAATGTCAATGTCGGCACCAGAACTTTCAATCGAATTGAGCAAAGCATTGTAAATGCCTCTGTTGCGAATTGGAGAAAAGTCCGCCTCGAAGGGTGGGCAAGGAATAAACTCCCCTTGGAGACCCTGAACCATAACTTGGTCAATGCCTTGGAAGATTCCAAAGTCTGCATTCACATTAAAGTCAGACACGGTGACGCCGTTGATACTCAAGCTACTGGTAGCAGAATCAAATAGAATTCCAACTTGGAGTCCTCCGGCAGTTACTCTCTCAATGCAGCCTTCCGAAATGATTGTACCCGTTAAGATTTCCTCTCCCAGAATAACATGGTTGAGAAGGGTTCCTTGTACCTCTTCGAGAGACAATTCTACTGTATACTCGGAAATGGCCGCAAAGGCAGAATCCTTAGGACCAAAGATGGCTGAAGATATTTGTGTAGGTATCATAGGTGAAGTGAGAGATGCGATTGTCAGTTTCCGGTTTGCACGAGAAATCTTTGATGCTTTTAAAATAAAGACAGAACGATCCAACTTACTCATAGGTGCATTGCTTTCCAAAGTAGAAACACTGCCCGTGTCAATGAGCAAATCAATCAGTGTACTGTAGGCCCCCTTCGCCACTAGGGGATCAAAGATGGGTGGCTTGGGACAAGGTTCAAATTGTCCCAGAATACCCTCCACAAAGACACCTTCAATTCCATGCATGATTCCAAAATCTCCTTCCATGTTAAAGTCCGTGACAGGAATGTTGTTGACCGTGACGGAACTGGCGGCGGCTTCAAATTTAATGGCCAATTTGAGACCTCCGACAGTTTCCACTTCCGTGCAGACCTGTTCCACAATGGCGGCAGAATCAAGAGCTACACCAGCCACCACATGATCCAAGAGCTGAAAAAGATAATAATGAAACAGAGACATTATACATACATCAGAGTTTGCTCGAGTTATATTGAAATGAATCCATCAGATTTTTACATCAATGTTCACACAACTTACGACATCTCTTAGCTGGTCAATGGTGTAGCCAGAGAGAAGACTCGAGATTACACTGAAGGCAGCATCCTTGGGACCAAAGATTGCTAACAATGACAAAAACAGATATGTGAGTGAATTCATTTTGAAAAGTGATAGGATTGCATACGATCTTGCACTATGTCAATCAAACAATAGACTCGACTCAATTTAAAGCCTTATTGTTTCAAGCTTCAGCAATAGCTTGTATATGCATCGCGTCGCAATCTTGTCGAACTTACTAAGTGGAGCATTGGCATCAATCAGTGCCTCGGCGTCTGTGTCATTGACGAGTTGAAGCAGGCTTGTATAAATTCCTTTGTCGATGGCGGAAGTAAAATCAGCAGCAGAAGCTGCGCCTAATGCTAATGCAAGAAGAGTGATCGTCGTCTTCATGATTGATTGATGGAACCGCAAGAGGTCAATGAGAGAAGGATTCTTGTTAGTATTATGAATATTGATGATGATGATGATGATGATGATGATGATGACGCACACGCACAGCAGGTTTTTAATTAAGAATAAAATCGAAGAGTTCGCGCAGATCTTATTTTTTCACAACAATGACGCATTTTGACACGATCGACTGCCACTATAGAGTAGTCTCATTCTTACCATCACCTAGCAGCTAGGAGGATTGTCCCAAAAATCGGCGAATTAGTCAATTTAAACTTCGCATCGCACAGAAAAGGTCCAGTACTGACGAGTGGCTACTCTACTGGTAGAGCTATTCGGACCTTATTATTTTGTAGACACTAAAAGCCGCTAAGAAAACAAAGAAGCAAATGGCAACAACAGCGACCAAGACGGCAGTGGTTGGGCCAGCACTGGACCCTTTATCCACGGCTCCCTTGTCATTGGCACGGGCAGTGGTTCGGCCAGCAGCATTGGACCCTTCATCCGCGGCTCCGTCGTCACCGGCAGGGGCAGTGGTTGGGCCAGCACTTGATCCTTCATCCGCGGCCCCGTCGTCAATGGTTGGGGCAGTGGTTGGGCCAGCACTGGATCCTTCATCCGCGGTCTCGTCGTCACGGGTAGGGGTAGTGGTTGGGCCAGCACTGGATCCTTCATCCGCGGTCTCGTCGTCACCGGCAGGGGCAGTGGTTGGGCCAGCACTGGATCCTTCATCCGCGGTATCGTCGTCACCGGCAGGGGTAGTGGTTGGGCCAGCACTGGATCCTCCATCCGCGGTATCGTCGTCACGGGTAGGGGCAGTGGTTGGGGCAGCACTGGATCCTCCATCCGCGGTATCGTCGTCACGGGTAGGGGCAGTGGTTGGGCCAGCACTGGATCCTTCATCCGCGGTCTCGTCGTCACGGGTAGGGGCAGGCGCAGCGGTTGGGCTAGCAACAGGAGCATCGGTTGGGCACTCAAAGGTATCACCTCCGAGAAGAAGAACTTTATCAAGTCCATGGAAGATGCTGGTCCCGTCTTCGATATCGGCAAGGATGACCATGGCGTCGTTGATCATGATGTGACCCATGGAAGAGTCGTCAACCATTTCATGTCCGGACAATCTTCTTTCGCAACAGGGGTCGGCGGGCATTTCGTGTCCCACCAATCTTCTACGGCAGCAAAGGTCGGTGGGCATTTCGTGTCCCGCCAATCTTCTGCGGAAGTTGTCACCATGGTCGTCTTCGACGTACATGGCACGAACCTTGGTTCCGAGAATGGTATCAAGGAGGACGCATCCTTGAGCCTTGACATCGGCAACGGTGTGGACTCCTGCAACAATGTGGCCTGCAAGAGTTTGGAGCAAAGTAACTTGGTGGATTCCATCAAGGTCGCTAGACACGGCGGCGAAGGCTGCATCGTTGGGTCCAAAGATAGCTTTGAAACAAGAAGAGAAAGAGCGTTAGAAAAATATTTGTGAAAATTCCAAATAGTCGCAAGCAGAGTCGTTCCGCCACAAATCAATCAAAAGGCAATGTACTACTTACTGATGGGCCCAACATTCTCAAGTTGTCCTTGAAGCAATGGGTTGTCAAGGAAACCAAGAAGGGTGCTGTAATTTCCGTTGGCAGCAACTTGCTCAACGACAGAAAGAACTGGGCATGCAACGTATCCATAAGAGCTGGTAATGACACTCGCAATACCATGAAAGACTCCATACTCTCCTGTCACATCAAAGTCGTTGATGACAATTCCGTTGACATCAGCAACCTGAGTGGTGGTGTTGTATCGGATGGCAAGGTTCATGCCTCCAGCGGCAACGGCTTCCATACATCCAGCTTCGACAACAGCACTAGATTCCACAGCGGCTCCAACTACGACGTGGTTCAAAAGAACGCCAGAGAGCGCTTCAGTGGATAGACTATCAACGGTATCTTGAATGGCAGCAAAGGCATCGTCGTTGGGTCCAAAGATGGTGACAGGAACATTTTGGCTAATGACAGCGTCATTTTCCGTAGAGACAACTGCACCCAACAGAGTACTGTAGATTCCCTTATCGGCAATGGGCGTAAAGTCGGCCGCAAATACTGGACAGGGAACAAAATCTCCCTGCTCACCAGGGATGAGGACGGATTCGATTCCATGGAGGATGCCGTAGTCACCAGCAATGTCAACGGTAGTCACGGGGATTCCATTCACGGTGACCGTGCTGTCATCGGGGTTGAATAGGATTCCGAGCATGAGTCCTCCGGCGGATTGGGCCTCGATACATCCGGCCTCGACAATGGCGGCGGCATTGACAGCGGTTCCAACAACGACGTGATCAAGAAGGATCTGTAAGTGGTGAGTGATGATCAAGATATACATATTTATATGTAGATCAGAAGGGTGTGAGTCGATATTACTGCCTGAGATAGAATTTCAATCCGTTTCACTTGAAAATCACCTACGGAAGAAAGCTCTTCTACGCTCAAATTGTCGAAAAAATCTTGGATGGCTGTAAAGGCGGAATCCTTTGGTCCAAAGATGGCTGCAACAGGGTGTGGAAAAAGGTTAGAATTAAAGTGATGGTATTGCAATGACGACCGATTTTAGATGACCATGATGTATACTGTGACATTGGCATGCGGTACCAGATATGTATATCTATTATCAACTAAGTCACTGCATGCAAATCACGGCATTTCAAGCCAACCATAGACATCTTGATGAGAATAACAGGACCATAACGTATTCGGACTTACTGACGGGGGCAGCAGACACAAGAGTGAAACCACTTCCAGTGGCGACGACAGCGTCCAAGAGGGCAGAGTATTCTCCTGCATCCGAAATGGGTTGGAATTGTTGAGCATTGGCAACGCTGAACACAGCTGCAAGAATGGCGGCAGTGTACTTCATTATTTATTTGACGATGCACATAGAACTGCGAGAATAATGACGCGCATACTCAATATTCAATACACAGCTCGATTGACATATCACCGCCACCAAAATGGCTACCTAAAGGCGATATCACCCTTGAGCACGATAGGGAGTTTTGCATTTCAGCCTGGTCCAAAAGAAAAATGATGAAACAAACAAACAAACATGTTAATTACACTACATTGTTATTTTGTCAACTCTAAAACACCACTTAGACGACAAAGGCGGAAAGGGCAACAACAGCGGCCAAAAATGCAGAGATTCCAGAGAAAGCAGCACTGGATCCTTCATCCATGGTTCCCACATCACCAGCAGGGGCAGGCGCAGTGGTTGGGCCAGCAACAGGAACATCGGTTGGGCATTCGAAGGTGCCTCCGAGAAGAACCTTATCAAGTCCGTGGAAGATGCTGGTCCCGTCTTCGATATCGGCAAGGATGACCATGGCGTCGTTGATCATGACGTGACCCATGGAAGAGTCATCAACCATTTCATGTCCAGCCAAGTTTCTGCGGCAACCATCGTCGGCGGGCATTTCGTGTCCGGCCAATCTTCTGCGGCAGCAAGGGTCGGTGGGCATTTCGTGTCCCGCCAACTTTCTGCGGCAACCGTCGTCGCTTTCGACGAACATGGCACGAACCTTGGTTCCGACAATGGTATCAAGGAGGACGCATCCTTCAGCCTTGACATCGGCAGCAGTGTAGACTCCTGCGACGACGTGGCCTCCAAGAGTTTGGATCAAAGTAGCTTGGTCGATTCCATCAAGGTCGCTAGACACGGCGGCGAAGGCTGCATCGTTGGGTCCAAAGATAGCTTTGAAACAAGAAGAGAAAGAGCGTTAGAAAAATATTTGTGAAAATTCCAAATAGTTGCAAGCAGCGTTGTTACGCCACAAATCAATCAAGGCAATGTATTACTTACTGATGGGCCCAACATTCTCAAGTTGTCCTTGAAGCATTGGGTTGTCAAGGAAACCAAGAAGAGTGTTGTAATTTCCGGTGGCAGCAACTTGCTCAACGACAGAAAGAATTGGGCATGCAACGTATCCATCAGAGCTGGTAATGACACTCGCAATACCATGCAAGACTCCATAGTTACCAGTGACATCAAAGTCATTGATGACAATTCCGTTGACATCGGCGACCTGAGTGGTGGCGTTGTATCGGATGGCAAGGTTCATGCCTCCAGCGGCAACGGCTTCCAAACATCCAGCTTTGACAACAGCACTAGATTCCACAGCGGCTCCAACGACGACGTGGTTCAAAAGAACGCCAGAGAGCGCTTCAGTGGATAGACCATCAACGGTATCTTGAATGGCAGCAAAGGCATCGTCGTTGGGTCCAAAGATGGTGACAGGAACATTTTGGCTAATGACGGCGTCATTTCCCGTAGAGACTACTGCACCCAAAAGAGTACTGTAGATTCCCTTCTCGGCAATGGGCGTAAAATCGGCCGCAAAGGCTGGGCATGGAATAAAGTCTCCTTGGTCACCAGGGATGAGGACGGATTCGATTCCATGAAGGATGCCGTAGTCACCAGCAATGTCAAAGTCAGTCACGGGGATTCCGTTGATAGTGACCGTGCTGTCATCGGGGTTGAACAAGATTCCGAGCATGAGTCCTCCGGCGGTTTCGGCCTCGATACATCCTTTCTCGGCAACTTGGGAGGAATTCACAGCGGCTCCGACAATGACGTGATTCAAAAGAAGAGCCGTGGTTTCTTCTTCCGAAAGGTTTTCCACAGACGATCGGATGGCTCGGAAGGCAGAGTCCTTGGGTCCAAAGATGGTAACAGGGGCAGCGCCTTCGATCGTGGGGAGAAGATCCTCTATTCCTAGGAGAGCCTCGAGGAGGATTCCGTAGTTTCCATTGTTGGCGATGGGGGCAACAATGGCAGGGGGTGGGCATGGAACAAAATCTCCCTGCAAACCGGGGACGAGGACGGATTCGATTCCGTGAAGGACACCGTAGTCTCCGGTAATGTCAAAGGCAGTTACGGCGATTCCGTTGACAGTGACAGAGTTGGTATCGGCATCGTATTTGATTCCGAGCATGAGTCCTCCGGCGGTTTCGGCCTCGATGCATCCTTCAGCGACGACGGTGGCGGAATCCACAGCGCCTCCGACAACAACGTGGTCAAGAAGCACCTGTATAGGTGATGATTGATTATCAAGATTGATTAGAAGGATGTGAGTCAATGTTCGGTGAGACATTTTAATAATTATCATTTCACTAGACAATTACTTGATACTTACGGCAGTAAGCTGTTCTTCATTCAATCTGTCAACAATGTCTTGGATGGCTTCAAAGGCGGAGTCCTTGGGCCCAAAGATGGCTGTAAAAGGGAAGAAAAATATGTCAGAAATGTAAGTTGGAGCATTTCATATAATACATGATGCACACGAAGGAATTGGAATGACGACCGATTTTAGATGGCCATGATGTGTAGCATTGTCATGCGATGAAAGATAAATATTACCAATAGCTACTGCATGTACATTCTCACACCAAATCATGGCATTTCAACCCAAACACATCTTGATGACAATTAAAGTGTGGAATAATATTTCGAACTTACTGACGGGGGCAGCAGACACAAGAGTGGAACCACTTCCAGTGGCGACGACAGCGTCCAAGAGGGCAGAGTATTCTCCTGCATCCGCAATGGGTTGGAATTGAGCATTGGCAACGCTGAACACAGCTGCAAGAATGGCAGCAGTGTATTTCATTATTTGCTTGATGGTGATGATGGTGATGATGATGATGATGATGGATTATATTCCGCACATGTAAAAACTGAGAAATGAATATATTGCGATGATGACGCATATGCGCTCCGATTGGTACGACTGCAGATATGATTGTGGCAGATTTCGCTGAAAGTTAGAGAATTTCAACCTTCTTCTGGTACCAAAAACCAGGCAAGCCGCGAGTGGCTATTACTGTTAACATAGATACAGGTACTGAGAAAAAGAAACGAACAAATAAAAACAAACATTATACTATCTTGTTATTCTTGGAAACACTAAAAAACCGCTTAGAAGACAAAGGCGGAAAGGGCAACAACAGCGGCCAAAAATGCAGAGATTCCAGAGAAAGAAGCACTGGATCCTTCATCCATAGTTCCCTCGTCACCGGCAGCGACAGGCGAAGCGGTTGGGCCATCAGCAGGAGCATCGGTTGGGCATTCAAAGGTGCCTCCGAGAAGAACCTTATCAAGTCCATGGAAGATGCTGGTCCCGTCTTCGATATCGGCAAGGATGACCATGGCGTCGTTGATCATGACGTGACCCATGGAAGAGTCATCAACCATTTCATGTCCAGCCAAGTTTCTGCGGCAACCATCGTCGGCGGGCATTTCGTGTCCGGCCAATCTTCTGCGGCAGCAAGGGTCGGTGGGCATTTCGTGTCCCGCCAACTTTCTGCGGCAACCGTCGTCGCTTTCGACGAACATGGCACGAACCTTGGTTCCGACAATGGTATCAAGGAGGACGCATCCTTCAGCCTTGACATCGGCAGCAGTGTAGACTCCTGCGACGACGTGGCCTCCAAGAGTTTGGATCAAAGTAGCTTGGTCGATTCCATCAAGGTCGCTAGACACGGCGGCGAAGGCTGCATCGTTGGGTCCAAAGATAGCTTTGAAACAAGAAGAGAAAGAGCGTTAGAAAAATATTTGTGAAAATTCCAAATAGTCGCAAGCAGAGTCGTTCCGCCACAAATCAATCAAAAGGCAATGTACTACTTACTGATGGGCCCAACATTCTCAAGTTGTCCTTGAAGCAATGGGTTGTCAAGGAAGCCAAGAAGGGTGCTGTAATTTCCGTTGGCAGCAACTTGCTCAACGACGGAAGGAACCGGGCATGCAACGTATCCATCAGAGCTGGTAATGACGCTCTCAATACCATGCAAGACTCCATAGTTACCAGTGACATCAAACTCGGTGATGACAATTCCGTTGACATCAGCAACCTGAGTGGTGGCGTTGTATCGGATGGCAAGGTTCATGCCTCCAGCGGCAACGGCTTCGATACATCCAGCTTCGACAACAGCACTAGATTCCAAGGCTCCATTGACGACGTGGTTCAAAAGAACGCCAGAGAGCGCTTCAGTGGATAGACCATCAACGGTATCTTGAATGGCAGCAAAGGCATCGTTGTTGGGTCCAAAGATGGTGACAAGAGCATTTTGGCTAATGACAGCGTCATTTCCAGTAGAGACTACTGCATCCAAAAGAGTACTGTAGATTCCCTTATCGGCAATGGGCGTAAAGTCGGCTGCAAATGCTGGACAGGGAACAAAATCTCCCTGCTCACCAGGGATGAGGACGGATTCGATTCCATGGAGGATGCCGTAGTCACCAGCAATGTCAACGGTAGTCACGGGGATTCCATTCACGGTGACCGTGCTGTCATCGGGGTTGAATAGGATTCCGAGCATGAGTCCTCCGGCGGTTTCGGCCTCGATGCATCCTTCTTCGACAACTCGGGTGGAATTGACAGCAGCTCCGACAACGACGTGATTAAGAAGGACCTGCAGGTGATGAGTGTGGTGATCAAGATAGATGTACATGTGGAGATCAGAAGGGTGTAAGTCAATGTTATAGACACTGGCTGCTAAACAATTTGACTCCGTTTCACTTGAAAATCACTTACGTCACTAAGCGCTTGTTCGGACAATCCGTCGACAATGTCTTGGACGGCTGCAAAGGCGGAATCCTTGGGTCCAAAGATGGCTGCAGCAGGATGTGGGAAAATGTTAGAAACAAAAGTGTTGGAAAAGACACAGTGGTGGTGGTATTGGAATGACGACCGATTTTCGATGGCCATGATTTCATGCGGTGACAGATATGTACGAGTCACAGCAGGCTAGTCACAGCAGGCAAGTCACAGCAGGCAAGTCACGACATTTCAAGACAGCCAAACCGGTAGACATCTCAATCAGAACAACGGTGCGTAACATTTGTGGAACTTACTGACGGGGGCATTGGACACAAGAGTTGCGTCATTTCCAGTCGAGACAACAGCACCCAAAAGGGTGGAGTATTCTCCGGCATCCACAATGGGTTGGAATTGAGCATTGGCAACGCTGAACGCAGCTGCAAGAATGGCGGCAGTGTACTTCATGATGATGATGCTAGTGCTAGTGCTTTTGACAAACAAAAATCGAACTAGATTGTACGAGTTGTGATGTGGATTTTGTGTGAGTGAGGGAGGCTCAAAAAGATCCAAGGGTTCTTGTTTCCATGTAGATCGACGTGGATTTCCTACTGCAAATCCGCCGATGATCTGATGTCCAGGAATGATGTGGAGAAGTACGTGGCGATATAAAGCCTAAGGTAGTCCAGTTGTTTAACAGATCACCCAGTCGTGCGTTTTTGTTTTTATTGAGCTTGGCCGCGATGCGAAACTACCAGTCACTCTGATCGAGTACCATTTGTCTTGTGGGAACCCAACGACTGTTAAATACATAGCACATGCGTCATGATGACTACCATGGTACTTCACAGGAGGAATAACGAGACCAGGTCCTGACTCACACACCAGGTAGTAATCGTGTCAACCATCAAATTGATGAAAGGCGTTTGGGTCTTCTTTGTGGAAGCCACAAATTCGATGCCAATGGAAGCTTTTTAAAACTATCTACATCATTGAAAAAGTCGACAATGAAGCGCGACGATACAATACCGTTGCATGTTGCGCGACGATGCAATATTTCGCGCGACGGGCCAGAAAAAAAGCGCGACGGTGCGAAAGGAATTTCCGCAAAAAGATATTACTTCGCTGACGTATTAATACCGGTACTACTACCGGTATATTGTGACAACCAAAATACATTTTCAATTTACCCAAATCCTTTCTACCGGCATCACAATACAGAATCTGAAGTCGTACTTTACCATCTAAATCAACCTATACCATACCGTGCAGCGGAACAGGAAAAATTGACGACGAATGAATAAATCAATAAAGGAATCCTCTGTGCTGCTGAATGAATGAAGGAATGAATCCTCTGTGCTGCTGAGCTTCTATTTTTTTATAGTAGAAAGCACGAACAGACAAAAGTCGAGAGGAACATGATGCTGCCAGCCATCATTGCCACCATGGTTGCAGCACTTTCATCAGCAGCGCCTTCGTCATTGGTAGGAGCATCGGTTGGTGCTGGAGCCTCAGTGGGACAAGCTGGGTATGAAGCTGGAATGATACCATTAATTCCATGAAAGACGCCTTCGTCACCAACAATGTCAGCATACGTAGCGTTCACGGCAACTGTAACATGCATGTTGAGAACAATGCATGCACCAATTTGTAATGATGGATTGATGGTCACCAATGATGAATAAAAATGTGACAAGCGACAGGTGGACATGTGTCAGTTGCTGGATGTCAAATGACGAGAACAACAACAACAACAACAACGACAACAATACAAACAATGTGCATGAAGCTCATATCTCACGCACTTACCACCATTGACGGTAATACTTCCATCTGCAGCCGTCATGACAGTCAAGGAGGTTTGACTCAAACTGGTGAGGTCATGACATGCCTTGGTGGCAATGGTTGCAGCGGTGTACTGCCCCACAACGCCATGACGCAAGAGTACGGGTTCGGACAAGGATGAAGGATCGGTAATACCTGCCGCTGTCAAGGCAGCATCGGTAGGTCCAAAAATGGCTGCAAAGTAGAAGCATGATAGTAGTAAAAAATGTGGTTAGTGCACATTCATTGATTCATTGATTCATCATCGTCTATAAACCAGCAGAATAGAATGAAATGAAAATGACATCAGCTGGCGTTCGTTCCATGTGGACGACTTACTAATCTTTGAACCACCAAGAAGGGCCTGTAAAGCAATAAGGATTTTAAAAAGTGAGACACCATGATTATTGGACACTCGTATGCATAGTTGGTCGATCAAACAACAAACAAAAGGAACAAGAAGCAATCAGCAAAACAATCCATCACGTACCAAAAGGCTAGCAACGTTGTATTGAACCATTGTGGCATTCAACAGGCCAAATTGTCCAGTTGCAACAGACTGACTGATGAAGGATTCAGCACCAGCATACTGAAGCGTCAAAAGGAGTAGGCAAATGGTAGAAGCAAAGATGGATGACATGTTGATGATGTTGATTGAAATAGTGAATAGTCTCTATATGTGAATGAAACGAAAATTGAAATCTCCGTTGGCAGCGTAGCGTGTCCGTCATCAGATCTCATCCGGGGTACAGTATCTTCAATCTTGCTTTTGGGAATACTGTAATCTTTGGATGTGTCGCATGCACTTTTTCTGACCAATCAAACCGCATCGTGTGGAAAGGGGATCTTTCGCGTGGTTTTCGCGCGGTGAAATCCGGCATTGACACGAAATCTTCCCATTCGCCGATTGGAATATAAAATAATGCGAAATAGGTATTATTACCGTATATACTGTAATGCCAATAATTCGGAGATCATCTCAAAAACAAACCAATCAACGAACCAACCAAATTAAAAGAGGATGAAGCTACCGGGAGAATTCGCCGTGCACTACGAGACCCGTAATCACTGGGCTGTGATTACCCAACTCCATGGATCCGTCTATATTTACATTTGGAAGTACTGTGTCTTCAATGTCCTAATGATGCTGTTGGATTTCTTTGTCTTTGACGATCTCATGGCCAAGCATGGCATCAAGATTACGGACAAGGGACACACAATCTCCATCTTCTTTGTGGCTTTCTTCTGTGTCACCCGTGCCAACATGGCCTTGGCACGTTTCAATACTGCCCGAAGCAACCTTGGAGGTATGCTAGCTTCCATTCGAGCCCTGACTGATGCTGTTGTAAGTTATATTGTTATAATTATGTTATTAGAGTTCTCATATTGGTGGAGCTGTGGTGGCATTGTGATGACCATCAGATTTGAAGTGTTTTGAATTGTGCATCTGGAAGGTTTCTGGTCTCACTAATTCTACGGTCTTTCAACTGGTTTCATTGAATCTACACAATCATAAAAATGAACAATTGTCATTGTCCTTTTGACGATTACAGGCCAGTCATACCATGGACGACCAAACAGAGGCAGCCAAGGCATGGCGCAACAAGTTGGCGTATCATTCCTGTTTGACCCTCCGCGTTGCCATGGCCGCCTGCGACTTTGAAGACAAACAGGTCATGCCATGGGATGTTCCCGAAATGGATGACGAAACCAAGACCAAGATCATGAGGGCATCCCAATCCAAGGGCATCGCTGACCAGTGGGGATATGCCAAACGCACACCCAAGGAAGAAGCCTACCGTGTTCCCTTTGTCATGGCCCAAATCCTTCGCATGACCTTGTACGAACACAAGACTGCCTTGGAGGGTGGTGAACTCCCGGTTGGGTTCTTGCTCAAGTTCAATAGTCTCATTGATGGATTTGTCAACAGCTACAATGCTCAAAACAAAATGTTTACCACTCCCATGCCTTTCCCCATGGTACAAATGGCGCGTACAATGATGTTCTTGTGGGTCTACACTCTCCCCTTTGCCTTGTCTTCGGATGGAAGTACCATTTTGGTCCATTGCGTGGTCGTCATGTTGTTGACGTATGCCTTCATGGGACTTGAAACTGTCTCCCTTCAACTGGATGATCCTTTTGGCAATGATGAGAATGACTTTGATAACTTGGGCATGGCCAAGACTGTCTTTGAGGATGTCATTCGATCGATTGATATGGTGGATGGAACCGAATGGGCTCTCAAAGTCCGGGCCAGCATGAAGGGCGATCCGGCGGAAGACAAATTTCCTTCCGAATCTACCTCCCTTTTGGTCTAGACTAAACGAATGATGGACCCTATTCATGCTGTTCGGGCAGATGGATGATGATTCATTGAGGATTCTTGATAGAACAATTGGTGGCCGTGCGTTGCGATAATATGGTAAACTAGTACTACTACGATACTACGATACTACGAGTACAAGATCAAATGACTTCCCAATCTCAATCGATAAATACATAATTATCAGCCACTAGCAGTTTTGCCAGTGGGATCTGTCCGAGATGCAACGACTGCTTTTGCGATTTTTGTCAACATATATGTAGTCAGCAATAGTGGTACAAGTTCGAAAGTTATTGGTATCATCTCGTCCCGTTGCCCAACCAAATCAATCGTCTTGCAGGCGTGCGTCTTTGAGATATTTCCAAAAAGATTGTGCGGGCGAAAAAATTATGATATTGAGAATACTTCGCACATTCATAAAATAAAATACCATTGTTCAATGTGGAAGACGTCAACTTCATCTCTGCGAACGATTGCCTTCAGGACAACAACGGGTTTCAAAAACACTGGTATTACAAGTTTCCCCATTCGACTGACTAAAGCAACTCCATCAGTAGTGACGAACATGACGACGAGCCGTGCCGCCTCCTCGTCCTCCTTTGTATTTCCCCCTCCACCAACGCCGTCTGTGGAAATCCATGGCTCTGATCAACGCTTTCCGGTGCATCGAGTGTATTGCGTGGGACGGAACTATGCAGATCATGTCCGTGAAATGGGAGGGGATCCCAACATGTCTCAGCCAAGTATGTTATATGATGTCATATGTGTTTACCAGTCAATCAATCAATCGTCTCCTTCATTCATTGATATATTATGCTAATCATGATGCTTCCCACTGTCTCTTTTTTTTTAAAACTTCTCAAAAAAAAAGTCTTCTTTACCAAACCTGCCAATGCCATTGTCCCCACGAACACCAAGATTCCCTATCCATTGGCCACCACCAATCTGCATTACGAAGTCGAATTGGTAGTCGCCATTGGCCAAGAAGGCGTCAAAATCCCCATTGCCAAAGCGAGTGACTACATTTTTGGATATGCCACTGGAATCGATTTGACCAGACGAGATTTGCAAAATTTGTCCAAAGACAAGGGTCTGCCATGGGATACCGCCAAGGCATTGGACCAAGGAGCACCCATTTCGGCCATCACACCGATACGGAATATTAGTAGTGGTGGTGACGATGATGATGATGACTCGTCTTCCTTTTCGTTAGATGTCACAAGCAAGATTTCCTTGACGGTAAATGGGGAACCCAAGCAAGAAGGAACTTTGAATCAAATGATTTGGACCGTGGAAGAAGTGATATCGCACTTGTCTCACATGTTCACACTGCAACCAGGGGATTTGATTTATACTGGAACACCCAAGGGAGTGGGTCCAATCGTTGCTGGTGACCATGTCAAGGCAATGATTGAAGGATTGGAAACGGTAGAGATGGCACTCACAAAGAGTGATACCTAACGTAGAATGTAAAAAGATTTGTTGTACAACTAATAAGCAAAACTTATGTTTGATGATATATAATGTTATATGTGTGCTTTGAAAAATTTCTTCATGCTCAGTAAAATATATAGTTTGTATATAATATGTAATATACAGTAGAAACAGATTGGGAAACTGAAGAGTTCCGTCTTGTTTGTTTAGTGAGACCCGCTGGTGGGCATTCCCAACATCGTGCGACAGCTATCGTACAAGAACCATTGGACGCAAAGAATTGAAGACGTGAGTCCCACTCGTGGTCCCAATCCTCTCGTAAAAAGATTCTTCCAACCATAATCTTGAATGGTGGTGAGCATTGGTTGGTTGGGATGTTGGGTTCGGAGTGACACCATGACATCAAAGGGATGGGAAATGACTGCGGATACCACTCCCGCCATTGACCCGGCCACACAGGTCACCACGAGTTTTCCAGAGGCCGAGTCATTGTCACTCGTAAAGAGGCGAGTCAATTCGTCCGACGAGTAAATGTAATCCGTGACGCATTCAAAGGTATAAAAATTGGCCACCGTTCCCACAATCTGTCGCGTCCAGAGTGGCCGTATGGTTCCAAAGGGAAACTGATACAGTTTGCGATCTCCCAGCATGGTGGCCAAGGCGGTTGATAGTCGTGATGGAAAAGTGGGAGTGGTTTGGACCTTGACCTTGATCATTTCCCACGGAGCCATGGCCACGTCGGCAATCGCTTCGGCCCCAGCAGCAGACAAAATGTAAATGGCATTCTTGTGATCCTGACAAAATTCGGCTCCAAAATACTGAGCCCAAGAATCCTTGAAGACATCGTACATCATGTATTTGGTACCCGTTTGAGCAGAATAGGCGAGGATGGTAGGAGACAGTCCGCGGTAAAGTCCTGCTGTGCCATGGTTTTGCCAGGTTATCCTCAGTCCACTCACAAAAGTAGGATACTTGGAAGGTTCGACTTGCATTTTGCATTTCACATTGTCAAAGGGTGTCAATACCCATCGAATGCTGCTGGCACAGACGCCACTGATGAGGCATTTGGCATACTTGTAATCATTGTTGTTGCTGTTGCTATGATGGTTGTAGTTGACAGCAACGGTTGGTGCAGAGATGAGATTGTTAGCCATCCTTCCTGATGATGATACCAGTGACGCCCCAACACAGGTAGAAGCAGTATACAATGATTGGTACTGTTGATCAGTAGTATCCAAGAAACAGTCGTGATGATCCATCCTTCCTTCTTTCCTTCCTTTCAGTAGTTCTTACTGTAGTTCTTTTTGTGGAACGAACTGCCGTGCAAGCAACAGAATTTTGATGGACGATGATGCGAGTGGATGTGAAAAGAATTTTATGTTTCACCTCTCCAACTGATGAAACGTTCTTCAAGTGAGATGATGTGGCGGAAATAACGTGGAAAGAATACTTTCGTATGAGTGTCGTAGTTCTGTCGCAGATCAGGTCGAATCAATCAATCGATAGTCAAATGGTCCAATCGTCGTCCGGCGGATGACAAGGCGAAGGATTTTTTGCGCAATCTATTTTGAAATTGATGGCTTCTCTTGGTTGAAGGCTTCTGATTTTTTTTATCGGAGAGCTCGACTGAAGAAGCTCAAACAGTGTTTCATTGTTATTATTCTGTGCAATTAATATCTGGATCATCAAAATTCTACATGATGAAGCTGGCTATCTTCTATCTCCTACCTTGCGCCGCGTGGACATTTGTTTCAAAGTCACCTTCTTTGCGCAATGCTCCTGCTTTTACTCTTTCAAGGAGGAACAACGACGAGAACCATCCTGCTCCATCCACCAGCATTTTTTCGGTGCTCGATCCTTCAGTTGGTACGGACGGTGACCTCATTGCTAGTGAGAAGGCAAATGACGACGCCTTTCTCACTGCTTTCTTTGTCTCAGAGTGCGACAATACCAACATGCCTCCCACCCTAAAAAAAATTCTTCAAACCATTGACGACCTCGCTTCGGGGTCGGACGTGAGAGGACGGTTCATTGACCATCCTCGTCTCGGGAATCTTAGAGAGGTGACCAAAGCGATTGCTAAAGATAATTCCAATCTTCCAGCATTGACTCCTTTTGCTACTCATTGTCTCGGATATGCCTTTGCAACCATGCTCAAAAAGCAAGGGTTTACTGGACGACGAGGCGATGATGCCGGTAAGTTTAGAAGTTTATCTGGTTTTCCTTGAAAGATTCAACTCAATCTTCTTTATACCGCACAGTCGTATGTATTGGACGGGATCCCAGGTCACACGGTTCCAGACTGGCAGATGCCTTTGGAAGAGGAGTTGAGGACGTCAATGGTGTACGAGTGGTTTATACAGGAATTGCTACGACGCCCTCCCTTTTTTCATTTTGTCGGTAAGGCATATTATGTGGGACGCCGACGACGTGATTCATATAATACTACCATGATTCGCACGGATCTTACTTCCTTTCCTTTCTTTTTATTGCTTGCTTTCAGTTCTTCTCGATGCGATGGAGGAGTAATGGTCACGGCCAGTCACCTACCTGCCGATAGAAACGGCTTGAAATTCTTCACCGCAGATGGTAGGTCCACAATATGCTGACCAAGTGGTCCGAATTTCCGTTGGTAGCCAGTGTATACTAACAAGTTGCATGTACTGTATTATATATTATAGGCGGCTTTGAGAAGGAACAAATCGCCGAGATGATTGACATTGCCAAGCAATACGCACAGCGTTGGCACGACATGGGAATGATCCCACCGTCGTCAGGATCCGATGGTGTCTTTTGTTCGGAATGGGTCGATTGGATGCCATACTACGAAGACGAGCTGAAAGCGTCACTGATGAAGGAGGTCTTTGGTCGCGGGAGCCAGGAGGAGCATTCGGAGAAACCTCTTGAGGGATTGAAGATTGTTCTCAACTCGGGAAATGGGTCAGGGGGATTCTTTCGAAAGGTACTGTCGGATCTGGGAGCGGACATGTCGGCATCCTTGCACACCGAGCCGCTAGCCTCCTTTCCAGCAGGTATTCCAAATCCAGAGAATGATGAAATGATGAAAGAAACCATCGAGGCGTGCCGATCGAGTGAGGCTGACATGGGAATCCTACTGGATACGGATGCGGACCGATGCGGAATGGTGCTAAAGTCTCGAAATCATGGATACGAACCACTGATTAAAAATCGTTTGATTGCCATGATGGGTGTGATCATGGCTCGTCAGTCACCTGGATGTGCCATCGTCACGGACTCTGTTACATCCACAGGGCTGTCGGCCTTTTTGAACGATTTGGTGAGCGATTTCCATGACAATTAGTGTGATGTGACACATGCCTTTTGTTTGGTATTTTTCTCACTGTCTAGATCTTTCGTAATCACAGGGGTTGATTCACATTCGACATGTCAGGGGTTATGCCAACGTCATTCGCAAAGCACGCTCCTTTGCCGAAACCATCGTCAATGCGGAAACCGCGATCGAGACATCTGGACAGTAAGTTTATGTTTGCTTCCGAGAGGTAACAATGATCATACATATGCTACACTTGACTGACGAATGAATGAAACATAAAAAAATCCAGCTGCGCGTTGAAAGAAAATGATTACCTGGATGACGGTACCTACACGGCTATCAAGGTCATTGGTCTGATGGCGCGAGCAAAGGCCACAAATGCAGATTCATACGTACTGGATCTCATTTCGAGTCTCCAGGAGCTGCCTTTGGTGAGTGAGCTTCGGCTGACGGCAGTCGATGGAAAATTGGACACTCTGGCCCGCGTGTTCGATGTCGTGGAGCAGAACATTGAATTGTACTGTGCCAAAGAAGACAACAACTGGCTCATCGATAGTGACAATCAAGAGGGTATCCGCGTTTCCACAGGCGACGATGGTGGCTACTTCATGATTCGGAAGTCGCTCCACGACCCAGTTCTAAGCCTACAAATTGAATCCACCAGTCGGGAAGATGCCGTCGGTGTCGTGGTGAATCCTCTTTTGTCGATTTTCGAAGAAAATAGGTCGGATGTAGATCTCTCAAGCTTGAGAGCGTTCTAGCTGAAAAATGAGGCGTGAACAAGATCGACTGCTTTTAGAATTCTTTTGTTTTAGAAGCATCGTCCGGGTCTTTTTGTTTTCAACAACATGACCATTGCTTCTGTCGTATCGTTCGACTCTTCTTTGGGACATCACCAACTGTTGGCACCGTGTACCTTGCTGGGATTATTGGCTTCGCCTCCCGTGGCCAATGCGATTAGATTATCCTTTATGAAATGTCCTATGATACGACCTCGGAACAAACCAGTGCCTAATCTCCCCGAGGTGCCAAACCTAGCACTACTCGCTTCTCGTATACTCGGCGCATGTTCAATGTACTAACCATGATATCAGCATGACGTCGTATAGCATATGAATTTTCCATGATAGCATTCGCGTGAGACTTTCAAGGCAGGGCTACATCATGTGGTTTAAGCACAGCAATAGCTTCGTCGCCGGCTAATCTGCTATACGATCATTATGAAAATGCAGTATGTGCAAGAGTACCGGTACCACCGGTACCAGGTACCGCGTATATATACGACATGGCTGAGACACGCAGTACAGACGGCGTCTGCCATGCAACATAGACGCGATTATGTATACTTCAGAGCGTGAAATTATGACTTCTCTTTTTGCAAGCTTCTGATTGTGCGCGACTGCGGAAACACGACATTTGTATTTCACAATTATTCTTTGTAGTTATTATCTGGATCATCAAAGTTCTACATCATGAAGCTGACTATCTTCTATCTCCTACCTTGCGCCGCGTGGACATTTGTTTCAAAGGCCCCTTCTTCGCGCAATGCTGCTGTTCCTCATCCAAGGAACAACTACGAGAATCCTGCTCCATCCACCAGGATTTTATCGGCGCTCGGTCCGTCAATTGGTTCGGACGGTGACCTCATGGCCGGTGGAAAAACAACAACAAGTTCACCTATTGATGACGCCTATCTCACTGGTTTCTTTGTTTCAGACTGCGACAATACCAACATGCCTCCAACCCTAAAAAAGATTCTTCAAAGCATTGACGACCTCGCTTCGGGGTCGGACGTGAGAGGACGGTTCATTGACCATCCTCGTCTCGGGAATCTTAGAGAGGTGACCAAGGCGATTGTTCAAGATAATTCCAATCTTCCAGCATTGACTCCTTTTGCTACTCATTGTCTTGGATATGCCTTTGCAACCATGCTCAAAAAGCAAGGGTTTACTGGACGACGAGGCGAAGATGTCGGTAAGTGCAGAAGGTTATTTGGTTCTTCTTTCAAGGTTGATTTGGATCCTCAATCTGTTCCTTTGTGGCACACTCAGTCGTATGTATTGGACGGGATCCCAGGTCACACGGTTCCAGATTGGCAGATGTATTTGGACGAGGGGCCGAGGCCGTCGATGGTGTACGAGTGGTTTATACAGGAATTGCTACGACGCCCTCCCTTTTTTCATTTTGTCGGTAAGGCATATTGTGGGACGCCGACGACGTGATTCATATATAATACTACCATGATTCGCACGGATCTTACTTCGTTTCCTTTCTTTTTATTGCTTGCTTTCAGTTCTTCTCGATGCGATGGAGGAGTAATGGTCACGGCCAGTCACCTACCTGCCGATAGAAACGGCTTGAAATTCTTCACCGCAGATGGTAGGTCCACAATATGCTGACCATGTGGTCCGAATTTCCGTTGGTAGCCAGTGTATACTAACAAGTTGCATGTACTGTATTATATATTATAGGCGGCTTTGAGAAGAAACAAATCGCCGAGATGATTGACATTGCCAAGCAATACGCACAGCGTTGGCATGACATGGGAATGATCCCACCGTCGTCAGGATCCGATGGTGTCTTTTGTTCGGAATGGGTCGATTGGATGCCATACTACGAAGACGAGCTGAAAGCGTCACTGATGAAGGAGGTCTTTGGTCGTGGGAGCCAGGAGGAGCACTCGGAGAAACCTCTTGAGGGATTGAAGATTGTTCTCAACTCGGGAAATGGGTCAGGAGGATTCTTTCGAAAGGTACTGTCGGATCTGGGAGCGGACATGTCGGCATCCTTGCACACCGAGCCACTAGCCTCCTTTCCAGCAGGTATTCCAAATCCAGAGAATGATGAAATGATGAAAGAAACCATCGAGGCGTGCCGATCGAGTGAGGCTGACATGGGAATCCTACTGGATACGGATGCGGACCGATGCGGAATGGTGCTAAAGTCTCGAAATCATGGATACGAACCACTGATTAAAAATCGTTTGATTGCCATGATGGGTGTGATCATGGCTCGTCAGTCACCTGGATGTGCCATCGTCACGGACTCTGTTACATCCACAGGGCTGTCGGCCTTTTTGAACGATTTGGTGAGCGATTTCCATGACAATTAGTGTGATGTGACACATGCCTTTTGTTTGGTATTTTTCTCACTGTCTAGATCTTTCGTAATCACAGGGGTTGATTCACATTCGACATGTCAGGGGTTATGCCAACGTCATTCGCAAAGCACGCTCCTTTGCCGAAACCATCGTCAATGCGGAAACCGCGATCGAGACATCTGGACAGTAAGTTTATGTTTGCTTCCGAGAGGTAACAATGATCATACATATGCTACACTTGACTGACGAATGAATGAAACATAAAAAAATCCAGCTGCGCGTTGAAAGAAAATGATTACCTGGATGACGGTACCTACACGGCTATCAAGGTCATTGGTCTGATGGCGCGAGCAAAGGCCACAAATGCAGATTCATACGTACTGGATCTCATTTCGAGTCTCCAGGAGCTGCCTTTGGTGAGTGAGCTTCGGCTGACGGCAGTCGATGGAAAATTGGACACTCTGGCCCGCGTGTTCGATGTCGTGGAGCAGAACATTGAATTGTACTGTGCCAAAGAAGACAACAACTGGCTCATCGATAGTGACAATCAAGAGGGTATCCGCGTTTCCACAGGTGACGATGGTGGCTATTTTATGATTCGGAAGTCGCTCCACGACCCAGTTCTAAGCCTACAAATTGAATCCACCAGTCGGGAAGATGCCGTCGGTGTCGTGGTGAATCCTCTTTTGTCGATTTTCGAAGATAATAGGTCGGATGTAGATCTCTCAAGCTTGAGAGCGTTCTAGCTGAAACATGAGGCGTGAACAAGATCGACTGCTTTTAGAATTCTTTTGTTTTAGAAGCATCGTCTGGGTCTTTTCCGTTTTCAATAACACGACCATTGCCACTGCCTTATCGTTCGATCTATTTTTGCGGCATCACCAACTGTTGGCACCGTGTACCTTGCTGGGAGTATTGGCTCCCGTATCCAAGATCATTCGCATTGATTTCATGGCGTGTCGATCGTTACACAAGTAAAGCAAATGTCACTCCCAATACACTTGTAGCCAAAAGAGCAGTACTCAATGAAATCCCGACGGCGCCTGCAATGTTGAAACAGCTCGAAATCTCATTGGGGTCCAAAACACCATCAATCACATGTAACACCCCATGATGCGCTTGCACATCGACCCTAGTCTCATTCAAAGTATCATCGTTCAACGTGAGATTGAAGCCCACCGTCGTGAACTTGATGTTCTTTCCAGCAAGTGATGGCTGTTCCCAGCAAAATGCTGCAACGTCTTGGAAGTCTTCCATGCTATAGTTGCCTTCCAAAAAGTGGTGCATGAAAATCTGTTCCAGCTGCTCAATGTCTTCGCCCCTTTGAGCCTGCGTCTTGCCAGTAACATTCAACAAGCCCTGAACCAGAGTAGAATTGGCAAAGGCTTCATTGCTGGGAGCAAAGAAGGCTATAAAAAGGCATAGATAAGAACGAGTGAGTATCATATTCAATGCCAGTCGATCCAAATCTAGATTGATGGCACTTACTATAAGTCTTGGAAATGTTGAATTCTGGTTCATACCCGATGGACAGTGCAGCATTGAGGATCCCTGTCAACTCAAGGACTTCCAACAATTCAATTAATGACGGATCGATCACGACCGTCGAGGGAAAGAGCACATTGTCAATAACCTGAACAATGTTTCCTGTCCCTGGAGATTCTTCCCAATCCGAAACTATGATGCTAGCCCCATCGACCATGTGCACACCAGAGGTATCCTTTTGTGGAGTAAAGGAGACCGATTCGCCCTGAAGAGTTTCAGCTGCTGGAAGACCAAATGAAATTGCTTCAGTATGAATGGGATCTTCGGAAGTGAAATGATACTGCAATATTTCCTTGAGAGTAGTTGTATCATTTGCCACGAGCCTGTCAAGGTATCCATCTGGCAATCGCGTAAAGGCGAAGTCGGTGGGCGCAAACACTGTAATGTTTTTCATGTCCGCAATGGAGTCATACAAATCCGTCGCTTCCAACAGACTGATAAAGGTAGTGAAGGTATCGAATTGGTTGCAGTCGATTCCACATTTCAACAATTCGTACACATCGTGAACGGCTGTCAATCGTCGGCAGTACCAGTTGTTGAAGGTGACATCAAAGTCGGCAGCATATCCGCCAACGCAATAGTCCTCATTGGCTATTCGATCCTCCTCGTTGTAGATGCTAGTGTTGGAAACTTCGATCAATGGTGTAGCAGTATCAATGATATATTCAAAAGACGTCTCCAAGATTGCCGTGTAAAAGATGCTGTCGGATACGGCAATGTTGGTGAGTATCGAGAACGGGCTTTGGAAATGAATGAGCGAACTAGTGTAGTCGCAGGTGGCCGCTGTCAAGTCAGCGCACTTGTCGACATCATCTTCTGGCAACAGGTGAGTCATGTTGGCAAAGGTAACATTCTCGAGCGAAACTTGAGAATCGGCATCGGCATAGATCGCATCAAAACTGAAACCAATGTTGGAAAAGACAGAATTTTGTATCGTCAATTGCATCCCAATCAGAGCGTCGGGGGCAACATAGACCACATAGCCTGTCGATTGTATATCCTTGAATATGCAATCATTAAAGACAATGCCAGTCCCAGAGTTGGTGGCCACTACCGGCCGAGGTGCCGAGGTTCCGCTCAGCGCACTTTCCATGATACCGGTGAACGTCAATCCATTCACCTTCAAATTGTTGGACGTCGAAGTGACATCGCTGGGACTTCCCAGTAGTAGTTGTGCAAAGCCACCCTCCATGGTACAATTCCCAGAAGAGGCTCCACTTATTCCGCATTGAATAGTAACATCTGCCACATCCACAATCAATGGCAGTCCGCCAGGAAAGGATGAGAATGTGGAATCGAGGGGAGCTCCAACGGAATAGATAGTATTCTCACAGAGGGTGATTGTAGCCCCTGTCACCATGGCAATATTGGCATCTGCCAGAGAGGAGATGCAGGTGGACATGCTGAAGTATTTGATATGTGAAGGCGAAGCTTTGTGTATTTGTTGGCTTTTTAGAATCGTTCTTCATGAATGATGCGATTGATTTCTCGTTACAGAAAAAGTCTAAGATCTGAATCTTGAATCTACCGCTGTATGATATGGTGTTGGTTAGCTTTCTTGGCTTCAGATTAATCGCATTACAGTGATGATATTCTTTTTCGTATTGAAGTTCAAAAATTCAGTGATGATGCTGCGGTCTCATAATCATCAAGATGGGGGAAAAAGAGAATGTAAGCTGCATAGTGCCTACGGTATATATAAAATATTAAATATTAAAACATATATGCTACGGTACTACAACGGAAATAAATCTTCTAACGTAGACGAAAGCTCGAGAACGAATCATTGGATTCCTTTCATCATACTGACGACGGTCGAACGACCGTCACAATAGCATTGCTCAGCAACACCAAGTCCGATCAGTTTATCGAACTTGTGTGCGAGTATACGTCAAGAAATAAGGTTTATTTCTTTCTTTCAATACTCTTTCATCAAGTTCTTCGGCGTCCTCGGCGAAGAGTAGTAGATCCCAGTTGCGATCTACGAAAACTGCCTGTGTCTGTTGTCGTCCCACGCACTTTCACACTTGACCTTCAGTGCTCCTCCGTCTTCTCCTTTCCGTCGTGCCACCCCTGATCGCAGCCTAATCATGAAGTTCCTGACTGATGCTTTCGCGTCGGATCACCGAACCCGCGGACAAAGCTTCTGGGATCAACTCACTGGTCTGCCCCATCAAGATTCCCTCATCCATGATCACATCATCAATTCTCGGCGAGGAATGCGTTTGGATAAAACCATTCATCAGTCATTCGGCCACCCTGTCACAGATACCACCAAACCTGGATATCAGGTGACGTGCCCCGAGGATTTTGAACCAGAAGATCAACGAATGGAGGAATTGGAGCAGCTTTTCGACCAGTGGAACGATCCTACTTTGACTTTCGCCCAGCGCATGAGAAATGGAGAAACAATGTCTCCTGGTTTTGCCCTTTTGGTCAGGAAAGGAGAAGATGGACAGCCATGTCATATCATGTTTATTTCCAATCCGGTCTTGACCAAGCCAGATGTAATGGAACCCAATACTTTTGGAGCTCCGGCTCCCTTTGGGGAAATTGTCAATAATGATATTGCGCAAAAGTATGTAGGTGATCCTACAAAAAGGACCCATTGTCTTTTGGGATCGCTGTCCGGACATACTTTTGCCTCTTATGGAACCGGCAATCGTATTGAATTTTCAAAATCTCTCCTTCCCGTTTTGATGACAGACGGAGCCGCTATTGGAAATAAACCTTTTAACCGTGATGATTGGAAAATTCTGTTTTTTCCAGCAATGTCTGCTTGTCCTGTGGGATTTGTTTGGCCGGCGAGTGATGGTTTCGACGCCTTCCAAGAGAGTATTACCAATCGAAAAAAGATATTCTCTGGTCTTCTTCACCTATTGACGTCAAGGAAGACTATTATTCAAAATTGGTTCAATGCCGTTAAGGCCAGTCCTGCAAGTTTTGCGGTCCCAGTGGTGGATGCTTTGCCGTTTTGGTCCTGCTTTCCCACTGAGCATGACCCAGTCGACGCCCGTGTTTTGGATGTAGCCTTACTAGCTCCATTCCAAGAACAGATGGATCGTTTCCTTCGGAGCCACTTGATGCAACTCATATACAGAAGTGGATCCTTACCTACGTCGACTCTTGGGTTCAAGATGCGTGCTCGGGTCAGGATGCATAATATGCGCGTGGCGGAGTCTTATCCTACTGCCTTGGGTATTACTTTACCACCTGAGTGTCAGGCCTTTGTCAACTACCTCTTCCCTTTTGAGGATGAAGACAAGGGATGGGATGGTCGTATCCCTAAATGGTACAAGACGCTTGATTTAAATTCGGGAACTGAGGTTCCGGACTCGTACCTGCAATACACCCCTCGCCCGCTGCCGTCGTCTGCCCAAGATCCTGATGATTATGTTACACAGAGGTTGACAGTGCCTCCAGTAGCACCTCATGCCGCTTTGCAACCGATGGATGATGATCTGGCGGAATTCCTTCAAGCTACCAAGCGACACAAGCCCAATTCCCGTCGATCACCGGTCCATCCGCCAGTTACCCCCGCTCCAGAAGACTCTTTTGTCTTGACGGAGGAAGGAAACTTCGAAGATGGACATGGTACTAATTATGTTCCCCATGATGATCCAGGCGGGATGCAACCCCGTACTGATGGACAAGTACTGCCAGCGGTGACACCGTCTCCTTCGACATATCGCCCACTGGATCATGTCGCTCCGAGCCACACTTCTTTTCCGTCGTCTCGTGACCAACATCCAGATTCCAGTTGTTTCAGAAATCCTTCAAGGGGCAATCCGTTTGCTGGTGTTATGAACGGTACGAACATACCACTCCAGTCGCCAGCCCAAGGTATGCCTCATGATGGGATCCACGATTCGACATGGAATTCTCCGTTTCAACAAGGTCCTCGTGTCAGAATTGATTCTACCCCTCGTGGTCCGTCGCCTTTCGCTGGTCATTGTCCCACGACGTCACCGGCAATGGGGTTACCCACACCGGTGCACCACCACCAGATGTTTCCCGCCTCCCCAGGGCTGCCTATGCATCACATGTATCCACATTCGCATATGCCGATGTCTTACCAACCAGGGTATGATGGTACGATGTATCCGATGAGTCATTATCCGACCCACCCAACATTCCATACCAATAAGCCGAATTCTCGGTCCAAATATACCCCCATGCGTTCGGCAAGTATTAATTCGGAAATGGAACGTCGCTGTTGTCCTCCAGAGTTGAAAGCGATTGGATATTGGTTGGTGCATCCACTTCCTCCTACTGTGGGCGTGGTT